ATTGTGTGTTGCATGTAGAAAAGAAATGAACTAATGCAAGCATGTTCAAAAATCTAAGTAGAAATTGGATTTTTACCTCTGTGTCAGGTTAAACAAGAAAAAAAACAAACAAATTGAAAAATGTGTGAACAACTAATTATAATTTACGTCTTGCTCTTTGAACGTATGCACACGCAACTATTCAAAATGTCACACAGTTATCAAAATTGTTTTGATAGCTGGTGGCGTCCTGTCAGAAACACGTTCGCCATATTCAACTGTAACAGCTGTATTGTTGATTTTTCAATCTCAACAAATTTACAAGACAGCTAGTTAGCTTTTTCAACTACTGTATTATACATGACCTTTTCTTACGTTTTGCAATAAAGAATTAATGATAAAAAATAGATACATAGTGCGTACAAGAGGAAGCCGGGCCAATGTTGAGAAAGAGGTTGATCATTGATATATATGAGATATAACTCTCGTTTGTTCGCAGAGCTGTCAATAAAGTATTAATATTAAATAAGAGCTACTCATTACGTGAACTCTATAAGAGACTAGTCACATGTTGCACTGAGGTAATGAGCGAAACTGCTTGATGTTATCTGCAATTTCTTCAGATAAACGAGAAAGGCATAGAAAAATAGGGGGCGGGGGGAATGACGGTAAAAATAGCACAAACTATCGCTACCGTTGACAAAAAACCTTTTTCATTTTTCAGGCGAATCTGCATTGCTCGTTTGTTGATACAAAAATCCACATCCAGTGTTTTAAATGTGGGATGTCATATTGTGTGTTGCATGTAGAAAAGAAATGAACTAATGCAAGCATGTTCAAAAATCTAAGTAGAAATTTGATTTTTACCTCTGTGTCAGGTTAAACAAGAAAAAAAACAAACAAATTGAAAAATATGTGAACAACTAGTTATAATTTACGTCTTGTTCTTTGAACGTATCTACACGCAACTATTCAAAATGTCACACAGTTATCAAAATTGTTTTGAAAGCTGGTGTCGTCCTGTCAGAGAAACGTTTGCCATATTCATTTGTAACAGTTGTATTGTTGATTCTTCAATCTCAACAAATTTACAAGGCAGTTAGCTTTTTCACTTACTGTATAATACATGACGTTCTCTTACGTTTTGCAATAACCAATTAATGATGAAAAGAAGAACACATTGCGTAGAAGAGGATAGCCGGGCCAATGTTGGAAGAGGTTGAGTATAATATCAAGGATTATTCGGACCGAGGTCAATGTTATCTGCTGAAACGAAGCTGAGGAAAAATAGGAGGACTAAAAATTTGAACAATTTACTATAATTGTAAGGCTTTATGATATAGTTTGTGGCAAATTTCATATTTCGTGGTCTATACATAATATACTACTACAACTTATTTTTGTTTCAGTAGTGAATAGCAGCGTAGCTATAACAATAATAACGGAGTTTAGGCATTACGCAACGACTAAATTACATTACTTTGTGGTACAAAGTACTTATTAATTATATTAAATATAATCATGTCTTTAATCATGACTTTAATGACAAACAATAGGTACTCCCTATAGGGCTTTTCAGTAACTATTTACAAAATTAAACACATATACATATTTGTCTTATAAATGTATGAAAAAGGATTATTATTAAAAGGATTTTTAAAGATAAAAGTGACATTTCGAGATGGAACTACAAAAGATCTTTTAAAGCTTTCTTAAAAGAATCAAGGGACTTGGAATCTTTCACATCTTTGTCTAAAATGTTCCACAATTTGACTGCCCTATATGAAAGTGTGCGTTGGCCCGTTGATGTTTTGAACCTCGGAATTTGAAATAGGTCTCCATTACGGGTGGCCCGATCGTGAGGACTCTTATGGAACTTTTTGCAGAGATATTCGTGGGCAAGGTTTTTTACGCACTTGTATGTCAAGACTAAGTTCCGATTGTCTAGACACTGTTGAACAGGCTTCCAGTTTAATTGGCGCAAGAGTGGCGAAACATGGTCATATTTCCTGGTGCCAGAAATGATTTTACAGGCAAAGTTCTGCAACAGTTGAAGTTTTGTTATATTTTTGTTGGTGGTATTCGACCACACGGTCGAGCAATAAAACATTTTGCTGAAAACTATGGCAGACATGATTCTAAGGAGTGTGGTTTGGTCAAAACTTTGTCTTACACGGTTTATTTGCATTAACTTGGACAGACATGAAGACGCTAGCTTGGACAGATATGAAGACGCTATATAATAACTATACTATCGAAGTATAATACGAATAGGAAGGCGTAACATTAATTGACTTTGTAATGGGAACGAGTTATAATTTTCTACTGAAACATATACTGGATAAGTACTAAGTAGTACCTATTTTAAGCATTTTTTGTGGTATTCAACTTGTCTACTCTAGTGAATCACTTTGAATTTCATGCATGTATGTATAAGCATCGTATGCAATTGAAGAGAATTGTCTTAGTGGGAGAGAGTGCTGTTGCTAAAAACACACTTCTATGCAATACACATCATTCTACGTATCGTCAAATGTAACTAGAATTTCCACATCAAAATCATGAAGTAATTTCCTAGGTGAACCTATGTGTAGTTCCAGCAACAAAGTTTCTTAAAAGCTTTCCTGTATTTAGGCAGACGCCAAACGTACATCGGTACATTGATAGCAAAATTCAAAGACCCCATAACAATCACCTAAGGACCGTAGCTCACTATTATAATGTCAATGCCAATAAACGTTTGCTTTGCTTTCTCCAGAGAAATGAGAACATACAAGGCAAAAACTGGGGAGAAAAGAACGGTAAATTAACACAAACTATCGCTACCGTTGACAAAAAACATTTTTCATTTTTCAGGCGAAACTGTATTGCTCTTTGGTTGGTGTGACTTGATTCCCTGCTTTTCTTAGCGGCCTTACGTTGTTTCACTATTGATATATAAGCAGCAAGATAGAGCATGTTGGTGGTGAAGAGCCCTATGAAATAAAGCCCAACTCGAGCAATCCGAAACTCAATGTCCTCTTTCACATACTACACAGATTCAAAAGTGAAAACGAACAGCCACATTCCAGCAAGCCGGTACCTACACACCTTGTTCGAGAACTTTGTGCCATAGCGGATGGACGACGGATAAAAATCGTTCATTTGCCAAGCTGAAAAACGACAACAATGACGCAGTTAGAGAGAGCGATACAACTTCATTTGAAATTAGACTCAACAATTTATTGTCTGCTGGGTTGAAAACACGTCCAAGTACAAGAGTTATATAAAGAAACAACAGCAACGATCCAAGAAAATCTACGACACCGATGTTGACGATAAAGTGACAACGGTTCAGAATCTTGTAAGGATCTTTGACGTGAGCATAAAGTAAAAGGAAGTTATTAAAGATACCAACACTGTTTATAGAAAATTGAATGAATGCAGCGGAATAATTCAGTGGGACAGGTTTAACATGGTGAGAGTTATTCATCCTTTAGCAAGCAAGGATCCTAACATCAACAATCGTTGATAGGGAATTGGCACTTCCTGAGTTCGAAGTACTTGTTAATAATACGTCATTAATATTTATATGCGTCTAAAAAGGGTAAACAGCTTCAAATCGCTAGTTTGAGTAGATTACAGAATAAACAACCATAATTTTGTGATAGCACTAAAATCCAGTGTTTTAGATGTGAAATGTCATCTTGTGTGCTGCATGTAGAAGAGAAAGGAACAAATGCAAGCATGTTTAAATGATCTAAGTCGAAATTGGATTTTTACTTCTGTTTCACAGTGTCAGGATAAACAAGAAAAAACTAATTAACTACTAAATGTGTCAATAACTAATTTTAATTTACGTCTTGCTTTTTGAACGTGTGATACGTATCTACACGCAACTATTCAAAATGTAAACAGTTATCCAAATTGTTTTGAAAGCTGGTAGCGTCCTGTCAGAAACACGTTCGGCAAATTCGTTTGTATCAGCTGTATTGTTGATTTTTCAGTCGCAACAAATTTACAAGCCAGCTAGTTTATTCATTCACTGGATGATACATGACCTTTGTTTACGTTTTGCAATAAGTAGTTAATGATAAAAATAGATACTAGTGCGCACAAGAGGATAGCGGACGAGATTGAGCATGATATCAAAAATTATTCAGACCGAACTCAATGTTATTGCCGTAACGGTTTTATTCAAGTTCGTCTCATTTAAATATGTTGTAAACATGTTTAAAGCCAGCTTCACTACTTTATCAGTGTTGTCCGCATCCGTTTTGCTTAAAAGCTCTTACATCGTTTTTAGAAACTATGGCAGCCATCGTTGTTGTTTGATTTTTTCCAAAACTAGCTTTTATTAATGGCGTCCATAAGTGTAGAACTATTATCTGTACATATGACGTCATACCAACAGACATCGAGAATTATTCGCATGTAGTTGACCAATCAAAATTGACATTGCTTGCATAGTGGATAATAATATAGATTATTATAAATAGATTAGGTGATTGTTATTGATATACAATACACAGAGTGACAACGCTAATAACGAAAATAACTGACTATAATGAAAATCAGTACTGCATCAAACAACCTTTCCTATGAAATTTAATACCACCACCCAAGACTGCAACAATCAACCAATATTAAGAAGATATATAATTAAAGAATGTTGCAAATTTGTGGTTCTTATTCTCATGAAGGCCTCACTCAACTTAAGAAAGATTTTATTATTACAAAAAAAAATGTAAAGATTATCAAGTGTACGCATTGTAAATTTATGTGCAAAAGTGTTCCAAAATAGGTGGCAGAAGTTTATTTCGGAATACATTAATTTCTTTCCTAAATTAGAAAGCGAGGGAACTCTCTAATTTAGTTAGAATATTGAAAACACTCATTTATGTGCAAATTTTTGTGTTATTGTGTTTTGATGTGATTTCCCTCAAGATATTTATACTTTTGGCATGATCAAAATCTACAATTGTTCGTCTGCAAACACCGATCGACGTATCAAAGGAGTAAAATGAATTGGTTACACTTACCTTAAGAAACGTTAATTCACCATGGTAAGGCCAAGGCTAGGTCGTTCTAAAAGAGACACAAGCAACAAAATTGTTAAATCTGGCGAATGATAGCAACACTTACAGCCTTCCTGACTTCCAATTCTTTCATCTTCTCGTCTATTGCATCTGAAAAATACTGAACAACAAGTTATCGGTACGACAAAACAAACAATCAAACAACATAACAAACACATACCGCAGTTTTAATTTGCACTCGGTTGCCTTGTAAGAATAGCTGTAAGAACAACAGTCGAATAATGTCGTTACAAACTGTTCAAGTTCATGTATTTCGTAAAACCAGTGTTTGCAGACGAACCTAACTGTTAAAATTTCTGTCCTATTACGGACTTTACAATATTTGCAAAAGATAGCTGTAAACTGCAAACCGATTAGCATGGAAGGCTTACTTCGATGTTAACTTAAAATTGTTGTTAGATATTTCAAATGACTTTATCACAAAATGTTTGTGTTCACTATGTTTCAACTGCTATGAAAACACCGTTATAACATCCCTCAATGTTATAACAGTGTCAGTAATAGCCTTAACAGGTAAAAGAAAGCGACAAAATGTTTGACGCCGAAAGCATGTTTGACTAATACTGTGATTACTTCAAATTAAAAAATACCAAATATAATTTAAAGATTTTGCAATACTCTGCCAGCTTATTGCAACTTCTTTTGGCAAGTTGAATATATCAATGGTGAATTAAGTTTCACTTAAACGGTACATGCAAGATCCAAACAATTGAACGTTCACAAGAAGCACCTCCATAGTAGCATGTCAACAAGCATGTTAACTGATTTGTGCTTACTTCCATGACATTACTTAATGGTATAGAAGTGCCACTCTGTTAACATGCTGACGACACATTCCTTTGATCCCAAATTTCCCAATTGCTGCTGACACTGAAGCAGAATATACAAACAGACTTTGAAATATAAAATGAAAGATTATTACATAGAGCCTGAGGTGTAGTTATCTGGTCAGTCCAATAGAATTGGTGGTTTGCAACCACCTCCCTGAGAGTAAGAGAACAATGAAATGCCCCCCATGTTGGATGAAATTTGTATTGTAAGTAAGTAAATGCTTTGTAAAATCACCCAACATGGCGGCTATGACGTAGCTTGCAACCTAAGAATTGGTATCGAGGGTGCCTGAGGAAGGATGTTTTGCGTTGAATGATAATCCATTTCTCTTCCTTTTGACGAAGACATTATTGTCTAGAAATATAGAATAATAGAGATATCATCGTTCTAATGACGAAATATGTCCGTTATTAAAGCATCAACAGATATTCTTTCTAGTTTAATATGGCATTTTGATGAAAGATTTTGGTATATATATGTCAAACATAATAGCTTTTGTTTTGTTTATCTGTTTTATTAAAAGAGTTATAGTGAAATCACTCACTTCGCTGCCATCTTTCCTCTTTATCTTTGGCGATTCTCAACCGTTCATCAAAATGGTGTTCACTTTTTGAATTATTTCGTTTAGAAATGAATTTCTGAACTGATGGTTGTGTTTGAAAGCTTGGACGCCCTACCAAAAGTATGATTTTGATGTCTTTAGGGCGGTGCTCATGCAAAGCCAAGGTTACATGAGGACGTGTTGTCGTTTGCCCGACCCGACTTGCCAACTCTCCCGCATTGAAATACTTAAGTTCGCAAATTAAAATAATTTACCAGAAAAATGACGATAAAGCACTAAACGAAGACAATACTGAAATGAAGCATGGAAGTTTAGCTTTAACATAAGCACAAGCAAAACTAAGCAAAACTGAGCGCAAATTAAAATGATGAACAAAACAAAATTCTGTTTTTTTGTCTTTACAAGTCACACGAAAATAAAGAACTTAAGATTCCTCGCTCGTGTTTATTTATCAGTAGAATTAAGGCATTGACGATCCCAGTTTTCAACCATACACCATTAGGGGATGTTTGCATGTTCCCGGTTAACCGCGATACAGTGAGGCGTGAAATGATTTCGGGGGATTAATAGGAGGCAAAAACTTCAAGGTTAAAAACTAGAACTGTTTGTTAAATGCCGCAAGTCATTCCTGTTGTAATTCTCAAATTAGGCCAAATTGGTTTTTTTAATTTTAAACGTTTTTCGCAGTTATTAAATCAGAATATTGAAAGGAGCTCGAAAAGATTTATCTGAAGATAAGTATTGAATCGTTTCCATTCGCCAAAATCATTTAACGCTTGGCTGAATCCCGGCTACCCGGGCTCATGTAATAGCTCCTTAAGCTTTACAATCTTAATTACTTTACAAATACCTACTTTCATTAAAACGATTTAAATTCTTCCATTTAACTACAACGTAAACCTTACCAGGACATCTTCATAATCGTAATTTAGGTGTATTACCGCCTCGAATCCACGCTCCGACACGATACTAATATCTTTCGAATGATCTATCAATTATCATTATTCACCTTTTTTTGAGATTGACGCAGAACTTCTCTTCCCTTTAACCAAGGTGAAAATCGTGAAAGAATTTCATCTGAAGCCAATCTTTTCTTAATACATTGAGCCTGTATTATTTGCCCTAACGTCGCTACAAAGAGCTTCCTCAAACCTTTCTTCAACACAGCGAAAATCTTGACTTCTAAAGCTAGACATCCTCACTCGACAAATGTCAAGCAAAAAACAGAATGCAGACAAGTTGTTCAAAAATATTTAATCCTCATCCACCTACATGATCAGAGAATATGATTGGTTCGAAATGCAATGGAAAACAATACACAACAAAAATGATGAATCTAAAGAGCGAGAGACGTTGTGTCGTTAACCCAATTTGAAAACACATTCATATAATTAGTGTGCAGCGATTCTCGTGGGAGTGAATAGAACGTTAATTGAATTGGCAATGGTCAATATTCATATACAATACTAATAATTGCTATGCAATGCTGATTTTTTTTTTGAAAATTACATTTTTAAAAGAAGTTAGGGCCTGATTATATGAAGGCGATCTGGCCCGGATAACAAGCTAGCTCGATACAGAATGGTGTAATTTTAACGAACTATTCGATGTCGAACTTTGACTCTGGGTCCCGTTTTGGCCACTGTTCGTATGAAGATAATTCCTTTTTACTGACTTGGAAACTGAATGAGTTCTTTTTTGGATTCTAGTTGAGCCAGTTTCGAAAAGCCACTGTAACGAGAATGAACTTGTTTCACTTACCATATTACACCTGTCTGGCTTGAGCAATGCAATTTTCGAGTACAGTTCAAATTGCTCAGAGCTCCTTTCATAAAATCATGTTGACATTTCTCTTGTTAAAACGATCCACTGCTCAGTGTGCTCTCAGGAAGAACGTCCAATTACAACTTCTCATCGGCTTAGAAGTTACATAGTAAAAAAAATTGCGTTTTCATAGAAAAAGCGCAGTCGCTTACGAGTCAAAGTGCCAGTGTAGTACTTTGAAGCTTTTCGTCAAGCACAACATTGAGCGCCAGATTACCATCGTAAACTACAAGCTCTTGCAATTTTCGTTGGAAACTTTTTGCTGGGTCGAAAAAATCCATCAAATTTGAAACGATCATTCGATAATTCAATCTTTTCAAACACTACCGAATGAACAGCCCGCAATATCTCTATTCCTGAGTTTGGAGGTACTTTATCACGGAATAACAGATTCTGAGCATTTGTAAAAATTGTGAGTGTGCGGACAGGGATGAATGATGAAACCCTCTAGGAAGATCATCACTAAGTATCTTAAGGGATAAAGTACTCCGTCGGATGTGCATGCAAGACATAATAGCTTTTTGGTCGATGAAAAACTTTTTTGTTTTCTTAGCAAAAACACCATCAACGCATTTTACAGGGCTAAACCACACTTTTATTTCGGGGTGGGGAGGGGGGTTTGTTGCTTGGCCGTGAACCTTTTTTCATGCGTTTATGCTTGAAGTAGTCTTTTAAGTAGTCCCACGATATTTGTCGGACGTTTCCTTGATGTCAGAGAAAACCAGCACAGCCGTGAGATCTGCACTACCCCTCCCCCTCCTATGATTATTTGTGGAAGCTTTAGTTGAAGTTAGAATGGGCTATAGTTGCTAAGTTTTGTACAACGGTATGAGTCAGCAGTTGAGAATATGAAAAAACGAATCATACGTTAAATGGTACATCCAATCTAGGCTACACCCCCACTAGCAGAGCCAGCGTTATGAGCAACATATTACAACAACCTAACGATAGGTAATGTTATATTCTGCAAATTTAGAAATCAGCGGCATTTATAATTTATTTTGCCTAACCTTGAATCCGCGACAGCTTTACGTTTTTATAAATCTACTTTCTAAACCTGTGAAAACGAAAGACATCGTTTTGACGACAAACTAAGGAAAATCGCATGATTGGAAAGGTGGAATCATAAAGGATGCTCCTGTTTGACCAAATACAACAATATGTCGGTAGTTTAATTCTCGTACGTATACAAACATCAGAGTCATCATATTATGTATCTTTAAATATAACTTCTACGGCAAAACTGAAGTAATCATCTCAGGAAACCTGAGTCTAACTACGGAAATAAAGTTTCTTAAAAGTTTTTCTATATTTAGGTAGACGCCAAACGTATATCGGTACGTAAATGGCGAAGTTCAAAGACACCATAACAAACACCCAAGGAAAGTAGCGCGTGATTATATTTTGGGCAATGTAGCTTAATCTATTCTTCTTCAGAAAAAGGAGAACAAGCAAAACAATCGTTGGGGAATATATCACGGTAAAAAAAGCACAAACTATCGCTACCGTTGACAAAAAACTTTTTTCATTTCTAAGGCGAATCTGCATTGCTCGTTTGTTGATACGACTTGATTCGCTGCTTTTCTCGAGGGCCTTGCGTTGTTTAACGATTGATATATATGTCGCAAAATATAGCATGTTGGTGGTGCAGTACCCCACGAAATAAAGTCCCAGTTGAATAAATACAAATTCGATACTCTCTTTTAAGAGCCGCAATAACTCAGTAGAGAAAACGAACAGCCACATTCCAGTAAGCCAGTACCTACAGACTTTGTTTGAGACGTGAACTTTGTGCCATAGCGGATAGACGACGGATAAAAATCGTTCAATTGCCAAGCTTAAAAATGACATCAGCGACGCAGCAAAAAAAAGTGATGCAACTCTATTTGAGATACGACTTATCAACTGTTCATCTTCAAGGTTGAAAACACGTCCAAGCACTAGAGTGGTATAAAGAAACAACAACAACGATCCAATAAAATCCACGACACCGACGTTGATGATGAAGTGACAACGTTTTAGGATCTTGTAAGGATCTTTGGCGTGAGCATAAAGTAACAGGAAGTTATTAAGGATACCAACAATGTTTATAGAAAATTGAAGGAATGCAGCATAAAAATTCAGTGATTGTTCAACGTGATGACTGTTATTCATCTCTTTAGATAACAAGGATCGTAACATCAGTGATCGTTGATACAGAATGAAGCTTTCGTGAGCTCGGAGAAGTTTTCAATAATTAAATAGCAATAATGTATATAGTTATTAGAAGTACTATTTATATGTTTAAACAACATATATAAAACATGAATTAATTTATTTCGAATGTTGCTTTTGCAATATTAATGATTGTTTAATGACAGTTTATTAAAACCGCAAATTCTTCTTCTTTAACTTTTGCCAACATTAGTGAGAAGATATTTTGGCAAAATGCGTGAACTAATTTAATAAAAAAACCCCACGTCAATATGCACACTTCATAAAAGACAAAACAATAAACACTCCGTAAGATTTTAATTCAAAAGTTTCGACAAGTACTACATGTCATTATGAGTAATTAACAAGAACCGCAGAAGATTGATCATTGAGGCGGCTGTCCTATATTCATATGGGGACACACGCAATAGTAAACTCAAGCGAGATTAATAAAACGTTTATTAAAAGTCATTATTTGCCCTGAAATTAAACTTTCTTTCTTTTCTCTTCATCGTCAGCAGTTTTCGCCATTACAAAATAAATCGTCAAAACACTGTTTCCGAACCAATGAAAGGGCGCTGTGTAACTGAAAGTGACGCTTGCCATATACGTTAAAGCATCCTAACAGACTATATAACGATAAATAATTTAATTTTCGACGACTAGGGGGGTTCGCGGAGAGTTTATCGTTTTCATTTTTATGAAAATGCTTTTTATGACTCGTAAGAAAGTTTTATACGCCCCTTTAAATTAATAAATTTTCAAACTTCAATTTAAAGTTAAATTGAAAACACAATTTCAAACAAGGCGCTTCTCTTGACAGTGTTCTTAATGTTCAGGAGAAAAGTTAACCATCTCAATAAGAGAGGACGCATGCAAGAAGCAAGAATCAAACCTGAAATCGATGTCTGTGTGTGTACCATTCATTGTCCTATATCGATAAAATAAGATCACAAGTTCAAGAATCTTTGTATGATTAAATCTTAATGCCACAAAGAGACATTTTCTAAGTCGCCCTAATGTTTAAAGGCGAAAACTTGCAACTAAGTAAACTTATGCCCGCATTTTGAAATCTCCCTCACACTCATGGGGTATGACATAAAAATCACGCTTTCTCTGATCAATAGCAAAGTCTTTTCTCCACCGATGGCAAGATTTTCACTAAAATATCTCAAATCAAGCGATCAGTGAAGTGAACATTTCGTCTTCGAATAATTATGAGGTGATTTTGAAGCCACACTCAGTCATTGTGAGTTTACGTGAACCTTTGGAATATGGGCAATAGGCATGTAAACGAGTGTTAGTATCAGTGCATCTATTAGCGAAAACGTATCGGCGAAAATTTTTTTAATTTGATCAAATCATCTTCTTGTTATGGCAGTTTCATGTGGCCTTTCAATTGACCTTGTCCTTGACCTGTGTCTAGCCAAATTCTGACGTCATCAAAGGTAGTGGGAATATATATCTTGTATTGTCGAGTCCCTTGCATGACGTCACAAAAGTGACGAACAGAATTTTCGAACGAAGGACAAGGCCCATTAAAAGGAGCATTTTTGCCAACTTTAAACAGCAATAAATGCGGAACGATTTGATTAACTTAAAAAACTCTTTTCACTGATATCTAAATTAAATATTTTAATTAAAAATTTTGCTGAAAGGGGCTCTTTAATCTATCACTGTCTCTCGTTAATGCATTCATTCAGTTAGTGCACGTTTTTGCTTATAAAAGTAAAACATACCTTTCCTTCGGCCATACAGAAATATACAACACTTAATACAAGACTCGAGGAGAATTCTGCGTTGCAAAAAACGGAAAAAGAATAGTAAGATTAATATTCTGATCACGTCACAAAATACATGCTTTTCGTAAAAATGCTTGTTGTTATGAGGTTTTGAACAAGCTTTCAGGTGATGCTTGTTGTTATGAGGTTTTGAACAAGCTTTCAGGTGATGCTTGTTGTTATGGGGTTTTGAACAAGCTTTCAGGTGATGCTTGTTGTTATGGGGTTTTGAACAAGCTTTCAGGTGATGCTTGTTGTTATGAGGTTTTGAACAAGCTTTCAGGTGATGCTTGTTGTTATGAGGTTTTGAACAAGCTTTCAGGTGATGCTTGTTGTTATGAGGTCTTGAACAAGCTTTCAGGTGATGCTTGTTGTTATGCGGTTTTGAACAAGCTTTCAGGTTATGCTTGTTGTTATGAGGTTTTGAACAAGCTTTCAGGTGATGCTCGTTGTTATGAGGTTTTGAACAAGCTTTCAGGTGATGCGAATCCCTCAAAGATTGATGAGTGGCAACATTGGCAATCAAATTTTATGTAAGTCCAATGCAGTAACCCGTAGCCAGCTCTGTAATCGGAGAGGGTGAGACAATAGTCAAATGAGAATGTTCTTTCTCCCTCCCCCACCGCAATCAATGTGCTGGCTGCGCCTTTTAGCAGAAAAACAATTTCGACATTCGGTTGACTATTAAATACTTTCATTGTTTGCCGAGGGCCAATGACACATTTTCTATCTTGCTATAAGATCGCTTCATAATATGTGAATTGAAAATATTGTAGGACGCAAATCCTCAATCTAATCATAAACACTTGGTTGTGGGATCAGGGGTCAAGCCCGTGCATTTGTGGATCACGGAATCACAGAATTTCGTTTAAAATAAAATCATGAATTATATAAGGCAATGAACTCAACACGTAGATAGATAAGAAAAGTTGGCATAGATTCTGACCTTTATCCATACGCCATACATACGAAAGCTCACTGTGATGAAATAACGCCTAGAAAAGCGGAAATACATGGATGTTTAACTAACATAAGTTATATGTTCGTAGACGTTGGCAGTCCTTAAAAGGACTGTTTGTGTTAGTGTTGGTCTACACTGACGTTCAACATCTTAGTTGCAGTCATCTGCACGATGCCAAAACTTCAGTAAACACCAAAATGAACAGCCCTTAACGGGACTGCACTGACTGCACTAACCTGGACGATTAACATCGACAAACATGTACGTGCAGACAGGTCAGAGTTCAAACCCCGTCACTTTATAAACGAGAATTCTTGAATGTTATTTAGCTAAAATAAAATCATCGAATACCTGTGAAGAGGAAGAATGAAGAGGTAAAGGTTCAGACGAGTTTTTCTCGGGTTTGCCTTCACATTGCAAGTCGGCGCTGCATATTGTAATGTTCGTACTCGTCGCTCCGGTTAAAATAACTTGAAGAAAATGGCTGGGAAACAAAAAAACAACAAATAAAAAGAAACTGGAAGGAAGACAAAAAAAACCATTACAATTACTATTCTGCATCGGATAGTGGGGGTAGATACAAAAAAAGAAACGAAAGACTGGCGCATGCGCATGCTTTGTCTTGTCTTGAGGCAAAAATGTCTAGTTGGATTCAGTGTCCCCCCACCTGCCAGAAAACTATATTGAAAGGCACTAAATGTTAGCTTACTACAGTTAAGGTAAATCTTTCGTACAATAAATTCTTTATCACAAGTAATTCAAAGTATACAAGTAATCCTTACCCACAAGTAATCATTCTTTAAAGGCAAATTTTGCATACAAGTAAATCCCTTGCTTACAGTTACATCATAGCCTACAGTTACATCATAGCCTACAGTTAAATCCTTGCCACACTATGATCTCATGTGTAACTCCTGTAGCTTAATGCGTACGGTGTATGCTTTCTATGACAAACTGCACTTATCAATTTTTAAAACGCAACGACTACACTATCTTTGCAATCTTCTTCATAAAAACAAACAGATGATACTCACCCATAGTTTTTACGATGAGAGATATGCTGAATTAGAAACGGCTTGTAGAACGTGAGAAACAACGTGGACAGGTTATTCAAAGAAAGCCATGACGCAAGAAAAAAAACCTAAAGAAATTACTACGTAAATTTCTGCCCCCATGATTCAATTTCATCGCATCCGATTCCAAAATGTGAATCTCGGCCGGTCACGACAGCATATATATGTACCCTAATGGCTTTAATAGTAGAACACACGATACGAAACCATAAAAACATCAGTCAAAAGTTAATAAGGTTTGATAAAATTGATTCATGTGAGCAAACTGCTTATAACATCACATGACACAGGATACAGTTAAGAAATAAAAGATGTTTACTGTGTTTGTATAAGACAGTGTAAACACGAAAAACATCTTTTGTTTCTTTTACGAAATAACAATAATCTGAAAAAGAGAAATTTAAAACAAATGTTTTGATTTTTCTTCCAACATGCATTCATGATTGATTTGCAGATTATCTTTGACTGATTTAATTGATCGGTTTGCAGAGGCTAATCCAAACTCAGCAATAAACAAATCAGCAAACGCGTTTTGTTGTTTTTACATCATAAGTGTCAATAACGAAAAATATATTTGAGCTCTAAATTATCAAGTTTGTTACGGAATGTTTGGGTGATTCCAAGTTCAAATTCGAAACGCAGTTTCATACTGAACAAACATCAAAAAGCAAAGCAATCCCGTTTCTACAGTCTAACTTACATCGTGGTCCAGGAGAGGCTGTTCGGGGTCTGTCTCCTCAAAATTCGAAAACAAAAGCAAGTCGACACATGTTTTGTGATAAGCTGGTATGAACGGTAGGGTAATGTAACATCTAAAGAAAACACATCTCATCGGTTTCGCTGTTCAATTTGTATGCGAAATATCCTGCTGATATCATGTCACAACTTTCATCATCAAAATAACCTAATTAGCATGTTCTACCTAGACGCCAATTTACAGTGTGCCTCGTCTTCATGTACTTCGATACGGTACTTTGCATTATTAGCATACAGTTCGTTATCTTGTGACGTAACAACGGTCACACCACTCGTCACTGGTTGAAACAAGAGACCAGACTCCGAGGTGACCTCCAACACGGATTGGTCGAGAATGGCTGCCGGTCCAGTGCTCACGGACAAAGAAATGACGTTGGTATGACCAGCAACCAGTGGAACATCTGAAATTAAGTTGAATAGAAAAATAGAAAGATAGAAAAAATCAAGTCCGTTCGCCGATATACCGAAATACGCATATTTATCGTTAATTATACTCATGACCACGAAGTATTTCTACACGGGACATTCATTACTCAGGCTACCGAAGGACTCCTGAACTGTCGCGAGATTGCATAAATCACGCGTGACTGACACGAAGTCCTTGAACCAAGCAAATTCTTCCTTTTATCACTAATGAAACGTATAATGAAACACGATTTACTTACATAATATATTGCTACATGTGAGATTGCATTGCCGTGAATTTCGTTATGCCATTTGGCAAATGTTATAATACGCAAATTTAACCAAACATTGTTCTCGAGTACCCGAGCAAACGCCTGATAGACGTCTGTTTTAATTAAAACGGCAGTCATACGAATCTAGAACATTTTTTCATCCTTTCTCTCCAGCGCTGCCGTATGGCAACATCAAGGAAACCATCCAAAACTCGAAGGACCAAAATACTTGCGTAGAAAAAGATTAAGCTACCTACCCACAGTTCCCTTTGCCCAAGAAAGCGCCGGTGACTCGGACACAACTATAAATTTACGCGGTGCTTTAGGCGACCGTGTCAAGGAAGCAAATAAATGTATATTGCCCAACGTAATGAGGAGTTGTGATAGAAGGTATGAACCGCTTTTTTTCACCTATATAACAAGTTAAGAATACGAGTTAATGAATGAATAATATAGAATAAACGAGAAAATTTTTTGTACTGATTGCAATGTAAAGAAAAGTCATCTGTCAAAGTTTTACCTGTCCCTTGAGATGATATAGATGTCTTCCTGGAAGCAACTGAACTTTTTCAGATTCCAAAGAATATTTCTCTTTAGATTTCGACTCTGACTGAGTCGTGCCAATACTGGATTCTATAGGAGTATGAATGAGAAGATGTGATAGCTGGGATAGACTGTAACATTTAACATGGTTCCATATAACATATCAATGAAGGGATATGAATGAGAAGATGTGATAGCTGGGACAGACTGTAACATTTAGCATGGTTCCATATAACATATCAATGAAGGGATATGAATTACAAGATATGATAGCTGGGTATAGAGTATAACATTAACATGGTTCCATACAACATATCAATAAAGGGATATGAATGACAAGATATGATAGCTGGGGATACACAGTAACATTTAACATGGCTCCATGTAAGATATCAAGACAGACACAAAGGGATACGGATGGAAAAATATGATCCCGAGCGATAGATTGTAACGTCTATTATAGCTCTATACAACATATCAATAGAGACATAAAGGGATATGAGAGGCAAGACATTGTCCCAAGGGATCCCAAACTCACCAGATGAAGATGCATTAACATTAGTGGACTCTTGTTTGTCATCGTCATTAGTGAGTCGTATGGGTTCACTGTCTTGTGTTGTCAAAGTCATTCTCGTGGTCACCTTTAAGGAACACTCGTCCACGACCTACACAAATTGTTTCATATATTCAGGAAAATAAAAAGCCGACCGTGAGGAAAATAAAAAGCTAACCGTGAGCTTTCGAGTAAAATGAACTCGCTTAGCCAACGGCATGCGATGTCGGTGCGTTGACATAATTTTACAGTTCATCTAGTTTTTTTTACTCATTTCTCGTGCAATTTTTAGAAATGAACGAGAGCGGGAAAAGTCCCGAAACCAAAACAACGGTTGAATACGACGATGGTTACGGTGAAGCAGATCAATTCATTACCACCAATATCCCCTTACCAAAGTATCCATTTCTTCTCCAAAAACACCGATGTAAAGATACTGTGGAACCGACAGTTCATCCACCCCATCCCGAAGTAACAAATATTTCCTTCATGTCAGGAGTTGGATGACTCGCGCTTGCTAAGAACATGGCGGTAAGTTATATTGTTCGCACGCCCCCCCGGCGTTAGTCCGAGACCAATATTGTCTAGGTGTACCGGTCGACGAATGAACTTAAAAAAAACTATTGCTTACTTGTGTCAAGCCACTATCAATCTCCACGTCGACAAATACAATCTCGCCAATAGTTGCAATGTTCTTATCCAGATGAATTTTGATAACGTCTGGTTTGAACAACGGTTGGGCACGTATGGTGAGTGGTTTAGCTAAAAATAAACACTTTGCGGACCTAAACCGAAATAACATGTGGTTGTCTGGAAAGATATTCCAGACGTGTTGCTATATGCCAAGCATTGAAAGTACTCTTACCTTCATGTTGTGGGTCGTCTTTCAACCTTAATAGCTCTTGCGTGTAATATGAAGTACTTTCTTCTTTCAAATGAGATTGGCAGGCCAACACTGCGCATGACTGTGCGTATCTATGCAGGGTTAAAGAGGGTAAACGATCGATAGAAACTCTTCAATAGCGTTCGCAAGTCAATGTTGTGCGGTGGCCGGTTTCACATAACAATTCTAAAATCAGTTTAAAAGATATTTCTCCCATTTCCGCAGCTCATATTGACATTGTGCCAGGGATAGCAATGTGTTCGCTGCCAATAATCCCCATCCCTCCTCCGCAAACATCTTGTATCCATCAGTCAATAGTAACTCGGCGTCACCATAACTCCCGCCGGACCTACGAGGGGAAACGTAGTGAGAGCTCTTTGAAAAATAAAATGATTTGAACGACGCGATCAGAGTTACCAATGAATGATAAAAAACATACATATAGAACTTTCCCAAGTCGATTCCAAGTACTTTAGCAATACGGTTGCGTTTTATGTTTTTGTATGTTTTAATGGCCATTTCAAGCAGCTCCTGAAAAATAAAGAAGTAGTAATTTAGTATTTTAGAAGCTAAATGACAAATAAAAATGGTCACGTGTTAGAAACAAAACACGTGATGTTTCAATATGATCAGTTCGTTACGGTAATATGGAGGGCGGGAAATTAAACTCGATGTAAACTACATAAAAATATAAATGGTCAAATCCTTGCCGTAATTCTACACAATATTCAACGTAGCAAGATTATCACAATATCAAGCGCGCGTGAAATTAAACCGACTTAGAACCCAATATACTAGATATCTGACTCCACCGAAATTGTATAGAAATGAGTGAGGCGAGCCGCCATCTTGAAAGGTGGCAAAACTGACGATATTTACGACTAATATCTGCTTTTGCTGAGTTGATTTGGAGTCGCAAAGTTGATAGTCTTGGTTTGATTATTAAAATGTTTAATATAATGGGTTATTTAAACTTTGTTCTAACTTATTTTTCATTTTGAGTTTTGCTTTTTGCCACCTTTCAAGATGGCGTCTTTGCCTCACCTTGACTCGGTAGTTAGACATCTAGAGGATTGGGTTCTAAATCATTGAGACAGTGCAGTAGACACTGCAATATGGGCAGTAGGGCGGCGAGACCTAATAGATAGATAACTGCGTTTTTTTTCACAATTGTTCAAAAACGTCACCCCAAACATGACATCACTTACAAGGTAAAGAGCTTTAAAGCCATTTTTTGACGAGAGTGCAGACTTCAGCTTGTTGCTTGGGCTTCCCTCGCTAACACGTACTAAATAAACGAAAAATTGATTAACATATAGTGGGGGTTAAGAATATTACACTAGGTTAAGCACCTTCTTTATCTTTGCCTACACCACCACAAAGGTTACAAGCTAGATTGAGCTGCTGACTAGTCGGCGTCTCGTCCGGCATTAGGCCACACATGTGTCCCACTTCAAAAAGCTGTAAAAAATCGTTTAATGCTTACGTTGAAAAAGACCTTTGAGGATAAATACATTTGAATACATCGACGAAAAATATTAGGTGAAATATCTCTTATACCAAGTAAAGCTATCGTAACCATATCCATCGTAAACCTATCCCTATCTAAACACATCCTTTGTCATTCTAAGCAAATCAATCCCCATCCAAACACATCCCTTGGCATCCTAAGCAAACTTATCTCCATCCAAACACATCCTTTGTCATCCTAAGCAAACCTATCCAGTATCCAACCAAATAATTTTACCAGGGACCTTCTCCAAAATAAAATATCTTGAACTCGGCAATAATGAAGGGGGAAGACACTTCACGAAATATTGAGGGGTGAGGAGAGAGGCAAAAATTAGTCAAAGGATATTTTGTATAAATAACTCAATAAAATGACAAATAAATAACCCTTATCTTCACCCTCCCCCCCCCCAGTGTCTGACACTGCATAAATGTCCACAATAGCAGCAACAGTCTAATGAGGTCTTCAGTGATTGGCAATTGATATTGAATGTTGGATTTCTGTTTGTTCAAATGTATGGTACTTTTATCTATCGATTGTACACGCGAGAGGGCCGCCGAGAGAAATTACAAGAGCCCTATGACGTAATCATTTTAAACAATTACAACCCGAGGCATGAAGTACTTCGAAATGACGTAAAGTTTAACTCAAAGGGAAAAACGTTTCTAAACACAATTTTGTTACTGCACGTACCTTTTGTTTAGCGTACTGATAAATTTGCGCTGTATGCAGATTGTATGTGACGATCTCGGCATTTTTTTGAATCGCCGAACGGATCAACTGAAGCGAACTTAAAGTCACCCAGCACGCAGACGCACCAGTAGGCATGGAAACCTTAAAAAATACAAAAAGGGAGGGGGATATGGTTATCAGGTGACAATACCATAGTGGTATTGACCAATATCTTTAATGAAAATTGTTAATCAATGAAGAGCTAAAATGTAAATTGTTAACTCGTTGACAGTTGTTCATTTCTGAAATGCATAGAATATGAAATGCTATCGTTCGAGCGGTTATTTTCTTTCTCACGTGAAGTGCCTTTCGGTGTCTTTGTTCTTCATATTATCGTGGCGAACACTGCCTCTCTCGTGTCCCCCCCGTCCAGCTTTTAACTGATCTCTTATTAAACATGACAGTGCATATGATAAGGGGGGTAGTGTAGATGGAATTCGCGATTTCCTTAATAAATAAACAGAGGAAAGAACAACTTACATTTAAAATTGCCAATTCGTGAACGACAACATGCATAAAATGCAGCATTCTCTGCAAAACAACTTTCACACGATCCAGTTGGAACAGTAATGCGCACTGTCTGATGAAAAGGTAATTTCTCATATCGAGAAAAGTCGCTTCTTTCTTCCTTATCTTGTCGTGAAGTCTCTTCTCGGTGCTGGGCGAAATGGAAGCACCGTCCCAGCACCAACATTCACCGGTAAACATTGCAAGCGGCCCCGAATGATCTGAAAACGATAGAAAAAATGGATAGGGAATGCTTGGAACAGTAAGACCACACACGCAATTTTTTAACAGATCTGGTCAGATGAGCTTCAACACTCCCCCCCGTTCTAAACTTTGCAACTATATAAAATAGGTGGGAGAGTCCAAGCTTGTCAGAACAGATCTGGTAATAAAATTTGCATGTATGGCCAGAATGGCCAAGCCTACGACTCTTAAATTCTTGAACTATCAATTATACTGAATAAATCAAAGAAGATAGACGATAATTAAAGAAGTTATTTCCCAGAGCCTGACATAGGCACTTTAAAGTTGATTCAAAGAAAATGAGCCGTAAAAACGCTCGATGGGTACATCTTGTTTACACTCGTCCGTCATTCCGCCCCAATCAACAGCGATAAACGTAATATTAGAGAGCTTTAGCAAAGACTGCGAGTACGACTACGAGTACGAACTACGTCATTTTGGCGCGAAAACACTGTTGTGATAACAACAGCAAACTTCCTTGTGCCATTCCCTTACACGTTCAAACTTCGTACTCGTTGTCGTAGTCGTACTCTTGCTATGGCTTCCTATTACGAATGTCGAGGTGAAATAGATCAATCAATTGACACGATCGCATCCAAAAACGTGAAAAACTTCGTACAAGAGTTTATCCACTAACCAGATGCTTTGACTTGTTCAACAAGCTGACCCAACAACGCGTCGATCTCGTCGTAATGAATCAACGCGTCCTCATTCAAATGCATCATTTCGAAAACCAACGCGACTTCCTCCTGCAGAAAAATACACATGCCGTCATCGTTCGACTAGAATCATAACAAACACGGGGAATGGATTGATTTTGCTTCCACAATTTCAAACGTAATCTGATTGGCAGCCCTTATGAATGTCAAATTTCGTCACGTCACTACCTTTTTCGCCCATGCCATAATTTTCAAGTCTGAAATTTTTACCTAAAATTACTATTTACTCCATTGGTGTGTTCTGTGTTTGTTGCCGAAGTCAATTGACCAATGAAAACAACTGAAGAAATGCTCAATAAATATAATATTCGATAAAAAGTTAGACTATTTTTAAATTATTTATTAATTCTTTCCCCTTACCTCAAAACTCCCAAAAACGACTTAGGCATAAAGGTTAGCAACTTGACGATTTGATCAATTTTGATCACTTTACTGAATATAGATGTAGATTTTAGGTCATTCGCTAATTTATGCTTTAAAAATACAGAAGGTCGAGGGAAGGTATACTATAGGTAGTACATGTACCAGAAACATGCTCCCCAGATTCGATTTCAATAATAAAAAATTAAAGAGGGAAGATGATTTAGAGTACGTACATGGCAAAGAAAGTAATTGATGAAATCCCACGATCGTTCTGTTCGCCTATCACGGGTATTGCGAACTTTTTCGTCGATTTTTTTCAGATTTCTGTCGACAGCTGCGAGAACGGAGTATCTTAGTTTGCTCATGAACGCAAGCCAGGATTCCACAGATTTTGGATTTGCATCATGTTTCGATGGTTCCCACAGTTGAATACATCTAAAAATACACTGTATACGCATGTGTCCTTATTTGTACCTACAGTGCTCAAATGTGAACTAAGGTCAGTGTAGGTAATGATGAATGAGCAACTGAGAACGAGAACAGTTTTTACGCTACCTAAAATATAAACTAAGATAACGTGTGTCGGTGCAGGTAGTGATGAAGGAACAACAGAGAGTGAGAGCAAGCTTTTACACTATTAGAAACATTAACTAAGATAACATGTGTGTCAGTGTAGGTAGTGATGAATGAACAACAGAGAACGACAACAGTCTTTACACTGTGTAAAATATAAACAAAGACAACGTGTATCAATGTTGGTAGTGATGAATAAACAATAGATAACGAGAACAGTCTCTCTACACTATCTAAAATATACCACACCAAACTGACCTTTCATTAGCTTTCCCTCCACCAAAATCACTCTTTATTTTATCAAAAACACTGCTACGAGGGAGCTGCAACTTTGGTTTATTGCGATTGATTGATCCCTGGGTGATCACTTGTACAATTAACCAATCAGTGTTGCCATTCGCCTTGATATTCTGCAGCCATATGGTAATCTTTTCTTTGACAACGTTTCTGTATTCATCAAAGTCCTGATAACAACCCACATATCATTGACGTTTTACTTTATTAGTTTCTAATGAAATCAATTGTGTTTACGGATCATAACATACGAATACATGAATATAGTCCCCTCCCCAATTATCAATGTTCCCCCACCACTGGTATGAAATGGAGGAGGAGGTTGTAAGATGTAAGGAGGGGGTATAAGATGTAAGGAGGGGGTATAAAAGGAAGGGAGGGGGTATAAGGAGGCCTTTAGTGCCATTTCTTTATAAAATGATGAAGCATCTAAGGGTGGCATGTAATTGATACAACACATTGAAAGAATGTATAACATATTGTACATACATCAAACATTAAAATGATGTTTTGACATCTACCCATTTCCACTGTACTCTATTTCTATGGGCTCGTGCAATTGTTCAATACCTGGCAATCTGTCCAAAACATATGGAAGAAAGGAAGATCTTTCAAACTGGGTGTAGTGTCAATGGTGAACCTGAGGTGGTTCTTGGTTAGTTGCACGCACTGTCCTTTGACAACAACCATCTTTGGTGGTCGCCCATGTGATCTAATAAAATTCTTTCTTAAGACATACGATTTTCAAGGAAAACACACTTCAATCACAATATATAACCACAGTAACAACACGATCATCAATAGTTTCCAATGCTTGCCTTTTCCATTCAACAGTGGTGTCTGAAAGTCTACGTTGAATATCATCCAAGTATTGTTGAAATATTTCATAGTTGCCATCGCCTGTTGACATAATGATGTAAGTATATGATAGTGCAATGCTGTAAGTGTTGGGCTGCGTACAAAACTCCAAAAGAGAAAGGGGATGTTCAGGGCAATGACAGGAACCATGTTTGTCAGACTCGTTTACTTAAGAAATTAAAGCAATGAAAATGAAAGCATCCCAAGCAAAGTTTCCCAATATGGCATCAACCTGCATTCCAGCAAATGTGATGCCTGCTCTGTCATGTAATCATTGCACTGTGAGCTAGATAGCCAAAGTCACAATTATACCTGGAAAGTTAGTGTCAAGACTGTCGGCAAGTATTTACATTTATTGCAAGACGAATTTATTGCTTTTGCAGACAGTGAACAAAATTGACAAGTTAGGACTATGTTATATGCATTGCGGTGTTTTTGAAACTAAATGAAGATATGATCTTCGCACTTTGAAGGACAATTTAAGGAATTGTCTCAGGTTCATGAGACAATTGCTTAAATTGTCCAGCAAAGTGCGAAGATCATATCTTCATTTAAGGTAGGACTATATTAACAAGCTGGCTAAGTCACCATGGAAAATATGTTATGTGTAGACAAGATATTCAATGTCCACAGTGAAATTATTGACACAAAGCAATTGATATTACATACTACGAAAAATTGAACAAACAAAACAAGTAAATCAGCTTTAACAAATAGTAGAAGGCCTCTCAATACTGAAGATAGCGTGCTTAATTACATATTGAGTTACCTAACCACACACACAAATATTGAGGGCGGTAGGGGGGGGAAAAATCTATCATTCACAATGATAAGTTGTTTGATTCCCTAAACCTTAATAAATGGACGGTAACTCAGCTCGGTTTAACGCAAAGTAAGAATACGAAGCAACTGTACTTACATGTTATAGTGGGAAGAAATTCCATAATTTTGTTTATTACAATCAACACTTTAATTTAGACTGCATATTTGGTACAAAGAACAAGCACTTTTGCCAACTGCACTCCACAGGTTATTTGCATTTTGTTGGTGAAACTTCAAAATTTTTAACTTATTTATCGACAAACGAGCGCGAGAGGCCGAAATATACGTTTTCAACAACAAATCGAAGATAGCTGTGTGCTAATCTTACTTCGACTGTTGTTCATGGAAATGTTGTCTTCCTCGACTGACGTCAAGCAATTTTCATGTAAAAGTAGGTACTTCCGCGTACCGCAACCTGCTCACTTGCACGTAGCATAAACGAAGAAGGAATTCTCCGATTTCTGGAATACGTACAGGCTTAAACCAAAGCTAAACACATGGAGATGCGTCTTTGTGGGAGGAAATCTAATGTATGTGATAACATTGCATTGGGTAGATACACGGCCCACTTCTGCGCTAACTACAATTGAATGAGCCTTTAATAAAGTTGATAAGGTTACTAAAAATTACCACGAATTCAATCCTGACTTTCAATTTAATATAATGTCACGACCGAATAGAAAACAAACGACAAACTGAGTACATATCAATTTACAATAAACAACATCTAACATGTTTGTAATTCAAAAGCAAGAGTCTATAAGTCATATTCAAAGTCTTGTTTCCCTGCAGCTCATAAAATCCTGCCAATATATCGTGCGATAGTCTGCCTGGTACGCGTTTTTTGGTCGAAAAAGCTGTTTATACTTCTGCAAGATAGTTTTCTTCATCACAAAAGCGACAGCGATATAAACACCTTGCAAGGAAGCAAAGATGTCGAACAGGTACGAGATAGCAAGAGAACCTACGGCCAAGTAGAGGAAACCAAATAACCAACTGAAACCCATTAAGGATGAGATTTTAATATAGATCCAAAGCATTTTTCGATGATGTCCTTCCCCATGGTGAATAATAGAAGCACCAGAACTAGAACGTTGTATATAATATACAGTGAGGGAAAAAACTACCACGTTGAAAAGTAGAAGGATGCCAACTGGAAGCACAAAGAGATACTTTTGAGCTAACTCATTATCAAACCAACATTTCAAGTCATTATAATAAATAGCGAAACTGTCTGTGCGATCCAACACAACACAAATGATCACAAATAGAGCAGGCAGAGACCACGTGATTGCAACATATTTGACGAACTTCTTATTTTCTTCGTTCTTTAAGCGTTTTTTCGGTACTCTCTTGTTGGCGAACGTCCTTTCGGTGTCCCACGCAATCATTGCCAAAGTGACAAAGGACACGAGGAATAAGTAATGTTTCAGGGCAGCCATCACGCGACAGAACACGTGACTGTCAATAACTGGTAACAGCCAAAACAACTGAACCAGAAAGAGCGATATGGACAAATTTGTGACGTCTCTACCAGCGAGATTATGTAGCTCAGGAAACAATAAATGAGTGAAGATCACCAAAAATAAACAAACCATCGAAATAATAAGACAGCAAAAAGTCAAGTATTCTTCGATTGGGGTTGAAGAATCAGCTGACCAGTGAATAGTTCTGGTAAAACTATCAGAAATGCACATGAAAATTTCACCATCTCTTACATCGTATTCACCAAAATTATAGATCGTTTGTGTGCAGGTACAAAGTATACTCAAATTTGTAAACATTACAAAGTCGTCTGAGGAAAGATTAACTCTTCTTCCATCACAGTTAGAGTATACAATCTCTTCACACACGGAAATTGTATGGTTGTCAGGTTCGACAAACACCTCTTTCTTTGGATATGTTTTACCTGTTGCGTTGATAATGTAGACTTCACCATTTTCAGCTGTTTTGTAAGCATCTTTGGGATAGAATTGCTTTCGAATACACGCCAGTCGACGAGAGGTTGTCTTAAATACTGTCAGTGAAAAGGTTGTACCTTCTTTTAAAAAATGTGAATTTTTGCTCACTGTAACTGTCACGTTAAAATCTTGTGTGAAAAACAGAAGTTTTGCAATGCTGTGAATATTAAAATTGCTCCCAAAATATGAAGAATTGACGATATTGGATCTTTCCGGAGTGATATATTTCGCAAAAATTAAAGATTGTTCGATAGTCAACTCAAGTTGGAAACTAAAAGCTCTGTACTTGCGTCCATCGTATAATAAATCAACGGGCTCATATTCCACGTCATGAACATGAGAAGCATTAAGTTGGAAAATCTTTGCAACGCCAGAACTGCCGTTAATCATTATAAGATCATCAACGTATAAACTTACGTTTTTCTCAAGTTCGCCGTAATCAAGCCAAACAGCAACATTTTCTTTATCGCTGAATGTCACGACTTTTCCTTTACGACAAATTTCCAAATATGGATCATAAAACTGATATAATCCTGCACATCTTGCTTCTTCTACTTCGACTAAAGGTTCGTCGTAGTGAGATAAACGCAGACTAACGGTAAACAACAACGGTTTGTCCTCAACTTTTTCTAGAGCTTCCACATGCGACACAAAGTAACAAGATGAACAGTTATCATCACTTGCTTTACAACTGTAACCGCACACACTGAATTCAGCCAGATCCTACGATATAGTTGAGCAGATATCATGTATGGATTTCAGGCACTCACGAAGTGGCTGTTTTTTCTTTCTAAAAATTCTCAAACCGTCTTTCGTTGAACAATATCTTGAAGCAAATTTTTCAAGATCTTTAAGTGAACGAAGTGAAGGAGGAACAACGCTACACTTCATGTCAAATCCGTAATATTCAAAGTCGTGGACACCGTTGCATTTGGCACAAAATTCATTTCTGTAAGTGACATTATGTTTGCTTACAACAGGAATAATTCGACGAAGGTTGCTAACAGTTAAATTCACATCATCTGCAGTTATACATTTTTTTACAAGTTCGTGTTCTTTTGATGGACATTTGTTGACTATCAAGGAATATGTATCTGTCTTCATTTCTCTGGCATTCTTCATAATCACATGTTTAGGAAGAATACACGAAACTAAAGAGACATTTCTGATGAGTGGATGTTGTTCTTTTACACAATATCTTTCATAATCATTACAACAATCACCAAAGAAAGAACATGACGAATCACAACGACAGTAAGATGATTTACAATCATTGGAACAACAACCACGACATGAAAGCTCTGCTATTTGACACTCAGGAGCGATGTTTGTCTTAGAATAATTTTGTGAACTCTCGAAATCTCGTTTGAACTTTTTGCCCACGTGATTTGCGCGAAAATCTCTTCCGGTTCGACCATATAAAATGTCCATTTTTAGATGATTAGGTTTGTTAATATCACTGCTATTCAAAGCATGGTTAAGCTTCGGAACTTCTACGGCACCAAGAAGTCTTCTCTTCAGTCCATCGATTAATCTTTTATTGTTATCGAGTGACCTCAAACCATTACGCTTTTTTTTCACATTTGAGAATCGCTGTGAATTGTTGGTTAACTTGACGGCATCTCTATTCAAAATGGCCGCTTTTTCATGAAACTTAATGGACAAATCAACAGCATGGATGATAGTAACACATAAAATCAAGCTAAAATACATATTTTCATCAGCATCGAAAATATGTAACGACGACTTATATATCTTGCAAAAATCACTAGACACAAACACCTTAAAGAAAAGCAAACACACTTCCGAGTGCTAAAAATCAGCTACACATCTGTGGAAGTCGAACGAACAAAAATCACTAGACACAAACACCTTAAAGAAAAGCAAACACACTTCCGATTGTTGAAAATCAGCTACTCATCTGTGGAAGTCGAACGAATACACAGATATCAATGAACTTCATTGCTCGGTAATAACACAGTATATACAAGGAACAAACAGTGGGAGCACTCTATTGAGCTTTTTGGGTATACAGGTATATCTTATTACGCATACGTGTTTACTATGATAGCAGCCAGTTTATTGCATTATCTTAGCAATAGGAGCACTGTTATGAACTACTCCAGCCAGAAACTTAATTAAATTTTTAGCAGTTACGGTTACACATGGCGGTGGTCCTGTTGCTTATTCCGTAAACTGCGGTAATCGAATATTTTCGCTGTCTACTGCATTTGTTTTCCAATTACAGATGATACAAACAAAAAGAAGAATCAAATTTTTCCCTGGTCAAAATCGTGCAAAAAGACCCGCTTTATAAAAATGATGGAAAACCATTTGAAAATTAATTCGTTACATTTGGGCCACAGCAAGGCACGTTTACAAAGGGAGTTCCAAATTCACAACTGTGAGACAAATCACACAAAAAAAGCAGGAAAACAAACAATTCTAATCATTCAAAAGTTTAGTAAACGTCATGCATTTAATGTCGAGTCAATGGAAAATAAACTCACTTCATCTACTATAGTAGTGAGGATGTTAAATAACAAATCGATTTTCCTTTATTTCCTTACATTCATGATGTAGTAAAGATTAATATGTGAATATTCTGACTATTGACAACCCATTTACGCCTGAAATAGTGCAGGGTTTATCTATGTCGATTCTCGGAAATCGGCGGTCCGAGTCGCTCTCGACTCCCAGTTGTCACAACACAGACCACGCGCTAGGGTGAGGACGATGTAAAATAATGGATTATGATGGAACAGGCAATGGCCGATTCACTAGTAAAGGCAGTCGATTTAAATTCATATTATCAGTGATCTCAAGGAAAGCATCACACAACCTTCCCACTCCAGACATATCCACTTGCGTGGCGCGCAGTTTTGGATCAACATCGGCAATGTACAACAAATCGTCGACCAAAGTTTCGTCGTCGGGAAACAAACATCTAAGACGGAAAACGAATTGTCTCGGCGGAAACACCAGGCAAAAATGAACTAAACTACAAAAAAGTTTTGCAAACCTTAAAGATGAACGAATGAACTTTCTTCTCTTGGAGAACAGCGCCTTAACCACTTGCTCAACGACTTCATATGGCGCATCAATCTCAGGTGTCTTCCGCGGGACAACATGAAGTAATACAGCATCAACCTTTGGTGTGAACATTACAGTTATATTATAGTTATATATTATAGTTATAAAATATCATGGTGATTGGCGGCAAAGTATCGTTACATGTTTGTAGATGTAGATCGTCCAGGTTGGTATAGTCCTGAGAAGGACTATTTTGTTGTTGTTGACTGACGTTTCGACAACCTTAGCGGTAGTCGTCTTCAGAGTCAAAAAAATGAATGAAAAAATCTTTTTGACTCTGAAGATGACTACCGCTAAGGTTGTCGAAACGTCACTCAACAACAACAAAAACAGTCCTTCTCAGGACTATACCAACCTGGACGATCTACATCTACAAACATGTAACGATACTCCCGGGTTCAAACAATGTACTTTAAAGTAACGGAAGATTGGAGTGTAAGACTATTTTTCAAAGTCTTTTTCAAAAAAGTATTTTGAAGTGAAAGCTTTTTGTTGAAGACGGATTGAATTGACTTCGCAAAAATATGCATTAACAGTTGACGCATGCATGTACTCCGCTGCTCAAGGAATCCACGTTTGTGAAAGTCAAGTTTCAATTTTATTAAAGAAGAATGTGGAGTTACGTCAGTGGCCAATCGTTTTCAAGACGGTCACTAACGAATTTTACATTTCGCTACAAGTGTCATGACGAGAACAACTTCTGCAAATACAGCTTCGAACAAAAATGTCTATTTGTAAAATGTTTGATTGTATCGCGTTCGGGGGTGCACAGCCCTAAAAGAAAATAGGAAAAGATGTGCTGGGTCCAATGATCAATTTTGGAAAACGTCTGTATTTGATAGAGATAAAACTCGTTCAAAACAAAGCAACACAGTTAATGAGTTGAAACGCATCCTCGTACTCTTCGGAGATAACTACACCATATCAAACTTATGTGAAAAAGTAACTCGTACACTAAAGGTTTAACACGGGCCAGTGAAAAAGTAACTCGTACACTACAGGCTTAACACGGGCCAGTGAAAAAGTAACTCGTATACTAAAGGTTTAACACGGGCCAGTGAAAAAGTAACTCGTATGCTAAAGGTTTAACACGGGCCAGTGAAAAAGTAACTCGTATACTACAGGTTTAACACGGGCCAGTGAAAAGTAACTCGTATACTAAAGGTTTAACACGGGCCAGTGAAAAAGTATCTCGTATACTACAGGTTTAACACGGGCCAGTGAAAAAGTAGCTCGTACACTGCAGGTTTAACACGGGCCAGTGAAAAGTAACTCGTACACTACAGGTTTAACACGGGCCAGTGAAAAAGTAGCTCGTACACTGCAGGTTTAACACGGGCCAGTGAAAAAGTAACTCGTACACTACAGGTTTAGCACAGGCCAGTGAAAAAGTAGCTCGTACACTACAGGTTTAACACAGGCCAGTGAAAAAGTAACTCGTACACTACAGGTTTAACACGGGCCATTGAAAAAGTAGCTCGTACACTTCAGGTTTAACACGAGCCAGTGAAAAAGTAGCTCGTACACTACAGGTTTAACACGGGCCAATGAAAAAGTAGCTACCTTCGGCTCGGGAACAAACACAGTCCTGGGTAAACTATACGATCTCTTCACTTCGCAAAGATGTTGCGTCATCGCTGACAAACGTGACGAGTTTGGATGACCGGGGGGTGCCGAGATGTTCTACAAAAGAAAAGATTAATGATGACTCTTGAATCAATAAAATTGATCTGAAAATTTATCGATACATTTAGTAAGGCCATGATGGCAAAATATTTGCATCAACAGCAAGAATCCAACACAATTCGATGAAAAGTTGGAATCATTCCTCAGGCTGGACAAATTACAACATGCTTTTTGGACACCGCCTATCGCAGTAGAAGAAAGTAAAGTTTTGGTTAAAAGTCTTCAATTAAGAAAAATGATTCATACGTGTTCAATACAAGAGAAATGAATGTCAAGCACTTCTCAAGGACTTGTAAGAACTATTAATTTTGCGGAAGGCACAGCTAACGCAAGAATTTATTTAACGTGAAAACCACCTTGTTTGTAGACTACTTAAAACACTTTTACTTTACACTTTAACGTCTGGAAAAGAAAATCAGCGCGCTAACCGACATGTTTACATGATTACAAAAACTTTGATCGAAAATTACAATTCAAGGACTTTCAAGCTCATTTTTATAAATTCAAAAGTTTTCAATGCCTTCAATTATTCATCTTCGATTAGAGGACATTCAAGGACATTTAGAGACTTTCAAGTATTGTGAGAAAACCTTTTGACTATCTCTATTACCGACTATCGCACCTTTAACCAAACATATATCTCAGTTCGTCCAAAACATTTACAATCACGCGCAAAAATCCATACGTTTGTGCATTTTACTGTTACAAAAACTTCGTAAAAAAAACTCACATCGGCTACTTCCTTTTGAAATACCAGCGACATGGGAACCCGACCGAAGGTGAAGGGACCAATGCGAGCGGAGACCGCTTGTAACCATTGTAGAAGAAGAGGAATGGACACGTTGAAAGGTAGATTTCCAACCAAACGAACACTTGGCAAATCTTACGTAAAAAAAAAAACAAACATAAATGGTTCGTTCATGATAAGGTGTCGACTAAATGTCCAAACTGAGGAGCTCCTTGATCTAGGGTCTTTGTAAGAACGTAGAAAATTCGCGTGCTACGTCTTATTACTATGCTTAAGTGTCTGAATAATAATAGTGATTTTTCACTTGACTTCGTAATGAATAACATACATACAGTTACTATATGGAGGAACAACATACATTCATCAAAAGTAAAAACAAATTGGGGTAGACAAAGGTTTGCTCATACAATGCTGTATATAAGAATGGAAGAATTTACGTGAGAATGTCAGAGTCAGTAGAAATTTTCAAATCTAAGTCATGTCTTTTTTAGTTCGTAATTTCACTACTTTTTCATCTCTTTTAACCCATCATGCATACAATATGAAGTGTCGTACTTTAGCAGAGCCCTACTGAAAACCACTTTTGCGATGTAGGCCCGCCGGGTAAATAGATGCAAATAATTATTATGAAAGGATTCAATTTTCTTCCATACAAGAAAGAAAACATGACTGGATCCTTTATCGGTGTCCGTCAAGCCTCGCCACATCAACTTACAATCCTTTTCCCATTCAACACCTTCAGCGTTTGGAAAGGCTTTGCAAACGTTGAATTTCATAATATTTTCGTTGTGAACTGTCATTTTACCGTCGGAGCAGTCGGCCAACAGCTGAAAAAAATTATTCAAAAATTAAAACAAAGCAAAATTCTACTTTTAAGGCATAAAGCCAATGCAGGTTTTTGAAGATTACTGTCAACGTACAATTACATGTCCGAAAAACAAGACTGTTGCTTGCATTTAGTTTGTATGACAAAAGAAATGGGAAATTGCGGATGTAGATATGAAGAAAAATTGTAACTTTAATTATTAAAAAAATGACTACATTAATCGTGACTTTTGATATATTGATATTACTTCGAGGAACTCAAATAATTAAATACTTTGAATAAAGACAGTATTTTTAAAACTCTCATTTGCAAACATGTTTCGACTTAGCTATAAGCCATCTGCAGTTAAAATGGATTATGGTTCAATTAATTACAGTGTGAAATATGTAAGATAGAAATATTAGGTAATACTCGGTGAATTATTTCCAAATTAATATGGATTATTGACCAGATGCGGGATGTGTGTAGCAGGTGAGCGAGAAAAGAAGGAAGTTTTCGCTGAAAGATTCTGTTGAAATGCTGGACTTGTTTGTTAAGGTTACAACTATATTCACTGAAGAATACCTCAATGTATCATGTGTCTATCTTGTATATTCCACACAGTATAGTATTTCATCTATCCATTCGCACTTGAGATGACTTACAGTTAGAGTTAAGTCGAAACATGTTTGCAAATAAAAGTTTTAAAAATGCTATCGTTTATTTCCGACTTTTAATTGTGCTGATAAGATCATATAAAAATGAGCATATAACTAATAACTAGTACACTACGAATCACAGTCATTTAATGTTAAGAAGATAGATAAAAGTTTTATTCACATGGGCGAATCCAAAAATCAAAAAAAAAACGACAGTTTTTCAACTTCATACTCAAAGTCTTGCTTCCCTGGTGCTTATCGAAGTCCGTCTACATGTCGTGCGTCTTCGTGCAAAAAGTTGTTTATACTTCTGCCAGATAGTTTTCTTCATCACAAAAGCGACAGCGATATAAACACCTTGTAAGGAAGCAAAGATGTCGAACAGGTACGAGAAAGCAAGAGAACCTACGGCCAAGTAGAGGAAACCAAATAACCAACTGAAACCCATTAAGGATGAGATTTTAATATAGATCCAAAGCATTTTTCGACGATGTCCTTCCCCATGGTGAATAATAGAAGCACCAGAACTAGAACGTTGTATATAATATACAGTGAGGGAAAAAACTACCACGTTGAAAAGTAGAAGGATGCCAACTGGAAGTACGAATAGATAATTTTGAGCATGTTCGTTATCAAACCAACACACCAAATCATTAACATAAACAGCGTAACTGTCAGTGCGATCCAACACAACACATATGATTACAAATAAAGCAGGAAGAGTCCACGTGATTACCGCACATTTAAAGAATTTCTTGTTTTCTTCACTTTTTGAGCGCTTCTTTGCTACCGTTTTGCTGGCGAATGTCTTAAGAGTGTCCCACGCAATCATTGCCATGGTGACAAATGATACGAGAAATAAGTAATGTTTCAGGGCAGCCATCACGTGACACAACACGTCATGATTGTCCATGTCTGGTAGCAGCCAAAATAACTGAACAAGAAAGAGCGATATCGATAAATTCATAACGTTCTTACCAGGTAGATTACGTAGTTCAGGAAATAAAAAATGAGTGATGATAACCAGAAATAACGAAACCATTGAAATAATAAGGCCAAAAAAAGTTAAGTATTCTCCGACGGTGGTTGAAGAATCAGCAGTCCAATTAATGGTTCTGGTTTTATTTTGCAAACCATCAGAAATACAAATAAAGATTTCACCATTTCTTATATCATATTCACCAAAATCATATATCTTTTGTGTTCGGTTATAAAATATACTCAAATTCTTAAACTTCACGTATTCTTCCGAAGAAAGATTAACTCTTCTTCCATAACAAGTCGAGTGTACAATCTCTTCACACACGGAAATTGTATGGTTGTCAGGTTCGACAAACACCTCTGTCTTTGGATATGTTTTACCTGTCGCGTTGATAATGTAGAATTCACCATTTTCAATTGTTTTATAAGCATCTTTAGAATAGAATTGCTTTCGAATACACGCCAGTCGACGAGAGGTTGTCTTAAATACTGTCAGTAAAAACGTAGTACCTTCTTTTAAATAATGTGAATTTTTGCTAACTGTAACTGTCACGTTAAAATCTTGTGTGAAAAAGAGAAGTTTTTTAATGGTGTAAATACTAGACTTATTCGCACGGAATGACGAATTAAAGAGATTGGATTTTTTAGAAGTGTTATATCTTGCAAAACCTAAAGATTGTTCAGGAGTCAGCTTGAGTTGGAAACTAAAAGCTCTGTACTTGCGTTCATCGTATAATAAACTATCGCGCTCATACTCCACGTCATGAACATGAGAAGCATTAAGTTGGAAAATCTTTGCAACGCCAGAACTGCCGTTAATCATTATAAGATCATCAACGTACAAACTCACGTTTTTATCATGTTCGCCGTAATCAAGCCAAACAGCAACATCATATATATCTAAATTTTCTTTATCGCTGAAAGTCACGAGCTTTCCTTTACGACAAGTTTCCAAATATGGATCATAAAATCCTGCACAATTAGCTTTTTCCACTTCAACTATAGTTTCGCCACGAGACAAATCCAGACGAACTGTAAATTGTTTAAAAGATCTTAAAATATCTGAGTATGGCCTTGATCGATCTGTAAATTTTCTTGTAAAATGTCTTGACCTTCTTTCAAATATACTACCTGTTCCATTGCGGCGGCAACTGTAACCACAGGGAATAAATTTAGCAGGGTCATATCTTAATGTTGAGCAAATTTCGTTCCTAGATTTCTGACAGTCACGAAGTGGCTGGTTCTCCTTTCTAAAAATCCTCAAATCGTCTTTCGTTGAACAATATCTTGAAGCAAATTTTTCAAGATCTTTAAGTGAACGAAAGGAAGGAGGCACAACGCTACACTTCATGTCAAATCCGTAATATTCAAAGTCGTGGACACCGTTGCATTTGGCACAAAATTCATTTCTGTAAGTGACATTATGTTTACTTACAACAGGAATAATTCGACGAAGATTGCTAACAATAAAATCCACATCATTTGCAGTTATACATTTTTTTACAAGTTTTTGTTCTGTTGACGGACATTTATTGACTATTAACGAGTACTCCGAGTATTGATTATCCCTAGAACCTTTCCAAGTCACATGACGAATACACGAAACCAAAGAGACATTTCTAACGACAGGATTTTCTTTTGCACAATATCTTTCATAATCATTACAACAATCACCAAAGAAAGAACATGACGAATCACATCGACAGTAAGATGATTTACAATCATTGGAACAACAACCACGACATGAAAGCTCTGCTATTTGACATTCACCAGTCATGTTTGTGTTGGTATAATTTCGTGAACTCTCGAAATCTCCGATATTGTCATCGTTCCAAAACATCAATTTGTACATTTTTTTTGACTTGACTAATTGCTCCGATGTAACATTGTCCTTTTGGATTACAATGATATAATTTTTTAGTGATGTACGCGATTCTATGGATAATTTAACGGTCAGAACGAAATTTGAAAGTAAAATGAGAAAAAAACACATTGCCGTAATCAGATCTGACATGTTCATTATTAATTTGCCAATTTCACGTAGAACCAGCGTGGAAGACAAGAACCATTAATGATGATTAATCAAAGTTATAAGTTTTAACTTAGATGTATCAGTTAGGATGACTATCGGTGAAATAGTGTGATATTATATCACACTGCATAATGTAGTAGTTTTCGTTACTAAGCAATGAAGAACTGGTTTACGTACAAAAGGAAGGGTGTGCAATTATTGGAATAAATCCTATGTTTAAAGGAAGTTAGCGAAAATCGAAAAACAAAGCCGATACGTGCCAAGATTTACGCATTATACGTGCGTCACACACTTTAGCATTTAAGGATAGCAAGCATGGCGAGTTTAAAATACTTCAAGATTTTTTTTAAATCCGCGCATGCTGCATTGAATTACAACAAAGAAAAGTCGAACAAATAAAATTCGCTTGAGTAATGAATGATGCTCCTTAGCAAATTAATATTTATTCCGTAGTAAATAGAGTATAAGATAAATTCATAATTCAATTGGGTGTTTTCTGGTCAGTTTTCATGAAATCGAGACTTCTTGTTTCACGAAGTCCATTGCAATACGTCAACAAACCTCTGACGTCATCGAAACGGTTTTAATGACGATAGACATCGACTTTGAGCAAATTTGAACCTTGGCATCAATGCCAAGCTGTTTATGGTTCGCTAATCAATAAATATATATTTTTACGACATAAATTAGTATAGGAAGAGAGGGAGAGAGTTGTTAGAAAAGAGACAGAAAATAAGACAAATCGTCGCGAAAAGATATCAATAAAATACGGAAATGCCGAGAAAACATAAAAATCCGAATTCGTAAGAGGTGTTAATTTTTGATATAGGCTATGACAAAAGCAACATTACTTTCTACGTCATGTATTATACGCTGGCACAGTATGGAAACAAACAGTAGTCTCACTCTACTATGCAACTTGGTGCTGTATATTTAATTGGATTACTGGCTGCGGCTAGCCACGTAAGCGCTCCTATTGTTGTATACAAATCACATGCGTAACAAGATATGCGCTACACAAAAAATTCTATAGAGTGGGACTACTGCTCGTTTCTATACAGTGACGCTGGTGCTAATGCAATCCATTCATCAAAGAAATAACATCTCAAAAGATTGACGCACAATTGACGTCATGTCAGTAAAAATACATAGATGACGTCACAACTTATCAAAAACAACAATCGACCGCAAAGCCCTGATACGAGCAAAACGTTTGAAACTCAAAGTATAACTGCATAGTTTGATGCTATACAAGGAAGAATGCGCAATATTTCATAAAAGATAAAGAAATCATTAAAACGTTCGTTTAAAATCACCACGGAGCCGCAACGAAATTATCAATGAAATTAATTCCTCTTATTTTAAAATTTTCATCATTATTTTCCCGCGTCGTTGCACTACTACGATTTAAAATCGACAGACATCGTTGAGACCGAAACTTTATTTAAACATTCATTACAAGTTGTATTCATTTACAGTGCTTAACAAAGGCTGACTATCGTAAATCTAATTGCAATTTTCCTCATGAAAACTGCCTTAAGATTAGACTTTGACTCGCTTAACACGATAAGGACTCGTGCGATTGTGATATTTTAATGGCTAGTCCACGCTACTTTCTACTGTATCATATCAAGCTTCCAATACTTGAAAAAATCTCACTTAGAAAGGAAACTTATCAAAACAAAATATTTGCTAAAAACCCACGGAGTAGCGGAGAAATGGTAAACGAGGTAGGTAAGGAACGGATAATTTTTTGTCCAATTGAGCGTCTTATGAATGCTATGTTCTCAAAACTTTGAAACTAATTAACGTTGATCTCATAAAAAGATTTTACAACAAGTACATGAAACTGCAGAATGCAGAATCAATATCATGCCAGATACTTAAAGATCATCGGTCAGGTCATCAATAGTAATGATCACAACATTGACCATGTATCTAAACAACACAATAAAATAATTTAGCTCAAACTCTTGTTTGAGTGGTGTCACTTGCATTCTGTAATGATGTGTTGTCACTGCTTCTGTTAAACCTATTTTCACAATGAAACAGTTCTTTATACTTCTGCCAGATACTTTTCTTCATCACAAAGGCGACAGCAATATAAACACCTTGTAGGGAAGCAAAGATGTTGAACAGGTACGATAAAATAAGAGAATCAACGACCAGATACAGAAAACCAAATAACCAAGTGAAGCCCATTAAGGACGAGATTTTAACATAAATCCAAAGCATTTTGCGATCTCGTCTTTTATCATGACGTAGAATTGTGGTACCAGAACGAGTGCGTTGAATGAAGTATACAGTGAGGGAAAAAACTGTCATGTTGAAAAACAGAAGGATGCCAACTGGAAGCACAAATAGATAATTTTGAGCATGCTCGTTATCAAACCAACACATCATCTCATTAACATAAACAGCGTAACTGTCAGTGCGATCCAACACAACACATATGATCACAAAGAAAGCGGGAAGAGACCACGTGAATACCACACGTTTAAAGAACTTCTTGTTTTCTTCACTTTTTGAGCGCCTCTTTGCTACCGTTTTGCTGGCGAATGTCTTAAGGGTGTCCCACGCAATCGTTGCCATGGTGGCAAATGATACGAGGAATAAGTAATGTTTTAGGGCAGCCATCACGTGACAATACACGTTATTGTCCATGTCTGGTAGGAGCCAAAACAACTGAACAAGAAAGAGCGATATCGATAAATTCATGACGTTCTTACCAGGTAGATTACGTAGTTCAGGAAATAAAAAATGAGTGATGATAACCAGGAATAACGAAACCATTGAAATAATAAGGCCAAAGAAAGTTAAGTATCCTCCGACGGTGGTTGAAGAATCAGCTGTCCAATTAATGATTCTGGTCTTGTTTTGGAAACCATCAGAAATACAAATAAAGATTTCACCGTTTCTCATATCATATTCACCAAAATCATATATCTTTTGTGTTCGGTTATAAAATATACTCAGATTCTTAAACTTTACGTATTCTTCTGAAGAAAGATTTAATCTTCTTCCATAACAAGACGAGTGTACAATCTCTTCACACACGGAAATTGTATGGTTGTCAGGTTCGACAAACACATCTTTCTTTGGATACGTTTTACCTGTTGTGTTGATAATGTAGAATGCACCATTTTCAGTTGTTTTATAAGCATCTTTAGGATAGAATTGCTTTCGAATACACGCCAGTCGACGAGAGGTTGTCTTAAATACTGTCAGTGAAAAAGTTGTACCTTCTTTTAAAAAATGTGAATTTTTGCTAACTGTAACTGTCACGTTAAAATCTTGTGTGAAAAAGAGAAGTTTTTTGATGGTGTAAATACTGGACTTGTTCGCACGGAATGAAGAATTAAAGAGATTGGATTTTTTAGCAGTGTCATATCTTGCAAAACCTAAAGATTGTTCAGGAGTCAGCTCAAGTTGGAAACTAAAAACTCTGTACCTGCGTTCATCGTATAATGAATAATCGCGCTCATATTCCACGTCATGAACATGAGAAGCATTAAGTTGGAAAATCTTTGCAACGCCACAACTGCCGTTAATCATTATAATATCATCAACGTATAAACTTACGTTTTTCTCAAGTTCGCCGTAATCAAGCCAAACAGCAACATCATATATATCTAAATTTTCTTTATCGCTAAGTGTCACGATCTTTCCTTTACGACAAGTTTCCAAATATGGATCATAAAATCCTGCACAATTAGCTGTTGGGAATAAGTGAGGTAATTGAATGTCCTACTGACAGAGAGACAAATTCTCCTTAGTTGTTTTAATTTCGTTAACCAATAGGCTTAAAAGAATTTTGATTGATGTTTTGTTGTAAATGAGTTGAAGAGAGAGTCTGAGTGAGTGAGCGATATACGTTTTTGATAAACATTGCCAGGGAATAAAAATTTCGTTATTCAAAAGCTTGAGTTGTTGCATCTATTCGACATATTCAAAGGGAATATTGCCTGGGCGACGGGCAAGATTCACAAAACGTGGCACCTCCGACGGGATAAGTGAAAATAGTTCGATCAAGAACAAGAATTCGTATTGAAACATGTCGAAGCAGGAAGCTGCGGAGCTAGCACTTGAAGCAAAACTCAAGCATATTACGATCACTTGCGGGAAAACTGAGAGAATTCTTGCGTCAGATAATCACGGGAGAATCGAAAGACATCGTGATGCGTTAAATGAATTAGTAAAAGAAGCAGATACCGCCAAACGTACAGTCGAAGGGTTGAAAATAGCTAGCGGCGAAAAGTCGAAAGCATTTCCGAGTGGGAGGAATCGATAGAAAATACCATCGGTCAAGCTGACAATGCAATAGAACAATTACGCAAGTGGCTTATGGAAGTGAATGAAAGTAAGAAAGCACATTTAAGAAAGGATCAGTTGAATTTCGAGAAAGAGTTGTATGAAACCAAGCTGCACTACAAGACTCAATTGGAAGAGTCCAAGAGGGACAAACCAGAAGAGACAGGAGAAATGAATTCTACAATTAGTGGCAATCTGGAAGCTAAACTACCAAAGCTAGTGATTTCAAAATTTAACGGAAGCTACAAAGATTGGCCAAGATTCTGGAACCAGTTCAGCGAGACTATTGACAAATCAAATATTTCCAATGTAACAAAATTTTCATACTTGAGAGAGTTGCTTGAAAAACATGTCAAGTATTCCATAGAAGCACTACCTTTCACTAGTGAAGGGTATAACCGAGCAAAAGTATACTTCAGTCAAAGTATGGAAAGGAGTCAGAAGTGATTAAAGCCTACACCAAAGAAATTCTTGACTTACCCAACATACCAGATGCCAATGCAGAAGGTGCATAAATTCTGAAAGACTCACCTATTATGCACAGTCTTTAGAAACTATGGGAAAACTGGAGCAGATCAATGGAAGTGTTGCAATGACATTGGACAAATTGTCTGGTATAAGAAGCGACTTGGTTCGTACCGATCCCAACTGGGATGAATGGGATTACATTAAGCTAATAGAAGCCTTAACATTATGGACTAGGCGAAACCCTAGAAACCCTATATGTGAAGGAGAAAGGAAGGAAAATAGAAACAGTCCCCGTGAAAGAGTATTCAACACCAAATTCGGTCAGCGAAAATGTGTATATTGCGATGCAAACGATCATAAATCAGTTGACTGCTCAAAGGTGACGGATATCAACGAAAGGAAACAAATATTGGCAAAAAAGCGCCGCTGCTTCAACTGTACCGAGAAGGGCATAGAGCAGCCGATTGTACAAGTAAAATAACCTGTCAACATTGCGAGAGAAGGCATCATACTTCTTTGTGTGAACAAGCAATGGGGAAGAAAACCCTGATGACTGCAACAAAAACCAACGAAGGAGTCTTCCCAATCTTGACTGTAAAGGTTAATGGGATCATGTGCAGAGCGTTAGTTGATTCTGGGGCTGGCAGCTCGTATGCATCTGCAAAGTTGGTAAGTGTCCTTGGCATGAAACCTGCTGACATAACAACAAAACAAGTGGACATGCTCCTGAGTAGTAGTGTAGAACGTCTGGAGACCTATGCAACTAAAGTGGAGTCCCTCGATGGAGAGTTTGGTATGGAAGTAGATTTAATTAAAGTGGAAAAAAGTGAACTTTTATCAGTAAAAAACCCCCAATACAGCCATATGATTTCCAAATACTCACACTTAAAAGGGGTTGATATCCAAGATGGTGACACGAAGGCTCAGCTTCCAGTACATGTAGTTCTTGGGGGAGGGGAGTATGCCAGAATAAAAACAAAGAATCGTCCCGAATAGGTAAAGATGGCGAACCTATCGCGGAGTTGACCAAGCTGGGATGGTTCGTGATGTCCCCTGGAAAAGAATTTGATCACAATCATATGTTACTAACACAAACCACTCAAAAGGATTATGAGAAGTTGTGCCGGTTGGATGTTTTAGGACTTGCCGACACCTCAGAACACGATCAAACCTCAGTGTATGGAGAGTTTAAGGAGCAATTGGTCAGGAGTTCAGAAGGTTGGTACGAGTCTGGTCTACTGTGGCGAGGTAACCATCCTCCCTACCATCTTACAAAGAAGGAAGTTTGCGACGCCTCAACAGTCTTGTAAAGAGATTAGACAGGGAAGGAATGGCCAGTGAGTATAACAGGATTATTGAGGAACAAGTCAGCAAAGGGTAGTTGAACTTGTAACCGAGCCCCAGTGGGTAGGGAGTTCTACTTACCTCATAAACCCGTGATACGTGAAGCTGCACAAACAACGAAAATCCGTGTAGTTTACGATGCATCCGCTCGAGCGACTCCAAGTGCTCCATCCTTGAATGATTGCCTTTACCCAGGCCCGCCGTTACAGAATAAGCTTTGGAGCGTATTGGTTCATCATCGTTCATTTCCAGTTGCACTTTGTGGCGATATAGAAAAGGCATTCCTCCAGATCCGAATAAAAGAACAAGAAAGAGATGCCTTACGGTTTCACTGGAAGAGTGACAGTCAACCTGAACCCTTGACATATAGATTCACAAGAGTCGTCTTCGGCCTAACTTGCTCCCCATTTCTGCTTGGGGGAGTGCTAGAGCATCACCTAGAAACTTGGAAAACAAAGATGCCAGATATCGTTGAGGAACTGAAGAAATCTATGTATGTCGACGATCTGCTTAGTGGGGGACAAACAGTAGACAAAGCCAAGGAAAAGGAAATCAATCGATGTATTCAACGACGCCAATTTCAATTTACATAAGTGGAACTCAAATGCCCATGAGCTTGAAGCAGATGAAGAAGAAAAGGATGATGAAGAAGAAACTTTAGCAAAACAACAACTTGGAACTAAATCTGGAGAATCTAAAGTGCTGGGACTGTTATGGAAAAGAAAAGTGACGAGATTTCCATAGTGATCCCATCAGAGAAATCGGCAAAACGAAACGTGAAGTACTGAGTAGATTGGCTCAGGTTTATGACCCTTTGGGAATTACATCACCCTTAATTCTAGAGGGAAAGATAATTTATCGTGATATCTGTAAGGAGAAGCTCTTGTGGGATGTACGGCTAAGCCATTCTTTGAAGTATCGATGGGACTGCTGGGAGAGCAATCTTCCGTGTGAAGTAAGTGTTCCGCGATCATTAGCTGGGTTCCGAGAACCAATCAAGTCTTTAGAGCTGCACGCATTCGGGGATGCTAGCACACAAGGTGTAGGAGCTGCAGTGTACTCAGTTATTCATCAAGAATCGGGAACTACTCAAATTCTAGTTGCTGGTAAAAGTCGTCTGGCAAAAGAGGACCTAACTGTTCCACGGCTAGAACTTGTGTCAGCCCACATGGCAGCGAACCTTCTTGTGAATGTGCGAAACGCTTTGGATCATTTGTCACGGCCGCAAAGTTTTGCATGGCTAGACAGCACTGTCGCCTTGCATTGGATACTTGACGGGGCCAGTATAAGCAGTTTGTCTCAAACCGTGTCCGTAAGATACACCAACATCCTGAAATAAAATGGCGATATGTGCCCACATCCGAAAATCCTGCAGATTTGGCCAGCAGAGGTGGGAAATTAAATCAGACGTGGCTCTACGGTCCAGAATGGTTATCTGATATGAGCAGATGGCCAACTAATATAACCACAACTCCAACTACTGCAACAGAAGCAGAAGCGACAGTCTCCCAAAAAAGTATCGCAATGACAACAAAACAGTACAGTGGTGATGTTCTGGAACAGTTATTAAGAAAATGCTCACTTAAACGAGCTCTAAGAGTGTCGTCATGGCTCTTCAGGTTCGTAAACAATTGTACACAAGGGGAAAAGAGAACAGGACCATTATCCTTTACCGAGATTGAAGAGGCTAAGATGAAATTTGTCAAACAAGCCCAAAAGCAAGGTCAATTACAACCAAAGTACGAGCAACAATGCAAAGAACTTAATCTTACGCGCAATACAGAAGGGATTTTAGAATGTCGTGGCCGAATTGTGGGTCAGTATCCTATCTACCTTCCCACAGATTCCTTGCTAGCTCAAAGAGTAGTGGAAAAGTTGCATCGTGAAACGTTACATGGAGGTGTTGGATTGACAATGGCTGCTGTAAGAGAGACGTATTGGATACCGAAGTTAAGAAGCCTTGTAAAGAAAGTTAGAAAGGAGTGTTTTGGTTGTAAAAGATATCGAGCGACATCAGTTCCCACACCCCCTCCTGGAAAGTTACCCGAGGACCGGACTTGTGGCGAAACAGCGTTCGAGGTGATTGGCGTAGATTTCGCGGGACCAATACGTTACAAAGGGAAGTCAAGCAAGGATTGCAAAGCGTATCTGGCGCTGTTTTCATGTAGTCTAACTCGAGCAGTGTACTTGGACATGATGCCGGACCTATCTGCTTCCACGTTCATACCAAGTTTGAAACGGTTCATTGCTCGGAGGGGAAGACCCAGGAAGATCTATTCAGACAATGGGGGCACCTTCATAAAAACTGCGAAGTGGATTGATACTTTACGAAAGGAGGAACGTCTTCAAGGTTATTTGGAGGAATTCGACATTAAATGGCAGTTTAACTTGTCCCGAGCACCATGGTGGGGAGGGCAGTTCGAGCGGCTGATAGGAATTGTCAAACAAGCGATGTATAAGACAATTGGAGGCGCAAATCTGAAGTGGGAAGAACTGTGTGAAGTGATACTTGACGTTGAAGTGCAAATCAATAGAAGACCGCTCAGTTATGTTGAAGACGATGTTCAACTGCCGGTGTTGACACCCGAGCTCTTTTTATTCCAGAGATCCAATCATCTGCCAGAACAGAAATTATGGGTCGAAAGTGATCCGGACTTACGTAAGAGGGCAAGATACTTGAAATCTTGCAAACAAGCCTTGTGGAAAAGATGGTCGAAAGAATACCTCACTGCACTGCGAGAACGACATAACATGAGTCATGGGACTAAAAAAGTTCATTGTAAACGTAGGAGACGTCGTGCTGATCAAATCCAACGAAAAGAATAGAGGGAAATGGCCTCTTGGGATCGTTATAGAGACATATCCAGGAAGAGATGGAGTGATACGTGGGGTAATGTTGAAAACGCCAAATGGAAACCTAGAACGACCAGTTCAATTGCTTTACCCAATGGAATTAGCTTGTGATCGACAGAGCCATGAAGAGAGACCTGATCTTAATCCAGACGCTCAACCATTCAAGCCAAAGCGTAAGGCAGCTGAAAATGCAGCGGGGATCATCAAATCGATTGCTGACGAAGAAAACGAAGAGATTTGAAACACTTCCTAGAACAGTAATCCATTTAGATATACATCTTATCTTCAGATGTATAGGGGGAGTGTGTTGGGAATAAGTTATGTAATTGAATGTCCTACTGACAGAGAGACAAATTCTCCTTAGTTGTTTTAATTTCGTTAACCAATAGGCTTAAAAGAATTTTGATTGATGTTTTGTTGTAAATGAGTTGAAGAGAGAGTCTGAGTGAGTGAGCGATATACGTTTTTGATAAACATTGCCAGGGAATAAAAATTTCGTTATTCAAAAGCTTGAGTTGTTGCATCTATTCGACATATTCAAAGGGAATATTGCCTGGGCGACGGGCAAGATTCACAAAATAGCTTCTTCTACTTCAACTATAGGTTCGCCACGAGACAAATCCAGACGAACTGTAAATTTTCTTTTAAAATGTCTAAAAATATCTGAGTATTCCCGAGATGCAGTTATAGTAACTATACTAACTATACTATATGTTCGCTTGCAGCAATTGTGACCACACGGAATAAATTTAGCAGGGTCATATCTAAACGTTGAGCAAATTTCGTTCGTAGATTTCTGACAGTCACGAAGTGGCTGGTTCTCCTTTCTAAAAATCCTCAAATCGTCTTTCGTTGAACAATATCTTGAAGCAAATTTTTCAAGATCTTTAAGTGAACGAAATGAAGGGGGAACAATGCTACACTTCATGTCAAATCCGTAATATTCAAAGTCGTGGACACCGTTGCATTTGGCACAAAATTCATTTCTGTAAGTGACATTATGTTTACTTACAACAGGAATAATCCGACGAAGATTGCTAACAATAAAATCCACATCATTTGCAGTTATACATTTTTTTACAAGTTTTTGTTCTGTTGACGGACATTTATTGACTATTAACGAGTACTTCGAGTATTCATTATATCCTAAGTCTTTCTTCGTCACATGACGAATACACGAAGCCAGAGAGACATTTCTAACGACAGGATTTTCTTTTGCACAATATCTTTCATAATCATTACAACAATCACCAAATAAAGAACATGACGAATCACATCGACAGTAAGATGATTTACAATCATTGGAACAACAACCACGACATGAAAGCTCTGGTATTTGACATTCACCAGTGATGTTTGTGGTGTTGTAATTTTGTAAACTCTCGAAATCTTCTTTGAACTTTTTGCCTGCGTGACCACCGAAGTTGCAAGACAACAATTCGTACATTTCGTTTGGGTCGACTAATTGTTCCGACGTAGCATTTTTCTTATCGCTTACAACCCAAACGAAATTTAAATTTAAGATGATAAAAAAATACATCGCCGTATTCAGATCTGACATATTTATTATTAATTTGCCAATTTCACGTAGAACCAGTGTGGAAGACAGGAAGCATTAATGATGATTAATCACAGTTATATATAAACCACTGCATAACGGGTGGAGTCAACGTAGCAAATTTATTTTAAGAACTGGTTTGTGCACAAAAGAAAGGATGTAGACTTACTGGAATATTCAATGCTTATAGAAAAAGAAATTAGAAAAGGTCGAGGGGGTCGAGACATCAAGCTATTTATGGTTTGCTAATCAATAAATACATTTCATAAGACATAAATTACAAGCTGAAGAGAGGAAGATGTTTGTTTAGAAAAGAGACAGAAAATTAATGAGATCACATCACCGCAAAAAGGTATAACACATTGAAACACGAATCGCTAAACGATGATGATTTTTGATAAAGGCTGTATATAGTTGAGTTTAACGTCTGTGTCATATATTACACGCTATGCGCATCGTTACTAAGCTACCAAGAGCTGATTTATGTACAACAGGAAGAGGGTGGAATTACTAGAGTGTCCACAAGTTAAGTTTCAAAGAAAGGAAGTTTGCAAAAGCCGAGGGGGTAGAGATATCACGCTATTTATGGTTTGCAAAATAATAAACACATTTCAAAAGACACGTAAATTTTTTTAGCACAATATCTTTCATAATCATTACAACAATCACCAAAGAAAGAACATGACGAATCACAACGACAGTAAGATGATTTACAATCATTGGAACAACAACCACGACATGAAAGCTCTGCTATTTGACATTCAGCAGTGATGTTTGTGATGGTGTGATTTCGTGAATTCTCGACATCTCGTTTGAACTTTTTGCTTGTGTGACTGCCGAAGTTCCAAGACAACAATTTGTACCTTTCTTTTGAGTTGACTAATTGTTCCGACGTAGCATTTTTCTTATCACTTACAACCCAAACGAAATTTAAATTTAAGATAATAAAAAAATACATCGCCGTATTCAGATCTGACATATTTATTATTAATTTGCCAATTTCACGTAGAACCAGTGTGGAAGACAGGAAGCATTAATGATGATTAATCACAGTTGTATATAAAGCACTGCATAACGGGTGGAGTCAACGTAACAAATTTATTTTAAGAACTGGTTTGTGCACAAAAGAAAGGATGTAGACTTACTGGAATATTCAATGCTTATAGAAAAAGAAATTAGAAAAGGTCGAGGGGATCGAGACATCAAGCTATTTATGGTTTTGCTAATCAATAAATACATTTCATAAGACATAAATTACAAGCTGAAGAGAGGAAGATGTTTGTTTAGAAAAGAGACAGAAAATTAATGACACCACATCACCGCAAAAAGGTATAACACATTGAAACACGAATCGCTAAACGATGATGATTTTTGATAAAGGCTGTATATAGTTGAGTTTAACGTTTGTGTCATATATTACACGCTATGCGCATCGTTACTAAGCTACCAAGAACTGATTTATGTACAACAGGAAGAGGGTGGAATTACTAGAGTGTCCACAATTTACGTTTCAAAGAAAGGAAGTTTGCAAAAGCCGAGGGGGTAGAGATATCAAGCTATTTATGGTTTGCAAAATAATAAACACATTTCAAAAGACACGTAAATTTTTTTAGCACAATATCTTTCATAATCATTACAACAATCACCAAAGAAAGAACATGACGAATCACAACGACAGTAAGATGATTTACAATCATTGGAACAACAACCACGACATGAAAGCTCTGCTATTTGACATTCAGCAGTGATGTTTGTGATGGTGTAATTTCGTGAATTCTCGACATCTCGTTTGAACTCTTTGCTTGCGTGACCACCGAAGTTCCAAGACAACAATTTGTACCTTTCCTTTGAACTGACTAATTCTTCCGTTCTTACATCCTTCTTCCTGGTTAGAAGCTTAAATTTTTTCACTGATGTACGCGATTCACTCGAGAAATGAACGTTCAGAACGAAATTCAAATTTAAAATAACAAAAAAATACATTGAGGTTTTCAGATTTGATATATTCATTGTTTTGCAAACTTCATATAGCAAGCTCCCAAGAACTGGTTTGTGCGCAAAAGAAAGGGTGTGTAATGACTGGAATATCCATAATGCTGTTTAAAGAAAGTTAGCGAAAGTGAAAGAATCATGCCATGCTCGCCAAGACGCACGCCTCAGCATTTGGGGACAGCACGCGTGATCATTTTAAAATGTTTCAAGACCTTTCGATTATGAAAACGGCTGAATCTGCGCATGCTCCATGAAATCACAACAAAGAAAACTCGAACAAATAAAATTACCTTGAGTAATGAATGACGCTCCCGGGCAAATAAATGTTTATTTCGTAGTAAACACGTTATAACATAACTTTATAGTTCCATTGCGTTTTTTCTCAATTTTTATCAAAACGAGGCTTTCTATTTCACGAAATCGAATGCAATACGTCGAAAAGCATCTAACGTCATCATTTAATGACGGCAGAGATCGACTTTGAGCAAATTTGAGCGCTGGTATCTATGCTAAGCTATTTATGGTTCTTGCGAATCAATAAATACATTTTATAAGACACAAGTTAATGTGGGAAGAGAGGGAAAGAGTTGCCAAAAATGAAACAGAAAATAAGACAAATCTTACTTACTCGAAAAGATGTAATAAAATACGGAAGTGCCGCAAACATATTGAAATTCGAATTCCTAAACGATGATAATTTTTGATATAGGCTGTGGTGGATGTGTTTGACGTCCGGTTATTAAGCAGGTACTTATGTAATTTATTCATTAAAAACATTTCAAAAGATATTTTAGTTAGATATCCTGTTTTGTTCAATCCTATGACGGCAAGTATTTCTGCCCACGCTGAAAAAACAAAACATCTCAAACGAAACGAACATGCAATGCTAAGATTCTGAAATTTGAATAGCACGAATAGACCTGTTGGCAGGCCACGCCATTTGGTATTTCTCAATCAAATATATCACTGTAGAACTCAATAAGAGTGAACAAAACAAACAGCAATTTTTTTAGCCCAAAAGGCGAGGACAGAAATAAAGAGTTCGACTGCCAATCAGCAGTTTTCAACAAGTAGAGCATAATAAATATACATGGGGGTGTACAGAGAATCGAATAGGTGAGGAAGGGGGGGGAGAGGGTGCCGAAAGTTCTGCCGCTGATTCGGGATTACGATAATCGTCCAGTTGTATAGGTTGTTTTCGTGTTCGGGGAAGCCTCGAGAATTCAGGCGTAACATCAACACATTTAGCAGTTGAAGCCTGATTCTTCGGCTGTTAATTTAGTCGTTTCAATCGTCCGAATAAAGCTCTGTGATATGGGCTTGCGTTCTAATGACGATTAACACCACTCGGACAACTACTTTAGAACTATGCTCAACAAGACAAAAGAAGGCCCACAAGAAATCAACAAATAGAATTCTAGCCACTAATCCAAATCCTAATCTATGGCGTGCAAAATACCTTAAGACAAACCGAATAAGATGAAATTATCCAAATATCATGTCGAAAATTGCATAATACAATAACCTTCGGGGTGGAGTGCCGCTACCCTCAAATACCCCCCCCCCCTCAATATGGCCATGTGAACATAGTACCACAGATAACTAGCCAAAGTTGGGCAAGTTGTAAAATTAAAATGACAGTGAAGAGCTCCATGTTCATAGACTGAATCTTAAAGCTCATAATGTCATGTTTAATCTCTACAATACGTTTTGACCAACTGTTAGTTGTAACTATCGGTGACAGTGGCGGATCTAGGATATCTCAAATAAATTATAGCTGCTCAATTCAAAATTCAAAGACTTTTAGAAAAATGCTATTGGTTTTGAGTTTCTAAAGAGAATAAAATTTTACCAATGAACTTGTCTCTTAGGTGCTTAGAAATGTAAATATATTCCAAATTGCGCTGCAGTAATTAATTTTGAGTTACCCTAAATCCGCCACTGATCAGTGATACCCATTGTTAGCCACCAAATTCTTTTCATCATTGATATGAACAACAAACAACAAGCAACAATAAATTCGTACCTCAAGAGCTGGAATAAATCTTTGGTCTATCTCAACAGCTGCAACCTGTCTAGCACCAGCATGTAAAACGGAGCGAGTAAGGGACCCTGGACCAGAGCCAACTTCACATACAAAACAGTCATAAACATCTGCTTTTGAAACTATTTTATCTATGAAAAAGGAGTAAAATTAATCAGACATGATGCAATTCTTTCTCAAATGGATAAATGAATCAGGTGAAAAAGTATTAGAAGCAATATATTTATATATAAATAACCTTACAACAAGTCATTTTCAAAAGCAATATATTTATATATGCATAACCATTACAACAAGTCATTTTCAAAAGCAATATATTTATATATGCATAACCATTACAACAAGTCATTTTCAAAAGCAATATAATTATATATGCATAACCATTACAACAAGTCATTTTCAAAAGCAATATAATTATATATGCATAACCATTACAACAAGCCATTTTCAAAAGGAACATTTGTTTCAGTTTAACATGCTTTGCAAGACATGACTGGAAAGTTTGGAAACCGCATACCCAAGGTTCGAAATTTTCTTGCATGGGCAACTACATTTATCAAAATTGCACATATGATCTTGGGTGCATATTACAAACTTTGCAGTCTGGCTGCAATGCAAATGGTATACATTAAAACACTCAAACCCCCACCCCCTACTGCCTAAGTCAAGAAACAACCAAATAAAACATTGAAATGTATATGAATAAAAATCGCCATATCGTAGCATTGTACGCTAGCACCACCGCCATACAACAGCTCAGAACTCACCTGTAATATTTTGATCAAGTATGAAATTCTGACTCAACTGTTTCTTCGCTCGAACGCCATAAATTCGTAAAATGTCAGATATTTTCGGCAATGGCGGTAAAATAATTTTCTTCGACATTATTTATGAATTGATATAACCAATAAGTGAAGGTTTAATCCAGAAAATCATCCTACAAAGGACTAAAGAGAACATTTTCCTTCTCCTCTCGACGGATTTATACACGTGCAATACTTCATGAAAGATAAAACAACGTTGCAAAAAACGTTGCTCCAAGTTTTCATCGTAGCAAAACAAGATGAGATTTTGAACAATCGACAACCGATATATCCTTCAAAATTTCTAATAACAGTTTATGTATGCCTTTTAAGCATACATATAATTAGTATTTTTTAAACGCTGAAAGTTAAGTGTATTGTAAATGAACAAAATAGTACATTATGACGTCACAAATGGTCGAACAGTCTTCGCAAAATGACTGTTGAAATGAGCAAACACGAAGACTCTGTACAACGCAAAGTAAATAAAGACATCTTTCTAACGTTTCTTTCTTGAACGTTAATTTCTTTCTACAACTCGAACACTATTTCGAGAAAGCTCTATTTGGAGGAATACAACTTATCAAAAACAACAATGGACCGCAAAGCCCTGATACGAGCAAAACGTTTGAAACTCAAAGTATAACTGCATAGTTTGATGCCATACCAGGAAGAATGCGCAATATTTCATAAAAGATAAAGAAATCATTAAAACGTTCGTTTAAAATCACTACGGAGTGCAACGAAATTATCAATGAAATTAATTCCTTTTATTTTAAAATTTTCATCATTTTTTTCCCGCGTCGTTGCACTACTACGATTTAAAATCAACAGACATCGTTGAGACTGAAACTTTATTTAAACATTCATTACAATTTGTATTAATTCACAGTGCTTAACAAAGGCTGACTATCGTAATTCTAATTTCAATTTTCCTCATGAAAACTGCCTTAAGACTAGACTTCGACTCGCTTGACACAACAAGGACTCGTGCGAGTGTGATATTTTAATGGCTAGTCCACGCTACTTTCTACTGTATCATATCAAGCTTCCTATACTTGAAAAAATCCCACTTAGAAAGGAAAGTTACCAAAACAAAATATTTGCTAAAAACCCACGAAGTACTGGAGAAATGGTAAACGAGGTAGGTGAGGAACGGATAATTTTTTGTCCAATTGAGCGTCTTATGAATGCTATGTTCTCAAAACTTTGAAACTAATTAACGTTGATCTCATAAAAAGATTTTACAACAAGTACATGAAACTGCAGAATGCAGAATCAATATCATGCCAGATACTTAAAGATTATCGGTCAGGTCATCAATAGTAATGATCAAAACATTGACCATGTATCTAAACACACAAGAAATAATTTGTCTCAAAGTATTGTTTGAGTGGTGTCATTTGCATTCTGTAATGATGTGTTTTTACTGTTTCTGTTAAACCAATTTTCACAATGAAACAGTTGTTTATACTTCTGCCAGATACTTTTCTTCATCACAAATGCGACAGCAATATAGACACCTTCTAGGGAAGCAGAGATGCTGAACAGGTACAATAAAATAAGAGAATCAACGAGCAGATAAAGAAAACCAAATAACCAAGCGAAGCCCATTAAGGACGAGATTTTGACATAAATCCAAAGCATGTTGCGATCTCGCCTTTTATCATGACGAAGAATTGTGGTATCAGAACGAGTGCGTTGAATGTGGTATACAGTGAGGGAAAAAACTACCACGTTGAAAAGTAGAATGATGCCAACTGGAAGCACAAATAGATAATTTAGAGCATGCTCGTTATCAAACCAACACATCAACTCCTTATCATAAACAGCGTAACTGTCAGTGCGATCCAACACAACACATATGATCACAAAGAAAGCGGGAAGAGACCACGTGAATGCCACACATTTAAAGAATTTCTTGTTTTCTTCACTTTTTGAGCGCTTCTTTGCTACCGTTTTGCTGACGAATGTCTTAAGAGTGTCCACGCAATCGTTGCCATGGTGACAAATGATACGAGGTATAAGTACTGTCTCAGGGCAGCCATCACGTGACACAACACGTGATTGTCCATGTTTGGTAGGAGCGGAAACAACTGAGCAAGAAAGAGCGATATCGATAAATTCATGACGTTCTTACCAGGTAGATTACGTAGCTCAGGAAATAAAAAATGAGTGATGATAACCAGGAATAACGAAACTATTGGAATAATAAGGCAATAGACATTTAAGTATCCTCTGACGGTTGTTGAAGAATCAGATGTCCAATTAATGATTCTGGTCTTATTTTGCAAACCGTCAGAAATACAAATAAAGATTTCTCTATTTCTTATATCATATTCACCAAAATCATACATCTTTTGTGTGCGGTTATAAAATATACTCAGATTCTTAAACTTTGCGTATTCTTCCGAAGAAAGATTTAATCTTCTTCCATAACAAGACGAGTGTACAATCTCTTCACACAAGGAAATTGTATGGTTATCAGGTTCAACAAACACATCTTTCTTTGCATATGTTTTACCTGTTGCGTTGATAATATAGAATTCACCATTTTCAGTTGTTTTATAAGCGTCTTTAAGATAGAATTGCTTTCGAATACACGCCAGTCGACGAGAGGTTGTCTTAAATACTGTCAGTGAAAAGGTTGTACCTTCTTTTAAAAAACGAAAATTTTTCCACACTGTAACTGTCACGTTAAAATCTTGTGTGAAAAAGAGAAGTTTTTTAATGATGTAAATACTGGACTTGTTCGCACGGAATGAAGAATTAAAGAGATTGGATTTTTTAGAAGTGCTATATCTTGCAAAACCTAAAGATTGTTCAGGAGTCAGCTCGACTTTGAAACTAAAAACTCTGTACTTGCGTCCATCGTATAATGAATCAACGGGCTCATATTCCACGTCATGAACATGAGAAGCATTAAGTTGGAAAATCTTTGCAACGCCAGAACTGCCGTTAATCATTATAAGATCATCAACGTATAAACTTACGTATTTATCAAGTTCACCGTAATCAAGCCAAACAGCAACATCATATATATCTAAATTTTCTTTATCGCTGAAAGTCACGACCTTTCCTTTACGACAAGTTTCCAAATATGGATCATAAAATCCTGCACATCTTGCTTCTTCTACTTCAACCATAGGTTCGCCACGAGAAAAATCCAGACGAACTGTAAATTGTTTAAAAGATCTTAAAATATATACGTATGGCCTTGCTATAACTCCACTATCTGTCCGCTTGCGGCAACTGTGACCACAGGGAATAAATTTAGCAGGTTCATAACTTAATATTGAGCAAATTTCGTTCGTAGATTTCTGACAGTCACGAAGTGGCTGGTTCTCCTTTCTAAAAATCCTCAAATCGTCTTTCGTTGAACAATATCTTGAAGCAAATTTTTCAAGATCTTTAAGTGAACGAAAGGAAGGAGGAACAACGCTACACTTCATGTCAAATCCGTAATATTCAAAGAAGTGGACACCGTTGCATTTGGCACAAAATTCATTTCTGTAAGTGACATTATGTTTACTTACAACAGGAATAGTCCGACGAAGATTGCTAACAGTTAAATTCACATCATTTGCAGTTAGACATTTATCTAAAAGTTCGTGTTCTTTTGATGGACATTTGTTGACTATCAAGGAATATATATCTGTCTTCATTTCTCTGGCATTCTTCATAATCACATGTTTAGGAAGAATACACGAAACTAAAGAGACATTTCTGATGAGTGGATGTTGTTCTTTTACACAATATCTTTCATAATCATTACAACAATCACCAAAGAAAGAACATGACGAATCACATCGACAGTAAGATGATTTACAATCATTGGAACAACAACCACGACATGAAAGCTCTGCTATTTGACATTCACCAGTGATGTTTGTGATGGTGTAATTTTGTGAATTCTCGACATCTCGTTTGAACTTTTTGCTCGTGTGACCACCGAAGTTCCAAGACAACAATTTGTACCTTTCCTTTGAACTGACTAATTGTTCCGTCCTTACATCCTTCTTCCGAGTTAGAAGCTTAAATTTTTTCACTGATGTACGCGATTCACTCGAGAAATGAACGTTCAGAACGAAATTCAAATTTAAAATAACAAAAAAATACATTGAGGTTTTCAGATTTGATATATTCATTGTTTTACAAACTTCATATAGCAAGCTCCAAAGAACTGGTTTGTGCGCAAAAGAAAGGGTGTGTAATGACTGGAATATCCATAATGCTGTTTAAAGAAAGTCAGCGAAAGTGAAAGAATCATGCCATGCTCGCCAAGACACACGCCTCAGCATTTGGCGAGAGCACTCGTAACCATTTTAAAATGTTTCAAGACCTTTAGATTATGAAAACGGCTGAATCTGCGCATGCTCCATGAAATTACAACAAAGAAAACTCGAACAAATAAAATTACCTTCAGTAATGAATGACGCTCCCGGGCAAATAAATGTTTATTTCGTAGTAAACACGTTATAACATAACTTTATAGTTCCATCGCGTTTTTTTCTCAATTTTTATCAAAACGAGGCTTTCTATTTCACGAAATCGAATGCAATACGTCAAAAAGCCTCTAACGTCATCATTTAATGACGGCAGAGATCGACTTTGACAAATTTGAGCGCTGGTATCTATGCTAAGCTATTTATGGTTCTTGCGAATCAATAAATACATTTTATAAGACGCAAGTCAATGTGGGAAGAGAGGGAAAGAGTTGCCAGAAATGAAACAGAAAATAAGACAAATCTTATTTACTCGAAAAGATGTAATAAAATACGGAAGTGCCGCAAACGTATTGAAATTCGAATTGCTAAACGATGATAATTTTATATATAGGCTGTGGTGGATGTGTTTAACGTCCGGTTATTAAGAAGGTACTTATGTAATTTATTCATTAAAAACATTTCAAAAGATATTTTAGTTAGATATCCTGTTTTGTACAATCCTATGACGGCAAGTATTTCTGCGCTCGCTGAAAAAACAAAACATCTCAAACGAAACGAACATGCAATGCTAAGATTCTGAAATTTGAATAGCACGAATAGACCTGTTGGTAGGCCACGCCATTTGGTATTTCTCAATCAAATATATCACTGTATAACTCAATAAGAGTGAACAAAACAAACAGCAATTTTTTCAGCCCAAAAGGCGAGGACAGAAATAAAGAGTTCGACTGCCAATCAGCAGTTTTCAAGAAATAGAGCATAACGAATATACATGGGGTGTACAGAGAATCGAATAGGTGAGGAAGGGGAGAGGGTGCCGAAAGTTCTGCCGCTGATTCGGGATTACGATAATCGTCCAGTTGTATAGGTTGTTTTCGTATTCGGGGAAGCTTCGAGAATTCGGGCGTAACATCAACACATTTAGCAGTTGAAGCCTGATTCTTCAGCTGTTAATTTAGTCGTTTCAATCATCCGAATAAAGCTCTGTGATATGGGCTTGCGTTCTAATGACGATTAACACTACTCTGACAACTATTTTAGAACTATGCTCAACAAGACAAAAGAAGACCCACAACAAAATCAACAAATAGAATTTTAGCCACTAATCTAAATCCTAATCTATGGCGTGCAAAATACATTAAGACAAACCGAATAAGATGAAATTATCCAAATATCATATCGAAAATTGCATAATATAATAACCTTCGGGGTGGAGTGCCGCTACACCCAAATACCCCCCCCCCCTTCAATTTGGGCATGTGAACAAAGTACCACAGATAACTAGCCAAAGTTGGACAAGTTGTAAAATTAAAATGACAGTGAAGAGCTCCATGTTCATAGACTGAATCTTAAAGCTCATAATGTCATGTTTAATCTGTACAATATGTCTTGACCAACTGTTAGTTGTAACTATCGGTGACAGTGGCAGATCTAGGATATCTCAAATAAATTATAGCTGCTCAATTCAAAATTCAAAGACTTTTAGAAAAACGCTATTGGTTTTGAGTTTCTAAAGAGAAAAAAATTTTACCAATGAACTTGTCTCTTAGGTGCTTAGAAATGTAAATATATTCCAAATTGCACTGCAGTAATTAATTTTGAGTTGCCCTAAATCCGCCAGTGATCAGTGATACCCATTGTTCGCCACCAAATTCTTTTCATCGTTGATATGAACAACAAACAACAAGCAACAATAAATTCGTACCTCAAGAGCTGGAATAAATCTTTGGTCTATCTCAACAGCTGCAACCTGTCTAGCACCAACATGTAAAACAGAGCGAGTGAGGGACCCTGGACCAGAGCCAACTTCACATACAAAACAGTCATAAACATCTGCTTTTGAAACTATTTTATCTATGAAAAAGGAGTAAAATTAATCAGCATGATGCAATTCTTTCTCAAATGGATAAATGAATCAGGTGAAAAAGTATTAGAGGCAATATATTTATATATGCATAACAATAACAACAAGTCATTTTCAAAATGAACATTTGTTTCAGTTTAACATGCTTTGCAAGGCCTGACTGGAAAGTTTGGCAACCGCATACCTAAGGTTCGAAATTTTCTTGCATAGGCAACTACATTTATCAAAATTGCACACGTGATCATGGGTGCATATTACAAACTTTGCAGTCTGGCTGCAACGCAAATGGTATACATTAAAACACTCACCCCAACCCCCCTACCGCCTAAGTCAAGAAACAACCATATAAAACATTGAAATGTATATGAATAAAAATCGCCATATCATAGCATTGTACGCTAGCACCACCGCCATACAACAGCTCAGAACTCACCTGTAATATTTTGATCAAGTATGAAATTCTGACTCAAATGTTTCTTCGCGCGAACGCCATAAATTCGTAAAATGTCAGATATTTTTGGCAAAGGCGGTAAAATAATTTTCTTCGACATTATTTATGAATTGATATAACCAATAAGTGAAGGTTCAATCCAGAAAATCATCCTACAAAGGACTGAGGAGAACATTTTCCTTCTCCTCTCGACGGATTTATACACGTGCAATACTTCATGAAAGATAAAACAACGTTGCAAAAAACGTTGTTCCAAGTTTTCATCGTAGCAAAACAAGATGAGATTTTGAACAATTGACAACCGATATATCCTTCAAAATTTCTAATAACAGGTTATGTATGCCTTTTAAGCACACATATAATTAGTATTTTTTAAACGCTAAAAGTTTAGTGTATTGTAAATGAACAAAATTGTACATTATGACGTCACAAATGGTCGAACAGTCTTCGCAAAATGACTGTTGAAATGAGCAAACACGAAGACTCTGTACAACGCAAAGTAAATAAAGACATCTTTCTAACGTTTCTTTCTTGGCAATCCAAGAAAACGGGTAAACACAGTTACAACTCGAACACTATTTCCAGAAAGCTCTATTTGGAGGAATACAAGTTGTGCATGCAATTGCAGCAGATTGAAAAGGAAAGAAAGCTGTTTCTGCATAAAAACAACAACGAGAAATACAGGCTGCAGTTGACATTAAAAGACCACCGACGATTTGACTTGAGGCACAACAAAGGACAGCAGGGGATAATAAATGATGAAACGAGATCGCGGTCGTGGATATCGGATGCAGCCACTTCGGAAGAAAGTAAATGCATTCTTCAGATTATTCTAGTTCCCAAGTCCCATCTAGTTTCACATACTTTCTGAAAATAACTATGGATATTTCTGTGCAGTGGTATTTCATGGCATTTATGCCGCTTTTTATTGAACTTGTCTCGCTAGGGAACGAAAGACGACAAATTTCATGGACATCAACTTCCAAGGATCTATCTAACACGAATGAGGAAAGATTGCGCCAGTTAAGAGTTAAGAAACTATGTTTGATGAAACAGTTAGATGATAGAAAACAAAAAACGTTATCGTGTTCGTGTAAACGTACATTCAATATGCCCCAGGTCCCGCCTCCATCTCGCAGTCCCTCAAAAACGAGCATCATCGAGATGTGCACGCGCGACACCGACAATGAAACAGACGCCGATGGATTTCAGGAAGACAAAAATGACTTATCGTCCTTAAATTCAGAAACCTTCGTACCAACTACAACGGAAATGAGATTACAACAGGATGTAAACAACACGGAAAAGGAAAACTCCGCTTTAAAAGATGAGGTTGCTATAAGGACTCGTAAGGACTTTCTTTTCACGAAAAAGAGGAAAGCTACAGATAAAGAAGGGAATGGTTTACGATACTTGAACTTAATACTGAATGAGCATAAGACTCATGACAAAAGAGAATCAAAGTCGACGTACCAACATGAGTCTATTACAAATGAATCACCTTTGGACCTGGTACACACTGTCAGACGTTTGAAAGTTGACACGACCAAGGTTCTTCGATGTCCCAAGCAACCTTTAGACGAAAAAATTAATGCCAGTATACATAAAAGCAAAGATGAGTGTCCTTTACAAAATTGCGAAACCATGAAAGAAATAGGAAAAAGAAATCCAGACATTAAAACATGCAAAATTTCAAAACAAGGAACGACAAACTCATCTTCTTCCACGTGTATAGTTAAGAACTATAAAGATTTATCGAAGGTACATCACCAAAAGAACGGAAAAGATTTGCGTGAAAGTGGTAAAAATGTGGGACGCAGTCACCTCGAACAAAATACTAAATTGAACAGTAAAAGTGACGAAAGTGCACGACGAACTACGAAGGATGCTGAACGGGCTGTCATCGAGCATTGTCGTGAAAAGGGGGAGGAAAGTGGTAAAGGTACAGAAATTTATGGTAAAGAAAATTCTGCAGCATCGATAAGAACAACAACTACGCACTGTAATGCACGAATGGTCGTGGAACAAATCAGGTTACATAATGTAAACGATACATGCTTTGATGCAAAGAACTTCACCACAATGTCCACAAAAAAAAAATTACACAAAACGGCAACAAAACAAAAGAAACAAAGAAGTATGTCGGGAATACACGTTAAAATCCCGCAGGCGAAGACGGTTCCACGTAAAAGTTGTTCGGCTTCCACCGTAAGAAGATCGGCAACAGAGACAAGCGGTTATTCTGGCACCCAATCAAAATCAGAAGCGGCAGCTAGCAATTCCGTTCGCAAATCTTTGAAGACGCACACAAAAAATGAAGTTAGCGATGAAACAGAGCGAAAGTTAAGATCACCAGCCAACCATTTATTTCCATCACAAGCACAGCTAGAAAACTTTGATGAAATCTTTCAACACAAGGTTCGAAAAACTCTGTCTTTGCAAATGCGTAAACACTGCCTCGTGAAGTCGTGTGGTTTTCCACGTAAACACGAGAAAAGTTAAGGAGGCAAAGTTCAGTTGGATGAAAGAAAGGAAAAAATCGCTGAAAATGAAGCCATTCCATTTACGGGGTTTAGTTCAACCATTTTAGTGAGAGCTACCATGAAGTGAAATACGTTTTCTAATTCTAAATTCCGTTTAGGTTTATTGCACAACAATAAATGGTCATTTGATTCATTTCATTAAAATTTATATTAACGTTGGTGAAATTCAATTTGCATCTAGTAAATTTGATTTTAAAATTTCTGCATTGGTGATAGGCCCTTGAGATGTTATCCCGTATACCTAAATGTTCTGGTTCATTTATTGAACCATTTTCTGCTTTTGGAGCAGAAAACGTCTCTCGAGTTTCAGTGCTACTCTCGTAGCAACATACAATACCTTTCAAAGGTTGTAGTACGATGGATACATTGTGTATAGTAGAAGATTGTGAAACCTGTTCGCAATCCGCTTTTATAGGCCCGAATGGATGAAGCAGTAGCGCATGGAGCGCATGCGTTGAAAATCTCATCCAAAGAAAGCATGGATGCATTTGCTGTGATATCCTAAGAGCTTTAACGATCTAAAATATAAATATGACATAAAATAAATATGTGAAGTTGTACTTTAAGAAGCTATGTCTACAGCACAACATCGAGACTTCTGAAATAGAGTCACACGTCTAATTATCGAAAAAAGTAAAATATCAACTTTGATCATACTCGAGGAGCTGCAAGGTGAATTGATCGGGCCCACAAATACATATGAGAAGGTCTTTCTCGTAGCCTGCTTGCGGGCTTGGTGGCAACAAATCCCTTAATGAGCTTTCCGTAATCTTTTTCGAGTAACCGGAACCCGATTCCGGGGAACGAGACAGAAAATAATGCACTTGAAATCTAGGTGAAGAGCGCAATTTACATCTAGTGATAAGTAAGCTCGCGTGTTCTACAAATACATAGTATTGATCTTTAATGCAATTCTAAACCAAACCTCGGCAATGACATAGGTATTACATCCCACTTACTTTTCAGGGTTTTTGCTTTGCAATGCATTGAATTTATCTTTCCAAATAATGTCTTTTTCTTCACGATTCGCAAATAATAATTTCATAGTTCTAAAAACAACGAGACAAGCTGTTCGTTAAACACGCTATAGAAATAAAAACGAGCTAGGCTATCCTTGTCATCGTCATGACCTTTCTCAATCAAAAATATTGTGTTTTAAATACCTCGCAGTAGGTAGCTCATTCATTAGAAACGCAGATATTATTCGTATCATTGGAGTTATGCCTAAATCAAAAGATAAAGCATTTCATAGACTCGGGTGTAGGGCACAAAGCAGGAAAAGTGCATGTACGTGACGCAGGGCAGGTAAAGTGCATTGGTGAAGAATCATGTGTGAGTGAGCCATAGTGCAGGTAAAGTGCATTGGTGAAGATCAGGTGTGAGTGAGCCACAGTGCAGGTAAAGTGCATTGGTGAAGATCAGGTGTGAGTGAGCCACAGTGCAGGTAAAGTGCATTGGTGAAGATCAGGTGTGAGTGAGCCACAGTGCAGGTAAAGTGCATTGGTGAAGAATCAGGTGTGAGTGAGCCACAGTTCAGGTAAAGTACAATGGTGAAGAATCAGGTGTGAGTGAGCCACAGTGCACGTAAAGTACAATGGTGAAGAATCAGGTGTGAGCCACAGTGCAGGTAAAGTTCATTGGTGAAGAATCAGGTGTGAGCCACAGTGCAGGTAAAGTTCATTGGTGAAGAATCAGGTGCGAGCCACACTTCTTGAGTAATTATACAACAAACCACAATGTTTGCAGAATATGGCCGAGTCTTGCTGATAGTGGGCAGGTCAGCAAAACCTTAGATTAATTGCAACTCGCACACTTCACTTTAGCAACTGGAAAACGTGGGGTTCTAAGTGTGTTTACAATACCTGTCCCGCCAGCTATCATAATGATATCTTTCGCCTCCATTAAGCGAGAAGTTTGAAAATTTCCATCGAAACCAGTTAGGCGACAGTGATCACCTGTTCATTAAAATGAAAATAACAAAAAATCAAACGAGTACCTCAGATCTACACAACCATCGTGACCATCAAAAAGTTTAAAAAACGTCTCAGTTAGATCAAGTAGTTTGTGACTACACTCAAACTTGTACCCCTCAAATTTCTGCAGTTTTTACCGCGGCAAAATATTAATTTTTTGCCGAGACAATAATGTTAAAATCGCAACTAGCTTCGGCATATCCTTTGGCAATTACAAAGTGCCGAGGCAAACCAAAGGTTGAACAACGACAACAGTCATCACACAGAGGCCCACCACACCAAATGTGCGCCCATCTTTTTCCTCATCCACTTCACTGAGTTAAATACAATTATTCCAACCAAATCGTCACACACAGAGAAATGACAATAAACAAATAAGATGATGAAGTGTTCGCTAAAACTTATGGAGAAGTGATAAAAAAACATCAAAAATTTGGCATTTTTTGTCATACCAACCTACTTTTACATTCCGTAAGTGTGGTGTAAGTACTCCATCAGGATAAACTTTTATCATGAGATACAAGTAAGCTTTATTTTCTTCAGTTTTAGAAAAATTCAGCGATGGTACAATGATTGTGTATGGCCTTGATACTTCAACACCTAAAAATCAGGACAAAAAGAGTTAATGAGCCAATTTCAACATCCACGAGACCTAGACGTACACTTCATTGTGATTGGCCAATTACAATTTTGACTAATAAGACGAGACATACGAGAAGGTCACGTGGTTGCGGATGTAACTTCCCCAATAACCAATAATAGTGCATTCTCAGATTTACTTCAGGGTTGCCTGTTTGACCTCTTAAAGGGCAAATAGCCCTATAATGTGGGCTTTATGATTTCGGTATGGCTAAAAAATGACAGTTAAATAGTCGAAGTCAATTTTGGCTTTTTTTCACTTTCAAATTTTATTGCCATAACTTCGTAAACTTTGTTACTTTACTCGCGTTCAATATTCGACTGATAGTCAAATTGCAGTGTTTTTTTCTTAAAATTAGTCCGTATTTATTGTGTGTTCACTACTCGACAAGACTGCAGCTTTAAGCATAGCAAGTATTACACTTATGAATGAATGACGAACAGTTCATATTTACCCTGTTACATTGAAATGCTGATATGGAGAAAGCGTCGTGGTCTACCTGAAACGTTGAGATGAAGATACACGTGATATCCCCATGGTGCGTCCATGATCATCCCGTTAGGAAGAGCAAAGTGGAAAATCGTTACGTTATGAGTGACTTCAGTCATTGACTTCACTTCACATCTCCAAAATGAGCCACCTGAGATTGGAATTGATCAACGCTTTAAAATTACACCATGGTTTCGAGCGCCGTGAAGAGCGCTTAAAATCTTATCAAATAAAAACTCTAGAACTCAATTCAAAAATAAATTCGTGAATGCACATCCCTATACTCTTTTCAAAAAAAAACAACCTGCATTGACATTTTATAGATAAAAGGAGCACGTGAAGACTGTAGCTCCTTGTAAATGCATGTATTGCGAATGAAGCAAAATAACACTTTGTGAATGTATTTTGTACACGTCCCCCATAGAAACCGGCTAAGGTTGTCGGGGTCACCGTGTCTTAATAAAGTTTTTTTCCCATTCTAATTTTTCTATTTTATTCTATTCTATTCTATCATATTACAAATGCATGTAAGTATCATACAAAATATCATCCCTTATTCTGAAGTAAACATCCTGAGATATTGAAAATGTCCATTTTTAAAGAACTTCTCCAGTATATTAATAAACACGTTTTCTTACTCTGGTCTGCATCGTGATTAGGCTTCTTTAAAACCTGAGGTATCGGAGGGGCAAGCAGCGATGGTGAAGGTTTGGCGTTTTTTGTCCCTAACAACCAAAAAAAGTACACGCATAAGACAATTTCCCTCCAAATCTGCTGCACAGAAAGCTATCCTCGGTACAAGCTACTTCATGGCTACCTTTTTCGTAAACAGGATAGGGACATCACATAAATGAGTAGGTCCATTATCAGGCAGACGCCAGTACCCAGATTGAACATCTTGGATACGATCATGCAAGAACTTGCCAAATCATGCATGATCTTGCAAAACAGTACGTACGATTTTAATCTCATCATGATCTTATCATGATGCTTTCCTGATCTAGCAAGTCCTTGAATGATCTTAGCAAGACCTTTGGTGGGATCGTGGTAAGATCTTTAAGATGGTGAGAAACTCTTGTAGGATCTTGGCAACATCATGCCCAGATATTAAAAAGATTCAGGCAAAACGTCTTGGCTGAATCTTGGCAAGTTCAAGCTAAAATCATGGATTCGACTCTCCATGATCTTGCCAAGGCTTAGACAAGATCTTTTGACGATGCTCAACCTGGCGAACTTCTGTTCAAATAATAGTTCTAGCATGTGTGCAGCCAATGGCATGGCCAGCACGCAATTTTAGTTCTACTATGTAAATTTCTAAACATCTTTGTTTATTTCTTATGAAATCGATTGTTCTCACAGAAAGTAAACACAAAAAAAATTAACATAAAAAGAGTAAATATGCGAGTCGGATATGCCACTATGCGCAGCAAGATGGGTACAAACTACACTTTCTTCCTGTTCAGTCATTACATGTAAGGTGATAGAAAATGAAATTATTTGAAATAAAAGCATTACCAAACTTTCTCTCTCTCGAAGCTTGAACAAGAGGACCAATCAAACAAGCCTTCAACATGGATTCTACATTCACCCATTGATGAATCTAAAAAAAACACATATTTTACACAGAGTGCTACAATGCTTAACCACTTCATGAATCATAGAATGAAGTGAGGATCACAGACAATATTCCACAACAAGATCAACTGAATTGTAATCACCTCGTTAAATAGTTGTGTGCCATCCTTCCCAGCAGCCTTCATAATTTCAGGTATACCCCCAGGATGAAATTCTAGATAGGGGGTGATGTTGTACACACATCCTAAAAGTATAATATAGACATTAGCATGGTTTCTTAGTCAGGCACACCGCACATAGGAAGAGATAAAGCAGTAGCTATCCTACCTAAGTCCGCTTTAACCTTAAAGTGCCCCAGTCAGCAAAAAAATGCTATTTGCGATATTGAATATAGGTGTGATTTTGAACAAATAAGTCAAAAAGATTTTTAATTTGGTCCAATTATACCACTTTTACAGTGGTTTATATATGATAAAAATTCTATTTTTGATGGACATTGTCAATCCTCAGACAAGTCTGAAAAGACTTAAATTTGCTATGTCATGCAAGGGGCATGTCAATACAAATATATATATTTCAACTTCCTTGGATAACGTCAGAATTTTTCAAGACCCAGACTCCATGCAACAATGGGCAAGTTCTGTTCAAAGGCAAATATTAACCACTATAAACTTGGAGCAATTGGACCAAATCAAAAATTTCTTTCACCATGTTAGAAATCACATCTAGATTTAATATCGCAACTAAAAAATTAGCTGACAGGGTAACCTTATAAAAGAGCTCATCTCTGAACTGCTCACACAATCGATAGACAGCACTGAATGGTTTAATATCCTATTTTAAACCTGTTTCAATATAGATTTTTATGACTTTATTCAATAAATGAAAAACATTAAATCAAATGAAGCAGATGTAAAATCAGTGAAATTAATTAAGAATTTGTAACTTTAGAGATGTCTGACACCAAGTATAGCAATATCCAATGGAAATGCTTTTAATAATTTTATTGAAAATATCCCTGCAGTCTTTGCATCTGCTGAGCATTTCATTCTGAATCAATCTGATAGCACTTTGACATGAATCCTTATAACATTGAATGTAAAATCCTGAAATATAATTCTGGGTACCACAGAGTAAACAGGAAATGTACATGAATGATGAATCATGGCAAGATGAAAATAAAGTCAACAAAAAGATTTTATCTAATTATGACTAAAATGATTTTATTTATTTACAGACTATCGGCTCATGCTCATATATAAGTCTAAATTATTAGTGTTAATTGTTGTTTATATAACAGATTTTTTTATCATATTCTATACTAGGATCCTATAGGGATATTTAGGTAAAACGCAGACTCTCTGAATATAAATTATAAAAAATGATAACCAAAGAATATCTAGGGCGATTCTCCCACCAATTCACGGAGAATTGTGGAGGGGAGTAAATTCGGAATTCCGGACTCAAATCAATGCCGAATGGTTCATCAGTATTTGATCACTATACCAAGTTTAAAAGCATTCATCTAAATTTATGATGATCTAAGGACATTATGTACATGACGTAAATAAAAGAAGATTCCAGTCTATACCTCGAATGCTCATCCAGACGTCATCAACACTGTTGTGTTTGGCCAATTCTTCGGAAGAAACCTTACGATATTTACCGCCGAAACCTTGCAGATCCTTCCCACTGTTGCCAAGTCTTATCCAGTCCATAAGACTACGACCGGGTTTCAAAGAAACTTTATTTCTTGATCCGCCAGTTGCCCGCTGTGGCGACCCAACGGAGGGGAAAGAAGCGGCCATCTTGTTTCTTTCCGCTTCGTGTGCTCCGCGGGTCATGGAGCTAGTGCACCCCAGCTTGGCTGATAAGTAAACGAAACAGAGACTAAACAGCTAGTTTAGGTGTAAGCATAGGAATGAGAACTCGTTTCTTTCATCAGATACCATCCACATATATAACTATAATAATTTATCATGCACACCAACAGTTTCATGAACTTTCATTTCATCGTATTGCTCGATTTCGTGGAGCCCACGCAACCTTTAAGACACTGCAAAATCTAACCAAATCTTCTTCTCGTGGTGGTTTGTCAATCGTTTTTGCAGTGGGCCAAAAAGTTTTCTACAATGCCTGATAAATCACTGACAACAGTTGCAAGACACAAATACACCGTAGCTGCAGCTGCTGTACTTAAGTAAAGAAAACGTGGGCGTTTGAATAGCTTGCCGTCACTGTTGTCAGAACTTGTGAGATTTGACTAGTGCAAATGATGGATGATGGATCATCAGTCTGGAGAAAAATTGAAGAGAAAAATGTTTTATCTGAAAATTTTTTCAAACGCAGATGTGTAGAAAAACCATCTATCAACATGAATTATCCATGACGCTTTTCGACTAAATTAAACTAGCGCGTGTTTTATTTGTGAAAAATAATGGGGATTCAGGATGAGTTGCATTCGAGATAGATTTTGCGAGTGGTAAAAACAGTTTGCATTTTTCCAGCTGAGGTGAGAATTTTGTATATTTGAGTATAATCTTTGTAATTTACGTTCGATTTCTGCTTATACCAAGTATAATTGATCGTCGATTAATTTAACAGGTGATTTATCACTATGCGCTTTGTTCATCAACACGATCAAATAAAATTGTCTTGTTTACTTCGAAGTATGAGGAGCTTGCGGATAAAAACTTGTTCCTTCAACTAAGCCCTTCTCGAAGACGTGATCGATAGGCAAGCCTAGAAAATTCAAAACGATTAGATTGAAGATCAATTTACATACTTCTAAATGTGTAGTCGAAAAATACGCTACACTAAATCCATGATAACAAACGTCGTAAAGAACTTAACATTATAGACGTACGTATGTAGAATATACGAATTAACAACCTGAGATAGCGTCAAGGGAAGCGACAACCAATGAGCTGTATTTGCTCACAAGATGACCAAATATTGTATCCATCGATTCATCTTTTTCACAAAACAATGATCCCCATGATGAACATGTGAGAATATCTCTGCGCATTTTTCCTTCATTCTACGAAATATTCAAGTCATCAATTTATGAAACATCGTAGGAAAGACGGCCACGACTAATAACATGCAAATGCCAAAAAGATTAAAATGCTCGAATCATCAAAAGAGATTGTGATATTTTGTCTCGTTGATTTCTTTCCTATATAGGATCTAATTATCAGTTTATACGGATTCTTGTGCGATTGAACATGTGAGTTATTCGGAGACCCAAAAACAGCATATTTGGGACTCTTACTAGCTGAGTCTTTGAAAACGGGACTATATGGGAATATCAATTATTTTGGGGGGGGAGGGTGAGGGGCATTTATTTACGACGCCGTACCAAGTTCCGTAGAAATTCTTTCTTTTTTAAGGAATATAACAAGCATATATGAATACGACTTTCCAAAATCATCGATCTTCCTAAAGCCCTGCAAAGATTCAAATCATTCGATCCCAGATGTTTTCAAATCATTCTGAAAACCATAATATTACGCATGTTCGCAAATCCATACAAAATAAGGGGAATATATTCGTGATATAATTTACTTGGTACTTTCTAAATTTTATTCGGTAAACAAATTCGCCGCAGTTGGTGGTAGATTTCAATACGCGTTTAGATGACGATGAAATGACATTTTGTTTACTCCAATTTTCTCTCCAGTTCTAGTTCTGTTTGTTTATAGAATTGTATTGTTTGAAATGATCATTGTTATTTACGATTTGCACACTTTATTACAGATGTACATGAAAATCTGGACGGAAACATTGACTCTGTGGAGACAGAAGGTCCATATGGATCCAGTTAAACAACCCGTAAAATAATACATAAATGGAACAAGAAGTCGACTCACGCTCAATTTCTGTTTCTTTCTCTTTGTTCCCTCTTCAAGACTGCTTTCCTACACCATGTCACATACACATGTTAATTTCATTAAGAAACCGACGGAAGCACAAGAAAAATGGCAGTCTCTACTTCGCCCCAGACCTCTTTGTGTCCGTTTTCTGTCACAGTATCTTCAAACTCGTACTCCAACTCTTCAAGAAGTGCGACAGTCTGCCATTTTGAAAAATTATTCGGTGGGTAGACATCTGACAGCAAACTATCACCACAAAATAGAATCTGAATAAAAAAAAATCGATCATAAGCGTAGAAGTACCGAATGGACGGGGCAAACAGACTTTTTGCTAAATGGTTATTGTGCGCTTCGGCAGCATTTGAGAAGAAACTGGGCAGCTGAAGGATGCTAACCGGTGCTACAACCCAGTGCTGTAAAACTAAATTTATCAAATGGGCGGCTCTCTTGACGTTTTTGTCAATAGTGCCCTTTTAAAATTACCTATTTCAAAGGTAGAAGGGGGGCTCCTCTCCCAAACCCCCCCCCCCCTTCTGCAGCACTGCTACAACCCATGATCAATGGTACATATTGACCCATGACCATAAGAGAATACAATCAAATTGTTTACAGTACTGTAGCGTGATAACTACAAGCTATATAATTTAGTAACCTTACTCAAGAATCCATACCACTTAGTTTAGACGGTTTTAAAAACTGCTAGGTTGACCATCGTAAGCAAAACTTGCTGAACGGAGAAGTGCCCAGCCATATATGAAAAGTTGTTTTATTCTTAAAAGTACACTGAGGAGCAAAAATCATACATATACCATTTATGTGTTACGTCACAGTAGTATTCAGTACGGTAACCCTTACGTCATACCTTTATATCTTCCTTGCCGCAAAGTTGCTCAAGGTATTTTTGTAGTTTCGAAGAACTTCCCAAAGCATAGTTCCCACTTTCAGTCAAGTTCTGCACAGGAATTTTCTCTTCCTTTCTGTCAACTGCCAAAGAAAAATTTGACAATTTCAAACCATATAAACGGCTGCAGAAAGGGAAGCGCGACTGAAGACAAATGAATCCTTTTACTGACCTACTTCTACAAAGTCTTTTCCTTCGCGAAAGAAACCTGAAAAATCAGTATAATTGTACATAGTAAATATCACAGAACTCTTCGGAATGTTGCGTTCGTCAAAAATAAATTATAAACAGGTCATCTTTGGATATATTCACATTTGAAACAACTAAAAGTTTGAATTTAAAGTCGCATTGCTCTGACTATTCAAAAAAACTCTGGACGCGCCACCTATGTATTTAACCAATCGGAGAAGAGCATACCCGGTTTTTCAGCTCGACTTATATAAACGTCAACGTAAGACCTCCAATCATCACTAATCAATAAAAAAAAGAAAATGAACATTAATATAAATCATCCACATGCTGTCTCAGAGACTAAAGGCTGCAGTCCACTCGGCCCGCGTCACACCGTAACGTATCAATGAGCATGCGTAGTTTCAAAATGGGTTTTTATTTTGTGCGCTTATATTTATACTTAAACTTCTCAGCTTCGTACAAATAAGCGTATCAACCGAAAACTCTGGCTCAAATTCAATAAACTCAAAAATCACGTTTGATCCCCTTTTAGTTATGTCGAACACATTTAAAGTGGAGTCAGCCTTGACTATATGTGATTCCGTACCCAAAAGCATAATCCAGGACAAACATTGAATAGTCAGCTTGGGAATTCGTCGCCAAAAATAGTTTCTTTCCCTCTTTTCGCAGGCTTTTCAACCATGTTTTGGTCTTTTCTGACGTCTTCTTGATGTATTTGTGTGGCTCTGCTTTCATGGCTGGGAAAAAGTACCCTGTGTTGGCTAAAATTACAGATATTGGCGTCCATTTAATGAAACCAAACAATGAGAGAGACATATATATAACTCAAAGGCAAAACTATTAAGGGAGAAGTTGTTACATCTAACTGACTATAGCAACAGGAAGGCCACCATCGGGTAAGCGTACCTATACGTGCAGTTTTTTAGCAAATTTCTATCACGAAACACGCTCGTCCGGAGGTAAAGATCCGCATTTTGCTAGTTAAGTAATAAACTTTCTATCCGTCATGAATTATTGGCGTCAAATTTTGGCAAGCGATAACAATCCAGACATATTCAGTTCGAATACTGACACTTATAGAGTCTATTTTCGTGAAGGCGGCTGACGGGCTCGAAGAAGAAGCGTCAAATTGTAAGCACTCGCCTGCAAACGCCTTACAGTCGAAATTCATAACCAAAGACCAAAGAACGTCCCCCCATAATTTAACATAGCTGTCGTTATCTCTTTCCTGTCAAACAAAGGAAAATATAGGAAATGAATGATCTCGTTTATAAACTAAACGTTCAAGTTTGCAAGTTTATACAAAAAAAACAAAATTTCTACACACTAGAAAGTTAAAGAAGTAAAATCAATAACAATAGACGAACTTAAGGATTGATGTTCATATAAGAATTGATAACATATGAAAAATCTGAACTTTCCAGGGGAACTATTTTCATTTTACACATTCAAGATTCTCTATTCCCCAATTTCCCCTCAGCCTACAGGCCCCAAAACAAATAAATCGTCTCTTTGTGCATAAGTACAAAGACTTTGGTTGTGGTAAATGTTTGTTTAAAAAGTTAACCACCCTCAAAGCTAGACCATAAGTAACACATCAACTCATCTCTATTACTGTTTCATAAACATATTACTACAAACAGTTTTGACTACTTGAACATAATTCACACACCAGGTCATTTTCCAAGTCGATAAGCCTAGCACACATCAACATGGCTGGCATATCAAAGAAGTTCTCGAACATTCTGTAGTTACCACCACGGGTAAGATGTCCTAAGAAAAAAACATGAAAACCAACGATTTAGAGGAGTTTTTTTTCCATCTAAAAGCATTCAAGAATATGCAAACCTTTTGACTTCATTCCTTCAATAAATTTATCATATGGATCCCAATTTCTGTCCTTTCCATATTTTTCATCCAACATATTTTCATTCATCATTTTTGTTCCATGTGAAGCCCTTCCAATAAACAACAACATTACTTTTGAAAATGCTACTTGTCAGCAGCAACATAACGGCATGCAAGCAAGGTTGGAGGGGGGGGGGGCATATATCAGGGAGTTGGGGGTGTGAAACTTCTAGCAGTGGTGTATGTATAAAAATTAGGTACACTACAGGATGAAGAACACCCTTAATTTTAAGAGGATGGGCTGTGTGCACCCGTGATGCAAGGCTGGGACTGTTACAGAAATTTCATATTATCATCATTCATTTCTCTAGAAATTTATTATTTCACAAAAAGAAAACATAGAAATATTCACAAAAAGAAAACATAGAAATATTTATATAAGACTAAAGAAGTAGGCACGCCATGCTAATGAAAGGCAGCAAGGACATATATAAAGCCAGAAGGATGTAAAGCCAGAGAGTCAACTACCTGGTTTTTGTACCTCAATACTTTCCCACTCTTGCCAACTTTTACAAGATCTCCTTTCTTGGCATCGAGAATAAGACCTCTGGTGCTTAAGAGAAATAACTGTTTTTCCAATCTTCTATTCATTCATCTTTATTTATAAATTGTATTATTAATTTCCCAAAGAGGATACCCTTATCCCCACCTTTCCATATTCATCCCTATTTTTAACTAACCAAAAATCAGCTAACGTGTCAAATGGCTCATCAAGTAACTCCTTTGGATATCCTTTCTTTTCCACAAGAATTCGGCACAAACTCATGTAGACCATCTATACAAATACAAAATACACAGCAAAGAGTTGCGGTGACAGTCCTAAAAGCCTGAGCTGCGCGAACTATAAGATTTAATTCATTCAAAAATCGTTTTGCCTTGTCAGCAGGTAAGTTGGTGATTTGGTAACTGACTGAGACTGATCAAATATTAGCTGATAGACATGGTTCAATAGATGTGTTAGATTGTTTGTGTTTTGCTGGCAGACACATGGATCCTAAGGTTGTAGCTAACTAAGTACTGATCTATTGAATTGTTACTTTATTTTAAATAATTTAAATAATTAATCAAAAGACAGGACTTACTGGAAAAAGATTTTCCAACTTATATTGCACAAAAGCATGGTCAATATCAAAACCAAGTACATCGAAATCTTGCAATACGAATGACATGATGAATGAAACTTTTCCTGCTCCTTTCCATAAATTTTCCACAAATTACCTGCAAGCAGGTGGCTAGCCTAAAAGAAGCCGGGCAGGGCAATAATTGGTGCTAATTGAGTGTTATGCAAACGTTCTTCTGCGAGTGTCTTTACCACATTTTTTCATGATCCCTCTTTTCCATTTCAGTCAGCCGCATTGCTACAGTATCGTCAAAGTCTAGTATCTTCTTTAGGAATAATAATGTTGAAACTCGAGAACTTATGTAATTCGTTCTAGTGTGTTTTCAGGTATATGTCTTCATTAGCCTTTCATGAGTGATCTGATATTAAAACTTAAGTCCCAATATACTCCAGTCTAGTGTCTTCATCAGTAGTGATCTGAATCATGTGATGTTAAAACTTGAGTTCTTCTATACTCCAGTCTAGTGTCTTTTTCGGGAGTGATATGAGGTTAAAACTTGAGTACTTAATCTTTATATACTCCAGTCTAGTGTCTTCTTCAAGAGTGATCTCATGTTAAAACTTAAGTTGTTATACTAGTAGCGTCTACATCGGGATTAATAAGATCTTGAAATTTGGGTCGTTGTTTACTCCAGTTTATTGACGTCATTTGGGAGTGTCTGTTCAAATACAAGCTTGTGCTGGACGTGTTCTATTAAAATCTGGAGTTTGTCGTGCAGTTGTTGCAGCTTAGTACATATCTTTTTGCTCATAACCAAATAACTCACAGTGACAATATTTCTTATCATCTATTCTTTTCAACAAAAAGGTGAATTTCATAAAGCTTCGTTCGACACGAAATAAGCCTGTTTTCTATCATGCATAATGTCATTACGTCATTCATGTCAGAGGCAATTACTTCAAGGTAATTAGGCAAAAGAAAGGACCTTTAGAATTAAAAATTGTTACAGTATCCGTTAGTGGGCAACATTGACGTAAAACAGCAAATTTGTGACTGTTTCAAAAATACCATTTCGTCATGTTTTAGAATAGACCAAACGTACTGGAGCAAAAAAGATTATTGTTTAGTTAATCGAGGGCGTGCAGGAACCTAAAAAATAACAACACAAATGGCAACATCAAAGGGGCACGAGTGCAGGAATAAAACCAAAACCATCTCGATATCACTAGCACACACCTTTTGTACTAAAGTAGCTTTAATAAACCGTTGTGTATTTAATAATTTGTTAACTTTTATAATTTTTACTATCATGTGAGGGGCCCATAAGGCCCGGGGCCACAACGGTTTCTCGCTATCATGGATTACATCCCCGGCACCCACGCCCCTGTTGTTTAAGTGGTAAGCTTTGCTTTTTTATCATTGACATATTTTAAATTTTCAAGTTTCTATCTGGCTTATTGGTATACATCATGCTCATTTTCCCTTTAGAAGTTTATAATAACTAACAAGTCTGGATACTTTTTATGAAGATTAGCATGATTAATATCCACTTGCACCGCCAGCTCGAAGATTACGGGGGATATTGATATATTCATGTTCAATAAAAAAATCATTTGATTTCAAAGGAACTAAATATGGCAAAACATGCGCATTTGAATGTCCCCACTCCAAAATATCGTGCTGACATCGCCTGATCGCTACTGTTAATCATATAATATAGCTATAACGTCCCCGCCTGGCAAATTGTTGGCTCACAAGCCTGTGTCCTCGAATCCTCGACACGATTCGTTGTGTGAGAAAAAAACAAACAACCCAAAATAGGTATTCAGTAGAAGCAATTGGCTCCTTATTAGGAAAAACAACTCGTCTAAAGACAAATATCAAATTGAAGTGTTTCCTGATTACTAATGTTCTGTTAGCCCACTCAATAAGGTTATATTTTTACTTCTGTCAGGAAGCACCCTTTTTGGCTAAATTTCGAGGTTCGAGCGCAAACGTCGAGGATAGGGGTTAAAGATGGAGAAGGAGATTAAAAAGTCAAGCGTAAGGACAGAAGTTGAACGTAAAGTTAAATTGTTCATTTCAACCAATCCTCTACGAGTATATTTGTTCGCACGTATCATGATAACTCTTCATCTGCTTTTTTTCATTTTGAGCGTGTCCAGAACTAGCCTTCAAATTCAAACGTAAGTGCTTGTCATGTCGTTTAAAGTACTTGGCGTAAACTTAATCATAGTATGGTTTAAGAAAGAGTGTTAAAACTCGCAATTCACACTGGCATTCTCCTTGCGGGCTCATAAATTCTCCCGATCTCATTTTTACCATTGAGTTCTATAATAACTGAGTATATTGAGTTATTATAGAACTCAATGATTTTTACCCGTCACTCATTCGGAGGACGAGCACCTTCATCAACATGACCTGCATCACGTCGCAGTCACTTCGTCGCCAAATTTTCTGATAAGCAAAATCAAACGTAACTGATAAGTCTTGTTGTGCATTTTAGTGGATAGCTGTGGTGTACCTAATTCCCTCTGATCTTTCGAGAATTTAGTTTTGACGCAACTCTTGACACGCGCAAACTGACGTGGCTCCCTATAGGAAAACCGCCTAAAATGAACAGACTTTTTACATTTTTACCATTCTGTGAAATAAATAAATTTCTTGACCATTTATTTTCTACCTTCACTCTCGACTTCTTTTTACCTCGACGCTCGACATTACAACAAACCCTGTTTGTCAAAATATCGCGTGCGTTCCGGACTGATGGCAATAGGGCACACGATATCATATAAACATGAAATCTGAGAACTAACCATGAAGAAGCCAATTGAGACAGGAATATAAGACCTCTTAACAATGAGGTATTTTTGTGTTTTTCAAACTTCAAAGATAAATTTTAACTCGTACATATTTTACAAAATTGTACATATTGCCGGTTAAACAGTCGTGTGAGCTTGATATTGACAAAAAATTTCTTAATTTGAAGCGGATGCTTCGAGAGCATTTCAAATTATTGACGTCATTCATAAAAAGTTTTTGTGTGTTTGTTGCCAAATAAGTTTAGGGCACGGTTAATAATAAGCTTAGGTAGGGGGCTTGAGACCGTAGCCAGTTGAAACCGGCTTTTGAATCATCAACGGTGCCAACTGCGAAGAACGCTCTTGATTGGTCGAGTATGACGACATGTAGATGAGTCATTGTTATTGGACACATGCAACAATTTCTCTCTCTATATAAGACGCGCGTTGCCATCCCAGTAGCATGAAAACTTGAAAGCTGTATTTTGCTGACATAGAGAAATTTTGTACGTTGATGCAACTTGCACAATTATTGCGCGAGATTTAGAGACAATTGCTACATTAGTCTAAATGCCATTACAAAGACGAAGGAGACGGAGCCATAGGAAGATGGCTGAACATTGTACAAACAATAACGAACAAGTGGTTGTGGATGAGCGAGATTTATACGAACAAAACTTCATAAACGAAGGTTTGCGAGATACGCAACTGCTCGACGCCGGACCGTATCGAAGAAGGAGGACTATAACAAAGATCTTTCGAGATAACAAATACGCACCGAGCTTGGACGATATCGAAGAAATTGATGAGACTTCGTACGAAAATAATAATGGAACACATGCAAGAAGTAGCAGTCCAACGCTTTCATTGTATTTGGTGCACAAAGAAAGGATAAGAAACAGCAAGGGCAGGACTAGGAGATCGAGTACAAGAAAGTTTTCAACGAGGAACAGAACTAATCTTGAAGCACTCACAGCTTCGACTTAAACGTGTGATGTAAGAGTTTCAAAGATTGCATAAGTGATGACTCGCCACATAAAAAGGTTATAGAACACGGCGAAGGTAAAATTGAAAGAGAAATTAGAAAGAACCCGCGCTTCACGTACACTTTCGATATTTAATTTAGGAGGATAAAATTCAGATACTTCAATCCATGTGCACACAAGACGACAGACGTTAAAAAATGAAAAGGAATGTGTACTCATGAAAATCGAATGAAACTGTAAAGAATAATGTCGCTTAAAAAGCATCAAAAAGCGAAACAATATTTAACATATCATGATGTAAAGATGGCAGATATAAGATTAGGTTGGATAGCTATATTATGCAGGCCATAATTACAAAGATATTTATGGAAATAAGCTACGGTTTATACCTTTATGAGTGAATTTAAAATATATATACATAGGATCATTATAAAGAATAAACAGAAGGCTTGACGCCCTATATTGGATTTAAAGTTCATCGTTGAAATATTTCTTCTCCGTTTGTGTTCTTCATACGACCAAAATGTATAGTAAGCATGACTAATTTTGGAATGCGGTGGAATTTCAAAGATTCATTGCATGATACCAAAAGATGCACAACAAAGCCGTACAAACTTCAACTGAGTAATTTTCAATTGGAATTTTAGTTAGAATGTTGTCGCCCCCACTAAAATCCATGGAATTCGCTCAATGAGTTATTTGCTATCTTCAAAGCGCACAAAAAGACGGAACTTAAATTAAAGAATTATGAATTTTTCAACCAAACACATTTTCTAGTTGTACGCCGGTCGTTAAGAGTTGAGAGTGGAAAAATAATTATCGAAGGTCGAAGATGATGAAAACAAATTTAGTTTAAAAAATTTCCTTTGCAAATCGCATCGTTCCGTTTCCTCCGCCTTCTTCCTTTTTGTTGTGTATAAAAATACACTAAATTCCTATGACGTATTCTTTTATAGAGCAATGAGTTGTAGCATGCGTACTGCATTCCAACGTTTCGTTCTATCACGACACCGAACATTTTAATAGTACATTTGAGGATAAATTTGCCGAATACGCTGGCGTTTCACTTTATAAAACCTGAATACACAATACGCCAATAAAAATCTACAACATTTGTCATCTTGAATCGATAGTTAGCCATTTCACGGAGTTTACCTTGCGCAAATTACAATTAAATCTATCTACATCGTAAGAGGAAATTCATCTTTTCTCGTGCATGATAATTTTTTAACCAGACTCATCCACGAATTGATGATATCAACACGATGATATTAAATCGGCTTAAGCAGGTGTCTTCTCGCGCCACCTGCAGCCATATTTACAATACAATGACAATGACTTTTTTCTTTTGATATGCGCAGGTTATCGGCTGTCGGAAATATCGCAAAAAACGACCATTACAAAACAAATTTACGTTGTCAATTTCTTAGACACCCGTCGAGTATTTTGTTTAAGCCCGCCAAAATTTTCAGGATATTTTTCATTCTCTCCGACAAATTTTGTTTCGACCTCGACATTTTTTCCCGACCATCGGCATTTCTTTCCGTTTCTAGACATTTCCCACCAATTTAAGCCAAATCCCCAAACTCATCAACAATATCAAAACTTGGTGTAATATCTAACATATCGGTAAAAAATTTTCAATTTGGTCAAATTGTTTTCTTGTTGTGGAGGCTTAAAGTTGCCTTTCAATGGACCATGTCCGTCGTGGCATGAAGTCTGGGTCAAGCCAAATTCTGACGTCATCCAAGGTAGTTGGTATGTTTTGTATTTAGGAATCCCTTGAATGACGTCGCAAAGGTAAGTCGTTCCAGACTTTTCGAGCGACGGACAAGGTCCATAGAAGAAACATTTTTGCTAACTTTAAATAGCAATAAAAATGGAACGATTTGACAAACTTAAAAACCTTTTTTCACTGATACATTGAAAATCACACCTAAATTTAATATCGCTATCAAAAATTTTTCATGAAAGGGGCTTTTTAACACTCGACGTTTAGTCTATTTCTTACATGTTTTTATAATGCATTTATCTTATCTTTTTATTTCATTATTTTATGGACAAACTCTTTAACTTTGATCGATGGACAAGCTTTTTAATTTCTCGAGAAACACTCAATCATGTGACTTTTCAAGAAACACCCAATCATATAACTTCTTAAGAAGCAAGCACCCAATCATGTAACATTTAAAGAAACACCCAATCATGTAGCTTTTGAAGAAACACCCAATCACGGAACTTTTCAAGAAACACCCAATCATGTAACGTTTAAAGAAGCACCCAATCAAGTAACTTCTTAAGAAACACTTGATTTAACTTTTTAAGAAGCACCAAATTATGAAATTTTTCAAGAAACACCCAATCATGATACTTTTCCAAAACAAACCAGTCGTGCAACTCTTTAAACAACACAATCGATCACATAAACACGTATCTGTGAAATAATTTACAGAGTACATACGTGTAACCAAGAAAATACAGTCCACATCATCAGTGGATGATAACTTATCTTCATCACATCACTATTCTAAATAATCAATCTTGATCCAGCGATGTACCGACTTTCGCGCCAAATGTTCGACTCCCCACAATTCCAAGGGCGCCTACCACATTGTTGACATCGATTGTATTTGTTGCATTGTGCTTGTATGAGTACCCCCGGCGATCGTGTCCTCGCTTTTTCTTCGTGTTCTCGTTCTGCTTTTTGGCGCATTGTCTCCGCCCAGGATTTCTCAAGCGCATGACGCGTTTTTACTGCTTCGTAGAAAGTTTTCGCTCGTTCGAGCTGCAACCTGGCGTGGAATTAAATAATAGCATTACTAATACAAGCTGTATCTATACCCGTGAATGGTAAGGATCTGTACTTCGTTTATCACTATGAATATAATCAACAGACTTACTCTTTCTTAATCTTGTCCAACATTGCGGATTCCTCGCGTTGGGAGGTGAGATCGCTCAAAATTGCGGCTCGTTTTTTGTCGGCCACCATCGCCAACTGCTCGTGATACAATTTCCGCGCTTGTTCCCGTTTCTCTTTCATTTTTTCTCGGTTGTCATCACTTCTACCAAAGACCGGCTCTGGCGGATCGGGCTCGCCGATCGGCAAAGGAAGAGATTTGAAAAGAACCTAAGGATGTTACGAGAGTGGTTAGAGATGAACTTGATCACAAAGTGATCCGTTGGCACACCACAATCACATAATATTTGGAGGAATCAAAGTCGTTTTTGCAAAACTACTTCGCAAGAGCAATAAAAACATCGACAATGGCAGGTTTTTATGCCAACTGATCAAATACTTCGCGTCGCGAACTGCAGAGATTCGCCCGTTGTAGAACAGGTATTAATATGTAACAACAGGATGGTAGTAACTTTACTAACTCCTACACGTCCAAAGTGAACTTCAACAAACAGTAAATTTGTGATGAAATATCAAATGATCTCGACTACAAAATAAACTAAGTTCAAAACTCTACTCTATCTATCCTTACTGGTTTGATTTTCTCTAACTTCCTTCTCAATACGCATGACGATCTCGGACTCAATGTGTTTTCAAAGGGTTTGATAATGTTTGGTTTGGGCAATCCCATGCGATCAAGAACAGAGCGATTCAATAAATTTCGTCGCAAAATATGTTTGTCGATGAAAATCTAAAACATGTTAGATGAAACGATTGCTCCTCATCATTCACTTTTCATGAAAACATTCATTAGTGTAAAGACTGTCCTCATTTTCTGTTGTTCATTCATCAATACCTAAACTGACATACGTTATCTTAGTTTATATTTTAGGTAGTGTAGAGACTGTTCTTGTTCTTTGTTGTTCATTCATCAATACCTACACTGACACACGTTATCTTAGTTTATATTTTAGGTAGTGTAAAGACTGTTTTTGTTCTCTGTGGTTCATTCATCACTACCTACACTGACACATGTAATCTTAGTGTATATTTTAGGTAGTGTAAAGACAGTTCTCGTTGTTTATTGTTCATTCATTGCTACCTACACTGACATACGTTACAACTACATGCACTGAATCATGTCGACCTGCAAACGCAGGTCATACGTCAAAATATCTCCATTGCAGAAGCAAGTTTTTCATTACGCTGAACAACATAATATCCCACGATGCAAAATGCATAATACCTAAACGTTCACTCTTTACCTGAGAATTCAAAGCATCGCGGTAGTGTTGCATGTTCAACTTCTTATCCTGAATAAACTGCTCACGTTGTCTAGCAAGCCTGCAATAAATAACAAACTATACTTAACTTGCTTGGCAAAGATTCATTCAAGCAATATTTGATCTTACTCTTCGGCCAACTGTATTTGTTCAAGCCGATCCTGTATATCTTTATCCGTTTTCTCCTTACTGAACAATCGATTCTTTTCTTCTACCTAATGTTGGAAAATCGTAGATTGATCCATTAAACCAAATGGAAGTAAAGTTATTAAGCATGCAATCAAAGCTATACATACCTGTTGTTTAAGGTCACTAGAATATTCTGCCTGCTTCTGGGAGTACAAGGGTGACATTGGACGATTGCGAAACAGAAATGATCTCTAAATAAACAATATGCGTTCTACATGACATCAATGCAAACAACAATTAAACGTCTATCAATGAAATTGGCAAACTATGTCTTGAAATTCTGGTATGAACCGATAATGGCTAAATAGGAAAAGTCAAAGCTACTTCTTTCGTTCGACTATACGGTTCAACATCGTAGCTACACAATTTACATGTCCAACATGTATCAGTATGTCAACATGTATCCACAATTTCAACATGTTTCAACATATACAACATGTATCCACATGTCCAACATATATCAGTATCAGTGCACATCATGTATCACTATGTACAACATGTATAAGTATGTCCAACATGTATCACTCTGCTTACTCTAACATGTATCAGTATGTCCAACATGTATCAGTATGTCCAACATGTACGTATCACTATGTTTAAATGTATCAGTGTGTACAACATGTATCCGCAAATCCAACAAGTATTTAAAAGAGCCAACATGAATTCAGTATGTCAAACATGAATCAGGATATTCAGCACGTATCTAGTACGCAAATTGTATATTTAAAGTACGAATGCAAAATAGCTGCACTGATATTAGTCTAGCTTGCTTCAAGAGATGGATCTTTGTAAATTTCCTAACAAATGACCTTCACTCAAAACGACGCGTTGTATTGAGAGAAGGAAAGGAGGGATATTGTTTATGATAAAGGAGAGAGCTACGTATGAGTATGTTAAACACTACACAAGAGTTAACGATTCGAACCACTGTATAAATCATAAACGGTCAATGCTTGTGATATGCGTGCTCCCTATACTGTAATCCAACTCAAAACAATTTAAAAAATACATCCAAACCGCCCAATCCAAGAATTGCAATCCATGATGATTTGCAGCGCTGGTGTAGCGTTCTAACGAGCTGCACACTGACATTTAAGATTTATCCAAGTTTATCCACATATGACATTAAATTTAAGTAAAAATTTTAGGACATGCAACTTTTGCTTACATGAAAGTCCGTGGAACGAGTGTTTTTCTTCTCCTAAGGTGTAGAATAAAACAAAAAGACACTTAACAACTACTCTACGCAGCTAACGAAATAATTCATTTTCATAGAAAAGAATTAAATCATACAAAATTCTTCAAAACAATACAGCACTGAAATACGGCACCGAAAGTTTTGCACAAAGACAGAACACTTACATTGATGGCTTCTGAAACCCCGACATTAAAAGCAGCCGTTTCCTCGTTTCTTTTCCTATCTGCCATCTGTTTAACCTGCATGTGAAAGTCGCACATACAAAATTCAATTAACATGCATGTATTAGAGACTTAATCACCTAAACACCTACGTATTCTTGATGAATGGCGTCCTGATCCTTGGTACATTGATATTGTTGTAAGCAACGGTCGTTCTCAGATCACGTTTTCTCATTTCTTCTGCAAAGTATATAGGTTTGTTTTTTGTTTTCCTCTGATGACACAGGTAACACAACTCTTGTCCGGCCTTGTTATTATGACAACATCTTAAAGAAAAAATACATATTTTAGATGGTGTAAAGATCGTTCTCGTTTTCTGTTGTTCATCCATCACTACCTACAATGACACACCTTATCTTAGTTAATATTTTAGATAGTGTAAAGATCGTTCTCGTTTTCTGTTGTTCATTCATCAATACCTACACTGACACACACACTATTTTAGTTTATATTTTAAGTAGTGTAAAGACTGTTCTCCTTCTCTGTTGTTCATTCATTACTACCTGCACTAACATAAGTTATCTTAGTTTATATTTTACGTAGTGTAAAGACTATTTTTGTTCTCTGTTGTTCATTCATCACTACCTACACTGACACACATTATCTTAGTTTATATTTTATGTAGTGTAAAGACTGTTCTTGTTCTCTGTTGTTCATTCATCACTATGGAACCTATACTGACACAAGTTATTTTAGTTTAATAAAATAAAGACTTTTCGTGGTGACAAATCTGTAAATAGTTATAAATATCGCAAATATCATAGTGAATGGCAAAAGTAATATAATAAGTTTTGAGCGTCATCTCCCCTTTTGGAGATGACGTACACTCTTTCTTGGCATTATAAATGTCGGTAGATTGTAAATTTTCATTTAGCAGACGTTGACACCTGAGGAGTAGTCTGCCGAAATGCATCGTGTCGTTTAACTTAGAACTATCGGGTTAGTGCTCTTTACGTAAAACAGTTCTTTTAAGAACTATCAACTTATTATATTACTTTTACCATTCACTATGGTATTTGCAATATTTAGAACTTATTATTTTAGTTTATTATTTAGGTAGTCTAACAATCTTAGTCCTCAATTGTTCATTCATCACTACCTACACTGATTAAGAAAGACATATCTCCACGTCACAAACATTTGAAAAAAGTCCGTAGCAAAAGGTTTACATGATGACTTACAAAAGCATGGTTGCAAAGATTTTAACTCACCTAAAGTTGGGACTTTTTAAAGTAATCTTTCCCGTTGTCGCTGGAGGTGAAGCGTCACTATGATTTGGCATCCCTTCGCGACCGTTCGAGGTTCGTGACAAACGACGTAATTTGATAGCATGAGGGCACGACAAAGGACGGTGAGGTACCTCATTTGGATTATCCAAAATCGTCCCAGGTGGATTCAAGATGCCAGCCTGAAATCGATTTCTACCATCGACGTTTGCGTACGTGGGTGATATCAGTTCTACAAAGATTAAAAGCTGTCGCTTTGAATTTGTTCAGAAAAGTCAAATAAAAACATGGGTAGAGGTTCAGACGACGAGCCTCATGGCGAGTCACGTCATCTTGGAACGCACGAATGTTGTATATTGCATCATTGCTTGCTGAGTGGCTATAGTAACAGACACAAACATTCAATGACATAACTATTGTTATATGAAAGAATGTTTTATGCAGTGCGGTGTTTGAAATTAAATGAAGATATGATCTTCGCACTTTGTTGGACAATTTAAGCAATTGTCTCATGAACCTGAAAAATTCAGGTGACTCAACGGGATTCGAGCCCATGACCTCTGCGGTGCCGGTGCAGTGCTCTGACCAACTGAGCTATGAAGTCACACAGTGGTGAGCAAGTCAATTTTGTTGGGCTCATGTTTGAAAAGGACAATTGCTTAAATTGTCCAGCAAAGTGCGAAGATCATATCTTCATTTAATAACTATTGTTATAAAGTAAATGGTTTGAACCCGAGAGTATCGTTTTTGTTGGTGGATGTAGATCGATCGTCCAGGTTAGTAGAGTCATGAGGATTGTTGGTGTTGAAGTCGAATGACGTTTCGATTTCACTTGACTCTGAAGATGACAAACGCTAAGGTGGTCAAAACGTCAGTCAACTTCAAGACCAACAGTCCTTCCAGGACTCTACTAGGCTGGACGATATACATCTACAAACATGTAATTATTGTTGCATGCAGCATTAACTTCGTGTTATACATTTTCGTAAAAGAACAGTGCTTAGGGGAAAGCATATCCTTCAAAAAGTGCGCGTCATGCACTATTTAGAAACTTTCGTTGCGATATTACATGTCATAAAAATTACACACATTATATATATTTCGCGATAAGATAAATTCGGAGCCCACCAAATGCGATAGAGTCAGACCACAAACATTTGTTGGGGGAAATGAAACCAAGAAAGGTCTTAATCGATTCCATTTTGCCGTGTATTTTTTTATACTTTTCCTACATGCCTCGTACTGCATCTATTTTGAATCACATGAGCAAAATTGAACAAATGACCACGGGGTATAAACAAATTTTGGTGGCAAAGCATTGAGTTTTCTTACTTTTATCAACGGCGTTTGGTTCAACGACAGCAGCATTTAATAGATTCTCGTCGACCTTGTTCATGGTCGGTTTCGGAGTGGCCACTGATCCGGTCGGACAGCAGTCTTCATCTGCAGACTTATCGTCAGAGTTCATATCAATCCTTAAAAAAACATTGTTTAAATAAGACGATGCAAAAAACCAATGTCTAAGAAGACCAGCGCGAAGAAGGGATTACTTAACGATGAACGCTTGTCTTCATTTCATTTCGCTTCATTTTTCAAATGTACAAAACTAAATATATATCTTAGTAAATTTGGCGTCAGAGTGTTACAACCTGGGAAGAATGAGAGTGTTGCCAGTCGTCGGTCTCAGCGGATAATTTCAGAGAAAACTGAATCACTTGTATCTGGCCTCTATAAATCAACAAAAAACAGCTGTTAATGCCAACAGGAAGAGCAATATATAGCTAAAGGATTACTAAGATCAACTCGACGTACGTTTTTCAAAGCATTCACAAGCTCTCCTGTTTTATCAATGCCTTTGACAAATTCCTTGAAGAATTTCATCTTCACTCGCAAATCTCGGATAGACAGACACCCGATGCCGGCGAAGACGAACTCGACGTTTCTTTTGACGTATAAGGATCGCGAAACAGCTTGTATGACTTCTTTAACGCAACTTTCGACTAATTCTCGAGAGTAAGGGAGCTCCGTTGCAATTGCGGTGAAATTAAGAGGCAGAATTGGTATTTGACCTATAGTGAAAAGCGACCCCATATATAATGAACAATAGTTGAATTCCTTTAAAGCCGAATGGCATATGATGAAGTCTTTAAGTTTAAAACAAAGAATCGATTTATTGATAGTGGATGTCGTGATGACCGGATAACACATGTGCAAAATTTTAAAAATATTTGAACAACAATGTCGCTTGCACGATAATTTCCTTCATTGAATTTTCCAATGAATACTAAATATACGCATGGCAAGAGCGAGACACAAATGCCACTTAGGTAAAAATGTAGAAAAGTACCAATAACATTCATTGTCGCCAAAAACCGTTCAATCCAGACAAAGCAAACATTCAATGATGTAACTATACCTGTGACGTAGTGCTTCGTATAATTCAAAGCATGCATCTGAGCGAAACTTTCGGCCACCTGAAAGATTGGCCTTTGCACCATGATTTGACGAGCGTGACCCAGATCTATGTTTCTTTGAGAGAATGTGAAGCTGCCGAGATTGGGTATATTCACTCCCTTTATTAATAGAAATGAATGCGATTTAAGTAGAACAACACGACAAAAGAATGAATTACCATAGACAAAGACATAACATAGACATTAAAAACAATGACCAGCCGACAATTTGAAGAAATATAGTATAAAGCAAATTCCGAAAAAGCAAGACATCTTGAGATTGTAAAATACAGCCGAGGATGACTTTGAAATAAAGTCGAAAATTTACAGTTCACTTCTCGTCTTGTTTTGATGCATATTTTGCAATCTCAAGATGTCTTGCTTTTTCGGAATTTGCTTTATACTTTATAACATAGACATTAGTTTGAAATTTATGAAATGCTGTAATAACAACTCCCGGCTTTTTTCAAACAAGCAGCCGATTCCCTTCGTCATTCTTATTCAAAGCTAACATGTTCTAATGTGCAGTCGAATAAAATATAAATCAACTACAAGACCTTTTGGTTGGTCATTTGCCTTTCGATGAAATGCGACACGCTTTCCCAAACGGCTGCAACATCTGAAAATCAATAAGATAAAATACGACGTAAATAATCACGTACATTATCAACTTGTTTATCGAAAAAATTTAGAATGAAATACGAAATTCTAATTCTTAAAACCGAACTTTACAAATGACGAGTTTGGCAAGACTACACACAACAGAACATACCTTCCTCGCTAAATTTTGCAATATTAGAAAACTTATTCTTCTTTATTTCTTGAAATAATGATGGTTCTACTTCTACCATGATAATTTTATAGTTATTTTCAAAACACCGTTCTTAAATGGACCACGAGCCACATTGTTTACAACGCGACTTAAGCTTCTATTGCCATGGCGATAAAATGTTAATTAGTGCTCTAATTATTCTAATTGTGACAAGATTGGCGTTTGGGAGCGAGTGCGCGTGGTGTGAAAACCAGTAAATGAATTTCTTTCAACAAACGAACGTTTTAAGCTATTGCTAAGAAGTTTTAAAGAAACCCGCACGGATATTTAAATAAAGATAATTTGACGCAGAAATTGACACACTATCAAATAATCCACCAATATTTTCTTATCGAGAAACGATTGACAACAAACGTTCAGTGTAAAAATGTTTATGGGTGACAAAAACGTATACGATATATATGAACAAAGATCAGATGAAACAAATCAAACAAAAACACGACAATAACACAACTAAAACTCCACTTGTAGTTTCCGTAAAAAGCATTGTAAAGGAATACATATATTTCTTTCCGTTGCAAGCCGCATCCTCGTTCATAACATTTATAACGAATCAACATGGGAGAACAAAGAAAAACTCAACCCCAGTTTTCGCTACCATTGATACTCTACACGGCCATCGTCGCCCAATACAATTTGACCACTTGCCAGCAGCTCCAGCGCTTTAGGATAACAGATATGTTCAGCTTTCTTTACTCTCTCTTGCAAGCTTTCAACCGTGTCTTTGGGAAGGACTGGAACTGCTTCTTGAGCTACGATTGCACCAGCATCAACCTCCTCCTGGATAACAAAATGAAAAAAAGACATATTGACAAGGTAGATACTACTTATACATGCTACACCTTCAACACTTTCGATCCAAAGAGCACGCTCGTTTCGCAAGATATTCATAAGGAAATCACGCTTTTGCATTTAAAATACAAGGAATAAAATATCCTGGAAGACGCTACTTTTATGCCAAGTTACAAGTACAAAACATTGATCTCTTGAAAATTTACTGAAAATACGTATTTTTGGGTTGAATCCCGAACACTTGGCGGGAAAAAAATGACGCGAACGAATTTCTTGCGAGAAAATTACGGCTGTTCGAAATGGATGTCAAGTCAAGAACGAAAATTAAGCCAAAGTTTTAGCACAACAAACGGTTCGGCGAACTAATCATTTCAAGCAAAAACAACAACCAGCCTACCGCAACGAAATGCACCGTGCATCCACTAATTTTCACACCACTGTTCAAAACATCTCTGTGAGCGTGCATCCCTTTAAACGATGGCAGTAGTGAAGGATGTGTATTCAACATCTTGCCATGCCATTTTCTCACAAATTTACCAGTCAAAATTCGCATGAAGCCCGCCAGACAGACCACATGTACGCCGTATTCGTTGAGCGCAGCATCGACTGCCATGTCGAAATTCGCCCTTGAGGAGAAATTCTTGTGATTTATCACCTTGGAAAATGAGAAGACGAGGATACTGAGGAAACGCTAGGGGTAAAAAGGAACATGCAAACATGTACCAATAACGTAGACAGCCTTTACATTTACTTGCGCTGTGTATATATATCGAATCATGATGATCGTTCATTTTTTTCAAAATCGATTGTTTTTGCAGTCGGTGAACAAAAAAACCCTTACACAGCGGAAGTAAAACGTCAGGCTTGTTCTGATACAAATAGTAGCAAAAAAGATGCAAAAATTATCGACAACCTATTGCGAAGGCCTGAGGATTGAAAAACACAATGCAGGACAAAAAGAAACAAACATAAACAAGAGGAGAAAAGATGCTATCGGTATCGAGAGGCGTTAGAATATCACATGTAGGGATATTATAGATGAAAGTCCTTATCTCACAATTTTTTTCTCTCGAATTTTCTGATTGAGGTAAAAAAAATCATTGTAAAAGTTATTTTACAATTTTCTGATTGATGGCTTCGTTCTTGAGATAAATGCGTTTCTTTTCTCAAAATGAGCAATAACGGAGAAAAATTGCTGCGTGTTCAATTTGCTTGATGAGAGCCTGAATCGAGAAGTATGTGACGTAACAAAAGGACAGGAAGTTTTTGTGGAATGTGATTTTTTCTTATAATTTAATATAATCATACTCCAAATCACATTGCAAACTATGAGAGCTTTCCGAATCAGAATACAACTCTGCCATCTAATTGTTGATAATAAAAAGCGCTTGAATTGTTCCTTAAGTTACGTCACAGAGACTTCACCCAGTCCCTATGCGAATTATCAACCTTTACTGTCAAATTTCATATTTGATCAATAACAATTCGAAAACAACGCAGTGTATGAAAAAATTGTAATATGAGTCTCAGATTACTTTTGAAGAAGCAACACGAAAGTACTATAAAAAAATGTAAGATATGCACTTTGATACAAGTGCCTAGAACAGTACAGGTGTAAAATATATATTCATAAATTTGCCCCACGACAGCAATAGAAAGATAAATTACTGTGACATTGACAAACAACTTACCAATGTTGGTATTCCGGCATCTTTCGCACGCGTCAAACCGTGGACGCCTTCAACATTCGAAATCACTAGAACTATCTCAGCCGAACTGTCGAATTTTACTGATTGGTTAATAAGTGCCTGCAGATTGGTACCAGATCCCGAAATAAGCACGCCCACCTTGGTGCGCTTCTTATGAAAGAAACCGTTACCCACAATACTTTGCGAACAGCACAACTTTAACTGATTGCTAAATTTCTCGACGACGACAGATTCCGAGCTTTCGCGAACAACTCCCACAATATTTGCTTGTTCGGAAATGTTTTGTAAATTTTTAAGAACAGCGACAGAATCTTCGTTTGCACAAATCAAAAGGGCGCCCAAACCACAATTGAATGTTCGGAGCATTTCTGTTGGTTCCACATGTCCTGCACGACTGATCCACCCGAAGATCGACGGGATGTTCCACGCACCAGCGTCTAGGCACACACCCAAATTTTTGGGTAGCACCCGGGGTATATTCTCTATCAGGCCACCTCCTGCAAATATAAAACAAGACCGTAATATGAATGGAAACACATACGTTCGATCAAAAGTACAATTCAGTAGTTCAAATACCTGTCACGTGAACGAAAGCTTTAACCTTCCCAGATTTCATCAGTGGCAGAACACTATTCACGTATATTCGCGTAGGAGCAAGTAATACATCGCTAAGACTTTTCGTCACATCAAATGGACAGGGAGAATCAAATTGCAGGCCACTCATTTCAACTATCTTACGGACTAGACTATATCCATTGCTGTGGATTCCTCGAGTGAAAATGAAATGAAAAGCGTTAACTATGACGAGAAGTCGAATGCTGCTTTTGCCTATCCAGTCTAGTGTTCTTTATCAAGAGTCATTAGATATTAAAACCGGACTTCCAATATACTACAGTAAACAGTCTACGGTCTTAATCAGGAGGAATCTAGTATTGAAATCGGAGTCCTTACGTACATACGTACCCCAGTCAAGTGCCTTCAACTGAGATGATCTAATGCCGAAACTTGCGTCGTCATGCGCTCCGGTCAAGCAAAGCGGTCATATCATTATATCAAACAGACAGATGATACAACTTACCAGATGACGCAAGACCAATAACAACATCACCGGGTGTAATATCCTCCTCTCTTGGTAACATCAGCGAGCGCTCGACCATACCCACAGCGAACCCGGCCAAGTCATATTCTCCAGATGAATACATCCCGGGCATTTCAGCCGTTTCACCTGGAACAAGAGGAACATGTTGCACGATTCAAATGGACAATGGAACAATTGACCTTGCGACTGGCGAGGAGCAGCAGCAGCTTTGCAGGCAGTGACGAGACAGTTTTTTTTGTTAAGGAAAGCACCAACATATTACTCTTACTTGTACAAATGAAAACTGTAACCCCACTCGCCTTTCCAGCAGGCTCTGCAATCTTCCCATAAGAAATTCCAACAATATACAAAAAACATGACCCCAGCACAGAAACAAACAGTAGTCCCACTTCACTGTGCAACTTGGTGCTGTATTGGCAACTGGCTGCGGCTAGCCATCTCAGGATACTGTTTGTTTCTACGCTGTCACCAGATTTCTTTTTAATGTTAATAAATGGTTATCGATCAACCATGTCGTGGTAACTGCGAAATCCTGCTAAGCTCGCCCTGACATTTCGTTACTTCAAAATTGTAGCTTATCGCAGGGATGGAGATAAGATAAGTGGAGTGCTCTAGTTTAGATAAGATATTGGTGGCTTCTTTGTGGATATGCCATGCCAATTTTTTTTCTCGTTAAGTTCACTACCATTTATACTACGATTGTTTTTTTGCAGTGCGCTCTATTAAATCCAAATCGCGATTGCTTTGGTTTAATGACTTGTTTTTTTTTTAATATTTTGTCAGCTAAATTACCCCCAGTAAATCCATTCATGATTCTCCTTGTCAACACGCCTTACCTCCTAAAAGACAACAACCAGCTATCCTGCATCCCTCAGCAATTCCATCAATGACCTCCTTCGCCACCGATACGTTCAATCGAGACGTTGCATAATAATCAAGGAAGAAAAGAGGTTCTGCGCCATGAGCTAGGATATCATTGACACACATTGCGACGAGATCGATGCCGATTGACGAGTGCCTCTTACAGCTTTGAGCAACCTTTAAAAAATGCGCCAATATTTTTCACTACTTCATGTAAAATGCAAGATCCCTGCCGGAAATGAAGAACACGAAGCAACGTTGCAATCGGATAGCCTAGAAACAGTTTCACCAGTTTCAATGGTGGTATATTTTCCAGATGAAAATGAAAATTTGTCATCTTACAGCTGACGATGAAATTCAATTCAAATTACAGATTTTTTTTACATTAATGATTAAAGAGATTTTTCAAATCATTGAAAAGATGGCTATTCAGTGGTTAGTGCTAACCAGGTCCAGATTTCGTGCAACCGACCCCAAGTCTATCAATATACTATGTAAAACTTTCATTAACCACAGAATAATAGAGAAATGTATGATCACACACCAATAACTTAGTGCCAACTCCATCTGTTCCACTGATCAATATCGGATCCTTGTATCCAGTAGCTTTCAAATCAAACATCCCTCCAAAACCACCAAGTCCCCCCCCATGCATCCAGTGCGAAAAGTCTTGGCAGCGAGCGGTTTGATCTCATTCACCAGTCGGCTTCCGCCAATTATGTCAACGCCAGCCATTGAATATGACATTTTAAACTTTCTATGACAGAAAGGCACATAAAATAATATCGAGATAATCAACTACCCACCCCCCGTAATCATGTTAATCTCGAAGCAGAATTTCACCAAGTCACTAAGGAAAACCCCTCTCTTCAACACCCTAAACAACGGCGACGGATAGAGGGTAGGTCGAATTAAATTACAGAGACTCGTTTTGAATTCAAATTGCTTTTCTAACAATGCTGTTGGTTGGAAATTTCTAAAGAATGTGCAAGACTATAAGATCACCAATAGGATTAGCTCTACATTGTTTTAAAATTGAAATACAGTCTTAGTAATGTATTCTGACCTACCCTGCATCCGCAATTGCGAAGGACATAACAGCACTACATAAAATCTATCAAGACATGTACCCCCTGTATATCACTGTGTTCAAATTACGTAGATCTGAATTGCCTAGCGATGTACTTCTGTATATCTTAGTGTCGCACGTTAATGCAAAATACCTAGCGATGTACCTCTGTATATCTTAGTGTCGCACGTAATTGCAAAATACCTAGAGATGTACCTCTGTTTATCTTAGTGTCGCACGTAAATGCAAAATACCTAGCGATGTATCTCTGTATATCTTAGTGTCGCACGTAATTGCAAAATACCTAGAGATGTACCTCTGTATATCTTAGTGTCGCACGTAAATGCAAAATACCTAGAGATGTACCTCTGTATATCTTAGTGTGGCACGTAAATGCGAAATACCTAGCGATGTACCTCTGTATATCTTAGTGTCGCAGGTAAATGCAAACTACCAAGCGATGTACCTCTGTATATCTTAGTGTGGCACGTAAATGCGAAATACCTAGCGATGTACCTCTGTATATCTTAGTGTCGCACGTAAATGCAAAATACCTAGAGATGTACCTCTGTATATCTTAGTGTGGCACGTAAATGCGAAATACCTAGCGATGTACCTCTGTATATCTTAGTGTCGCAGGTAAATGCAAACTACCAAGCGATATACCTCTGTATATCTTAGTGTCGCACGTAAATGCAAAATACCTAGCGATGTACCTCTGTATATCTTAGTGTCGCACGTAAATGCAAAATACCTAGAGATGTACCTCTGTATATCTTAGTGTGGCACGTAAATGCGAAATACCTAGCGATGTACCTCTGTATATCTTAGTGTCGCACGTAAATGCAAACTACCAAGCGATATACCTCTGTATATCTTAGTGTCGCACGTAAATGCAAAATACCTAGAGATGTACCTCTGTATATCTTAGTGTCGCACGTAAATGCAAAATACCTAGCGATGTATCTCTGTATATCTTAGTGTCGCACGTAAATGCAAAATACCTAGCGATGTACCTCTGTATATCTTAGTGTCGCACGTAAATGCAAACTACCAAGCGATATACCTCTGTATATCTTAGTGTCGCACGTAAATGCAAAATACCTAGAGATGTACCTCTGTATATCTTAGTGTCGCACGTAAATGCAAAATACCTAGCGATGTACCTCTGTATATCTTAGTGTCGCACGTAAATGCAAACTACCAAGCGATATACCTCTGTATATCTTAGTGTCGCACGTAAATGCAAAATACCTAGAGATGTACCTCTGTATATCTTAGTGTCGCAAGTAAATGCAAAATACCTAGAGATGTACCTCTGTATATCTTAGTGTCGCACGTAAATGCAAAATACCTAGCGATGTATCTCTGGAAATCTTAGTGTCGCACGTAAATGCAAAATACCTAGAGATGTATCTCTGTATATCTTAGTGTCGCAAGTAAATGCAAAATACCTAGAGATGTACCTCTGTATATCTTAGTGTCGCACGTAAATGCAAAATACCTAGCGATGTATCTCTGGAAATCTTAGTGTCGCACGTAAATGCAAAATACCTAGAGATGTATCTCTGTATATCTTAGTGTCGCAAGTAAATGCAAAATACTAGAGATGTACCTCTGTATATCTTAGTGTCGCACGTAAATGCAAAATACCTAGCGATGTATCTCTGTATATCTTAGTGTCGCACGTAAATGCAAAATACCTAGAGATGTATCTCTGTATATCTTAGTGTCGCAAGTAAATGCAAAATACCTAGAGATGTACCTCTGGAAATCTTAGTGTCGCACGTAAATGCAAAATACCTAGAGATGCACCTTTCTGTGTTCAAAGTGTAGACGAATCTTACCTAAATGCTTTATCCCCAATATCATTTCGATAGTAAACATCACAAAATGATATTTCTTTGACTGCATGATACACTTTCTTCTGAGCATCCTCAATTGTATTGGATATTGCCACTGTGCATAGAACTCTTCCTCCAGCAGTCAACAATTGTTTTGTTTCTTCATTAAAAGTTGTTCCAGCTTGAAACACAAGAATGTCTCTACTATCCTAAAAATGTGGATACTCTGATAAATGTAGATACCCTACAAGCTTACACGTGCCAATGTGCAGTCTTTAAACAAAAGTTTTCAAAAATTATCAACTGGTTGAGCCGTCTAGAGTTAACCCCTGCGCGTCAATATAAACAAAAACATTGAGTCCTCAAGTCACCTTAAATTTCTCGATGCCATAAATAGGAAATCCTTTTGAATGGACCGGGATATCCACCACTGGCTAGAACAACACCGACAGCAGCTCTGCCATCATGCCACGAAGGAAGTGCCAAAGTCAAATCTCCACTCACAGCTTCCATGAGAGTTGCGTAGAGATCTGATTCCATCAATGGAAGTATCACTTGTGTCTCTGTGACAATAATATCAACGAGTTGAATTGTGTGCTTTCACAACAATGCAAAACCTAACAACAACTACCGTCGGGAGGGAAAGAAACGAGGGCCATTTTGACCAACCATTCATGCCAAAATTGGCAACAAAACTCTACACCACTGGAGCAGTCATCACACAGTAATATTCATGCTGTTATTTTGCACCTGGTCGAATTATGAATTTACTGCGGAGGGTGCAAAGGGGTGTTTGCAATCCCTGGCCTTGGCTAGAAGGGTGCAGGCTGGAGTGGCGCCAATTTTCCCAGGTATATAATTTTAATATACCAAGTTACTGAGCCAAAAGAATTGTGATTTGTGTTTAAAGGAGCTCACCACAGTTACTTTATGTGTGTGTCGAGGGAGGGTGTACACCATTTGAAGGGTGAACTTAGTGGCTACTTTGCAGATGTCACCATGCTATATCATACAATTCTATAACTTATATACCATGGTTAGGATATACTTTTTGCCCTAACACAAATCTTGCTTAATAACTTGGCATTCAATATAGTGCTGGGAGATTGGCACCTCTCTGGAACCTCTTTTACCAAAGGCTAGAAAGGGTGCACCAGCCTGTAAATCTATCACTCACTACCCATGACAGAAAAAGCATTCTGACTTATCCCATAAAAGAAAATTAAATCATCTTAGTCACCAGCTATCTAATTACCAGGGTCACCAAATCGACAGTTGAACTCAAGGACCTTGGGTCCATCGTCAGTGAGCATAATCCCGGCAAAGAGGACACCAACAAACGTGTGGCCTTCCTGGGCCATTCCATCAACAGCTTTTTGAAGAATCTTGTCTGAAATAAACTCTAAATCTTCTTTGGTTACCTACAAACACAAGTACATCAGCATTTATGAATGATGCACAAAGAGGACAAATTATCTATGATCACTGAGGTAGCCAGTTGGCTCACAAAAATTTTAATTATTCTGAGTTCACTTACAGTGAAAACAATGTTCTGAACTTTACAAAACAGAATTAAAACCTGCAGGCTGGCTACGCCACAGCCTCTAACATAAGAATATACCTTTTTACAAGGGGCATATGCACCCATACCCCCCGTGTTTGGTCCCAAATCACCATTGAATGCTCGCTTGTGATCCCGTGCTGGAGGCATTATTGAAACCGTCTTCCCATCGGAAAAAGCCAGCACCTAAACAAACTAGTATGAATGTCTAGCTTCACTTAAAAAGTTTCACACATAGTCACAATGACAAAATACTCATATTAGTTCTTAGTCAATATAAGTGAAATGCTATACTCACAGAAATCTCTTCTCCTTCTAACTTTTCCTCAATTACAATTGTGCTTCCAGCATCCCCAAAAGCACATTCCTGTAAATGAGAATCATATTATAATTGTTCAAAGGTTTAATCCTCTGGTTACCATCTCAAAAATTACAACATAAGAGTCACAATTTGACAATCCCTTCAAAATATTCTTCAAAATTTGCACAAACAAAAGATACAATTTAGCTTGTCATGAATTTCAACAAACAGAAAAGTCATACAACAGTTGACAGACCTGCAACATATCCACAACAGCTTTTTCTGCCTCATCGCAGTCTTTGGCAACAATCACACCCTTTCCTGCAGCAAGCCCACTAGCTTTGACAACCAACGCTGGGTAACCAACAGTGCGGATGTGCTCACATGCAGACTTGCAATCAGTAAAGGTTTTAAATTGTGCAGTTGGTATGCCATGTCGTGACATGAAATCTTTGGCAAAAGCTTTGCTCGTCTCAATCCTTGCAGCCTCTTTGGTTGGTCCAAAGCACAGTACACCATGACCAGAAAGATAATCAACAATACCATCTGCTAATGGTGCTTCTGGGCCCACGACTACCAGGCTAACCTTCATCTTCAAGCAAAATGCCTTCACTTCAGAGTGTTCTGCTATGTTTATCGACGTTACATTTTCGATTTTCGTCGTAGAACAATAGTACATCTCATCCGTCTTAGACCCGCCATTTCCAGGCAAGACAAACACTTTACTAACATGTTTTGATTTCGCTAGTTTCCACGCTAAACAGTGTTCCCGACCGCCACTACCGATAACCAAGACAATATCAGACATGTTCCAGAGATGTTACATTAAAATTCTAAAGCAGTTGTTAAGAACTGACATTAAATGTCACTGTTTATCAACGTTCAATGTGTTATAAGCCCACACGTGTTTCTTGATAAATACAGCACCAGGAATAATTGTAATAATGATGCCGAAGATCCTTTCAACTTCTCGTCCAATCAGAAGTTCTTTTATTGCTCCCAGGCTCCCACGCCAACTGTAATTTTCAAAATGAACTAACAACAGACGCTACAGACTACATTGTCGACATTGTTATATATTTCTCTTTTTGTTGTTGTGTTGTGTAAACCTTTTGGTTTGGAAGAACAGACGGAACTGGTTTTACAGCCAGACTAGAAAATGAAAGTCAAACGGAAGAGCAACATCGCTTCGCAATTATTCTTGCGAGAACTTGGTGTGAATTTACCAAGAGATTTAAAAGAATGGAAGAAAACTGAGAGAGTGTGCTCTCTGCAATTGAGTAACCATAAGACTTTCGAAAGTGTCCACAGTGGTGGTGTGAACTCACTATCATTGTCGCCAGATCGATACGGTCATCGTTATTTGCTATCAGCATCATCCCGTAGCTCCATAGCGATACACGACCTTACTCGTCAACATGGCAGAACATGTAAAGTTATAGGAAAAATCACCAAGGCGCTACCAGCAATGCACCAACTAAGTGTGGAGACAGTCAGCTGGTATCCCTACGACTCAGGGTTGTTCATATCCAGGTGTAGTATCTCTGGTATATGATTTTTTGTATGAATAAATGTGGGCAAATCGTTGAAATTGTGGTGTTAGTGTTTGTCACATTACGGGCATCTCATTGAATATACAAGCTTTGTAGCAACATTTTGATGAAGATGTATTATTTTTGGTATTCCGTTTGTTCAGACAGTGTAATTAATAACAAATAAGGCAACATCCTATTCATTTTGACATTTTCTAATTCTATTCGTTTTCATGTCATTTACAACAGTATTGTGATTTAACTTCATAGATGTCAAAGCATGTGGAACTAGAAACAAATGAATACAAAAAAACATACACGAAATATCATGATCAACGTCATGAAATATGCCCAAGGATCCTCATCCAGCAAGTGGTTTAACTTCCAACACACCTCATTTCATCACATAAGACATAATAAAAATTCACTTTTGTTTTCATTAATCAATAATTTGAATGTAGTACATTAATCAAAATGCTCAACTTATTTCTTAATTTTTTCATTTCAAATTGACATCATAGTGCTGTTGATGGATGTGTTAAAATTTGGGACACGAACCTGCTACGGTTAGCTGAAAGCTTCACCCTTCAAGATAAGGTCTACAAGCATCAAATGTCACCACTTGTAACATCACATGCCCTGATAGCTGCAGGTTGTGCTGACTCTCGTGTCCATCTGATTAATTTGAAATCAGGTTCGGCAACCCATATTTTGAAAGGTCATGATGAGCCGGTCATCACTGTTGCTTGGTCCACCAGAGAGCCATATTTGTTAGCTAGTGGCGGAAATGATAATCGGGTATTGCTTTGGGACATTCGCCATGCATCAGGTCCAATGCTTGCCTTGGATCAGCATGGTGGCAAGCAGTCATCTGGTCTTTCTAGACACAAGACAGCACATAATGGTCATGTAAATTCAATGTGTTTTACTCCTAATGGTTTGCACTTGGTTACGTATGGCACTGATGATCGTGTAAGACTTTGGGATGTGGCCACTGGTCGAAATTGCTTTGTGAACTATGGACGTATAGCGAACCACTGCAATAAAAGTGTTCAAATAGCGATAAGTGACACATCTAAAGAACTGGCATTTCTGCCAACATTGACAAAGATCATAGCTGTTGACATTCACACAGGAAAACATGTTATGAAGCACAAAGGAGCATACAACGTTATCAATTGTTGTATTTATGAAGAAAACAATCAAGAGTTATATACTGGCTCAAATGATACTTTTCTTTTGGCATGGCAACCTCATAAGAAAGTCACAAGAAATGATACGCTCAAGGTCCATAGGATTGATAGGAAAAGGAGGAGGCCAATTAGTCCTAGTAATTATGAGGACCTTTGGAGTAGTGACGAAGATTATGACTTATAGACTACCAGTGATAAACAACAAAATGATTACCACAATTTTTTTTAATGGAAACAGGATAAGCGGGAATCAAGTGTTCATCATTCAATCGAGTAAAGAATGATAAAAAATGTTTTAAAGATGCAATATATGCAGCCTAATAACTAATGTGTATAATAGATATTTATTAATAACAAACAGTTGTTTATTTATATGGTACAATTGCAGTTGCTTTCAAAGTACAATGATATTAATACAACTTTTCTGACATGATGCTTTCACCATAAGTTTTTGTCCACAATGAATCGAAATCTTCTCTTTAAACATAACCACAACCTGGTTAAAATGGTTAGTTGCACTGGGTCCCGTACTCAACATCTTCTCTTGCCCATAATCCAGTTCAAACCAATACATCAAGCCATCAATTACACCATCATCGGAGGCAGTTATCGGCACATCAGATGACAAGCTCAAGAGGGAGAGCATTGCATCATCATCACAAGCATTCATGAAATCAAAAGTTAGAAGTTTTGTAGGATTGGTGTGTGCAACAAATGGATTGCTTTCTACATCAACATCTATTTGATTCTTTACTTGAAAAGTGTTCATAAATCCTAAAGAAAATACATCATGAACATCGAAGTATTTTCATAAAAAAATTAATCCCAATCAAACCAAACCCTTGGGGTATGTATGGTAAATTCCGTATTCAAAACAAATTTTGCGATTACATATGTCAAAGAGAGAATTTAAGTAGATTACATCACATGGACGTATGGCAAAAACTTTTAATTTTTCTTTCCACTTATGGCAAAGTCAGCCTGCAAGTTTGGCAATGTCATGCCAATTTCACATCATTGGCAGTATTTACTCCATACAAGTTTATGTTTTTGATGTTAGTGAACACTGAAACATTTATATAACACAAAAAACTTTGGTGTTGTCAACATCATCAACAAGCAAGAAGGCATTTGGGCACATACAAAATTTCAACTAATCAACACACAATCTTTAATGTCGCATGCAAATTAGAAATTTATCTCCATAGTAACCTGCTATGTTGAGCCCTAGTGTGACATCATCACCTATCACACAAGTCTTCTGACACAGTTCACTTGATTGAATAAGCATTCCCCATACTTCAATCTTATTTGGTAACACTCGACCTAAATCTTTGTGGAGGACACATCCCTTAGCAAACACAATGTCCTCGATTACTCCCTGTCTAAGTTGTCCACCTGGCTCAATTGGATCAACAACAAAAACATGAAATCTTTTTGAATTTGCAAAGTTTTCAAGCGGATCATTTGTAAGAATCAGCTTCTCTTCAAATTTACTCTCACGAGCAAGAATTTTCAAACAAGGAGAAAAACGTGAGTTCTCCGTGATGCACATGACTGGGGAATATCCAGTTGTCAATGCAAGCAATGGAGATAGACTTGGTGATAAACATGAGGTTATACAACCAAAGTTTGCTCCATTGCATCTTGATGTTCTTTTCAAGTCTTGGAGAGTTTTCTGAAGTGCTAGTTCACACATCTCTTGAAGAAACATGTCGTTCAATTTGCTTATATCTTGATGGGGAAAATAGAAAATACTACAATGGTGAATGTCATGGGTTTCGGATAACTCTTTGTCTGCCTCTGCATTTGTAGCAACTGGCATCAGGAAAGGAGAATGAGCAGTGCTCAAGTTGATATCAAGTTTAGTTGGCATATTATGTGGGCAATTCTTCTTTTGTATCAAAGTATTCTCTTGACTCTGTACAACAGAGTTGAACTCCAAGTAAATTGCACTACTGGTTAATCTCACATTTAAATTGACTTCATCGCCAACTTTAAAAATTGGCTGCATCCCTTCAGGGGGGTGACAAGGATATATTGCTTGTTCCCAACACACACTTTGGCCAGGTGCACTTGACAGTACTTCTTGTCCGTCAAGTCTTAATTCAAACCACGTCATGATGGCATCCACCGTACCACATTCAACGATAGGAATAGAAATGTTATCATTCATCTCTTCCAGGTAATCTTCTGGTGTGTAGAAATTATATCTGGCCAAAACAAATGGTTTACAGAGGCATTTATGTTTCAGACAACTCATATCCTCTGTAGTGTAAGGCTCTAGACCTTTCTTAGACACCTCAGCTCCTCTTATTCTTATATTTGAAATTCCTTCACAATATACACCTGGTTTTAAGCGAGAATAGTTCTGGATCTTCTCACATTCAATTACCTGACCATAGACAGTAGCCGCTTCTGGTATAACCTGTGATGGACAAGAACCCTTCTGGCTCATATCAAGAAGATGCTGTTTTGCATGTGCTAAAGTACTGATAATTCCCTCTCCGAGTAAACCACAATCTAAAGTCTCTGTAACAATCAATGATACCTTTTGTTGATGTCGGTGGGTATTAACAAATCATGTGATTTTTTGTTGATCACATGAACAAAATCTTTCATTTCATTGGCTGACAATAAATCTAAAGACATATTGTACAATGCGTGGGACATTTCACATGCATGTACCTCCACAGCCCCAGCTTGAACAGCGAACATACTCAAGATGCATGTTCCACTGCCAATATCAAGAACACTTTTGCAACCTCTTTCGACAGCTCTCGTGATTGCCTTCTTGTATGCATAATTTCTTTGAGAATCGTTAAGCATTCGAAAGTGCCACCGTTCAACAAGCAAGTTGGCAATGGACTCAAGGCTTTCCTCCGCGGAGATGAGGGTTGGATCAAGCTTAAGTGCCTGCCGAAACAGAGTAGCTGCTTGGTCAATCAGATCAGCTTGAAAAAGAGCAGAGCCTGCAATATTCGCTATTCTACCAGAGAGTGGGAAAAGTCTGCAGGCTTCATCGCAGCATTTTACCATATCTTCGGTTTTATTATGACTCAATAATACACTGCACCAAGCTTTTAGTGCATACTCGAAGTCGTCGTGAACAAGGTGACTATAAAACGGAAAACTGTGGACAATGTAGGCAAAATGGGATAGGGATTTGGCATATTCTTTTCTCGACAGCAATAAACGCGCAGATTTTAATACTTTCTGAAGTTTCTTAGGAAAAACCAACACTTCTTCCGACATTTTCTATTCAGTAAAAATTGTAGTAAGTCAAACTTTTATCAAGAACTTCGTGAAATAGTTGAACGAAAACGTTCGCCATTTTGGATTTTCAATGTTTCCATTTCATAATTGAGTTTCATTACCATAGCAACTAGCGTAAACTACTTTTCATAATTCTCAACAAGTATTATTTTCTATTGCAGAGGTTGTCTAATTTTCATTGATATTTGTTATATTAGTGAATAACTGCAATTAAAATGGATTCGGAGTTGTTTCCTGATTTTATTGAACGTAAAGGTTCATTATTTCTTCGCTCAGATCACATGGATTATGGTCGCGCAACCCTCGTTTCGAATTGGTAAATAGAATAACAGACTATTAGCACTATTTTGTAAATTGATTTAAACAACATTTTCGAAAGTACGGCCCAAAATCCAATTGTTTATTGCAAAGTTTAATGTTGGCTAATTTTTAGGCACCAATCACGCGAGGCTGAGCCTAAGGATTATGAAGTAAATGATCATATTCCAGCCAAAAGACGTTTACATCGTTCAACATACAAGCGGATAGGAAATTCAGAGAGTAATACTGTAAGTTTGATATAACAGTCGAGTTTTCACGATAACTGGCAACACACACTGGGAAGAACGTGTATTTTAAGTAGTTTTCCTCATTTTCTCACAGAGTGTTCTACAAATACAAATAGAATCCATTGCTTTTACACTTTATCTTATTTTAAAACTGTAAAATCTTAATCTTCACATTAACGTTTCTTTACAGTCATCTCTTGTGTCCACAAGCCACTATCAAATGCAAGAGGCTCTACACCTAAAAGATAATTTTCAACCAAAACAAACAAGAATAGCTATGACAAACGAGGACAACTTCCATCACATCCTCATAGATCAGTAGGTTGCACTTTAACCTCAATTACATACTTCAACCTCAATTACATACTTCAACCTTATATCGGACTGGAAAGTTTGTCTGTGCACCAGAGAATCAAAATTTGGATGTGCAATGCAAAAACTTTACAGTCTTGACTTAGTATTGGTGCATTGTTTCGGGTGAAATAATACCTTACAATAATGTCTATGTTCTTTGTACTTTAAAGTAGTGGGATTGAAAACCCAAATAAAAGAAACTGCAAGATACTACCAAAACATCCAAAAAATCATAACAAAAGGTAGTACACACTGTAGTAATGTTCTTAGTGTCAACTGTAAATACAACAAGATTTACCATCCATTGATTACAATGCATTTTAGATACTTAGACACAACTCAAAAAACTTCTTATCAACCACCATATCCATATACACCAAAGGTAAGCTTTACAGAAAAATATTCAATGTGACGTTTATATCTTTAAATTCAATATGACATGTCATGTCTTAATAAAAAAAGTAAATTTGATACAGTTATTTTCATGGATGGTTCATACTAAATTTAATTCCTTTCTTGTTTAAAGGCAACAGTCAAAGATGATCCTTTTGAGTATAATAACTCCCCGACTTGGAAAAAGTGTCTTTCGCAGTTCACAGACACTGACAATTACCATCGCTGTGGTAATAACACATGGCAAGATGAAAGTGGTTACTATGCCAACAAAAACTTACGAGCAAATGTAGTCCCTAAGACAGATACTATTCCTTCGAGATTATTGTAGCATTAACCACAAGTTAAGAACAACTTAATTTCAAAATTTCAGTCAGTGTTTTCTTCATCACTGAAATATGAATCTGTTCTGATTGTCTTTTTGCGTTTTACATCACGTGAGAAGCCACTAGCTCCACTTACATGTCTTTCCCGTTCAGCTAATGCTGCTGACTCAGCTATTGCTGCGCTTAAGCTGTCATTATATGGGTCTTCGATGAAATCTTCTTCACTATCAACATCATCAGCAACATCTTCTTGTCTATCATAGAAGATGAAAGAACAGTAATGGCTTATTTCCCAACTTAGCATCCCAACTTGATAAAATTAGGGTAGAAATAAGGTTTTATTAATGAAACTGCATATAATATGATTCTGCAAAATACGACCTTAAGATATTGTCAAATCCATTGAAGATGATTTGAATATAAAGTCTTGGTAAGTGGTCATACGTAAATACTTTACACAATCCATGGAAAATTACTCTAAACTACAAATTGATTATACACACAATTGTGTCCATTGTCTAAAAATCCCACATGATCCCAATGTTGTAACCCAATACGTTTTTTATGTTTAATAATCATTAGAACTTTTAAAGGTTTGCCAAGGGTTAGTGTTTTGTTTGGCTTCATTATACATTCAATAACTAATATTGGGAATTATCAAGCCTTGCACATAATAACCTTATTTCTTCACAACATTTGGATTGATTGAAAATCATATATACTTATTGTCTTCGTGCTTCCGTTTTCTCTTTTCTTTCTTCGGTGGCGGTTCTCGGTCACCAAGCATATTGTTAGGACAATTGTAACTCATGTGACCATCATCCTTAAAGAAATATCAAAAATATCTTGATTTGAAAGATATACTCTCTTGTGAAAATTGACAGCTTAAGATTGATATCAAAAAATCCATGCTGTCAATTACAATTTCATATCTGATGCATACCCCACATTCATAGCAACGAGTTTTGTCGGATAGTATTTTCTGCGAATAAACTCTGTGGCTCGACCATTGTCATTAGCTATACAACATTTGATTGTCCGTCCAAACATCTATAATACAATCAAAAAAACATGAATATTTTTTGACAGATTTCTGTCATGTGAAAGAAAAATTAATTGGACAGCCCTCTCACCCTTGAATAAAGATTACGAACAAGATTGCAGAGAAGGGCAATTACACCACCAAGATTTATCAAGTTTTAGTACATCCAAGTTGTAGCAAAAAATGTAACATGTTTAAAGCATTTTGGTAAATTTTCACCCCTGAGTCTGCCCCCGGGTTATCATTTTCCAGCTTTACACCTCAATGATCTCAATGAAAACAGACATGCTATGTCTAATTACCAACATGCATGGTACATTATGTTTAGCATCTTTTCACAAATAAACATAAATTGATCCTTTGTGCACATTTGGAAGTATTAGAAAAAAAACATCTTCCTGCCTGTTTCTTATTAATTGCACCAACTGCTTTGAGTGCAGAATCTCGATCCAAAAAAAGAACAAATGCAACTCCTTTACTTTCACGAGTGTTTTTGTCCTTGACGATAGTCACCCTAAACATTCACAGAGGAATAATGCTGGGCCATCAACCATCATCATCTTCGTAATAATCAAGAACTGAATTGTCATTGAAATGTCCTCATAATCTTAAACTAAGGAATTTTAATCTCGAGGGCATAAAAAATAGCAACTTTGGTGGTCATCAATCCATTTTCATTCATCATTACTATTTTATGACTTTGACAGATATGGTTCAAACCATTCAACTAGTATTTAGATGTTGTTTTCAATGTCCGTATATGTCAATACCTAATATAACACTTCTTCAAAAAGTCAAAAACCAAAGTGAACGGGGAAATATTTTAACACATTCGTAAAGACTTACTTCACCACCTTTCCATACTTCTCGAAAATCTATAATGATAAGAGAAATCTCATTTGATAAGATACAAATGAGTTTAAACAAGAAATTATATTATTACCTTGTGCAGATCGTTATTCGTCAAAGAATATGGTAGATTCCCAACGTATACGGTTGATTTGCTTGGAGCAAGGCCTCCACTCATAATGATTTTGAGGGAATTTATATGGAATGGAGAATATCGATTATAAATCTGAGAACTTTAAGAATATAAATAAGGAAATGTCAAAGTACAGTACAGGTGGAGGTAGATACACTTGGCAGTTTCCAGGCTCCATTCACCAGCGACTCTTGCAAGTCAAATGGCAAACGTTAATATAGATATTGATCACTGAAAAGTATGTGAGTCCAACGCAGCTTGAGACAAAGATGACTGAGAGTTTGAAAAGTCCAAAAATGACAAACAAATTGTTATAAGTATACTATACATTTACGTTCTAAAAATGTTTTGTTTGTTTTTGTAAAAAGTGTCATAGACAGGGACTGGCACTAGGATGACGTGATCATGCGTTTCGGCGAGGCAACAAAGTATATTTATGTCAGTTTGTTATTTAGTTATTTATGCCAATTTATATGCAATTTATGCAGGCGGCAATATAAAACAAACTTCATCCATATGTTTGTCTGTCTGGTTGCTGCACCTCATTGAACAGGCATGACTCAATTTTCCATTCTTCTTTTGTTTGAACTGTTGGAGAAACGGTGAGCCTTGATGTGGGCTGCATTTAGCTTTGTTAACACAAAGGTGGTTCAATGTGTAAGCTTATTAAATCACTGCTTCTGTCACGGCTTTTTGGACTGTTGTACTATTCATCCATGTTTGGATGTTGCTCGTTGTTGAACGACGATTTGAGAAATGCTGCCTTTGCCGATCCGGACTTTAGCCATTCATTTGTTTTGCGATCAAACAACGTAAGTGATTCCTTCAGAGAGATACTGACCGGTCGCAATCAGATGCCATTTCACGTGAGAGTGCATGCCAAGGTACTTAGCGGAGTGAACGCTGGATTTTTCTTTGAAGCTGTTGGTGCTATTCAAGTTTCTGCAGAACCTGAGAATCATCCATTTGGAGGGTTAGTCTTTGCTTACGATAGAAGACGTGTAAGGATATGGGCTCCTTCACTTTTTGAAGATACTGGCTCAAACGGACAAATCATAGTTGTTGGAAAAGACTGGGGTGGTCAAAGTTACAGTCAAACATGTGAGAAAGTACTCGTTGTTGTTCACATTTGGTATACTGGCCCTTCCCCAACATTTCAAGCCAACACAATAGTAAACACGGCCGATCCAAAACATGTCTTTGTAAAAATCAACCATAATCTTGAGCAGATACCAGAACGTGTCATGGTTAGAGTGACACCCTACTCAACCAGTGACTCCACTCCCAATCATGGTTTTTGGTTCAATGGCATAACTGCAAGTCAAAATTCAAAGAAAGAAGGATATGGAGGGGTGATTTTTGCATATGACACAAAAAGTGTTTTGCTGTGGGTTCCCAGCTCTAACACCAAAAGGACAGGCTGCATATTTGTGGGAAACAAATGGGGTCGTGGACGGTATGCGGAGAATACTCAGAAATGCATGGTCCATATTTTTGCATGGGTTTTGAAGTTTCCCGTTCCTTCATTCAAGACCGAATGGTATGCCATGATCTCTCAAGGCAGAAATCCTTATGAAACGTTTTTGGAGGTCAATCACAACTTGAACAAACTGCCACTGCTTGTGGTTGTTCAGGGCCAAATAGGCACTAATGGCCTCATCTTTGAGGGTACAGGAACAGTCATGTCATCTGAAAACAACACCGGAGGCTATGGAGGCATATTGTTTGCCTATGATGAAAACTATGTTCGTGTTTGGTTACCAAAGAGGTACAAGGAGGATACCAGGGGATATGGTATACTGGTGAAAGAGGGTTGGGGGAATGGCCGCATGCTACAGGCTGTCCATAAAGTGTCCATCCGTGTTATTTTGTATTCGTCAATCTGTGATCAAAAGATGCACATGATAACAGATAATGGTAAATGCAAAGCCATGCCTTATAACTCCTTTCAATGGGTTATTGGACCATGGAGCAAGTGTTCAAGTATCTGTGATAAGGGTGTGAATCATCGGAAAATTTTAGGTAAGAATATGAACATACACTCAATTAACGTTGTTGTTACACCCTTGATGTAGGTGGTAAAAAATGAGCAAAAGAATGAGACAGTCTTTATACTATCTAAAATATAAACTAAGATAACGTGTGTCAGTGTAGGTAGTGATGAATGAACAACAGAGAATGAGAACAGTCTTTACACTACCTAAAATATAAACTGAGATAACGTTTGTCAGTGTTGGTAGTGATGAATGAACAAAAGAGAACGAGAATTGTCTTCACACTTCTTAAGATATAAACTAAGATAACGTGTCTCAGTGTAGGTAGTGACGAATAAACAAAAGAGAACGAGAATTGTCTTCACACTTCTTAAGATATAAACTAAGATAACGTGTCTCAGTGTAGGTAGTGACGAATGAACAAAAGAGAACGAGAATTGTCTTCACACTTCTTAAGATATAAACTAAGATAACGTATGTCAGTGTAAGTAGTGACGAATGAACAACAGAGAACGAGAATTGTCTTCACACTTCTTAAGATATAAACTAAGATAACGTGTGTCAGTGTAGGTAGTGACGAATGAACAAAAGAGAACGAGAGAACAGTCTTTACATTACCTAAAATATACACTGAGATAAGGTGTGTCAGTGTAAGTAGTGATGAATGAACAACAGAGAACGAGAATTGTCTTCACACTTCTTAAGATATAAACTTAAATAACGTGTATATGTGTAATTAGTCCGTTGCAATGACGCACTAAAATACAAGCGAACGACAATTGTTATGACTAACACGACAAATTATTTCTTCGCTCCGGTAATTTGCTTTGGAGTAATGCAGCGAATTAATTATTGTTAGTTATCGATAAATTAAAGAGGATGAGAACAGTCTTCACAGTTTCGAATTAAGATAACGTGTGTCGGTGTAGGTAGTGATGAATGAACAATAGGGAACGAAAACAGTCTTTACACTACCTAAATTATAAACTAAGATAACGCGCGTCGGTGTAGGTAGTGATGAATGATTTTACTGATTAGATCTGTCTTTACACAGTTTTAGTCAAATGTCAGTTGATTCACCGAGAATTTGTTTGTTTGCATGTTTGTGCAGGAAATCCATATATGCGGTATTTTGAACCCCCATTGTAGTGCAAATCAAACCAATATTCTTCACATGCGCAAGTACTTGAGATGTTTCAGCCGCATGTATATTGCTATAATTCCTGCGTATAAGTTGTGAATGGAAAGATTGAAAGAAATTCAAAACACGAAATTGTTGAAGTGGTATCATACGTTTTGTAGAAGTTTATTCGCTACGTTCTTTTCGGATAAATTTACAAGAACTATCTCAATATCGAATACAAATATCACACAATTACCGGAAATACATCCTCAATAGTAATTCCTTGTTTTTCATCTGCTTTTATTTTATTTTCGATTGCGCACGAATTTTTTCTCACCACGCACAAAGCGAAATTTTAAAATAGACCGTGTAGTTTGTCTTACTTTAATGTGATGTAAGTTAAATTGTATTGGCCTTGCGATATCGGCCATGATTGGTGGAAAAGCGTAGATGCAGTTCGGATTCTCCCTCTTCACTAAAGAGCATACACTTATAACACAATGTGAAACATGTGGAATCTATGTTTGTGTTTAAGTACAGAAGCACCTTCAGGTCAGATGTCTTTATGTAGGCATGAAGATATCTTGTTATCTATCCTTTATGTCCGTCTTATAAACATTTTAAACACTTGCGTAAACAACCCCATAGTTGGCAAGTTTTAGAGAGACTCGACCGTCCACACTAACGCGGACTCGTTATGAAGTCAACAAAACACAATACTCAAAATAAACATGGCATGATTTAAGAATATTTGCTTCTATTTTATTATTAATCCACTGTTAGGAAGAAGATCTCGCTCTTTTCGATAATTTGTTAATCATATTTAGGTTCAAAGCGTGAGGTGGCACAATTTTTTTTTTGCAATCTTTTGTCACCAAAACTTTGTTAAAGCACGAGCAAAACTTCTAAACATGTCTCGCAAGGCTTTCAGTACAGATTAAACGCACCGAAAACGATAGGGTGGACGGGGATCAATTGATGCGTTCTCCATAAACGAATCTGTATACTTTTGAATCCGTGTTCAGTGTAGACGGGCCGTTAGTCTTTCTCTACTACCAAATGCTTTGGGCGATCTGGTCGAAATCTTTGCTCGAGAGTAAGAACCAGTTTGCGAAGGATTCTTAGCAAACATTGCTTGGATTTTAATCACACGTTTGTAGCACAGCAAAGTATTGTCGGGCAACAAGACGAGTCATGTGATTTACATTGAACAGTTGGATAAATGGTCGTGCACTTAGCCACTGATGCTCTCACTTTTGAAAAATATTAGTCGACACGCACGTTTTACTGCATAACAAAACTGCACGTAATCATCCGTGAACGCACAATATATTTGGCATGCCCTGCCTATACTTTGTGTGAAATATTCCGTGTATATTGAAGTAGATTTTTGAAAATGAATGATTTCGATTCTTCACGAAGACTTTATATACAATGTAAAAGGGGCGACTCGCTCTTCATAAGAGAACCTTCATAGTGTTTCTTGTGGTAAAACGTCTCGTATGTTTGTTTCGCTCCTAGGTTGCAGCGTGTCCACGAGGGAAACTGTTTTGGAATGCGATTTTGCCAGAGACATGTGCGGATGGCACTCCTTGCCAATCAAGAGTTGGTCACGTGTTAAGAATACAATCGTCAATGCCTCCGATAACTTTGGTTGGAATCTGCCAAATGATTTTTTCTACATCTACACGCTTTCTCTGCACTCCGAATTTCCAGGTAAAAACCAACAGATTCGCGTTTAAAGCCTCTCAACACGTTGCTCACAAATCGACTTTCGCATCCCTTAACACGTGAAAAGTGGAAAGGGAAAATTCGTTTTTCTCGTATAAAGAACAAGGGACTGATATCTTTTAGTTAATATAAACCGTTCGTTCGTTCATTCATTCTGTCATTCATTCCTTCATTCATTCATTCACTCATTCATTCATTCATTCATTCATTCATTCATTCATTCATTCACTCATTCACTCATTCATTCATTCATTCACTCATTCATTCATTCATTCATTCATTCATTCATTCATTCATTCATTCATTCATTCATTCATTCATTCATTCATTCATTCATTCAAGTCCTCCTTTCTAAAGACGTTTATATACGTCCTAGCATTAGTCATTTGCCGGTTTTTGGTGATCATGTAATCATGAGATTATATATATATATATATATATATATATATAGGAACAACACTTTCTACTTCCATTCTTATTCTACTCAATGGTTATCTCTGCTTTTTCAGTGAGGTTTCTCAGTCCAAAGTTTTCGCCTCGTCGTTTCTGTACCCTCTCTTTTGCATATAAAATGTTTGGAATTCCACGTGCAAATCTCACGATTCTCGTATTGGAGGACGATGACATAGCCAAACATACCGGTGAGTTATTTGCTATCCGGAGTCGGTTGCATGAAGCTCGAAATGCCCCATTCATACTTCACGATAATGAAACTTCATTATCTTTTGGGGTTTAAAGTTTTATTTTATCAGTTCCACTGTTCAAATCGTAGCTTTTTGCCTTCAAAGAGGTATTTAATACCGAGGACTGTCTAAAATGAATAACCCTATATCTACCGATCGTGTAAAAATGAGCAGCGTTTGAAGTTTATATTTACAACTCTTTAATGATTTGACATGGAATAACTCATACATAACGTGTTATTGTTGTGCCTATTTGAAATTGTTTTAGCGCTAACATGCTATGGGCATGGGATTATCATGTTCGGAAACTTCTACTAAGTGGGTGTTGTGTTTGTGATGATTAGTGTTGGTTTGGATGATCTACATCTACAAACATTAGTGCTATTTTGTGTGATGTGGGTACTGAATTCCAGGTCTACTGCCTTGAAATTTTCATATTGCTCATACATAAAGAGCACTATTGTTTTAAAATCCTCAGAGTGGACGATGCGAGATGATCAAGGCGAAGACTTTTGGCGTCGGGGTTTTCTAAAGTTATCAAAATATCCTCGGCTTACTGGCGTCATCTTTCAATTCATCCTTGCTGATAAGTCAACGTCGAACCATCATTACTCTCGTGGACACGTTAGCATTGACGATATACAGTTGGTGTGTGAAAAAAGAGGAAGGATCACGACGGATGCAAAAGTGTGCGTGAAACGCAAGATCCCTTCTGCCGGATGTCTTCATCCTGCCAACCTGCCAAATGTTAAAGGTTTGTTGATGCACTTAGTCTTTAGGCTGCTGTTTATGGTATCTTGATGTCTTAATATATATTTGATGTTATTGCGGATTGAACACGTGTTAACCATCGACTTGTCCTAAAGTGCATGCTTAATTTTAGTGTTTGCGTGTTAAACTTGTATCCTTATGTAGTCCAATCTAGTGTCTTCGTCAAGAGTGAACGTACGTTAAAATTTGAGTCCTTATATACGTACCTCTGTCTAGTGTCTTCATCGGGAGTGATCTGATGTCGAAACTTGAGTATTACTCCAATCCAATGTCTTCTACAGTAATATCTACCATTGCAACTTTACTTTTTTACACTCCAATATAGTATTTTCATCAGAAGTAATCTGATATTGAAACTTGATTCCTGATAAAACACGATCTATTGCTTTTATCTGGAGCAGTAGCAAAGCCTACACGATCTTTTTCTCCTGCAAATTTGTAAGCAAAATTATTTTTCATTTCTTTAGAAAATCAATTCCATTTATTGTTTTCGAGTGGTTGAAAACAAAAATATTTACATAGTCCAAGACGGACTGGCTTTGCTACTGGTTTACACTGATACTGATCTGCAGTGATTTGATGTCGAAACTTGGCTCCTTGTGTGCTTAAGTCTCATTGGGAATTCCAATTCAATTTCCATAATTGCGTTTGAATTCCAATTCAATTTTCATGATTCAATTTCCAGATACTGCTTTCCTGAATGAGCTCTATTCCCATAGTTGAAACATGACGTTGTTATGTCTTTAAGGTCCTGCGTATGGCACAGTTACTGCAATGAGTAAGCAAGTTTATGTCGTGGCCAGCGGTCGCTATGGGGACCTTATAGGTAGCTATGACTTTCAGATTCATCATGCTGGAGAATATGCTCTATGGCTTGTTGCATACGGGACATCACCGAGCGACAACGGCGTAACATTTAAGATTGACAATGATGAAGATGTACATTGGCATACCATTTTCATTGATATGGGACGGCCTATGTGGCAACAATTTGTTCACGAGGTATAAAGTTCTAGTTCTCGTTCTCTGTTGTTGCTTCATTCATTACTACTTACACTGTCACACGTTATCTTAGTTTATATTTTAGATAGTGTAAAGACTGTTCTCGTTCTCTGTTGTTCCGTCATTCATCACTACTTACACTGTCACACGTTATCTTAGTTTATATTTTACATAGTGTAAAGACTGTTCTTGTTCTCTGTTGTTCATTCATCGCTACCTACGCTGACACACGTTATCTTAGTTTATATTTTAAATAGTGTAAAGACTGTTCTTGTTCTCTGTTGTTCATTCATCACTACCTACGCTGACACACGTTATCTTTGTTTATATTTTAAATAGTGTAAAGACTGTTCTTGTTCTCTGTTGTTCATTCATCACTACCTACACTGACACACGTTATCTTAGTTTATATTTTAGCTACATAGTGTAAAGACTGTTCTTGTTCTCTGCTGTTCATTCATCACTACTTACCCTGACACACGTTATCTTAGTTTATATTTTACATAGTGTTAAGACTGTTCTCGTTTTCTGTTGTTCATTTATCACTACCTACACGGACACACGTTATCTTAGTTTATATTTGAGATAGTGTAAAGATTGTTCTTGTTCTCTGTTGTTCATTCATCACTATCTACAATGACACACGTTATCTTATAGTTTATTTTTTAGCTTACATTACGTATAAAATAAACCATAGTCCAAAAAGGACATCTTGTAAACTTAAATTAAAGTTATAAAACAAGACAATTAAAACTGCAATATTTCGGTTTTATTGCAAAACCACCACAAGACAGAATGATGGTTTTGCTATAAAACCGAAGTATTGCAGTTTTAATTGTCTTGTTTTATAACTTTAATTTAAGTTTCCAAGATGTCCTTTTTCGTATTATGTTTATTTTATATTTGATGAAATTGTCGTCTTGTCGAGGATTACTTATAACATTACTGATATTTTATTTCTTTCAGACATTCGCTCTCAGGGCAGGAGTCCACACAGTTCACTTTTCGCAAATGGAAAAGAACTTTCGCTTCAGTCATGTTTCGCTTCTTCCCAAAGAACTGCATACCTGGGTGCCTCTTGGAATTCAAAATCGTTTCATCCCCGACTCTTTTTTAAGCGCGTTCCCACCCGCCGGTTTGCCTGATCCAAAGTTTGCGCGGTTAAACGGTTATGGTGAGCTTTTCTACCTGCATGCTATATGCATATATATTTTGAAAAGATTTGTAAAGAAAACATTTATATATATATATGATCGTTTGATACACTGCCCTTTGGCCCAATGCTAACTCGAATACGGCTTTTTCGTTTACTGTCCACGTGATGATGAGGTTTGGGATGGAGAGAACGGGGTCTTGTTCTCATTGCTGTCTATTGTTAAAATTCATCACTACCTACACTGAAAAACGTCATCTTAGTTGATAATTTAGCTAGTTTAAAAACTGTTTTCGTTTTCTGTTGTTCATTCATCACTACCTACACTGAAACACGTTATCTTAGTTTATATTTTAGGTATTGTACAGGCTGTTCTCGTTTAAAGCTAGCGTAGTTTTAATTTTAGTCTGCATGTCTATAATGATTGTTCCCGTTCTTTGCTGTTCTTTTATTCATCACTATTTACACTGACACACATTAATGCTACATTGAACAGTCTTTACACTATCTAAAATATAAAGTAAGAAAACGAATGTCAGTGTAGATAGTGATGAATGAACAACAGAAAACGAGAACCAACTTTATACTGCATAAAATATAAACTAAGATAACGTGTGTCAATGTAATTAGTGATGAATGAACAACAGAGAACGAGAACATTATTTCTCTACATAAAATATAAAACGATGATGAAATGTCCAAAACATGGTGTATTTTTCCAGATGCGTGGTGCTCGTCTGATCACAATGCTGGTTATGTACGTCTAGAAATAACTCTCCCACAGCTCGCTCTGGTTTCACGCATAGCTGTGCAAGGCGGGGACCGAATCATGCGAAAGACCAGTAGTTACTGGGTGTCATAGTAAGTTGCTTTTACATTATAAGTGGAATGATTTTGACTCGATTTTTGATTTGTTTCTTAGATCGAAATCTTGTCTTGTGATTCGTTATTACTATATTTTTCAACACACTTCCCGATTTGTCCTTGCAATCAACACTCGTACATAATAATGCCAGCGTATGAATTTGATTCCATAATTGACAGCAGTATAAGTGGGCAGAGTTATATATTTGTCCTCGCAATCAGCAGCAGTATAAGAATGCATTGCTCTGTATTTATCTTGTTTGTAGTTTCTACATGAAAGTATCAGTGGATGGAGAACACTCCTCTTGGTACCGTGCGTCTCCACGCAGAAAAGGTTTCCATGCGAATTCAGGTATAATTGCTTCATATCGTTTCATATGAAGTTGTTCTTGAAATATTCGACGATCTTTTTTCGCGGATGTTAGACTTTTCCTCACCACTGTCTTTCCAGATGTAGGCCGCCACCTCGGTTTACGGTCGAGTTTAATTATATAGCTATTGAAGTTTGTGTCGATGAAATTTTGTACTGTTTAAGATTCAAGTGGCATCGTTGAACACGAGCTTCCATTTGCCGTCCTCGCCAAGAAGATCATGATCTTTCCATACAAATGGGCGAACTGGATCTGTATGAGAACAGAGCTGTATGGCATTTATATGACGGATAACATGTGCGCTGCAGCTGATGGGGAAACTGTGACGGCACGGGAGTGTCGAGGTGATAGAAATTGTAGCCTCAATGCCGATTGCAAACCACTGACAAACGACAGCATCATCAAAACAGGTAGGTGCGGTGATGTAAAAACATTTCGCTGTGAGAAAATTTTTGTGAGAATCGACCACTCTCGATTTGTATCAGTTCGTGATCAAGGTTTCTTCTTGCTTACTTTGATCGTGACGATTAATTTTGGGAAATTTTCACAAATGCATGTCGATTCGAATGTCGTTCTTTATGAAACATTTATGTTTCTTTAAAATACAGACATCTCTCACTAATGCAGGCTTATCTTTACAACACAGACTTCTCTCTGTAATACTGTCATCTCTCTCTAATACAGATATTCGTCTCTAATACAGACATCTCTCTCTCACACACTTTCTAACACAGACATTTCTTTCTAATGCAGATCTCTCTCTAATACAGAATACCTCTTTAATGTATATCTCTCTCTCATTTTGATCTACATTTTAGTCTTATAGAACCGCATCTCTTTAGTAAAGACAAGTCTCTGAAAAATTTCTTTTTGAATGATCATTTTTATTCCCACCAGAAATCCTCTCCAATACATTTATCTATTATTCATCTTTAATAGCTTTGCAAGATGGTTTAAGCATGCGCGAAGTGTGTCATTGTCATGATGGTTACCATGGAGACAGCTGTCAGCACGTGGGATGCCAGCCGAATCCATGCCATCACAAAGGAAAGTGTGTAATGACGGTGTCGAACTTCACATGTAAATGTAAAACGGGGTATGTGCCAATCAATGTTTTTATTTTATAATGGAAATGGTTCACGGGATTAATGTTCAAAAAGATTTGTCGTACTTTGTGCAATAACTTTAAATTTTAGTTATTTGTCGGCGGATGAGTTACAGCTGCTCAAAAATATTTTGACGTAACTTAAATCGACCGTAGCAGTCAGCCACAGTTTGCCACAGTAAAAATCAAAACCTTTGCCGATCCCTTGTTTAATGTACTCAACTCAACAGGTGTTATTGATGAACATTTCCATTGAAGATAGTCTTTCTTGCAGATACCACGGTCGTTTGTGTCAGTGGCCGTGTCCAGTTGGAAAATATGGTAAAAACTGCACGCAAGCTTGTCAATGTAGTCGTCATGGTAGCTGTAACATTGTCACTGGTCATTGCGCATGCGAGCCCGGTTACTATGGATTGCGATGTGAACGCAGGTGCCCTCGTGGTTATTTTGGAGTGGACTGTCGAGAGAAATGTCAGTGTGTCAATGATGCTGGTTGCGACAATGTTAATGGAACTTGTAACTGTTCCACAGGTGGGATTCTTTTTTAATATCGTTTTTGCTCTATAAAGATCTCAATACTCTTTGTTGATGATGTTCGAAATTATATAATTGTTACATAATAATGCGAACACTCTTTTTTACAGTTTACACAATCTTGATACTAGTACTCGCGTTTTATCAAGTGAACGTATTCACGACAAAAAAGTCGACGCAATCATCGTATGTCGAGCAGAAAAACTGTACCACGTTTTAAACTCAAGTTGAAGACGTGTTTTTGTAGATTTGGCTTAAACACTAAGCTCGAGTTAATGAATTACTTTAAGAAAAAGGCGTGACTCAATGTTCGCAACATTGGTCGAGTTGAGAGCAATTCATTGCATAAAATAAAAAAAACCACCAGTTAAAGACATATTTCCTTTCAAATTTTATCTATGGGTCTTTAAAGAATTGAATCTTCGCTTGGAGTTTGAAGCATTGTTGATTCACTGTGTTTCATTGCACTATTGCATTGTTTTTTCAATGTTGAGGTGTAAGTCAGGAATATTGATTTGAATCAAAAGCGAATATTATCATCTTCGTATTTTGAAAGCTCAAATTTTGACTTAGCAAGATGATGTTCTAGAGAGTTTGCTTCGTATTATAGTTCGTTGCCTTGTCTGCTGGAAAAAAATTTGCATTTTAATCTTGTAAAATAACCCACATTAGGCATAAAGTCAATTATTTGAACCCAGAAGTTTCGTTACATGTTTATAGATTTAGATCATCTCTTTCGGTGCAGTCCCGAGAAGAACTGTTGGTGTTGGTATTCACTACGTTAAGACAGAGTCCAGGGAATCTGAAGATGACTACCGCTGAAGTTGTCGATACGTCAATCTATACCAACACCAACAGTCCATCTTAGGACTGCACTAACCTGGACGATGAGCATCTTAAAACATGTATTTTACTGGTATTTTAACTATTATCATATTTTTAGGTTGGACTGGAGAATTTTGTGACCAGCCGTGTGAGAATGGCACGTGGGGGTTGCACTGTGAAATGGTATGCCATTGCTCTGAAAACGCCTTGTCATGTGATCCTATGACCGGTGAATGTGTGTGTCAGCCTGGAGCGAGGGGAAAGTATGTAAATTATATTTTGAATATATCTGAACTTAGGCATATTTTGATATACTATGAGTCATGGTCTGACTTCGATACTGGTGTACTTGTTGTACTTTACTCTGTTCTATATGTTATGTTTGGTCTGATTTTGAAGCTAGAGATTTTATATACGTACTCGTGTCTTTAACTAGAGTGATCTGATGCTGATTTGAGTCGTTATACACTCTAGTTTAGTGCCTTCATTAGGAGTGTTCTGATTTGGCAATTTTAATCGTTGTATACTCCAAGCTGTTGCCCTCATCAGAAGTGATGTAATGCTTGAACTTGAGTCTTTATATTCGCCAGTCTACTGTCTTGATCAGAAGTGATCTGATGTTGAAATCCGAATTCTTATATACACCAGTCTATTGTGTCTTCATCAGGAAAATCTCATAATGAAAATTCAATGCATTAAATACTTCAATCTAGTGCCTTGTCAGTATTGTCATGACAACTTTACTCGCTAAACCTTTACTCCTTTTGTTAATGACAGAACGTGCGATGAGAAGTGTCCTTTTGGTACCTATGGTCTAGATTGTTCTGGTGTCTGTCAATGTAGTGTTCATGGTGTTTGTAATGTCACCGATGGCAGTTGTACTTGCGTATCTCCCGGCTTTACTGGCGTTCTATGTGACCAACACTGCTCAAATGGTTTCTATGGTCTTCAGTGTAAAGAGAGATGTCGTTGTGCCTCCAATGCCGAATGCGATTTTGGTGAGGATGTGTGTATATTGATATATTTAATATGTTATCTGAAATTTAAATACCTGCTCGAACTACCATTATCCATTTTTGATAATCTGAAACCAGATGTGTGAAATCACGGTCAAGAGAAAACATAAGCCATCGTCGTCTATCGTTAGTTTCGAATTTTGGCTCGTAATTTACCTGATGAGACGGCTGATGTTACTATTATTCAACTCAAAATATTCAATCAGTAAAATAACTTTATAGAAAACGATAAATGCAGTTGGTTATTTTACTCATCAGATCCTCCAGTGCAATCGCAGAGATATTATCAGTTACTTCTTTAATGGAATTTTATATTCACGTATCTCTTATGAGATGCTTACTTTTTAAAACGACTGACGTATCGATACCGTCGACATTTTTAGTTTCCGGTATGTGTATGTGTGGCAATGGTTTTTATGGTAGTAACTGCTCTCGACCTTGTCAACCTGGTCGTTGGGGTGCTGGTTGCCGACACGTTTGTGGTTGTAAAAATAACGCTACATGTGACAGGTATGGCCTTTGGTGTATGGTTTTATCTTTTTTGATGTATAGGTATAGAGGGTTGTTATCAACCAATCATTCTACATGTCACGCGTGAAATTTAGTGATCACTTATAACGGTGAAGTTAAGTTATCGATAAATTAAAGAGAATGAGAACAGTCTTCACAGTTTCGAACTACGATAACGTGTGTCAGTGTAGGTAGTGATGAATGAACAACAGAGAACAAGAACAGTCATTACACTACCTAAAATATAAACTAAGATAACTTGTGTCAGTGTAGATAGTGATGAATGAACAACAGAGAACAAGAGCAGTCATCACACTACCTAAAATATTAGATGAGGTAACGTGCGTCAGTGTAGGTGTGATGTTTGAAGTACAGAGAACGACAACAGTCTTAACACTGCACAAAATTCTGAGATTGAAGAATGACCTCAAAAAAGCACACAAAAATCAAAGCAGAAAATAAAGTGATGTCATTCGGGAACTATTTACGAATGAAGTCATGATAAAGTCATCAACTTCCAACGAGATGGATAAAATAAACATTATGAAACGCGTGCGCTGATTGGTCTAGAGCTGTGTTTGCATTAGCAAAACCTCTTCAGCAGGTGCAACCCTCGATCTTCGGCCTTGGGCTTGCACCGTCTGCTCTTGAGTTCTCCCAAAGGTCTCCTCGGTTTGCATAAGCCTGTGCAAACACAGTAAACATCTTTTCTTTCTTAAGTATATCACTCGAATGGATTTTGTGCATTGTATGTGCGACTCAACAATGAAGAAATATCGCTGGTTTTATGCGGGGTTTTTGCAAATTTAATGGCGTCATCAGTCGCATGAAATACAAACATCTACAAAAATGCTCTCAGGCTTTAAATAAATACTAGCAACCTAAAGTTTTGATGGATGTGCTTAAAGGTTTGGCTAAGCACTTCCTTCGTTTGAGCATTTGCCTTGTCTATATGATTGAACAACAGAAATGAGAACAGTGTATACACTACACAAAGTATACACTGAGATAGTGATAAATGAAAAAGAGAGAACAATACAGATTTTTCATCACCTAAACGTATAACGTGTGTTGGTAGCAGTAAATGAAGAGCGAAAATTTTCATTTTGTCAACTGTTTTTAGCATTACCGGTGACTGTGAGTGTAAATCTGGCTGGCATGGTCCGTTCTGCGACAGTAAATGTCCAAACGGCTTGTGGGGCTCATCATGTAACCTCACCTGCGATTGTCAAGGTCGTGGCTTTTGTGATTCTCGTAATGGACAATGTTTGTGTGATCGTGGCTGGACAGGACCGAACTGTACAAATAGATGTCAAAATAACACGCATGGACGAAACTGCCAACAAAAGTAAGAGTTTCTTCGCTTACGGATGGAAGTTTAATGAAGTGTAATTTATGTCAACAAAGAAGAGTTTAGGTCTTTATAATCTGAAGTTTGTCGTAATGGACCTGCTAACCGAAAGATTGATTTTCAAATTTCTGTTTTGTTTTGAAAATATTTATTTTCTTAGATGCTCATGTTTGAATGGTGCGCAATGTGATCCCTTCAATGGCACGTGCACATGTTCACCAGGTTGGTATGGTCGCACCTGTGCGCAGGCCTGTCCCTCCGGTTATTTTGGCAAAGGATGTAACAAGAAATGCGAATGTGCTAATGGAGCGTCGTGTGATCCAGTGCACGGCACGTGTTCGTGTACTGCTGGTTGGAGAGGTAGAAACTGCTCTCGCACCTGTTCATCTGGCTTATTTGGCACCGAATGTGCTCATTCTTGTCGCTGTGGTCATCACGTGGACGTATCGTGTAACCACGTGACTGGAGAATGTTTTTGTGCTGCGGGTTACACTGGTCCTAGGTTAGTAAGTGTTACATGTAACCACGTGACTAGAGAGTTTGTGCTAACATTCAGTACAGTAATAGTGTTCTCTTTGTTTGCGTTGAGTAAAACTTTTCTTCTTTATTGCTTTCCAAAGACTGACACAAAATTATCTTGATCCACAAATCTATCTCTGATTTTGCTTGTTGTTTTTGGTTCATCACATATTCATATTGATGTCAGTCGTTCTATTACCTCGACTTCTGTGGGCAGAACCACTGGGCAGAATTCTTAACCCGATGTTCTATGTTCAATGTTAAATTTCTTCCTGACTCGACTTCTCTGAACTCGATCAATGAGATTTTCCTAACTTGTTTCTTTCCCTTTCTCGAGCTTTGACTTCTTTGTTCGTTCACTACATTTTTCCTTTGACATCAATGTACATCGACTGAAAATAATAGCAATTAGATCCATGCTTTGATTCTTGAAATGACTTGATTATAGTCCATCACATGATTGTTTTTCCAAAACTACGATCTCATTTTAGATGTAGTCGATCGTGCGATCCTGGACGATATGGACTACGATGCCTCAAGACATGCGAATGTCAAAACGATGGCGAATGTCGTCCGAATGATGGTCGGTGCATCTGCTTGGCGGGGTTTATAGGGGATAAATGCGAACACAAGTGCCCTCCAATGACGTTTGGTGTGAACTGTACTGACACTTGCGGTATGTGTGCCCAAAGTCAGTCGTCTTCCTGTGATCACGTGACAGGAAAATGCATCTGCTTACCTGGTTACTATGGCTACCATTGCGAGAATGAATGTCCGGAAGGTAAATACGGTCAGGATTGTGCATTGGACTGCGAGTGCGCAAACGAGGCTTCTTGTCATCACGTGAACGGAACATGTGATTGCACGGAAGGTTTTATTGGAAGAAAATGTGAAAAGCCCTGTCCTCAAGGAAAGTTTGGTGCGAACTGTTTAGGTATGTTTGTATTTTTGCAATGCATTTTTCAATTACATGAGATGAAGTCAAATAACCTATGTCTGTGCAAATGGTGATTTATGAGATCACTCTAGGACTACAGTCACGTGATTAGATATGGATTTTCTTTGTAGGAGTCTGTCTGTGTGAAAACGGTGCGTCATGTGATAAAGTAAATGGGAAATGTCAGTGTCTTTCGGGATTCACAGGGAGTCGTTGTATGGACAAGTGTCCCGACCGTTTATGGGGCATTGAATGTCAAAACAAGTGCTCGTGTGAGTGGAATCAGACAAGGAAATGTCGAGGTGATAACGGGCAATGTCTTTGCCACGATGGCTACAGAGGTGCCACTTGTCAACAGGTACCTCTTGCTATTCACGTGTCTCCATCTTACTTCAATATTTAACACATCTTCCTTTCAATTTATTAGTTCTGCGAAGATGGGACTTATGGTGAAGATTGCAAACATCCTTGCCCGGTTTGTTCCCGACACGTGATCGGCACGTGTTATAAAATTGACGGCCGTTGCCCGTGCTCCCCAGGTTACCGAGGACATTTGTGTGACAGTGATTGCATGCTGAAGAATTATGGAAAGAACTGCGGAAAGCGCTGCGATTGTGATGTTGATCACGTGTGCCATCACGTGACTGGTGCTTGTTATCTAACGCGTGTGGGAAGGTTTCAAATCGTCATCAAGGAAAACTTCACAAATTTCGATGAGATGGTACGGCGAAAACAGTTGAAACTCAATGTTGCCGTTTTGATAGCCAAATACAATAACATGTATGAGGAACTACGTCATCTCTCGAGACGAAGGATTCCGGTCACGTCAATTCATGGAAATATAAGCATCGTCAGCACGCAGATAACGGAAACAATTCAACCTGCAACTAGGCACGACTTTGTTGCACGTATTTTAGGTAAGAAGCGCTTACCTTCACAGCTATCGGCAACATCTGTCTTTCGTTTATAAGCTGCTCAATTTGATCTTAAATTTTCATCTTTGGAGGCTCCGTCAACTTTAATAAATCGATATGGTATTTTTTGTTATCGATAAGTAGATATAATTTGAATACTTCTCACTGTCAAATTCCCTTCGTATATACCAATCTTTTCACGCACGCTAAAAGTAAGTTCATTGCTATAGAAAAGTGCTGTAAACGATAGTAATGTATTACATAACTTTAGTTGCTCGCGATGGAACGCATTGTCCCACTTTGCAAATTGCAATTGCAAGTTATTGTTGAGAATTCGTGATTGAAGTGTAATGTCAGAATCGATGAAGTGTATCTAAAAAAAATTTGTATTTATTGTTGGATATGAAATACAGAATCCTCTCTGTAATTTAAGCTTGTCGTTTCAGATCTCAAACCCGGATTGACATCTGATGGCTCTGAAGAAGTTGTCGCAATTAATATGGTGATGTTCGATGGCGAGATCCTACTTAACGGTAGCATTGTGAAGGATGTGATTTCATGTTTGGATGAAGAAGCTGTAAGCAATATCCTTGGATGTACTTATTATTCCGGGGTGTTGTATTCAGAGAATGCCGTCCCTGGTTCTGTGTACTCTCCGCTGGTAATTGGCGCGAGTGGAGGTAAGACTTGTTGTTTTTTCCTACCTTCTTTATGTCAGGCAATTTCGCATATAAATAGCCAAAAAGATGGCCTTGCGTGGATACTATTTCATGTTCAATGCGTGTCTCATTCAGGTTCTCTTGGCCTGGTGGTTTTGATGATAACATTGTGGTTGTACCGTAAACGTCAGCGGCGTTTGAAGAAAATAAAATCGGAGAAAAAACGGCAAAACGAAGCGGAGATGGAGATAGAGTTGCGAACGCGGGGCATCCGCCATAACGGTTACAGATTGGCTTTCGATAATCCTTACTATGACGTCCTAGCTGCCATGGCTTTGGAGGAGGACGTTGAAGAAGATTACATTAATCCGCTATGTGATCTTGATAGTCTGATGAGTCATCAAGGTAGTGACGAAAGCGTTAGCAGCGTCAACGATTGTAGTATTGACAGAGGCGAGAGTCTACAATCTATATCGTACTGCTGAGGTATTGAAACCGTTGTCTTCATCTTTATGTATCTGTCTCGGCAATACTTATCGTCAAGCAATCGCATGTTGTACAGCTGTTTTTAAAACAGTTCCTATACGAAGTTTGAAATGACCTATTCTGCTCGCTTTCCTCCTTGACAGGTTTTTGAAGCTGTAATTGACCTCTAATTTTAGAGAAGAATGATAATAGCGCTGTTGTCATTGAAACCGAGAATGAAGGCAGCTTTTTGGAAGCTCTTCGATAAAAGTGAGAAACAGTAGTTACCACTCACTGTACGTTTTGATGCAAAACTTATCATCATTACACATTCCATGATAAAGCAACTCCGTATAGGTTTTCTAAATGGTTTTACAGCGCTGTTGTTATTCTAAGTGTTACAGTTTCAAATCACAGTACGCTGGTATGTCTTTATAGAAAGGTTAACCATAGACGTAAATTGGATAAAGCGAGTTTAGTCAATCGATTTTTAAGGCCATTGAGTATTATCAGTTTCAGTGGACTATTGAGCGATGATTTATAGCTTAACTGATGTGCGGGCCATTGCCCCACTAGCAATGCGTCATACAACTGTTGTCCATACATATTGACAGCATTCCACATGTCTGAAGTCAAAAATGGCCTTAAAGTATCAAACTTATCATTTGTGTAAATAGCTTAGTCTGGTTGCTTAAAAAGTAATGCATTTTATATTTATACAGCGTTGATAAACTCGCCCATGGAGATGGGGTATTTAATCTATTTTTGTGTTTAGCAAGACTGTAAATATTCATACGCAAAATTTAATTTCGTTGTTCGCATGTTTTCTTTACAAACCAGTTTATTTTTTTATAAAAAAGTAGAAATATCATGAAAGTTTTGTTACATAGTTGTGTATTTCAAAAAAAATCGAAAATAAAGGAAAGAAGGAGTTTTCAATTTTCCTATTTCTGATGTTTTTTCTATTTTGACATTCAGCTCATCTTCAGAAAAGTCAAAATGGAATATCTTTACATTATTTTTCTGTTCAACTTTTTCACAGTATTGCTCAACTTTCTCAAACTATTTTGTCTCCCCAATACTCTTCATTCCTTCAATACACGATCATCTCCTTTGGTGTGTGACTGCCTGAGATTCGGTACATCCCAAGAGAGATTGATAGCAAGTCAAGAATTCCTTAATGTTGCTTTTTTTCTTCAGCTATCCAGTATCATTTCAGAATTTAGTATGGGATAATCCCTCTGAGCAAGTTTCCTCGGACGTTACTGATGGTCTGTTAAATCGATTTAATAAAGATATAACTGCCTTGCCGTCTTCCTTCTGCTCTGCGTTCAACTGTACGCATGCGCGTATAAGCATACAAAGTCACAAAAACTATGTTGAATTATCCATGGCATAGTAGAGACTGTAGAGTGAGCTGTCTTGCTCTGCTAATTGAGCAGTTTATATTGAGCTCGTATTTTGTACTTTTTTATTATTGCAACCGTTTCTGTTCATTCATGTAATGGCGTGCCGCACTTAAAAGTTTGCGGATTATCGAGTAGTGATTTACTTTACGGACTTCAATTTTCAAGCGTATGATCAGGTGGATTACAGGATTGGATCACTGTATCGGATGCCGGCTTTTGGCTTTGGCTTTACATTTTGATCCCACTTTGATCCCAGCAGCCTTTGCAAGAATGCTTCGCCATGTTGGAAGTTATATGAAAAGAAAATAGTGATTTTTTACACAATTCACTGAGGTAAATTTAAAAATTGAAGTATGGAAACGATAATAGAGAGGCAACGAAGGCAGCACGAAGAATGCGAGAGGCTCGAAGATGCGATAACCGAAGAATTTTTACTGAAGAAACAGACGGTAAAGCATTTTTAGTCTTCCAAATCATTCAATCACAATTTACCTTCTGATTCAGACTGTATTCATCAGCTTTAGTTATCAGTACGATATTTTCAACATAAATGTACTCTTCACTTTTACTGCATCGAAATGACATCTCTTTCCGCAGCCAAAAGACCAAATCAATTCAGATCACAGAGCCAGGGATCTATTAGAGGTTTGCCAGATAATTCAATTTCTTTGTACCTCTTGAATGACTTATAGTGCTTATCCATTTAAAAAAATAAGGTTAACTTTAAAACTACAATCCTGTGCTTAAATAATTTAGCCTTTTTGTTTGCACACCACCACCAGACATTGAATTTGATTTTGTATATCAACTCACCAGTCACATTGTCTATTTAATTGAAATGTGCATCTGTCCTTTTGTAGAGATATCTCTCTTCTACTAGCTCGTTGCTGACATTGTATAATGATAATGATGGGTAAGAATATATATTTTGATAGTTTTTTTATGAGCTTAGTTAATTTAAGGTGAGAATTAACCTACAAGCATTGCATGATGTGAGTCGAACTACATATTTGCATCATTGCTATGCTGCCTTCAACATTCACTTACTGCAAATATATTTATTTCATTTGTGTTGGTTCATTTCTTATACTTGTGAAATGTCTATCCTGTTCTAGGATGAGGAAAGAAGAAATATCTGCTTTATCTGGGCCCAATGAGTTTGCTGAATTCTACAGCAGATTACGAGTTATCAAAGACTATCACAGAAAGTATCCAAATGAGGTGATATGATTTAGAATGAATGCATATGCAGCCATTGGGAAATGTATTTCATTTCGGGAAAATATTTTGTTCATTGTTTTTTTGGATACCATTGAAACACCATGGAATAGGAAATTTTCTTGAAAGAAATTGCGTGAAATTGATTTGGTTTGCTTTATTTGACATATTTAGTGTTTGAACTAGAAATTTGGCCCTCTGGAATTCTGAACAAATTAGCTACGTCCAGTTTCAGCCAAAATAAAATGCAAACTCTGTATTGTATTGACACAAACTCAGTATTGAGGTTGAGCTCTATTGAATTGACACATGACTTTCAGTGAACCAAAAGAATTTTCATGAAGTTGAAATCTAATTTTCTTTGCTTTGTTTCACCTAAATTCCAAGAACATAAACTTAAACACCCCAACACATCCTTAGCTGAAGATGCGATTTTCCAGTAGAATAGATCACATTTCCCATTTAAACAGTATAAATCTCACAAGTATTATATATCGAAATGACTGGGACCATGGAGGATCGATAATTGGTGGGCTCATACTCATATATGTATGTTATAATCCATAGAAAACAATGGATTTCAAAGGAATTTGATACGGCACATCATGCACATATGAATATTAGCCCCTCCCCTTCGCCCAATTATCGATCATTTGCGGTCGTTGAATTATAAAATGAAGTGTTTTAAACCCTCTCACTGCATTTTTCATGTATGAACTGATCACGTAGAAACGTAAAGAGGTTGTTCGCGATTTCTTGGTCAGCTACTGAAGTTAGAACTCTTAAATTTCATCATCATTTATATGTTCTGTAATCAAAGGGTTCAAGCTCAAAAATTTGCGCACTGCTTCATCGCGCGGCAAGTCCGATTGCGCGCGCACGATCTTGCGTCATCTTTGCATTTCTCTAAGTCGTTGTTTACCACGTATTGTTTTCAAGACTTTTTCACATTGTTGTCAATCGTCAAAAGGAATGAACATTAAACTCTCATCCTCATGAACAACGAGGGAAGGCCATGAAAAAAGAACATTGTTAATTTGCCTTAATAAACCGCTCTTCCTGTAGTTTTTTTTCACGAAACATTTATTTACCGTCAATAGCGTTGTTCCGAAGTCTGATATTTGCGAGCGCGATGAATTGCTTTACCGGTTGACGTTGGATGCATGCATGCGCGCGCACGAGCAATTGCGCACCCTAGAAGCTTCGAATTTTTTTGTCAGGTGGTGGAGCCGATGCAAGTCGAGTTTATGAACATGAAGGAAGCTCGTGAAAACCCTACGGAAGATATGCAAGGTGAAATAGTTATTTTACTTTTATATTTGAAGAGACATCTTTTAATGTATCTTGTCTTAAAGATAAAACTTATTAGCTAATAAGAAATTATTACATGGCAATCTTTCGGTAAAATAGCGCGCTTTGATTGGCTTAGTAACATTTTCGGCAGTCCATCAAGAGTACGCAAACTTCCTACAGTAAAGAACTGAGTACTGTACTAATGTCTCATGCAGTATTATAAACTTTCTACTTACCTCACTCGCTTGGTGTTTGTCAAAAAATATTGGTATTTGGTAAAGAGCTTGCGTTTGGTTGATAGGAGCTTATTTACGTATTGATTCTGATATTATAGATATAGCTTATGCTAATTTAAAATTTACACTTTTCATTAGAAAAAGAGATTGTGGTGCCATACAGACTTACTGTAGAATACCAAGTTAATCAATTTTGTATATGTCATTGGTTTGGCAATTCTGATGAAAGTTTTAATTCGTTATGACAATACCCATAGGTCTTCTTATCAATGGCAGAAGCCTTTTTCTTTGATTTTTTAAGACTCTAACTCGGAGCGTTTGCTGTGCTAGAACCCTAACTAATTTCATTGATTATCTATTGTCCTTTACCACCTAATGTGTCATGTTCCCTATCTCTTATATTCATTCGTTGTCATTTTGCGTTCCAGCTTTGGTTGACTTTTCTGATGAAGAAGGTTACGGCAAGTACTTGGATCTTCACGAACCTTATGATAAATATATTAACATCAAGGGAATCGAGGTAATTCAACTACGTTAATGTCAGACTGAAGAGTAAAGGCGATTATCACTTCAGGGATCGAAAGATCTCATGATGTTCGTTGAACTTCATTTGAATTTTGTCAAAGTTGGTTTCGGAGCAGTCACCAATACACATAGTTGAGACTACAGACTTAAGTGTTTGACGTTCGTAGCGAAGAAAGCGTTGCTATGCATCGCATGCCTGTCTTACTTTAGTTCTCTCGTGGAAATCTTCGTATGCTATATTGGCCAAACACAAATAAAATTGACATGTTGATTTGATGAAACGAACAACCTAATTAGGACACTTTGGCGTTCGACAACTTTCACTATTTTCTTTTGTGTTGTCTAGAGAATAGACTATCTTGCGTATTTGGAAACATTCGACCGCTTGTTCGACATTCCCAAAGAGAAGAAAACACACGAATACAAAAGGTGAAAATGAAATTTTGTTTCCATAGAAACTAAGGCGAAAGTCTAAGTTCACCACAACATGGTTGCTATGAGTTCGTGGTTGCTATGAAGACTACTTCCGGGTACTTTTTCTTGATAGAGTTCAACATATAACTCAGATTTTTCAAGTCAAGTTGCAAATTCTGTAACGATTTCGAGTTTATTTTGTCGTAATTTTCTGTCAATCCCCATTCCTTGAACAAGCACTACATATCTTATCTATATTTAATTTTCGCTTTATCACTTTAAGGTCTCCTTTACGCGAGTTTTGCTTCGATGCAGTAACTTTGTATTAAATAAAGTTTTCCTAAATCCGTCATTCTGATTGGGTCCTCGATCACTTATATAATTATGCCCACTGGATTGCGCTGATCCTCTTTTCCTAACTTTAGATACATCATCGTTCTCCTTGATTACCTTTACTACTATTGTCAACGTGTGCAACCGCTGGTCGATCTTGATAAGGTAAGCCGACATCATTGGTTTCACGTGCCTTTGACGTAGAAACTTTCATTGTTTTTAATAAAGGATCTTCTAAAACTGAAATGGACTTTCTTCGCAAAATTTAATTTAGCATGCTTACTTTCAAAACGATTGAGGCTTTTTTTGATGAGTAAAGTAGATAAGCAGTTGTCCACCGTCCATGTATTCTCCCAACTAATGTGTTCCTGCTAATGTTAAACAAATTGGCCGTACATCATGTATGTGATTAACTTCATTAGCAATCAAAACTTTGTCATGAAACGCAGCCGAGTTTGTTGCGTAACAACGAAAATACACGTGATTTTAATCCTTTGTAATGGGCTGGTCACATGAGCCCGGTAGCCGGGATTCGGCCAAGCGTTGAATGATTTTGGCTAATGGACACGATTCAATACTTATCATCAGATAAATCTTCTCAAGCAATTTCACAATATTCTGTATTAATGACTTCTCAAAACATTTAAAGTTGAGACAATCAATTTGCCTTGATTTTAAATTTTTGAGAATTACAACAGGAGTGACGTGTAGTGGCTTCGCAAACAGTTGTAATTTTTAACCTTGAAGTTTTGGCTCCTTTCAATCCCTTGAAATCATCGGGCTAGCTCGCTATCCGGGCCAGCCATTGAACAAAAATACATGGAATGCTACCTGTAATAGAAAAGCCTAATAGTTTTTGAAGCCAAATCTTACACCCAGACACGCTTGTGTGTGTAGTCAATCAATTTTCACTCGGCGAGAGAATCTCGAACCACTACACACGCGTGTCTGGGTGTAAGATTTGGCTTCAATTATTTGCTTCAGGTAACGTTCTATGTATTTTAGTTCAATGGAGCCAGCTCGCCTCCATATAATCAGGCCCTAAATTAGAAAACAACCGACCATAAGTTAGCTCCGTAATTTACATATCACAAAAAATCCAACAGTTCCAGACGTTTCGTTTTAGGAAATGGAGGAAACCCAAGAAGACTTTGATAGAAACTGGGCGCAAGGATCATTTCCAGGATGGCCCGTGAGTGAAGGGGGATATTTAGGCCGTGCATCGAAGATTTTCTTTGTATTGCGCGTGTATGTATGATTTGTTTTTGGCTTAATTATTTATAGAAAGATACCGGAAGTGCTTTGGCGCAATCTGGGGCACATCTTGATCTGTCTGGTTTCTCATCTGCTGAGGTTAGTAAATGTATGACACTAGCAAAAGACATGTGAGGGTACACATGCATGATACAAGGATAAACAGTACTAGTATGGATATGCATGATATAAGGATAAACACCATACTAGTAAGGGTACGCATGATATAAGGATAAACACCATACTAGTAAGGGTACGCATGATATAAGGATAAACACAATACTAGTAAGGGTACGCATTATATAAGGATGAACGCAATACTAGTAAGGGTACTCATGATATAAGGATAAACACCATACTAGTAAGGATACTCATGATATAAGGATAAACACAATACTAGTAAGGATACGCATGATATAAGGATAAACACCATACTAGTAAGGATACTCATGATATAAGGATGAACACAATACTATTAAGGGTACGCATGATATAAGGATGAACACAGCCTAAGTAAGATTAATCATGACCTAACGATAACTGAGCGTATATATGACATAACAATAAACTTTGTACTGGTGTGGACATACATGATATTTATGTAAACATAGAATAGTGATGACACACGTGACATAAGTATAAATACGGTATTGTTAAGGACATATATGATTTTGATAAAACCATACGAACAGTGAGGGTTGACATAAACAAACAAGTCATACATATACACACAAAACAAATCAGAACCATTGCCTATTAAAGCATTTTCTCGACAATATCTTCTTTGTTCCACAGGAGTTGGCCTCGCTTGGTCTTGACCGTCTTAAACAGGCGTTGCAAGCTTTAAATTTAAAATGTGGAGGGTATGAAATCTTGCGAAATTTTTCTGATTAAAAAATGTTGATCCAATTTGATTTTGTTTGTTTCCTTCGCACGCGTTTTTAGCACGTTAGAGGAACGAGCACAGAGATTATTCTTTACTAAAGGTATTTTAAACTCGGTCACTTGTTGGTTACTAATAATTTGAACTAATTGAATTCATTTTTCCGAATACCTAGGGAAATCTATGGAGGATCTTGATCAATCACTTTTTGCAAAATCGAAAGGCTCTAAAGGAAGGCAAGTCACGTTCTTTGTGTAGAAGAATGATGCTTCCGTGTATTGATGATTGTCGACATATTCTCCGAAAGCAATTTCTAATCACTAGCTATGGAACAATTAAGAAATAAAAGATGTTTACTTTGTTTGCACGGGCTTGTGAAAACCGAGGAGACCTTTGGGAGAACTCGAGAGCAGATCAGTGCAAGCCCGAGACCTAAGGTCGAGGGTTGCACTTACTCGAGAGTTCTCACAAACGTATCCGAGGTCTGCATAAGCCAGTGCAAACACGAAAAACATCTTTTATTTCTTTTATAAAATAAAAATAATGCGAAATAAATACATTAACAAATGTTTTATTTTTTCCTCTAAAATGTATTCATAATTGATTTGCAAACTCTCTTTGGTTGACTGATTTGATTGGTTGAGCTCCGATCTGTTCTGCACAGGCTAATGCACATCAGCTATAGACCGATCAGTGAACGCTTTTTTTAGTGTTTATTTTATAAACGCTTATGAAACAAGAAAAATTACAATAAACATCAATTTGTCCTGCGTGGAATTTTCGCGTTTTCTCTGCTTATTCACCGGTGTCACAGCGAGCCACAATATTTCAGTGCAGATTGGTGAAAATGATTGTCTTCTTTTTACCTAGGGAGAATATAGTAAAGCAAAAGGAAATTGCCTCCTTGGAAAGTCAAGTCTACAGATTAATTGAATTAGTCGGGGTATGTATTTATCAATGAAAGTTTACTTATTTTTGAACTTAGATGTATGAAACCGTACATGTGGGGGATTGTAAGGGATGTACCGGATCATGATACCGGATTCTCGTGTGTTTGCGGTACATCCCTAGTCGTTGCGTAGCAAAGATTTGGGCAAAAGGTTTGGTAATTTAAAGTTTTAATTGGGCAATTTTTAAGTTTGCTCGTTCGCCTACGCTAACATGTAACTGAACTGGCTAACTACCAAGAAATGTGACTAAGAGGAGACAATTTCAACTCGAAGCGAATTTCCTACAGCTGATGGAAACCACTGTCACAAACAAACTTCACATTTCGGCAGCATAATTTTGCTGCATATCGGCTGAAATAATTGTCTGGGGCCGGTTGCACGAAGCCTGGATAGCGTTATCAATTGGAAGGCACAAATTTTCAAAATTCTAAACTTTGTAAAACTTGTAAAAACTGATGTTAAATTGACTTTCCCTACGATGCAGAGTATTCATTTATAATGTTGTAATATCACTTTCATCCGTAGGAACAGAGGGCTGCCACTCGAGAAAACGTTGTAAGAAAGCAAGCAAGAACAACTGACGAACTTGAGGTTTTTTGCATCGATTTGTCGAACAGAGATACATTCATTTGTACATTATTTTATGTTCTAACGGAACTTAGAAATTTTGTAAAAATGACTCACCAATGTGTTTTGATCACCAAATGCATTGCTTGCGTTTCTTTTATTGTTCCTCAGGATGAAGAAGGTGGCGAAGAATACAATGAATCGGATTCTGAAGACGAGGAAACAGTACTTTACAACCCCAAGAATCTTCCTTTGGGCTGGGATGGTAAGGTAAGAAGAATGGGGGAAACGATCAGCGGAGATCGCCAAAGATATGTAACTACAGATTATAGAACAACGGATTTTATTGTTCCTTTTAGCCTATTCCGTACTGGTTATACAAGTTGCATGGGCTCAACATCTCTTACAGCTGTGAAATTTGTGGCAACATGAAGTACAGGTTTGTGCAATTATCTTTTTTGGTCTTCACTATGAAAAGAGAAATGCAAATCGTATTTTTAATTTTTCAGGGGACCCAAAGCCTTTCAAAGACATTTTGCGGTACGACTAGCAACCTGTAATTGCAAGATTTTATGCAGTTTCAATTTAAGAAAATTTGTGAGATCGTCATCTTTATGTTCCCAACTAAATTGCATGGTTTGCTTCATAAGATAATTCTGCTGCAATGCATGACTAAGAAAGTTTCATATGTATCTTACCATGCATGCTTGTTTAGTATTTCCAGTCCACCTTTCATGTATGAGTTTCAATCAGCAACTGTCAAGTTAGTCCTAACAAGCTCTTCTAGAAACCGTCTAGTCTGTTCTGTAGATCCTAACTTCCCACGATGCATTTCGGCAGCAGCACTCACCACATCATGATGTGTAATGTTCTTAGCGCATTTCTTTATGCCTGAGTTGATATGTCAGGTTTATGAATTGCTTCTCATCTACAGGAATGGAGGCATGCACACAATATGCGTTGTCTTGGTATTCCAAACACCGCTCACTTCGCAAACGTCACACAAATAGCCGATGCACTTTCTCGTAAGTCGATTTTTTACATCTTTCTTGGATTTCTCCTCTTAGTAACCTCTTAGTTTGCTCTTATTCATGCATGGCTTTGAAATTCGTTTGCCTTTACTTGTAGTTTGGGAGAAACTAAAAGATGTGAAAGCTAAGGAACGTTGGCTACCGGATGTTGAGGTATGATGGTGTATCTACCTACGTAGATATCTACCTATATCCGTTTTGTGATGTGAATTGTTCTTGTCATAAATTTTTTCGAGTTCACGTTTTTTGACTAAATGGTCGACCGTTGATTTGACTGTCGGAAATATTAGTAATATATTTGGCCTTGTTCATTGTAATGAGAAAAGTGATGATATTATTTTTCACTATAGGAAGAATTCGAAGATTCGATGGGTAACGTTGTGAACAAAAAAACATTTGAAGATCTTAGCCGACAAGGATTACTCTAAAAAACATTCTGCACTTTATTTATGTAAATAATAGGTTTCTATTCGTATTCTACCTTAAAAAAACTTGGTCAATATCCCAGAATCACATCCTGAAGGAAAAATACGTTGCAAAAACATGTAACATTGGTAACATGCAACAGTTTCCGTTGCCTAGCAACTGGGTAATCTACAAAATGGCGGAAGACTCGATTTGAGCTTCTGTCCTTTATTTGACCTTTTTTTGATATTTTCATGTATAAACGAGTCCATTTGCAATGGCAATTTCTAAGGAAGAGGCCGAAGAAATTTTGAGGACAGTGCGATTACCTGGTGAAATATTTTCATGTGTTTTTTTTGTTAATATGAAATTTAACTTAGGAATTGCTCTTATTTCATTGACTTTACTTGTGGTAGGAACCCTTTCAGCTTCCTTTGATCGTGCATTCGTATTGGCAACAGATACAAAAGATGCTCGACAGGTTTAAACATAATCTTTCACCAAAATGTTTGTTTATGTCATGGGACTGTGGCACTGGCAAATACAGCACTTACTGGTGGCAGTGTCGGCCCGTTTTCTTTATTAGTTCTTTATTAAAAGTATAATGATAATTATTCTCTATTCACTCACTGCTCAACAATGAATTTCTAAACAAATTAATAATGGTAAGGTAGTAAATTAACACAGCCATGGATGCCGCTACAAACTTAAACCTTGTGGGAGGGGGGTGCGACTCCTCGCTTACTATATTTACTGCGCTTTATACTTTGACTTAAGTTAGGCTAAAATATATGAATCTTAGCAACAACTTGATTTTGGGGAAAACGGAGTGCTTGCAAGCTGGCTCTGTCTCTGAGGAGAAAACTTTAGAAAATATCAAATAACTTTACAGGATGTTTTTAACTTGTACCTAGTTTGGAAGCTAATATTTTGTCACTGTGAAAAATGTTGAGGTCCATTTGTATTATTTTTGCTATTTTTGCACACTGGCATTAAGGTCTTGGCAAAATGTGCAGTACTTTGCAGACTAGCTTTGCAAAAGTTAGCTATTTTTGTAGGCAATCATAAAAGATGTTGAACACGAAGACAGAGAAACTGCTGCAGCCATTGAGATTCAACGGGTTTTTCGTGGATATCTACTCAGGTACACAACTTCTGAATTTAATTACTCGAGAACATTTGCTTAAACCTATTTTAAGCATTAGCTCAATCAGTTGCACTTTGTTGGAAAGATCCTATGTATTTCCTGCTCTTCATGATGATTTATTCATTAACACTTTTTTTTGGAAAGATCCTATATATTTGCTGCTCTTCATGATGATTTATCACAGACAAATTTGGGCCCGCGCAGTATTTATAAATGGTCAGATCTTTCATACAGCACTACTCAACATTCTGGACAAACACAAGCATCTTCTGTTCAGGTATTCGTATGGATATTGATGGATATTATAGGATTGTGTACTTTACTTTGTGTTATAGAAAGACCATTTATATCAGAATCATTTGATTCTGTTATTAACATGAAGTAGAATTTTCTGAAAGTTCAACAAGCAATTATTTGAATTTAATATACCCATGTCAGTGAAGGCCATGATCCATTCTGCTGAAGTAAAAAATAACTAGTTTTCATTGATTGAACCTACCCACTAGTAGTAGACATGATTTTATTGGTTCAAGAGAACTATGATTAAATATACCTATATGCTAGTTTCTATTGGCAAAACCGTAAAAAATGAAGGTTGTAGAAAGGAACGTAGAATTCGCACCCACCATCTGTTGCCCCCATAATACAAATGTTTGCAACCCCTCGTGCAAAACCATGTCCAGCCAACAATTTATTAAAATATAGTAAAAAACAAATTCTGAAGAAACAAGACATCTTGAGATTACAAAATATGAATCAGAACAAGGCAAGAACTGTAAATTTTTGACTTTATTTCAGAACGAGGATGACTCTGAAATAAAGTCGAAAAGTTACAGTTCTCTTCTCGTCTTTTCTGATTCATATTTTGTAATCTCAAGATATATTGTTTGTTTGTTTCTCATGCAAAACGGTTAATTACAGTTAATTTTCTATTACCTTTTATTTTCTCGTTTCTTAGATAGAGGGAAGTTCTAGTAGTTCCAGTACACAGCTCGAAAAACAGTCTAGCTCATCTCAAAAGGATAGTCCGTCGAAAACGTACGTTATTTTTGATAGCAAATATGCACCAATTCCATTTTCACGTGTATTGAATGAAATTTTATGGAATATTGTTAACAGAAAAAGGTTTGGTGCACTTTTGGAAAGTGATTTCAAAATCGTGAAATTTGTTATTTTGTCATTTTGCCAAATCATTTCATTTCTCTATAGAAATCAGCAGGAATATTGTGCTCTAGTTATCCAGAATTGGTGGCGACTTAAGTTGAACGAGAAACGTCGAAACGTTCGGACGCCTCCTGCTCCTCCATCGACCACGGAGGACAATTATTCGACCTCCAGTGTCAGTCTCAGTGTTTCTAGTGGTCCACCGTCTAGAGCAGCAACAAGACTGTCTGGTCAAACATCGACAATGATTTCTGCTGCTAGAGTCATTCAAAAAGCTTGGAGAAGACACGTGGTACACGGCTAGACATGTTACTATAGGGGGAGCTGGGAATTTAGTTGTGCCTATGAAATGCCCGTATGTAGATGTAGAGGTTTATAATCTGGGCTCAAATCGCGCTTGGCAACATGATTATCCGAGATTTTGCCAGATGTTATTCAACATAAATGATACGGTTGTTGCGTTAGCAGGACGAATAAATTTACTCGTTACCTTATCTTGCTACGCAACTAGCTACTCACGATCGAGTATTCGATGCGAACCCTACTAACAATGATAGTTATTATGGGTATGGCTCTTTGCAAAACCACTTTAGATACGTTTTTCCATGGAAAAGATGATTTGATACCTGACGTCACATTATGATGTCATACTTACGTGAGTGGATGGTTAGATGCAGACGCTGTTAAGCCAGGCTGACTGCCTTGGAGTTCCGGTTCATCCTTCAACCTGCTCCTTACGAACCTGGCCACCACGCATCTGCACCTGATCACACCAATTAATTGGCGGGAAAAGGAGAAAAATAATGCTGTTTGCTCTGCAAACGTACATCGCTAATGAGACATGAACCTCACTGTATCCTATCATCTGCGTGCTAACTGCAGGGGGTCTAGTGCCCAGATCTGCGCGCCGTTCCTTGGCTATTAACCTTGGTTATTTCATAACCTCGTTTAAATGGATACCCTGGGGTGGTTTTATAGGCCAAAGTATATTAGTAAATGCCACAGTTTGAAGGCCAAATGAAAAACATCTTTGGTGTCGTCAGAACTGATTTTTTTTTATAAATACTGCTTAGCATATATTTCCTTCTTTCTAGGATGTGCAGGTCTATTGTTACTATAAGGACTTGATTAGCTTTAGATTTCGCGGTGATCCCGCCATGCTATTAAAATGCATCAATCCAAAGGAGGTAAAAAATTGAGACTGGGGATTTATCAGATTGCGACCTCATATTATTACGATAAGGATTAATCTACAACATAGCTTTGGGATTATCCTACAGGTTAACATTAAATGACTGCGATTGTCTAGCAGGACAGTGTTAAGTGATACGGATTACGGATTATCTTGTAGGACAGCATAGGATCATGTGGATTTTTCTAAGAGTTAGCATCTCATAATCGAGAATGAGATTACTAAACATATTTGTTCTGTGAAAAACATTTCAGGCAGAATTGTTGGATCAAGCTTCTGGAACGCACGTCAAGTTCAGATTGGCTGGGGTAAGATTTTCGCAAAGATTAGAAATACACATGATTGTCCTACCAGAGATAGGACAATATAAGAAAGTCATGTACGACTGTATGACTTTGTCGACATTCATGTAATCGCTATGAGCGAGTACGAAATGAATGTTCATTTACTCAAAGTTGCCGAAAACTGGACTTCTTCATCAACTGATGCAAATTGTACTACGTAAATATTTATCGAACATCGTTGCATTTTACTACTCGTTGCCGTATTCTTTGATTAGGTAGGATTTTGCGCTAAAAAATATCGCGAACTAAGCATTTTGTTCTTCTGAACACATGAGCTTCGATATGTATCAGAACCGCTTGCAATGTAAATACGTCTCTCGTAAGGGAGGATGCATTTGGACAATCTCTTAATCGCATTTTTCTTTTTCAGACCTCGTTCCCACCAAACATTTATTATAAGATCTTTACGCATTCTCATATTGTGGATATGTGTGCAAACAGCCCGAAGGATTACACCAAAGCGTCGGCTAAAGTACTACCACCGCGCCTTCACCATAACAATGATCTCACGAGACCATATTCGGACCTAGGTAGGCGTTTGGAACTATGAGCAATGGTCGGCTACCACGTGTAGGAAACATATTTTGTATTAAGAACATATTTGCTATATACGTGTAATGACGTAGCCAGTCCGTTATTCATAGTCCTTTGCAAAGGCATTCCTTTTCACTCATTTGAAAAACGGCCGATTTCTTAAAGATATCAATTGTTACATGTATTTAGATGTAGACTCTTCAGAGAGAAGAGTCTTGAGGTTGACTGTTGGTGTCGATGTGGAGTGACGTTTTGTCAACCTTAACAGTAGTCATCTTCAGAATTAAGTAAGGAGTAGAGTTGACTCTGAAAATGACTACCGCTGAGGTTGTCGAAACGTCACTCAACATCAACATGAACAGTACTTCTCAGGGCTCTACTAACTTGGGAAGATCTACATCTACAAACGCGTAACGATTTTCCCGAGTTCAAACCATTCACTGTAAGGGTAGGATTAGCACATCTAACGTAGCGTTCTGTGTTTCAAGACTGCAGAGAAGGCTGGTATGAAAGATATGAAAATAATGGCTGGAGGATTGTGTCGGATAGGGTGCGTATTAGACATGAATTTTTTAACTTTTGCATCTTTACGAATATTCATGCAACTGTTGTGCGCATTTGTGCATAAAACGCCCAAGCAATGTGATTATTATGAATTGTAGATATTATGAAAGTGGAGATTTTCAGATTGTTTTTAATCTTGAATGACTATTAATTCATCTGACATGTTGATATCGATGGACACAGTTGCTTGTGAATCGTTACAAATTTTCTATGGTCGTCTGACCGTCGAACTGTTCACTTCTTCAGGTTTTGCGAAAGATTAAAGAAGATGACATTACGTACGACTCTTCGCAGAAAAAAATCGACTTCAAACACGAGAAGGTTTGAAGCTACATCTAGCTAAAAATCACTACACATAAGCGCAAGTTATGAACGTGAGATTTTTTTATTTCAACACTTCTTGATTCAGTCAGTTACTCAGAAATTTTTACACATTCATATATACCGTTGAGATTGAAAACAATCTAAGAATAGGTGTATTTAATGGTTGTCTCTGTTTACAAATAAGTAATAAATTGGTATTTCTCCTTGCACATAGATATTAAATATGTATCTTTTTTTACGAATAGGTATTTAAAATGTATCTCTGTGTACATATAGGTATTTAATATGTATCTCTACGTACATATAGGTATTTCATTGGTATCTTTATATACATATGGGTCTTTAGTGAGTATCTCTATGATTCGTGCCTTTTCTTATGTGTAGTTGATGAGAAAGGATGATTTGGAAAGAAAACGAAAACGACGGAAAATTGATTGGATGAAGAAAATGTAAGGAAAACCTATTAGTGCGTATAGTCTTCTAAACATCTGAGAACATTCCTTAACAGTGCCGGAACCACAGCTATGAAAATAAATTATTGTAGCAGCTCAATTTTTAATTCGAAGTGACGTCATAACAATGATGTTGCCAAGAATGAGCTGTGGTTATGTATTTTCACTTAGCCTGGCTCCCCCCAGTGCTCCTAAACATTGCATAAAGTCAATAGAAAGATCTTTCAAAATTTGAAAAACATGTTTTTCGCACTTAAAATAATTTCCTTCTCTCTTTTGCCAACAATCTTTGAGCCCAATTGTATTGCGTTTGGCAACTTAGAAAAGGAATATAGTTGTGTGATATATGTACTTATAGGTACAAAGAAGGTATGCTAGTGAGTAACCCTGGTACTGAAACTCCGGTGGTCAGGGATATCGAGAACACTTTGAGAGATATAACACAAGTGACGGACATTAAGGGATACGAGGCAGTAGACGAATGGGAAGTTGATGAATTACTGGAATGGACGAACGGTTTGAATTTTGACAACTACGTTGCGGGCTGGAAGGAGGTTGCGACAAGTGCCATTGCTGGACAATCTCAAGGTTGGTTTCACGTTTAAACGGCCCGTATAACGAAGATTTAGCTATTATAGTTTCATTGAAAAGAACTCGTAAAATGACAGTGGAATTTTTAAAACAGTTTAGTCATCTGTCTTTGCATTCTGAAGATATTGAAATTCAGTGATGTCCGATTTATAGAGAAAGTGACGTCACATTGCATAATGAGCCGCTGCAGATTTATGAATATCCTTCGGTTTCCTGCCAACTTTGGGATAAAATACCTTAACTCCGAACCCGTCCGGTTTATGTAACATGCGTATCAGGAAATAATATTAATGATTCAAACTCTCATCATGCAATGTGACGTCGCTTTCTTTATAAATCATGATGCAATGTTTTTAACATTAATGCTTTCAATTTTTGACTCTGAAGATGACTACCGCCAAGGTTGTCGAAACGTCAGTTAACAACAACAAAAACAGTCCTTCTCAGGACTTTATTAACCTGGACGATCATCATTTACAAACATATAACGATACTCCCGGGTTCAAACCATTTACTTTATTAATGCTTGCAAGTACCAAAATCGAATCCAAAGTAGAGAACGCTCCACTTTAAACCTTCGTAGATTCATCCCTGCGCTTACGTCTGGAACTATCAAATTTATGATACTTCATGGTCGGTCGTTTCCACAAAAACTTAATAGTTCAAGAAGTATGCATGCGTATGTATGTAAATGCTCAAAAGAAAGTCAGCTACGGTGTTGAGAGATGTTTTATTAAAGAGAAGACAAATTTCGTGTCATACACATAACTTTTAGTCACTTAAGATATTGTTTTAGTGAAGTTTTCCTTCGGTATTCAATCCATTTTCACCAGGCGATAAGACGCAATGTAACATTATTCAAAATACAATTCAGCATTCAAAACGATGTGGGTTTTTTTCATTGTTCTGTATAACTATATCATTCGACGTATTTATATTAGATATTTTGTCATCCGTTTGTCCTGATAAAGTAAATGGTTTGAAACATGTAACGTTTGTCCGGCCCATAATGACAAAATTTCAAATTACTCTTTCATTGACTGTTTGTTATAGGAAATTTATTGTTAATATTCAACGATCTAAATTTTAATAGAAAGCTAGGCTGTCTGACTCATTTCAGTGAACGTTGACTACACTATGTTTAATTCTAACATCGGATCATGTGTTTTTTTTTTCCCAAAAAAGTTTTATAATTCTGACTTTTTATAGTGCGAGAGTTTATCTCACATAACTGACGTACTTGTGTTCCATTTAGGAAAAGTGAAGACTTTAAAAGAATATACGAGATCAGTGGCTTATTCCAGATGACATTGCCCTATATCCTTCACTAATTGGCTTTGGTATTGTGTATCTAGTCGACCGACTCACAAAATTTTTTTTACCTTGGTCTGATAAGATTTGACACGAACTAATATGCCCACGTTGTGCTGTAGGTTAAGAGTGCGCTTAACGATTGCAATTTTTTATGCAATTGTTCTAAAAGAGAGTTTTTATAATTTTGAGTATAAGAAATAGCGAGCATTTTTTTTTAGACTGTTACTATTTTAAGAAATAATCCAGGTGTTTTTATAGAACTCGTATATTTTCGGCCAAAGTTCGTTTGGAGGGTTCGTTTTTGTTTCAAACACGAGGATTTTATGCACTAAATCTTAGGGACCATTATGTGATACTGTTAGATAGGGTTGTTTTTAGTATAACGTCATACCGCGTTGAATCTTCCGAATGTTTCTAGCAACGTCATACCCAATGGTCATACCGCGTTGAAGCGTCCGAATATTTCTAGCAACGTCATTCACGTCAAATCTTCCGAATGCCATTCGCAGAGTAGTAACCAATCTTTGCCTTTTGTAAGATCTAGCATTTTACCCGGTACTGTTGGCAAGAAACAAAATCTATTTTATGCTGAAAGTCTGAAAAACACGTTACTTTTACCAAGCGAAGAAAACAACAAGAAGCGTGCACCAAAATTCGTTAATTTCCATTTACGACAATAATAGGTGAAAGGAATCACGCGTTTTATAGTATGTGGCAAAGGACCGATTGCCATTACGTGTTAAAACTTGAGTTAATTTCTATTTACGACAATAACAGGCGAAAGGAATCACGCGTTTTATACAATGTGGCAAAGGACCGATTGCCATTACGTGTTAAAACTTGAAAGGCTTTTCTATTTCACACGCATAGATTTTTTAGGTGACTCTCAAGCCAGCGGTAATGAAACAACGAAAATGATAACGATTTCGACAAAACATTTAGCGCCGATAGTATGTTGGGTAGCACTTTTTTATCTTTTATTGCTTTCGTATCTTACTTGGCATCGAAAGCGATCTTCCCGAACTCAATACTGGTCTTATAAATGTCTTCCGTATGAATAAATAATCCTCTTAAGCCCTTGGCTTGTTAAAGATCTTTCACCGTGATTTGAATAAAATTTAAATTATAATTGTTAATAATAAAAGGCCATAAATTCCAGTTGACACAATTATCATTTCTGTCTATCTGCTAACTATATGAATGACAACAAATGCATTGTATGAAGTCTATTTGACTAGAGACGTCTTGCTGTTTTCAACTTGCATTTAAATACTTCGTTTATTCTTGCGAATCAAGCGTTGACTTCATAGGAAGACGAAAGAAAGCCTGGAGATATAAACTGATTCAGCACAAGAGAAACGTATTCGCTTACAGGGACAAATCGAGAAGGAATCTTCCATTGAAGGTATGTTCTTTTTTTTGAAATCACTTTGCGCAAAGTATCATTGATAGGCGAAATTCAAGCATCAATTAAAATGTTTCACATTCGTTTCGATGTTATTTGTTTTAATTGGGCAAAGTTGTTTATGTCTGACTAGGTCATTTAGCTCATCGTCAAACTATACCTTTATAAGTTTTCATGTCTAAAATGTATTTGTATTATATGAAATGACAAGTCAACAACGTACATAACACACCCCACCCGTCGCCGGAAGGCTTGCAGCAATAAATTTTTATTATGTTCAAGTATGTTTAGATACAAGACCACTTTCCCTAAGTATGTATGGTCTGTATTGGCTACATGTTTGTAAGACGTAGCGTGCTCTTACTAGCCGCGCTAAAGAAAGCTATTTTAAAGTCTTTTGTCTTATTTAGAGCTCAAATTAAGTGGGCAGTTGAACTTCGCACACGATACTCGAGTATTCGATAAAGAGGCTTTACTGATCGTGACGTCGCAAGACACGTCACTATTGAAACTATTCGAAAATGCCGAAGTTGGTGAGTTTAGACGTTCTGTAGTCACTATTTCTTTCTCTAAACGATTGAAAACTATCAAAACTGGACAAATGTGCATGATCGTAGTCGAAAAGAACTTCGATCATTCAGTGGGAAGATTAGCAAAATGCAGAAAGCAAAGTAATTTACATACGTAATGCTTATTTAAACTGAAGTTAAGGTATAATGTTGTTTATATGATTCGCTCAAATGGTCAGACAAGTCTTTCACTTTCAGCATTTTCATTTTTAATTCCTCGTTTTCAATATAGCACTGTATGATACTCCTGGGTTCAAACCATTTACTTTATAGCACTGTATGTTGGAAAATTGTAGCTAATTATAATCTCCAGGTTTGTAAATGTAGATCGTCCAGGTTGGTATAGTCCTGAGAAGTACTGTTTTTGTTGTTGTTGACTGACGTTTCGACAACCTTAGCGGTAGTCATCTTCAGAGTCAAATGAGGAGTAAACGTCAGGTTAGCCATATTTGTTATCTGGTTCTTACGTCATTGTATTGTGTGTACAGGAAATGTTTATTGTCATTGTGAATTAGTGTCATTGACGTTTACTCCTCATTTGACTCTGAAGATGACTACCGCTAAGGTTGTCGAAACGTCAGTCAACAACAACAAAAACAGTCCTTCTCAGGACTATACCAACCTGGACGATCTACATTTACAAACATGTAACGATACTCCCAGGTTCAAACCATTTACTTTATAATCTCCAGTTTGATGTATCTCGAATACATGAGGCTGCTTCACCTCAATCATTGCTAACTCTTACTGTAGATGGATGCAATTGTGTCTACGGATGCCAAGGACCTGCGTATTCCCATCAGTCAGGATACTACAGGCCGTGAGCTCTATTACAAGGTTTGGTAGACATTCATCGCTTTGGTGTGACGTCATTGCTAGTCGTTGCTTGGCGCCATAGTACGCCTCATCTTCGTGTCGACGTTAACACGTGTATACGCACGTTCTTTTCTAGGTCGTATCTTTCATTGGCCTCAAAGAAATCTGGTATTTTGGCTTGGAGTACCAAGACACAAAAGGTTTTATAAATTGGTTGAAACTTAACAAAAAGGTGACTTCCATAGATCTTATTTATAGATGTCGGGTTTAGATTATACCATCGTGGAAAAATTCTTTCTTGCGACGAAAGTTTTAGTCAATCTTACAAATTTAAGCATGTGTGCGTGCTATTTAAGGCTACACAAGTCATTCCTACGTTGTTCATTTCAGGTGAGTCAACAAGATGTTAGACAGGAAGAGAAGACCTTACATTTTAGGTTTCTCATAAAGTACTATCCCGAAGATGTCAGCGAGGAGCTAGTCCAATTCGTCACTCAGGTAAAATGTTCTTTTACATGTTTGCACAACTTGTCTTATAACTATATATGCAACTCACGTGTTACATTGGGCATTTACCGTAACATTTTTGCATATTTTTACCACAAATAGGAAGTATTTTTTTCACAAGCGAAAGCTGCAATACTCAATGATGTCGTGTACTGTCCATCGGACAAAGCAGTTTTGCTGGCTTCATTGGCGGTAAGTTTTTCGTCATTGACTTGACTGACAAACGGTGTCATAGTTTATTTTCCTAGCAGTGCGAAGACTGTCGTTCTATATTACTCATTCATCACCACCAATACTGACACACGTTATCTTAGTTTATATCTTGTATAGTTAAAAGACTGTTCTCATTCTCTGTTGTTTATTCGTCACACGCATTACTTAAGTTATGTTTTATCTGTTGCAGAGACTGTTTTCGTTGTCTTGCACTCGTTTTCTTTACTGTACTCTACACTAACACTATACTTGATAAATTTAGTGTCAAGCCAAACGAGGTGAATATGCTGAGCTTTCATACGCGGAAAGGCTTCTGAATAAAGAAAAACTATTGCCAGACAGGTTTGAAGATATAATTTTTACGTCTGTGAAAACTTTGAGTTGCTGTAAGTTACACGAAAATGTAAACGCTCTGAGGGGGAAAAAAGTTGAAGATCTCAGTTATTTTAACGTTCCTTTCCGTCAAAGTCTTTCGCTTACCCTTGCCTTTTTGACACATAGTGTTTAACCCGTTTACATTACACGTTGTCTTAATGAAGTATATATACTCAAGAGAGTAATCTTGAAGCTACATGAAGTGCTTTGTGTACAGGATTGTCAGGCAATATAAATTGACGAAAGACGAGTGGGATCAACGAATCACGGAACTTTGGGTACGCCATGGTGATATGATGAGGTATAAGACTGTGCTGAAATTCGGCAGTATGATTTGCGTTGAGTTTGGGGTAGTTAATTTTAATGGTGTGAAAATATAAAGACCATTTCAAGTCACTCCACAATTGACTTGTTTCCAGTTGCGAAACCAGTCCAGTAGGGCGGGAATAAAAATTTGAGCTGAATTAATCATCGTTTGTTTCAATATCAAAAGACAATATTGGAAGCATGTTTTCCAAGGTTGCTACATGGGAAGCATGATTTTAACATCACATCGATTGTCGATTAGTTGTTTTCCAAGGTTGCCACATTGGAAACATGATTTTAACATCACATCGATTATCGATTAGTTGTTTACCAAGGTTGCCACCTACATGTTCATCTGTTGTGGGTGGACAAGATAGATCGAAATTTTCTTGCTTTATTCCTTAATATATTAGAATAAAGCAAGTTCCTTGCTTTATTCTAATATATTAATCCTTAAGGATTAATATATTATGTATATACTCTGATGATGGCTTTGCTTTATCCTATTCCTATCCAAGATGATCTCATCTTCTTTTCACTTTGTTTTCCTCAGCGAAGATGCAGTTATGGCGTATCTTAAGGTTGTGCAAGATCTTGAAATGTATGGTGTGACATTCTTCGAGATTCAAAACAAAAAGGGAAGTTACCTGTGGCTCGGCCTTGATGGTTACGGCTTGCATATTTACGAGAGGGAAAACAGGTATGAATACTGTGTGCACCTGCGAGTTGTAATCTTTAGTAACTAGGTTTTTCATCCTTTCGCTTGTGTCAAAGACTTCGAAGTGTGTATGACTGGAAGTTTTATTATATAGTTTTTATGATTTTGTTGCAAAGAACATTGTAAAATGACTTAATAAAGAAATAAAAGATGTTTATCGTGTTTGCAGTTTGCACATGCAGGCTCGTGCAAATCGAAGAGACCCTAGGCAGAACTCAAGATCAACTAAAGAGATTGCATAAGCCAGTGCAAGCACGAATTACATCTTTTATAAAATAACAATAACGTGTAACAGATAAATTTGAAACAAATACTTTAATTTTTCCTGCAACATATATTCACGATTGATTTCCAAATTCTCTTTGGTTGATTCAATTGATTTTGCTCAGATCGGCTTGCGCAGGCAAATGCGCACCACAAACTCAGCTATGCACCAATCAGCGGACCGTTGTAGTGTTGTTATCTTATAAAATTTTATCAGTATATGTTATGACATGTGATTGCATAATTATACTTTCCATGAAACCGTGCACCTATTTTCTGCATCGTTTGGGACATTTTATTCACACGTAGAACAGTTACGAATACATGTGTCGATAAATATGCATTAAGATACCGTATAGTTAGACCACTTACATGACAAATTATCGACAAAAACGACCATTAGCTAAAGCTAATTTTATCTTATGATGCACAACGAGTAAAGTTAAATATCTCTAAGAAGACGTAATCAATTCATGCAGATATCAAAATCAGAAAACTGTACGGTAATATTTCGTGTCAAAAACTCTGAATTGTGGATAAACCACATGCAGAGGGTGTTTTCACTGCGTTAAACTTTAGGTTGCATTCGAGGGGCAGATGCAGTTGAAAACGGTTGTAATATATGAAAACAAAGCAACGCATTTGATATTGAGGGCTAGTTGCTCGGTCACTTTGTAGACTTAGAAAGAAAAACTTCTGGTTCTGCGTAACGCCACAGTTCGATGGAGGCGATGGTTTTTCATTTATCTACTTCTTGAACGTATGTCCACAGTCATATCAGTTTTATTTCTTCCTGCATAGGTTAACTCCGAAAGTTGGTTTTCCTTGGTCCGAAGTGAAAACGTTGTCATTCAATGGCAGGAAATTTTTCATAAAACCTCTAGACAAGAAAAGTCCGGTTTGTACCCGTTCCCTCTATATATCGTCCATTCCCCTCAAAAGAAATATTTAATTTCATTTTAACTGAAGATATCATTGTCAATTTTTCTTTATTGTGAAATTGTCTATTTACTGTGACTTACGAAAACACTCCAAACTCTATGATCATTTGAATCTTATTGATTACGAACTAGCTCGTTTTCATTTCTTTGCTATAGGACTTCGTGTTTACTGTTTATTCTGTGGAAATCAACAGACAGATACTGGCTTTATGTATGGGTAATCACGAAATGTACATACGACGACGTCAAAATGAACCGACGACTATCACTCAAATGAAAGCAGAGGCAAAGCATCAGCGACAGATAAAGCAAGAAGAGAAGTAATTTTAATGAATTACGATTTTCAAGTTCATATCACATAGACGTTGTTTAAAGCAATTTGTAATAATATAGCAGTAACAGTAACAGCGAAGAAACGAAGCTTAGGAAACACTTTGCTATCGAATAAGATTGTGTCTTTTGCTTTATATGACATGCTTACTCCATACAACATGCATAGTCTGTACGGCATGCTTCTCCATACAACATGCTTACTCTATACAACATGCTTACTCAATACAACATGCTTACTCTATACAACATGCTTACTCTATACAACATGCTTACTCTATACAACATGCTTACTCTATACAACATGCTTACTCTATACAACATGCTTATTCTATACAACATGCTTACTCTATACAACATGCTTATTCTATACAACATGCTTACTCTATACAACATGCTTACTCTATACAACATGCTTATTCTATACAACATGCTTACTCTATACAACATGCTTACTCTATACAACATGCTTACTCTATACAACATGCTTATTCTATACAACATGCTTACTCTATACAACATGCTTACTCTATACAGCATGCTTATTCTATACAACATGCTTACTCTATACAACATGCTTATTCTATACAACATGCTTACTCTATACAACATGCTTACTCTATACAACATGCTTATTCTATACAACATGCTTACTCTATACAACATGCTTACTCTATACAACATGCTTACTCTATACAACATGATTATTCTATACAACATGCTTACTCTGTACGGCATGTTTAATTCTCACGACATAATTACTTCATAAAGAATGCTTATAACATCTGTGTTACACTGTGAAAAAGAAGAATTAATGCTATAAGTTTACAATGACATTTTGTTTGTTGTTTTTTTTTTTTTGTTATGATGTGATGATGGAAACTTGAGTTTTTTGTCCTAATGTCGTTAAGGTTGACGCTTAAAAAAGAAAGAGAAGAGAGAAAGAAGGCCGAAGAATTGAACCTACAGCTTATCGAGAAAGCAAAAAGTCTGGAAATAAAAGCTAAGGAAACCGCTGAAGGTGATTAAAAACATTCCTTTTTTTCAGACTCATTTCAAGGTTGAAGTTTTTTGTTTCTATAGTGCAAAAACTGAGCTGTTCATGACACGAATATTCTAGAGTCAATCGACTTCTTATGAAAAAAGAATTGTTTATCTCCCGACTTTGTCGGCTTCAGATTTTTGGCGGGAGATAGCTTTTTAGTTACGCTGAGGTCAACGGTTTTATCCATTTCATCTAATATAAAACTGCACCTTTATATATGAGGACTCGCACGAACGGTCGGTCGAACGCGTCTGTTCTATAAGCCTTTCATGATCATGAAATTTAGTTGCTGTTATTGTATGAGAGTGGTAAGGGTAAAAAACTTACTTGTACAGTTTGTTCCATTCCTTTATCGCCACCTCCTGAAATTACTCCCTCTTATCATTATGTGTACTGCCGTGGCGCTTGCAAGATTTTTTTGTGGATGGAGGGGGATGCTAGGGGGTGTTGTGGAGGGGAGGGGATTGCTCTTACAAAGTATACTTAATGTTATTTTTTCTTGTACGAATAAATAATATGGTCTTGTTTCATAGCATCCCCCCTTATGCTGGGTAAATATACGAAAGCGGCGCACTTCTGTCTTTTTTTATGAAAAACTAGTATTGAAAGTTCAAAACAAGGAAACTCTCGAAGCATCTGATATACTAAAGTTTTAGTAGTTAAAGTTTGCCCATGTTTTGTGTGGCAAACTTCCTACATATATAAGAGAAGTGACGGATCTAGGGTACGTCAGAATAAACTACTGCAGCATATTTTGACATATATTTACATTTACATGTTTGTAAATGTAGATCGTCCAGGTTGGTATATTCCTGAGAAGGACTGTTTTTGTTGTTGTTGACTGACGTTTCGACAACCTTAGCGTCAGTCAACAACAACAACAAAAACAGTCCTTCTCAGGACTATACCAACCTGGACGATCTACATTTACAAACATGGAAACATCAGTCAACAACAACAAAAACAGTCCTTCTGAGGACTATACCAACCTGGACGATCTACATTTACAAACATGTAACGATACTCCCGGGTTCAAACCATTTACTATATATTTACATTTCTAGCCACTTTAGAGGCATATCTATGCATTGGTAAAATCGTATTCTTTGAAAACCAATAGTATTTTCTTGAAAGCACTTCGAATTTAAAATGGAGTGGTTATAATTTATTTTGACAAACGCTGGATCCGCTTCTGTATAAGATAGAGGATTTTTAGTGAGATTCTGCATCCATGTAGTTAAAAATTTATAGATCAGTAGAAAAACTGCCGGTTTAACGTAAACGTTTGATTCCTTTTTATTTCACCAGCTTTGGAGATAGAACGTCAGCTTAAACAGGATTTGGAAGAGTTACATAAATTAGCGGAAGACGAAAGTGCCAAGGAGCGTCAGAAAAACCAGGAAATTGAACAGCAGAAGCAGGAAATTATCCGCCAACTGAACGAGCAGCAAGTTGCAAACGATTCCTTGGTAAATTCAAAGTAACTGCGTGTCAAAGAAATTAGTCATGAGTCCCTTGTTTGTATGTAACAGAGAAAAAAATGTTTGTTCAAGTTACAGCGATTATGCCATAAAATGTTTTAACAATTTTCACGAGAGTTGATTAAGCTAACTTTATTTTAACGCGAAGAAATGATTTATTTTCTTCATTGAACTTTACTCGACTCAGTTGAACTTTATTATTTACACTTGATGAATATATATTTTTAAAGAGCTGGGAAATTTTCGCGTTTGAATTTGCTTGAATACAATGGCACATCCATCCCGCCACTCGAGTTTTACTCCTGCTATGTAAATTTTAGAACATAATTTTTCATTGTAGACTGAATTTTATAGTTTAAGCAGTTTAACAGTGAGTGAACATAGAAAAATTTACAGAGCGATACTAAATAAGCGAGCTGGCTACCCCATTGGTGTTCTGTCACATGACTTTTAGCCAATAAGCGTTTAGCCTTCACGAATTCTATATGATAATACAAGCTATTTATATTGTTCTAACGGGGTCCATTCGACTTTCTCATATAGCGTCAACAACATTTGGCTGAGCAGCAGGAGTTGGAAAAAGTGAAGCGTGAAAAAGAGATGAACGAAAAGCTTTATCTGGTAAGAGATGAAAAAAATCTTGACTTACCGTATTTCCTCTATTTAGTCACCAGCCTCATTTTAATCCTCCCTTTCAATAATCACTTCCACTTGAAAGGTAGCAAAACAGGAAAATAGCCTCGGCCTTTACATTTATCCTCCCCTCCGGCTAAATTGAAAATGACCGGAAGTCAATCTCACGATGAAATCATAACAAAATACGAATGCTCTTCATTTATTTGAGCGTTTATTGGTTGGAAGTTATGAAGACGAAAATCAAAATAATCACTTGCTCTGTGTCAAAATTTCAGTCAAAATTATAGTCACGTGCTTAAGTTTTTCTTTTTTCAAAATGCGCTTACTTGATTGGACATTCGAAAAAATAGAAATTAATATTGCAACATTTGTGTTGGTGTTAGTTAGTATACGCTAGCAATCTTACGTGACAAATTATTTTGCCCTCAGCTTCTTTTTAGCTTCCCCTTCTTATAATGCTCCACTAATTGAAAGATAGGGGGGGGGGAATGAACCCCCAGTGGGCTGAATCGAGGAAATTCGGTATGTTTTAAAAATCTTTATGTTTTCACATCATCATAAACATGTGTTCATCATGTTTCTTCATCAGGCAAATACTAGAATGGGACATCTCAACGACAGAAGGAAAACGCCTGAGAATAACTACAGTTATTCACAACCTCCTGTCGAATCTCATCACAACGCGTACGTACCTGGTGAATTCGATGGTGAAGCAAGGTCGGCGCATGAAGTGGATAGACTAGATAATCCTCCGTCGCCTGACTACGATCGTGAGGTGTCGATGGAAGGTTATGTCAAGAACTATCTTGATGTAGGTTTTTCTTAATCGCTTTGAACCGTTTCAGTCAAGGCTGGAAATTTCTGAGTTTATCGTCTTGCTTGTGTGGCATTTTAAGCTATTCTGTTTTTTTTAATTTAAGCTGTTTTATGTTTATGGTTTTTGTATATCTGTGAGGTCATGATGAATGGACAACAGAATACGGGAACAGTACCCACACTTCACTTCCTAAAATATAAACTAAGATAACGTGTGTCAGTGTAGGAAGTGATGAATGAACAACAGTGAACAAGAACAGTCTTTACACAACATAAAATATAAACTAAGATAACGTGTATCAGTGTAGGTAGTAATAAAGGAACATCTGAGAAAGAGAACAGTCTTCACACTACCTAATATCATAAACTAAGATAACGACATAACGCGTGCCAGTGTAAGTAGGAATGAATGAACTACAAAGAACGAGGACAGTCTTGACATTATTTAGCTTATGTCGATGTTAGCCAAATGTCCTTGAAACTCTGCTTATACATGCTTAAATTTTGCAGGAACTAACCAAAGATCTTTCTTCTGTGGTCGAGGACACAAAACTAACTAATTTGGATCGTATTCATGTTGAGAACGTCAAAGCTGGAAGGAATAAATATAATACGTTGAAGGCAATACGTGTAGGCAACACAAAACAAAGAATTGACGAATTTGAATGTATGTAATATCGTCAGAAAGGACGGTAAAAATTCTTAAACATGAAGGTCAATGTTTTCTGCCTTTTTGGCTTGTTATAACATGTTTTTCGATTATATACAAAACTGCAATTTTCTTAAATAGTTAATTATCTTTAGCTTTTAAAATTCAACACGTCATTTGTATTATGCAACCTTTTAAATTGTTTAGTTATGTATTTAATTACTGCACGTCTTATTTTATAATTCAATGCATTCATTAAATTGTTTATTATGTATAAATTACTGGATATATGCAATTTATTGTAGTTGTATGAACTTGTTTGTCCTTCAAGACTGCTTCATTAATATGATAACATGTAATAATTTTAATTGGATAAATGATTATGTTTGTTGATATTGACGATTTACCCTATACAACTGCTTTTCCCGAAAGAAAATTGTAAAAATCGACTGAATTCGAAACCTTTAAACTCCGAAGGCAAAATTCTGGCAATCTTCGCCACCAAAGAGTAACAACATTTGCAAAAGTAATGCAGTCCTATGAAAATACATTTTTTTCATATACATGCACGCGCCCCTTTGACATTATTAAGCTAATTCTATTGCGTCATAAAAGAAAAATTGCGATGCCAAGCTGGCTTGTAAAACGTAACTAGATCGTTGCTCACACAATTAAAATAATCACGTCGAAATATAGCCTAAGGGGATGTCGGAAAAGAAACGCGAAAAACGCCTCGAAGAATTGTGTCGTTCACGTTTGCCACGCGCCCCGACAAATGGAGAAAAATGGCCTCAACTTTCTGAAAAATCATGTCAGAATTTTGTCCAAGTGCGGAGCCCAAGTCCTCGGGGAATGTTTGCCACCGTTCGTGGACCTGAAACGCCTAACAGACACCAGTTGTTCCCTGGTACACCCAGAACGAACGATGTTCTTATGGGAGCAAAACATAGTGCACACGAGGTGACCGCCATGCCCAAGCGAAAGTCATATCAGGGCGCGCACGACGTGATGAAGAAGACGTTCTTTCCCGGAATTTCTTCACAAGTTATCACGCATGCGGATCCTCCGTTTCCTTCAACTGACACACAACCTTTACCTCCCATTAATCTACCCAAAGCCCATGAAGCTGTGTCCAATACAGCAAAACAAGGTAATGTTTTGTAAAAGTATTTGATTTAGCGAATTCAATTTATTGCCTGCTTTTATTGCGTGCACGCTTGAAGGTCAAAATTGAGGAAAGGTTTTTCTATTGGGTATCAATAGTGTCGACATAAGCATTTAGAAATATCATCCTGTTAAACGCAATCTATTCATTTCTTCTATTGAAATTATTCATCTCTAAAAACTCACTATTTACAATGACGTATATTACTATTTTAAAACATAATGCTTTCTTATGCTATGGGTTGAATAGTTTGTTATAAGATGGAAAGAAAATAAGAAATTGTTTGTGGTTGCTCTTATTTTTCACGATGTCGATTTATACTCTGTTCATGGTATGTTGACCAAAGTAACTATTAAGCACAACTTCTTTTTCATGAATTGACAAATCTATGAAATACATTTAAAGTTAAATGAAGACTTTCAAGACAGTTTTTTGTTTGGAAATTCGCATTGCTTTTGCATGACCAGTTAAATAAAGCGATGTGTTAATCTTTTCTGCAAGTTACTGCTCATGTGCTTTAGTGGGAAAAGACAACAGACCTTTCACGATACACGGACAAATGGCTTTTGAAAGTACCACAAACTCCATCGACATTGGGTTATCTGTTGGGGAAGAACGCGCTGGCAAACGCAAACTGGAAGCTTTGAAACGTGTCGAAGAACAGGAAAGATTACCCTTATCTCACCTTTCCAGGCGACAACCGAGAGATAGCGAATCGAAAAGTAGTAAGAAGAAGCGCGCAGGTGCAAAGAGGGGTAAAAATGAATTCCGTAGATTCACAAAACCGTTAGCATGGAAATCACCATGGCCTGATGGTGAAAATGCTGACATGTCTGGCGTGGAAACAGATTGGACTGACATCAACTGATGATCTTTGTAGTGTTTTGTCGATTAACATAATATTTCTATTTTATTTCGTTTATGTAGAATTGCAAACTTATTAAGATTTTGTGATTGAGAGATTTGATGTGTTAGATTGTTGGGTTCGGGACGTGTGTGTGTGCGCGCACGCACGCAGTTTCTGGCCACAAAGTTGTAATACTTGATTTAGGAGAGGCAAAATTATCAATGCTGTTCAGTGACGTACCTGCCTGATTGTTTGGTCGTGCTATATATAAATTTCAGATCAAAAGCATGATTCGCTTGAGTGAACTGCAAAATGTTTACATAAAATGCTTTTTAGGTATATCATTCGTGCATTCATCGAAGCTACATGTTCTCCACATGCTTCCGAAGCTTTTATTTAACTCGAATGACCCTTGAACAAGCCAAAAGGGTGACTGGAAACTAGCACTGAAAAGTAGACCTTATGCAAGAACGGTTCATTTATTCATTTGTTTGTGTCTGTATAATAAATATAAACAATCCAACCTTTCTCATTTTGCTGGAGGAATCAATTTTATTTTTATTGAATCAATATTTTAGTGTACATCAATGCATGTCGGTCAATAAAGCTATCTGGAACCATGGCTAGAGCCAGTCTCCACGACGCTACCAGCCATTTTGCAGTGACCACTGACCATTGGAATTTGTGGGCACGCATGTAAAATGGCGGCAAGAAATTGAAAATAAACGACAATAGAACAACAATTGCCTTTTCGCTTTGTAAACATTGCTTGAACATTGAAGAGCCACGCAGTGAAGACTTTACATTGACTTATACCCATACATATGGCAAAAACAATTCAGTGTGGTCTTTGTTTCCAAGGTTTTGTTTAAATTGCTGTTGTTCCTTGAAACGTTCATTTTCTCAAATGCAAAGCTTGCTGAGCAAATGAGTTATAATGAAGATTGAAGAGCACTACAGTTGTTTGAAAATAGGTAAGTTAGCGTTGGTATTTTAAATGAATATTGAAACAGTAGACTCTCTTGAGGAAAAAGACGACTGTTTCCCAAGGGAAAATACATCGCGTGTTTTGCTTTATTGGTTCATTTTTCGACGTAGACATACTCGGCAAAACGCTGTCGAGGCCTTAAACGATGGCTGCAGCACTTTTTGTCATTATTTGATTGATGTTTTTGAATCTTTTTATTGGTAGCCGAATTTCAAAGCCCAACACGCTCGAAAAGTTGAATTTTGTTTTTGTCTCTATACTTTGGTTGTTTTGTATAATAAAGAGCAGGCAACCATAGCGAAGCGTGGGAAACACTCAAATCGTGCGAAGGCTTCAATTTCCGGGGGGACCAAGCTTGTTGACAAGGAATTTTTAACGTCTTCATTCAAAAACCATTCGATTTATTATTTTATGTTCATGCAGGTGTTGCGTTTTAAGTTAATAAGTCAAGGCAACTGACAGTAATTCCAGCCCATTGTCATTGATGTCGAAATGCTCCGACTGCAAGATTTAATGGGCTCGAGTTAGTATGCAGCAAATTGACAATACTTATATACTTAACGTTTCTTTAGGTTGAGCGGTCTTTTTTGTTTGCTTTGCATTTACTTTTGTATCTAATTTGTATTTGCTTTTGTTTAGTGTTTAGTGTGTCCCCACCGTGTTAGTAATGCGTTTACTTTACTGTAAAATATACCGGCGAATTTTCGAAGAGTCACAAACTACCACGGGTTTATCTTCATGCGTAAATGGCATTTGTGCCTATACTATTTGGTATGTTTGTATCTGCTCTATAATTTATTTTTGTGTATTTTTTTGTCTGTTTTTGGAGGAGTGGGGAGTCACATATTATGATCAGTATGTGCCTCGACTGAGCCCCCCCCCCCTCCCCCCATATTATCGAATTTGCTGCTCCACTGCCCGGTGTTTTAATATCACCCGACACATTTTTAATGAATTACCTACTGGTTGTCTCTGCCTATAGAAATTTATATTCACTGATTTGTTAACGTTTATTTCTGCTCTTGTAATGACTTTTATGTCGTTGTTGTATGTGCTGTTTCGAAACACCATTGACGAGTTATCAACAAGTTATAACAGAATGCAAAAATTTTCTATATTTTTCTGTCTACTGTTGAGTCTACGTGAAATTAACGTAAAAACTGCGCGAATGTACAATCTTCACGTAAAAAAATCCGTTAAAATTTATATCTGTTGATCTTCCATTCTTCATATTCTTCTTCTTCTTTCATTTTTCTTCATCTTCCATTGTTCTTTATCTTCCATTCTTCTTCATTTTTCATTTTTCTTCATCTTCCATTGTTCTTTATCTTCCATTTTCTTCATTTTTCATTTTTCTTCATCTTCCATTGTTCTTTATCTTCCATTCTTCTTCATCTTTCATTTTTCTTCATTTTCCATTGTTCTTTATCTTCCATTCTTCTTCATCTTTCATTCTTTTTCATCTTCCATTGCTCTTCATCTTCCATTCTTCTTCATCTTCCATTCTTCTTCATCTTTCATTTTTCTTCATCTTCCATTGTTATTTATCTTCCATTCTTCTTCATCTTTCATTTTTCTTCATCTTCCATTGTTATTTATCTTCCATTCTTCTTCATTTTTCATTTTTCTTCATCTTCCATTGTTCTTTATCTTCCATTCCTCTTCATCTTTCATTTTTCTTCATTTTCCATTGTTCTTTATCTTCCATTCTTCTTCATCTTTCATTCTTTTTCATCTTCCATTGCTCTTTATCTTCCATTCTTCTTCATCTTCCATTCTTTTTCATCTTTCATTGCTCCTCATCTTCCATTGTTATTCACCGTTCATGGCTTTTCATATTTCATGGCTCTTAATATTCTATTGTTCTTCAAAAGTAAAATAATATAATTACCACAACAAGACATGGCCTTGCTACGGCACACCATTCTAAAACAAAAACCCAAATTCCCAAAAAGTCATCGTTCCTTACAAGGACCGTTAGTTTGAGTTCCGCTCTGAAGAACCCGTCATGACAGGTGTCTTTTACGCATGGCAAATCAAAGTATTTGGTGTTTGTCTCACAGGTTGAACTGTTTAGCAAACTTTGTTTTCTCTACAATATTTGAATCTTGGCGTACGATTTTTACTTTTGATTGTGATCTTTATTCAAGTTTGATGTGATTAGTCATGCATTCAGCAATAAAGAGTATATTATGAACACATGCAAGACAAACTATAACAATTATGGCAGCTGTGTTTTGGCTCTTTATCGTGATATTCTTATCTCTTGAACACCACGTTGTGACTCACGAGAACAAAATAGGTAAACATGTTGTGCTTATTTTTTATTTAACTGGGGGTAGTTTCTAGTGGCGTAGCCAGCCCTCAATTTTGTTCATGCTATGTAAATATTTAGGTGTTCACTCGATGCAAAAACTATACATTTCTAAAGAAATGAATGATGATTTAATGTTCTGAAATTGACAAAGCATGAACACAATTGCGAGCTAGAAGTTTGGACCCGTTGGCTGAATTTGATTATATTTATTATGCCTTAAAAGGTTTTACTTGATGTTTGTTGTGTTTTAATGAAAAAGATTAATTGGAAACTACGTAAAGTTGTAACGTAGCTATATTTTAACAAAAATTTGAAAACTTTTGCAAACTATCGGAAACTATCCCTATTGGAAAAAAAGAAACATTCTTGAAGGCTAAATGGAAGACTTTTATCAGTAAATAATCTTATGTCTTTATTAAGTTCTATAAATAAACAATTAGTGAAAGTTAAACTAAAATCAAACGAATAAATTTTATGTATATGTTTTTATTTTATTCACGTAAAAAATGTGTTACATGAAAGCGAGTCAATTTCACAAAAAAAATTATTTCAGGATTAATTCAAGGGAGACTAAACGCTGCTTTTTGATGATTGTGATGAGCCGACAATGTTTGTCGGCCATATTCAAGAACCAGTATGAACTTGGAAGGGGCCATTTTTATAATGGTTTAAGTATACGCAATAATAATTATAATAATATAATATGTATATATATATATATAGCTACAGAATAATTATAATAATATATTATCTATATATATATATATATATAGCTACAGAATATAGAAGTACCGCTTCTTCGAAGTATGTAAGTTAAAAAGCCTTTTGCATTATGACATAAATGTTATCAACTTTTCGTTAAGGAAATGGTAAAGATAATCTTCAAGTACATAAAATTGTGAATACCGGCGAGAATCTTCAGAAATCATTTGTTGCAAGAAAACAAAACAAAAAGAGCTCTGTTCATGGAAGAATTGTCAAGTTCCGTACTTCTGGTGTTGCTAATAAAAATATCAATAGAAAAGGATTGGCTTTAAATGGATTATTTCCACGTCAAGATCAAGACACCCAAGATCCTATATATCTACAAAACACTCGCAAACACTCGTCAAACCCTCGCAAACACTCGTCAAACCTTCATAAACACTCGCAAACGCTTGCATACACTCGTCAAACCCTCGCAAACACTCGTCAAACACTCACAAACACTCGCAAGCACTCGTCCAACTCCATTAACTCAAAACTTCAAGGCAATGGGCCTCAACTAAAAACCGGAAAGAGCGTTCCCAAATCTTTTCACACAAAAAAGTCACGTCACATTATTAAAAACGGACGTTCAGACTCGATGTTTTATCCCAACAAAGCAATACACGGAGACTTTTTCAAAGTTCATTTTGTGTCAGACGGGAGGAACGACTTAAGCTCCCGTTCGATTGGCCATTCATTATTAAAAATTACTCCATGGCCAATACCGAATTCCGAAAACTCGGAAGGCGTTGATAAGTTGAAAAGTTTTCTATCCAATGATGGTTCACCATCGGAGAATGAAAATGGTCAAAATGGAAAAGGTTACTTTGAAAACTTCAAATTAAGTTTACCTTCAAAGAACAATTCTTCCCAGCATTCATCGCGCAGCATCAAAAACTACCCAAGCATCTTAGAGCACAACCAGATGACGCCACTTCGCTGGGACGGTAATCTTTACGAAAGCATCGGTAAGCAGATTGTCCCACCACCATATTCTATGAACAACCCCAACAACATGGAGTATCCTTACAATGCTGCGGATGTAAATGGAAACGATTTATTAAAAATTGTCCCTAGTTTGGACGCTAAGAGTGTTGATAGCAGGCTTTTCGATGATTTTGAGTTTCTTAAAGATACTAACGGACTTTATCAAAATTCAAATAGTGACTTGGTCATGAAGCCTATTAATGGTGGAAACCAAGCGACAGAAATCCATGGTGACCAAAGAACAAGTGAAATTGACGGATTAATTTCAGGGGCGCAAATCAGGCCTGCAGTTCAGCCATTCACTGCTCACCCCGGCGCTTCTTCGCGCATACAAGAGTCACCACATCTTGGAAAAAAGCCGCTTCCTACAAAACATAGATCTTCGAAAGCAGCAGCCAAAAGTTCAAAAGGCAGAATTCATTCCCGTCATAAATACCAAAAGAAGTGGAAAAACGTTGACAGCAAACCGCTTAAATATAAAGCATCTGAGCAAGACTTCGTAAAACTTGAGCTCGAAGATCCGTTTTTTTCCATAAGAATAAAAAAAAGTCCTAGAAACAAGGGATACGGCTCATCTCGCGTAAAAGTTGATGGACTGCATGAAGATAAACCCGAAAACTCATACTTAAAAAAAGCTCCAGGAGTATACAACAATATATTGCCACAGGAAAAACAGCCGCCGCAGATATTTAAATCAACGTTTGGATCAATACATGGCTCCTTACATGGCGAACCACTAATATTTGGCGAACCCGTGCCACAACATGTCACCGATAATTTAAAAGGTAACGGTCATTCTGAAATGGCTGTCGATGCTTCTAATGGCAAGAGCTCTGAAAAACTATACCATGATGAAAAGGTCAATGAACCGTCTCACGTTAGCCATGAAATTCACCAAACTTTCCAAAGTTTACATGGACTACCTGGACAAAATCCTAACATAATTCTGAATATCCCTCCTAAGCACTTTTCTGAAGTTTCCTCCTTTCAACCTTCCAGCAATAGGAACGTATCAAAGACGAATTCTCGGACAGCGTCAAAGAACAGCAGTCCAAATTATGAGAGCGTCGTTGTAAACCCAACAGTTGTCGGTCGCATTCGACCAAATATTGTGAAAAGTGTCAACAGTCAAGGTTTTCATGGTGGTGGTATGGCAGGAGGACAGGGTGGTGGTGGTGGTATGGCAGGAGGACAGGGTGGTGGTGGTATGGCAGGAGGACAGGGTGGTGGTAGTATGGCAGGACAGGGTGGCGGTGGTATGGGAGGAGGACAGGGTGGTGGGGGTATGGGAGGAGGACAGTTTGGTTTTGGTTTTGGAGGAGGACAGGGTGGTGGTGGTATGGCAGGAGGACAGGGTGGTGGTGGTGGTATGGCAGGAGCAGGTTATGGGGGTGGAGGAGGACTATACCGGAGTGCTGGCTTAGCTGGAGGTGTGGTCAGAGCTGCAGGTGGGGGACCTAGGTTTTATGGTGACCAATGTTTTGGTGACCCAGATAATGACAAGGAAGCAGATGAATTTCCAGGTATCTAAAATCTTTGACAATCAATTCAGCATAGTCGTAGAAAGTTTTTTATTCTTTCCGTGCTTTGATTGTTTTTCTTCTTTCAAGCTGTTATGGATATTGTGTTCCTTATCGACACGTCTGATCGCGCCATGTTCAATGACATGAAGGATTTCATAAAATCTCTTTCACACAAATTCACCGTGGAACCAATGGCTACTCGCGTTGCTTTGGTTACATTTAGTTCTGATGCCTCGATATTGTTCGGCTTCACTCGGTACAGCTCTCGGAAAGAACTCGACGAAGCCTTAGATGAGCTTGAGTATCCCTCATTCGTTGCACGAAAATCTCGTTGGAAACGCGCATCTGGCACGCGGAAACGTTCAATGATAAAACGGAAAACGTGGAACGATACCGTCAAGTCTGCTTCAAACACTGTGCAATCGTATTCAGGTACTTTTTTATTTTGTTTTCGTGGAATCTTTGCTACTTATCAAAGTTTCGTCTTATGTAAAGGTATGCAGAATGATCCATATTAATCTCTTTTTTTTTGATATCTTAAGAGCAGTTAAATTTCATGGAAGGAGTTTATCCTCCATCATTAGAATGGAATCCAGAATACACAAACTGTAATCTGGAATCCTTCAATGGAATCCAGAATACACAAACTGTAATCTGGAATTCATCAATGGAATTCAGAATGCACAAACTGTAATCTGGAATCCTTCAATGGAATCCGGAATACACAAACTGTAATCTTAAATCCTTCAATGGAATCCGGAATACACAAACTGTAATCTGGAATCCGTCAATGGAATCCAGAATACACAAACTGTAATCTGGAATCCTTCAATGGAATCCAAAAAAGCGGTCGTTAAAGAGAATGTATGTCAACCAAGATGCATTGCGTGCAAAACAGGGGGTGACGACAGTATTGCTGGCCAAGAAAATGAATTGCTTGACGCCGTAAAAACTCTCACATTATGTATTCATTTGGTATCCAGTGCAGGCGATTAGTTTTACTAAAAAGTTTGTTTTCAATTAGTTTTAACAACTTCTTATTTAAAAAGGCTGACCGAGGTAGGAGATTGTTAGTGGAGTAATTTCTTTCGAGTGAATTTTCAGTAAGTCTTACTTCACGTTCGCTTCATTTAGTGTGTTGCAGGCTCAGAAAGTTAAGATATGATATAAACACAAAAAAGCGCGAAGCACGTCTTGGTCGAGACATAAGGACATGTCCATTCTAAATTTCACCATAGGCTACGTAACAATATGAACCCAGCCGAGAAAGAATTGTAATTGCTTGCCACATGTCCCCCTTTACTTGGCGAATTCTTTGAAAAGTTTGTACACCTTTCGTCTGGTGATTGTTGCCGATCGGTCACACTGCCAAGTAAAGGCAAATTAAATTTACCAAACATCACTTTAGAAAAAGCTTAATTCAAAATAAATCTTCACTTTATAAGTATTGCCATGCAATGTATAGCATATAGAAATGCGTTTGTGAACGTGCGCATGCTCGACGAGAACGTGCGCAAACTGGGAACGACCTTTAATGCGATTAAGAAAAGTTTGTCAACTTTAACAAAGTAAATGATCTCGTGAACAATGACCGTTACATTGATTCATTTCTATGAAATGCTTATTCCAGATGAACCGTCCGTGCCTACAAAAAGAGACGACGATACAAAAGCTGTATTGATTGGTCGTGGCTTGCAGGCAGCACTTCTACTATTCCGTGATCCGACTGCCAGACAAAACGTTCCCCACGTCTTGATCGCCGTCACTCACGCTCCTTCGGCAGACAATTTTCTATATCCTTCTCGGGAGTTGCACGCTAGTGGTATTAACATTTTTGGTATCGGTGTTGGACAGCACTTCAGCAAATTTCAACTCTTGATGATGAGCAGCCTCCCGAAGTTCCGACATCTTTTCAAGGTGAAGACCTCGCTTCAGTTGAAATGTCTTGCTGCTAGCGTTGCCGATAAAGTTCTTCGAGGTGACTATAGGTTATCATTCTATGATTAGAAAAGACAGAGAATTTTTGGGAATAGATAGTTATAATCGGTGGCGGGACCACACCTGAAGTTTTTAAAGAGCATAACGTCGAACAGGGCTCTAGAGGGCGGGAGGTGTTCATTAATATATTCAGTTGTGCCCGACTGATTTCTTCTGAAAAATACACCCCCATCCTCAATTAACATTCTATGACTACCTGGACGCCAAACCTGTTCACCTATGTAGGAGAGTCCTGGAGTTATGTGCTCTTGCAGTGAAGTTTTTTAATCTGCAGACAGTAATATCCCATTTTTCTGGGGTTAGATTTTGCACAAACCGATTGTAACATAGGTAGTCAGGTATTTTTCTAATTTTTATTCAAAATTTAATCTTGTCACGAAGGCGTTTTTCGGTTTATTGGGAAGGCCATGTCAAACAGCCCCCTCCTGTCTACGCCACTGATTGAAACTTTACACGCCCCTCCTGTCTACGCCACTGATTGAAACTATACACGCCCCTCCTGTCTACGCCACTGATTGAAACTATACACTATATACATTTTCTTTAATGGAGACCAAATATTCATGCAGTTATATTCTACATATAGTTTATATTCACTGAAAAGACAACGTATTTAGAAGTACCTTGAAGTTTCTAAAGTAGTACATAGAGGTCACCTAGAGAGACATAGTATCTAGGGATACCTAGTAGACATTAACAGGGATGACGTATCTTGGAATATCATGAAGTCAGTATGAGGGAGAAAGTGTTTATGTGTATCATATAGTCATGAAGTGGGCCAAGTATAAGGGAGTACCTTATGTTCTCCAAGATGGACAGATACACGGTTGATCTTACTTTATGTGTATTCTTTTAGATATCCAGACGCGCGTCTGTCCCGCATGTTTTCATGGTAGGTGGAAGATGAATTTTCCGAGAAAATAAAAGCGACATCTTGATTAAATATCGCGTGAACACCAGCAAAGAAAACGTCCTCAGTTTTCTTTTCCGTTTAACTGAACGGGCTCCAAATTTATGAAACTCCTTCAAAATGACCATTTTGAAAAATGAAACAGAAAGCATAAGTTAAAACACACTTTATCACAGATAAGACACTCGAAGTCTGTTGCACGAAGGCAAAATAGCGCTATTCACTGGGTAGCAATTATTTTTGAACGTTTCAAAAATTCTAGGATTCTAGAAAGGGAAAAATTCCTGCACCTTGAATTCGTCAATCAATGAAAAAAAATATTGGTGTTAAGGTGACAAAGTTTCATCTTAAACATAGCCACTTACTTCATAAGTATCCAATATATTTTCATGGGTAAAACTATGAAGGCTCTGTACAATCGCTCTCTGCTGTTTCTTTTGCTAAATATATAAAAGTTTTTCGACAGCTAGCTAACCACAAGTAAAAGGAAAACAAAGACAAAAAGGGAAAGCTAATGTGTTCACGTTATTTCTCTTCAGATCCCCAACACGCTGCGTGTTCTTACTGTTTTAAGCACGGTGACGCCAGCAACATGGCCGCAATCATCCATCAACCTCCCCCGAAGTTTGATCTTAATTTGCAATCGTATCCCAATAGCGCAACAGGAACCGGTTACATCGACTCAATGTTTCCTGATATGATTCCATTCCGAAGATCAAAGATGCTATCAAGGTGTTTCTTTATTTCAACATCTTTTGATGAGTATACAAGTTTCGACATCAGATCATTCTTATATATATTCACACATTAGCAGAGACCGCAGAAGTCACGAGACTTTATCATATAAGATTCAAGTTAAATCATCGAATCACTCAAATCATCCGTAATAAGAATATTGTGCTGGAGTATATAGAACTTAAGTTTCAACATCAAATCGCTCGTGATGAAGACACTACATTGTGATATATAACAACTCAACTTTCAACATCACATCACTCTTAAAGAAGACACTAGTCTGGTATATATAAGAACTCAAGTTTCAACATTAGAACACTCCTGATGAAGACACTAATCTGGTATTTTTAAAGACTCAAGTTTAAACATCAGATCACTCCTGATGAAGACACTGGACTGGAGTATTTAAAAATTCCAGCATGAACATTAGATCACTTCTAATGAAGACACTAGTCTGGAATATATACGGACTCAAGTTTTAACGTCAGATTATTCCTGATGAAGACACTGTACTGGAGTAAATAAAGATTCCAGTTTCAACATCAGATCACTCCTAAAGAAGACACTAGTCTGGAGCGTAAAAGCACTCAAGTTTCAACATCAGATCATTCCTGATGAAGACACTGGACTGGAGTAAATAAACATTCCAGTTGCTACATCAGATCATTGCCAATAAACAGTGCACTGTTATGTCTTTCACACGAAAGACAACAAAATTGTATTTTCTTAAGGATTAGATCTTCTAAGCCACATGACGTTGCACCGACTCTCCAAAATTCTGCTTTCGATGAACCATTCCAGCTTGCTTCAAGTCGTATGCGAATGGGGAATCATAGATCCAGGGGTATGTTTTTATCTACAGCTATTTTTTAGTTAGTCCAATCAATCCACTTCACAACGTCACAGTTTGTGACGTAAGCACTCATAACCATAACAGTGAGAGAAGGCTTATTCATCCGGCTGATAAATTTCCATAAAAATGTTGGTTTGTGCATGACTTCACCGAGCTCAAAAAGACTCATTTAAAAAACACGGCTTATCTCCATGATTTTCTTTATCTTGAGCAGGCAAAAACGAAGGCAATTCAAGAGGAGATCCGAATGCTAAAACGAAAGTTCATTCGAAACACCAACATAACCATAAACTAAAAGTTAAAAGATTACTTGGTCAACGTAGTAAAGAACTCTCTGTGTTTAAATCCAAATCGATAAAACGTAAGACAAAAAAAACTTAAAATGTCGTGTATGTTGGGTTAAACGAAAGCTCTGTCAATGAAAAAATGATTTGAAGAAAGTCTCGGTTTGGTATATATATATATATACATATATAGCAGTGTACTTGCTAATACAGTTTACTGGTCATTCTTGCTTTTACTACATAATTTAAAATACTTTGGTATAAGCTTTTTTGTTTGCTTTATTATGAGTTCGTGCCTGCTATAGAGAGCCCATGAAATGGAATTCTCTAAGCTTTTAAACAAAAGATCACCCGAAACTGCGATGGACTTTTTTTTCAACATTTGTTTGCACGTAAATTAGAGAATTTATGGTTGATCTTTTCCTCTATAAAAGCATCTTTTACTTTTATTCATTCTCGCCAATGTTAATTATATTTGCCTAATATCATGTAGCTTATTAACTTCAACAAAACGTTGAACTTTTTGATAAAAAAACAGACAGGTTTGTATTTTCAATTCTTGCATAAAATCGAAAACGAACACCATGTTAAGATAGGTTGGTTGAAAAATGACACAGTACAAATTATCAAATTTACAAAAACTTCAATAGCTCAAGCAGCAAGCATGAAAACACAAATGTTGAAAAAAAGACTTTGGCAGTTTTAAGAGATATTTCATCAAAGAAAACAATAAAGTTAATGTCATTGAACAGACGGCTAGTTGCTAAAATACATCATTTAACTAACCTTGACGGACACTGGGGGAGCTAATCTAAACCTAACCTTACCCCCCAAATAACTTTGTCAAATAATGCTTCTTTTGATAGACTCTGATTTCGGTTGAACTTTGCACCCTTCTTTATACTCGCGGATGTCAGAAAGGTACTAATTAGCATTAATGAAAACTGATCATGAAACTAGACATGAGGTAATCAAGTGTGAAAAAAGCCAATTTCTAAATGGGACAATCTTCTAAAGTCGTGACTGTGCTTCATTGTTCATTACTTCGATAAAAAGTAATGAATGTAAAGTTTTTCTAAACGTTATCGCTTTTTTGCAATTTGAAATTGGGCGCGATTGCCAAGAAAATAAATACATCGACTAACAATACATGCCATATTCTTGATTACTGAATTTTTCAAATGTTTTTGAGAGTCTTTGGTGTTACTCTTTTTAGTAATGCTAAAGATACACCCATGCTCTTTTTACGAAAAATTCATTACAGATAATGTTGTTTATTGTGGCTTAATGTTTTCATTTATCAATTTCAAGAGTAATGGTTATGACGTTTCTCTATCGGTATTTTTTCATTGTGTTTGGCTAAAGATTTAATGATCTGTTGTTCATTCATCACTACCAACACAGACACACGTTATCTTAGTTTATATTTTAGGTAGTGTAAAGACTGTTCTCGTTCTCTGTTGTGCATTCATCAATAGTACCTATACACAGTCACACGTTACTTTAGTTTATATTTTAATTTTAGGTAGAATAAACACTATTCTCGTTCTTTGTTCATTCATCACTACCTAAACCATCACACGTTATCTTAGTTTATATTTATGTAGTGTAAAGACTGTTCTTGTTCTCTGTTGTTCATTCATCACTACCTACACTGACACACGTTATCTTAGTTTATATTTTATGTAGTGTAAAGACTGTTCTTGTTCTCTGTTGTTCATTCATCACTACCTACACTTACACACGTTATCTTAGTTTATATTTTACGTAGTATAAAGACTGTTCTTGTTCTCTGTTGTTCATTCATCACTACCTACACTGACACACGTTATCTTAGTTTATATTTTATGTAGTGTAAAGACTGTTCTTGTTCTCTGTTGTTCATTCATCACTACCTACACTTACACACGTTATCTTAGTTTATATTTTAGATAGTGTAAAGACTGTTCTTGTTCTCTGTTGTTCATTCATCACTACCTACACTTACACACGTTATCTTAGTTTATATTTTACGTAGTATAAAGACTGTTCTCGTTCTTTGCTTTTCATTACCACACACACACCTACATGACATTAAATGCACACAACTAATGGGCATGAGTATCTAGTAATACTTTGAAATGAAGACATTGGTAAAATATGTTTGATTTGCAGTACTGTAAAAGCTTGTCATATTTTTCATCGTTCATCAATAAGCAACATGACCATAGCTCCTCCATGATTGGCATCGTTTAAAAAAAATAGCTGAGGTAAATACTAGCAATGTCCAAGCTGGTGAAAATCTTATCATTGTAAACGACCATAAATCAAATGTGAACAACATGCAATTAATTTTGTGATGCAAATATTGTAAATAGCGACCATACATTTTTGCGACCATCGTGTAGTCGTTAACGAGCTATTTAATGGACAAATCTCTTTTCTTTTATCCACAAAACACGTTTGCAATGCTTGCCGATAGGAAAGATCTCCTCACGATAAATATATTGCATTCTATATACATTCATCCATTTCCCACAAGCGTCTTCAAGGAATCGACGATAAGAAGAAGCAGAAATACTTGTAAGTCCTGTCTTGAATTGTATTTCCTCTACATTTATAACTAAAAAAATTCAGATATCGAATTTGCAAACGACTTGTTACATAATAGTTGTGCAACATAGTATTTTATCAAGGAAGCGCATGCAGTGACTTGCTCCAAGAGCAGTAGCTATTTTAACAAGTGGTCAGCGTGTTCACGATTACTGTTCTTCTTTGCTTGTTTTTTGATCAGTTTTACTTTCTTTCACTTTGAGTTATCCTGTTTTATTCTGTCCATTTAGACCACTACAATGCGCACCTCATTCCAACTATGTCTTTTTTTGGCTTCTCTTTTATCGGTCCAGTTGCTCGACATCGATGGTAAGCGTGCACTTACTAAGATTATTTTTTCAGTTTGACTTTGACAAGTTTAATCAACTTAAGTTGCCATGACCACATCGATTAATGCAACGTTCACCGGTTCAAAGAACTGTTTTACGACTTTTTTGTGTTAGAACTGGTCGACAAGAGTAGTAGGTCCAATGTTAAATGCAAGGGCGTAGAAACATGTTTGAAGTCAGGGGAGGGGGCTCAACAGTGATCGCCAAAGATGCAAGTCTTTGAAGATTTAAAAATTTAACTCTTTAAATGAATTTTTGCAGTCTTTGCTACTTAGCCGTTTGATATATCACAGCTATGTTTTACAACAAAATATTAGGGTCATCAAATAGGAAAATCTTATTCATTCTTAATCCTTTGTGAAGAATATGTTAAAAATAGTTGACAAAATATGCCATTATAATGTCAAGTCCATAAACTTGAATTTGGTTCACAGTTCACTTTTAGAAGGGCTTGTGTCTCAGCTTCTAAAAGTTAGGGGGGAGCCCTCCTGCCTCTTGCACTTTCTACGCCCATGGATATACAAAGAAAAATACAATAGTCCATTTATTTTATTATTTGGAAATTCATATAACTAATCCTGGATCTGCTACTGGGGTAGAAGATCCTTGAACAGTATGTAAGATACCATGGAGAGTGGTATGAAAAATCTTATTTAATAGCTTGATGCATTTTGACAGACTTCATCTGATATTTAAGATAGACAAGAAATAAAGATTTCAGCCCTTAGCGGAAACACAATGGTCAAAACACTGAAAATCTAAAGACTTATATAATCCATTCACGACCCCACAAAGCACACTGCCTTTATCGTATGTATCAAAAAAACAAGCTCTCAAGTATAAAAGTATAGTCACATAATGTAGGTAATTTTTTGTCTGTGAGCAGGTGTTTCTTGTTTGGCGTGTAAAATTGAGACAATTGGTGCATGGACGGAAGTGCGACGTCTCTTTGTCATTTCTCTGATACGAACATGATAAAACACTAATTAAAAGGATGGAAGTCTTAAGTTAATAGATAAAAACATAATAATATTTCTAGGGAAATGTACGGCTCCGTACTGGACGGTTGGATGCTATGCAGACAGAGTTTATGCAAAAAGAGCGCTCAGTGAATTGATATTTACTGACAGAGATAAATATTCCATCGTTTATTCTGGCAAGGAAATCGACTGGGAAAATTACGGAGCGTACATTTCGGAGTATGTATTAAAGACCTGCTGATTTTTTTCAAAGAAAAGAGAGGCTTGTATTGGAAAACAATACGTAGAAAGTTACTCGCTTTGATAGATCAAATTTCAAGAAGATCAATGTTGATAATGTTCTGATATTGTAAATAAATACGAGCTGGTTACGCTTATGTTATAGAGAAACATCCTCATTAGAATACCATATCTGTAATTAGAGAGAGATGTCTGTATTATAGAGAGATATCCGTATTAGATAGAAATGTCTGTATTAGAAAGAGATGTCTGTATTAGAGAGAGATGTCTGTAATTAGAGAGAGATGTCCGTATTTGATAGAGATATCTGTATTAGAGAGAGATGTCTGTATTAGAGAGAGATGTTTGTAATTAGAGAGAGATGTCTTTATTAGAGAGAGATGCCTGTATTAAAGAAAGATGCCTGTATTACAGAGAGACTTCATTAGAGAATTATGTATGAGAGAGAGAGATCTTGGGAGCTGTTCACATGACCTCGGTAACCGGGATTCAGTGAGGCGTGAAATGATTTTGAGTCATTGAAAGGAGTAAAACTTTAAGCGCAAAACGTACAACCTTTTGTTACAAGCGTCATATGTCATTTTAGTCGTAATTTTCAAATCAGGCTAAATTATTTGTTTTCATTTCAAAGATTTTGTGAATTTGCAAAGTTAGATCATAGAGAAATTGCTCAAATTAACGTTAAATAAGTTTTTTGTTGTGAAGTATTTAATCTTTTTCCATTCGCTAAAATGACTTAACGCTTCGCTTAATCCCAGCTTCCGGGCTCATGTGAACAGCGCCTTACTCAACAGCACATGTGAAGAAAAGAGAACTATCGCGGGAGAGGGACATCCGTGTTTCAGCTATCAAAGCGATACAATTCAAACCCACTTACTCTTGATCCTTTCAACATTTTATAGTTTGGCATGTCATTGCTCTAAAAAGACAGCAGAAAAGGATTACAGTTACTTTGGTCTTCAGTTCTACGGTGAATGCTGGAGTGGACCACATGCGAACGAAACCTACGCAGTATATGGTGACAGCAATAATTGTATTAACGAGTTTTACAAAGACTGTGAACTGTTGTATGATGAAATTTGCATTGGTCGGGATAATGCAAATTTCATATACACCATATTAGGTGAGTTCATAATTCTTCCCTGCCCGCTCGCCCCACCCAATTATTTAAATGATTTTCTTCGAGAAAGATGGAGGCTACTCTTTTCTACTTTTTTCATTCTATTCATAGCCTCTCCTGGATCAGGCAGTGGAGACAGCTGATCATTCATCAAAGAGATAATATAAATCACGAAAATGGCATTTATATCTTTAATTGCAAGCACTTGATATGTTGTAAATAGACGAGCTTTCTCTTAATCTTTTAACCAAGTGACGTATTTCTCGTTAGTGAGCTAATGATAAAACAAACAAATGAAACTATGTGGTGCAAATATTTTCAATTGGAAGCTCATTGCTTTTGGATTTTCAAACATAATTCTCTGGTGCAAAATCTTTTCAAGGATGTAAAAACCAAGAAACAATTTGCTGGACGGAATTTAGCTGAATGAAGACCAAATGCCTATTGTTCATATACATATTACATGAAGTAGGGCTCAGTGAATAACACAGTTGTAAACAAACATGGGCGCCCACATACGTAAACCTAAAATAGCCAAATACATCATAGTTTGCGGCACTTATTAATATGACATTTGTATCATAACAGTTTGTATCTTAACAGTTTTTCAAGATGTCGAAACGTAAGTGCAGTTGTTTTATTTAATGTTTCCCGCTGTATATCATCTTTACATTTAAACTGTAAATGTTTTCTTATGTATTGTTATTAAAGTATATTGAAAATTACCTTTTCAGAGCAATTGAGAGAACAGAAAAGGGCGATGAATCGTACCCAAAGAGAGTTGGGAAAGGATAAAACAGCCCTGGAACGACAAGAGAAGCAACTGGTTTGAAACGTTCGCACAGGTGTTTTTTAAAATGTGGAAGGATTTATACAATCATTAAATTTTTTTACAGGAAATGGAAATCAAGAAAATGGCAAAGCAAGGCAATAAGCAAGTGAGTTGTATTTTAAGATGTAATTATTTCTTTCAATGACAGATGGGCACTTAACGATAATGCTTTTATTAATAATTCTCTCAAGGCATGTACAGTTTTAGCGAAGCAGCTCATGCAAGTTAGAAAGCAGAAAGCAAGAAACATGAATACAAGTTCAAAAGTTATGGGAATGAGTCATCAAATACAAGCAATGCAGTCAACATCAAAGATGGCCAACTCCATGGCAACAGCAACCAAGGTAAATGGTTTGTCCGAGGAATTTAATTATGTGTTATTGTGCCATAGTAAAAGTATTGTTTTCTAGACGATGGGAGCAGTGAATAAGCAAATGAATCCACAGGATTTACAGAGAACAATGCATAACTTTGAAAAGGAATCCATGAAAATGGATATGTCTGAAGAAATAAGTATAAGTTTTTATTTGAACTTCTTATTTGATGTAAATAATCACATGTCGAAATCTCAATTTTTCCAGTGAATGAAACTCTCGACTCTGTTTTCGATGCTTCTGATGATGAGGCTGAGCAAGATGCAATTGTCACTCAGGTTTTGGATGAAATAGGCATTGATATGTCAAGCAAGGTAAGTATGGTTAACTTGTGTGAGAAATGCTACAGAATAGTAACAGTGACTTAGATGTTTGTCACAGAAATATTTTCTGGCCTTTTTCTTAAAAAAAGAAGAAGAAAGAACAACAGATATTGATAATAGAAAGTCCTGGCTTTACATTAAAGTAGAAGGATAGTTTTAGATGGAACTGGTATTTATTCATAGCTGTTAGTTGTTATACTGCTTGAATGTGCATTGCTCAGAAACTCATGAAGCAGTGTGTTTCCCCAGTTCCCCTACCATGTGTATGATTTTTGAAATTTTGTTTGAACTTAGAGTTTTTCCCTATTATTTGTTCTATGGGAAATCCAAAATAGAAAGAACGTAAGGAAAGCGAAGCCCACAACTTTGTCTCATATATATATTTATACAACAAGTGGTAATAGAATATAACATGGGGTATTAGGATATAATAGGTGGTAATTGGATATAATAGGATAGTAATTACTGTGAATAGTATCTATAACATAAATCAGAATGCCTATGTAAATGAAATTTTGTCAAATATCTTGCTCTCTGTTTATTTATATTAAATTATGTTCTAGTTACCCTCTGCTCCAAGAGGAGCCACAGCATCAAAAGATGAAGATAGTCTTAAAGATATTGAGGCTCAGCTTCAACAATTACGATCATAGTCACTGAATGGTGTGTCTCAATGGTTAAGTACCTCTCGAAAAAAACTGCTCATTGACTGTATGTGCTATTTATTGCTCTGCCACTAACCAATTTAACCATCTTCACAAGATTTGAGCCTACAATCTTTATACTCATTTGATAGCTATTTGAATAAATTTATATTGCATATGAATGCCTTTTTGTCTGCCAAATTAAATTCCACGCCATTTTTTTCAGGCAACCTATGCCTTACCCCCCTCCCCAATAACATATTTTTTATGAGACACACACACTCCAAACTTTAGAATGGACATAATCAGGCCCATTAAGATTGGGCGGGTAGAGTATCCAAATTGATATGTCATTTCGCTCACTTGTTGGGCAGGTCCCAACAATTTTAGAGAATTATTGGAGAAGCTGTTTGACGTCTGTTGAAAATCTTTTTGTCCACCATTCTTCAGGCTTTCATTAAATTTTTCAACTAAAAAACTATTTTTCTATATGCTTTCGTGCTCGTCTGCTATTTGAAATTTCCTTTTTATGAAACGTGATTCTTTTTTCCTAACCATGTTTTTTTCTCTACATATTCCAAAACAACAAATGAGTTGAATAGTTTACTGCAAGTGAACAATAGGATAATGGCCGAGCTCAATTTATTGAAAATGATTATAGTGTATTCGAACGGAAGCAATTACGTAAATATGCATGCGCAAGCATATTCCTTTTGTTGCATTTAGGCCTAATTCAAACGTTGCATTTTATATGAGCCGAACGCATTTAAAACAAAAGATAATAAGGAATTTTATCTCACTTTCTTTTGTCTTTAATGCGTTCTGTGCATGTAAAGTTCGACGTTTGAAACAGCCCCAAGACGTCACTATTTAGATTCTACGTAGATTACAAATTGTCTGAATGTTCCTATGCATAGTACTAACTCCTTGAAGAAAAACTTTGCGTATCATGGGAATTCAATTCCAACAGAAATCAGAGAAAGCAAAAGTGCGTCACTTCCTTAAAATAAAATAGCTACTTGCATTTTATGATTTAGTTTATGTCCGAATTTGGTCTTCTATGTTAATTTTTTTGTGTTCACTCACTGTAAAAACAACAGATTTCTAAAGAAATGAATAATGTTAATGACCTAAAATTCACATGGCAGGACCAAAACTTGCGGGCTGGCTACGCCACTGTTTTATGTTGTAGTTAATGTTAATGATACAACTGAACTTCGTATATATCCAAATATCTAAACCTCTCATTTACCTCTATAGTTATTTGTTATCTTTATGTTTATACCTCCATAATTATTTGCTAATGCTATCTGTTACCTATATTGTAAGTTATTTTTACCTCTATTTGTGACGTGTAAGCTACGTCATGGCCGCAGTGTTGGATGATTTTTACAAGAAAATGTCCTCCAACATGGCGAACATTCCATTGTTCCCTCACTCCCAGTGGAATGGTTGCACACCACCTATTTTTTTGCTTTGTGTTTTATGTAAATGCTTTGTACTAAAGACACTCGTGAAAAAAACCTCGTTTGACGAGCCAGCGTGTCAAGTAGGTGGTAGTCGTCAAATACTTTTGAATAACTTGCCTGCCATTATTCGATTGATATTTGTCGTGTGATGATGTCTAGCTGTGAACGACAAGATTTTTCAAGCGATCGGCTGGGAGAAATTATTACACGTCTTTTGATTTGGTTGAAGAGAAGAGAAGAATACGAAGCTAAAATGTCGATGGTGATGGTCTTGATCTTGGCGTGAAATCGTGAATAATTTGTGGTAACTGGTAATAACTAAATTACGATTGATGATGTGGTAAGGTTGACGTTCTGGTTAAATGGAAGAAGTAAAATTGATTAAACAAAGCGTGAAACCATTCATTAAGATTGTAATGCCTTGTGGTTTTTAGTTGAAAACTGGGGTCACACTGTAAATGAGAATAAGATCTTCTTGTCTCATGATAAGAAAAATTTTGAACGAATAAGTAAATTGCTCTGTATTCTACATCTCTAGACAGCACAGACGTCGTCAAGATGATCAAATGCTAGAAATATTCACTATCCTTCGACACAAAACATCCTTCATGCTCTATATCAATTCTTCGAGTGATCTATACAAACAACTGTATACTCGTAAAAATATTGCTCTCGCTATATATTTCCATATTTCTATTTGTATATCCAGTTAACACCTTCGTAAAAGGACTAGTTAGAAATAATTGGGGGGTTTAGGATTAATGGACTGAATTGTAATCATCCGTGTTAATTTGCATTTCTATTCCAAAGAGTAATGTTAAAGAAATCAGCACAAATGAGTTGACGTGGTTGTACATAAACATGTTCATATGGAGGTGCTTCTTGCGTTAGCATCTTGCGTTCAGCATTGAAATGAATGTATAACTTACAATAAATCTATTAAACCGTTAAAAAAGAAATTGCAATACGCTGGCAGACTATTGCAAAATCTTTAAATTCGGCGTTTATTCGGAGTGGTTATCGACAATCTAACAAGCTATCGAGCTAGGTTACATATTTAGTCGATTATTCATTATTGTACCTATAATTGGCACTGTTATTAACATTGAGGGATGTTATAACAGTGTCTACATCATAGGATCCACATAACATTTGAAACGACTTCCAGTTCGTGTTCTAACTTTGGTAGATGATTTCGGCAACATAGATAGCCAGCATGCCGTATCATGGTAGAACTAATACGGTATAAAGAGAAATTATATGGACAGAGGAAGATCGGAATCTTCTAGTCAAATCGTGGAAATTTTTATTGACATGTCATCTCTAGTGAACACATACGATCTTCCTATTGTTTGAAAAATCTGACTGTAATTTCAAGGAGCATTTAAGCAAACCTTTCCTAAAAATGCCTGCAGCTAACAAATGTCTTTTGAAAATCGTCGTAAATTACGAGTTTCGACCGCAATCTTAACAGTTCTTCTGCAAACACCAGTTTTTCAGAATAGCTGCAAGAGCTCCAGCAGTTAGTAATGATTGTATTTTAACAATTATTCTTACAGTTATGCAGTTATACAGCAACAGATGCAGATAACGACTGCGGTATGTGTTTATTTACCTTGTTTGTTAGCCTGTTTGTTTGTTTTGTCACATCACTAACTTCGTTGCTCAGTATTTTTTACAGTATTGTAGGTCCAGAGAACGAGAAGATCAAGAAAAAGACAAGGGTATATGTTTGTTTGTTTTTTTTTTCCCGGCTCTAACTTGTTCTCCAGGCTTTTCTTTCAGTGCTGAGGACGAGAAGTTCTTAAAGAGGAAATCCGAGCTGTAAGTATGTTCGTTTCTATCATTCATTAAATCCATTAATTATCTTATTTGTGTCTCCTTCAGAGCGACATGGTCGAGCCAAGGTCGATCAACGTTTCTTACGGTAAGCTTGACTAATTTTTTATTTCTTTTTTGGATGACTGTCAACAGTTTTTGCTAAGACAAAATTCTTCACTTCCATTCTTCGGTGTTTGCAGATGATCAATAAATGATTTGATTGCGAAAAGTGTAAACGTCATTAGCGAAATCACATTCAAACACGCTAACACAAAAAACATGTACATAAAATGAGCAACTTCCAATATTCTAACTAAATTAGAGAGTTCCCTCGCTCTCTAATTTGGGAAAGAAGTTTGGCGAAAAGTTTATGTATTCCAAAATAGACTCCTGCCATCTATTTTGGAATAGCTTTGCTCAGAATTTCACGCAGCCCACATATGATAAACTAAAGCAAGTTTTTGTCATTAAAATATGATCGAAACATTAATAAAATTAATAAAATTATTAATCTCCGGTTCGTACTCTGATTAATAAAATTATTTATCTTCGGTTCGTACTTGGAAGTAGATTGAATGGTTGTAAAATGTATGAAATTTTATGGAAACCGCTGTTTTATATCGTTCCGATATTCGTTCGTTATAACTAGTTTTTTGTTATGAGTAACGTTGTCAGTCTGCGCACCGAATGTCAGGCAGCATCACCTATGAAATTAAGTCAACTGCTTCAACAAAAAAAAAGTTATTTCAACAGGCTCTCTCACATCAATGTAGTAATTTTCTGTAAAATATCAAAGAACACGTTAATTCTTCAAAAATATATACATTAAAATTTGGCCACGATCAATGCCAAAAGAGAATGCAGTCCTGGTCGTTTCAATCGCGCTTTATTCATTTTGTGTAACATAAAGTAAAGGAACTAACATCAAAATGTCTGCCGTTCGTTCGCAACACATTGAGTATTTCTTACAAGGCTCTGTTGAAGACAGCTCCCTTGGTTCGTTACGACATAGACTGAAAGGATTATGCGAACCTTGTACTGCGTCTCACAACAAGTTCGCTGACCATGAAATTGTTTACGTGTTAAAGCCATGTAAGTTCAATTTTCAAATACGTTGTTTTATCATTTATATCTACCTAAAAACATAAATTAATAACATCCAACTGAAATTTTTCTTGATTTCACGTACAACAATTAGTCTGAACAATGTTAGGTTTTAATTTTATGTTGGAAAGATTTATGTGTTCTCGTTTTATGGAAAGCTTTAAACCGTAATTTGGGTGATATTAAAGCTCTTTATACATATATATAAATATGCAGTGTATTTCGTGAAATACTTTTTTTTAACTAAATTCATGCAATACTTTACATAGACCAAGGTGCCACTGCTGTAACTCTTCGAGCAAGATGCTCTCTTGATGCTCCAGGAATGCCTTGGTTTGTTCATGCCTTTGTATGAGTTATAACAGGTGTTGGGGTGGTTTTACTGGGGAGATTGGCACTGCAAAGTAAACGCTTACATCCTGTCCAATGAACTGTAATATTAAGTGGAACGCTAACTGTGCCACCATCTTTGAAGCAAATCCTGATGCTAGTTATTTTGCATTTTAGAAGGTCTGTGATATTACTTTAAGAAATTAACAAGGACATACATAAAATACAGTAGCAAAAATGGCCATGATAAGTTTTACCTCATGAGATTTGGTAATATCCCTAAGAATACATACAAAAAGGTGTCATAGCGGGCTTCAAAATGGCCTCTAGTAGTATTTACATTAGCATTCCAGTGAATATTACAGTTTACTGGTCCTATCAAACATGAAGTACCGCCCCTATAAATTATCCTAGGTTAATCCCTGATTTGATGTACTTCTTCCACATGTCTACAGATTTTGAAGTCGTGTAAGGTTGCTAGCTGGGAGTGCTGCATCTCCTGGAATGTCTGGGGTTCATGCACCTCCAGGAGTGTCTGGGGGCTCATGCACCTCCAGGAGTGTGTGGGAGCTCATGCACCTTCAGGAGTGTTTGGGGGCTCATGCACCTCCAGGAGTGTGTGGGAGCTCATGCACCTTCAGGAGTGTCTGGGAGCTCATGCACCTCCAGGAGTGTCTGGGGCCTCTTGCACCTCCAGGAATGTCTGAGGGCTCATGCACCTCCAGCAAATTTTTGTTATGGGTGTTGCAGCTTGTTAACAATCGGGAAATTTTTGTCTTTCTGAAGCAGTAAATCTTCATGTATTGAATTTTTTCCACTTTTCGATGTATGTGTTGACCTTTCTCGGCATCAAACCTTTGAAACAGATTTTACTACATGTGACATGAGACCCTGTTTTTACATACGTTAGGCAGCTACGATATGTTGGTGAGGCAGACCAATTCTCTGAGAAAAGCAAAAATGTGATGACGAGAACATGTGTTGAAGTCATGACTAGTGATAATCTTACTACATTTCTTGAAGAACTTGGATTTGGGTTGGTATACAAAAACTCTTATTTGCCTTTCACTTTTTCCTGCTTTTTTATTAATTTTCCTTTGAATTTTTGTTTTCTCTTGCTTGGAGAGAGTGTAAAGACTTAGCTAGCAAACCTGGTTTGGTTACGATTTTTTGTTATGTTATACCATTGTGGAGCACCAAGTTCTAAAATCGCTCTTGAAAAAGTTACATATGCATATGTCTCTGTAATGTTACATTGAAGAGAAAGCATTTATTAAATATTTCCAAATGAGTTTTTGCGAATTACTGGCGAGGTGACTGCTGCCTGCCTATCCCCTACTCCCAGCAACTCACCTCTGAAAAAAATGTGTACTTTCTTATTACCTTGGTGATCAATGTTTTGTAATATCCATCATTTGAATTGTGTAGGTTTGAGAGTGAATATATCGCTAAAGGCTACTACTTTAAGAAGGGCGACATCAGGGTTACCATATCCAAAATTCATCGGGTGTGTATACCACTACATCGTGCCTTATAATAATTTGAGGAGGAATATGTTATTTTTATCGTTATACATAACATGCAGTTGTCGAAACGCAACAGTTTTCACATGGACAGCGAGATTGCAAAAATTTGGGTGTAGTTATTTGGCATGGCTTTTTCAAAGTGAGAACTCCTAGCAGATATATCACACACGCCATAACATGTCATTTATAATTTTGTATTTTGGTGTGTCTTCACGTCTTCTGGAAACAAATTCGCAAACGAAAGTGTCACATAATCTGTCATTTGCCATAACTCCTTTGTAAACAAGCACATTACAAAAGTGTTTTTTTTTAACAGATGCACTATTATAGACTCACGAATGCATTGCCAAATTATTTAAGAGCCATTTTACACCATCAGCGTTGATCGATTCAAGAAAAATCTCTTGTCGCAATATTATAAGTTATCATTAGATCCAAGAAAATGGAAATCTTTATGTATGGCTTGTAGCAAATCTCGTAAACTATCCTGTGAAATATTGTGTTGTTTACAATGTTTGTGATCTTGTGTTCGAAAGGATGCCGTATTTGGCGAAAGCTATTGCAGGTTCCCTGCCGTTTAGTAGTTATCTATGCTCCTTCACATTTATAACATGTTGTCGGCGAAGATAAATAAATAATTTCGTACACAGCAGTATATTTATAAAGGGGGTGCGTTAAAAGATTATGCCACTTCCTCACTCACACTTCAGCGATGGCCCTTCGTGTAAATAGTGCATTGTTGTAAAATATGTTTATTGCAACATTTTTTATGAAGGATCTTGTTTCTTGTCTTTCAAATTAGGTATCCACTCGGGGAGATACAGAGCATCCTGAAGCCATATCTAGTTCATATCTTGTGGAGGCAAGCGTTATATCCTCCGTTCAGCAGGTAATTCAAAAGAAGAAATGCGCAGATGCAGTGAGAACTATCCAATTCGATGTGCTCTTAATGTGTATAACACGCAAAATTGTCTGGAATAGAACGTTTCATAAAACTTTAACGACTTGCTTTTGTCTTTAAATTTAGAATAGCGTTGGTGACGAACTGAAGGCATTTACTGATAATCTTAAACCGTATCCTCTCGACTTTGTGAACGAAGAACTCTGTAAAAATCGTTACTCTAGCGTTATAAATTGTGATTATGTATATCAGTGTAGGTAGTGATGATTGAAGAACGAAGAACGAAAACAGTCTTGATGAATGAACAACAGAGAACGAGAACAGTCTAAATTATATACTAAGATAACGTGTGTCAGTGAAGGTAGTGATTAATTAACAACGAAGAACAAAAACAGTCTTTACACTACCTTAAAATATAAACTAAGATAACGTGTGTCAGTGTAGGAAGTGATGAATGAACAACAGAAAACAAGAACAGTCTTTACGCTGACTAAAATATAAACTAAGACAACGTGCGTCAGTGTAGGTAGTGATGAACGAAAAACAGACAGCGAAATCAATTTTTGCAGTTTACACTGTCGAAAATAAATAAATGATGAATGAAGTACAGAGAACTTGCCAACGCAGCTATAAAATATAGACAACGTATATCAATTGCATTTCTTAATTCATTCAACAGTGTCGTTCTGTTGGAGAAAGTGGATCATCGTAAAATCTATTCATCTGGAAACAAATGATCTCATTTTATGTGAAGGTACTGCTTTTCTGTTGATATTGCCGTAAGAAGTTGGACAAGTTGGACTGGATATGCTTTTGATGAAGAATTTTCTGAAATTGAAAATCAGAAGGAGAACAGTCTTTACATTACATGAAATCTAATTTAAGATAACGTGTGTCAGTGGTTAGTAAATGAACAAGAACATTCTTTACACAAAATAAAATTTAAACTAAGATAACGTGTTTCAGTGTGATGTAATGATGAATGAATAACAGAACGAGAACGGCTTTACATTAGCTATATGAAATATAAACTAAGATAACGTGTTTCAGTGTGATGTAATGATGAATGAATAACAGAACGAGAACGGCTTTACATTAGCTATATGAAATATAAACTAAGATAACGTGTGTCAGTGTAGGTAGTGATGAATGAACAACAGAGAACAAGAACAGTCTTAACACTACATAAAATATAAACTAAGATAATGTATTTCAGTGTGGATCGTGATGAAGAAAATTAGAAAAAGGTACGAAATCTTTAGAGACTGCAGTAACTAATAAATGTATGTACAAGCTTAGTATTACGACTCGCAAGTTTTATTTAAGCTATTTTTCTATTTCAAATGTGAGTACTTGTATTCTTAACATAGATATTTATGATAACAGCTTTGTGGATTATTTACACCGAAATAAATGTCTGAGCGTCGCCCGTAATTACTATTCCCTTTCAACGTGCCGAACCCTTTTACGAGTGCGTAATTAAAATTGGCCAATACAATTAAATCTTTTCTCTCCTAATTACTCTGAATTCTGTGCGAATTGAATAATGATATAGCATTTTATACGGGTAACGGTCAATTATATTGAATTGTGGTCGATGTTGCTAAATTTATAGAACCCCCGAACAAGGTTTTATCTGCGCTACGTTCTACAAGAAAGTAAACGAAAAATTATCGCATTTTTTGTGACATTGGAACGCTTTTATCGGTAGGTTTTTAGTCGTAGATTGTATGCATGATATTTTGGTCATCTAGATCGCAATCTGTCAAGATGAATTGTTTGCTATTCAATAATAATATTTACAACACGTCGTTAGCGTAGAAAAACTCGACAGTTCGACAACTCCTTATCTCCAAAGTCCAGTTTCGTGGATGTTTGGTTCTTCAAGGAGACGCGATGTGTTTTCAAAGTTTTTTCGAAAGCAGCTGTTTTTAACTTCCCCATGCACGTCTCTTTACAATTTCATTTATTTATGACGCAGCATCGTTTGAGGTCATGCGTTCTTCGATTGCCTTGATTGATTTATGATTGGTAATTTGTCAGTTATTGTTGTTGCTGCGCATATGTTATCTAGTTTCAAGGACTCAAATTAAACGTTCCTTCGTGGTATGAGTAGGTAAGGTACATTACTACATTTTATGAACATAATGTTTTGGTATCAAACATTAATATTACTCCTTGATAATCTCGTAAATAAAGCAGATGTAGACGTAAAGATTGATTATTTCAGCCCATTGTATTGGTAGACCTAACTGCCAATTTTGGAGATCTATTTGAAACAGAGCGGTTGCTATCACTCGTTGCAATTATTACCTAGTTTTAATTACTTTATATGAACACCGTATTAAAACAGAGTGCTTCCATACACAACCGCTTGATTTTGTGGTTTCCTGGAAAATTTGAAGAACTATTTCTAAAGTGTCTCATTGTTTGCTCTGGAAAGACTGTTCGATTATTTTGTATTGCAGCGAAAAAATAAGCAAAATATGGATGAAGTATGAACTTACGGAGCTTCCTAGCAAAGTTTGTATAAGCTTTAGCAATGCATCACAGCTGAATAATTGATAAGACTTAGTCAAATTTTGTCATCGTTTGTTAAACGTCTGTTGTCGTAGGATTTCCTAGATCTTTTATGTAAAACTAATATCATTTATTGATCAATTAAAAAACTGAACTGTGACTTGATGATGATGAAAATGTCGTTGACGTGTGTATTTATAATTGTGGAAAACCATTTGCGCTTGATTTCTTCGTGATCGTTATTGAAAATTTTACTCAAACATCGCCCTGAAAAACTCAGTTCTACTGTACTACATTTATTTTGCTGAAAATTGCTGGAGTCGAAAAGTTTCTCAGAGGTGTGAACAATGCCTAGTTTAGCCGGGTAACTGTATTCGTCGTCTATGATATTCATAGTCCAGTCGGGGAGTCATGTACCTAAGACTGATGAATATTTGTTTTGAAAAAATGAAACTGAGACACCACATAACTTTCGACAGTGGTAGAGAACGGGTATGACGCAAACTATGGACAGCGATAGAACACAGGTATGACATAAACTATGGACATCGGTAGAGAACGAGTATGACGTAAACTATGGATATCGGTAGAACACGGATATGACATAAAATATGGACATCGGTAGAACACGGATATGGCGTAAACTATGGACATCGGTAGAACACAGGTATGACATAAACTATGGACATCGGTAGAACACGGATATGACATAAACTATGGACATCGGTAGAACACGGATATGACGTAAACTATGGACATCGGTAGAACACAGGTATGACATAAACTATGGACATCGGTAGAACACGGATATGACGTAAACTATGGACATCGGTAGAACACGGGTATGACATAAACTATGGACATCGGTAGAACACAGGTATGACATAAACTATGGACATCGGTAGAACACGGGTATGACATAAACTATGGACATCGGTAGAACACGGGTATGACGTAAACTATGGACATCGGTAGAACACAGGTAATGACATAAACTATGGACATCGGTAGAACACGGGTATGACGTAAACTATGGACATCGGTAGAACACGAGTATGACATAAACTATGGACATTGGTAGAACACGGGTATGACGTAAACTATGGACATCGGTAGAACACGGGTATGACATAAACTATGGACATCGGTAGAACACAGGTATGACATAAACTATGGACATCGGTAGAACACGGGTATGACATAAACTATGGACATCGGTAGAACACAGATATGACGTAAACTATGGACATCAGTAGAACACAGGTATGACGTAAACTATGGACATCGGTAGAACACAGGTACGGGTATGACGTAAACTATGGACATCGGTAGAACACGAGTATGACGTAAACTATGGACATCGGTAGAACACGTGTATGACATAAACTATGGACATTGGTAGAACACGGGTATGACGTAAACTATGGACATCGGTAGAACACGGGTATGACGTAAACTATGGACATCGGTAGAACACGGGTATGACATAAACTATGGACATCGGTAGAACACGGGTATGACGTAAACTATGGACATCGGTAGAACACGGATATGACGTAAACTATGGACATCGGTAGAACACGGGTATGACATAAACTATGGACATCGGTAGAACACGGATATGACGTAAACTATGGACATCGGTAGAACACAGGTATGACATAAACTATGGACATCGGTAGAACACGGATATGACGTAAACTATGGACATCGGTAGAACACAGGTATGACATAAACTATGGACATCGGTAGAACACGGATATGACGTAAACTATGGACATCGGTAGAACACGGGTATGACATAAACTATGGACATCGGTTGAACACAGGTATGACATAAACTATGGACATCGGTAGAACACGGGTATGACATAAACTATGGACATCGGTAGAACACGGATATGACGTAAACTATGGACATCGGTAGAACACAGGTATGACATAAACTATGGACATCGGTAGAACACGGGTATGACGTAAACTATGGACATCGGTAGAACACGAGTATGACATAAACTATGGACATTGGTAGAACACGGGTATGACGTAAACTATGGACATTGGTAGAACACGGGTATGACATAAACTATGGACATCGGTAGAACACAGGTATGACATAAACTATGGACATCGGTAGAACACGGGTATGACATAAACTATGGACATCGGTAGAACACGGATATGACGTAAACTATGGATATCAGTAGAACACAGGTATGACGTAAACTATGGACATCGGTAGAACACAGGTATGACGTAAACTATGGACATCAGTAGAACACGGTATGACGTAAACTATGGACAGCGATAGAACATGGGTATGACGTAAACTACGGACATTGATACAACACGGGTATGACGTGCACTATGGACAGCGATAGAACACGGGTATGACCAATGGCTATAACGTAAACTATGGACAAGAGGCCATGACGTTATGCAAGCAAGCAATCAATAAAATATAGTAAATTTGTTTGCATAAATCGTTGGAAGGCAAAGTTAATCTTAAAAGACTCAATTCTCTTATTTAGATATCTGGGACCATCATGTATCTGCGCATAAGGAGTCTCGTTTTTCTGCTTGCCTTGTCCCACTTTCATCTAGCTACAAGTATTTTTTTTCACTTCAATGCAATGCAGAATGTGAGCGAATCGGAAAGCTTCATGTTGTATTCGCATAGTGTTATTTACGGTAGGAAGAATGTAGTAAAAGGTGACCTTGGTGTTAACGCAAGCTATTACGAAAACCTCACTCGGTATTTCACGTTGGATGAACGTTGTAATGGCGGTATGCCTCTAACCATGGCTATATTTCCGCTATCACCGTATGCGGAACACTCTGCTCCGAAATTTAACACTACTAAAACTCATTCAGTGAAGATGGTGTTTTGGGGCCTGTTCTTGGAACTTCTGAAGAAAATAATCCCTCATTGCTGTCATCGTAATTCCACTGTGGAGTTCGCCAAAGTTCTTTTGAATCAATTTGTGTCAGACGAACCAGCTGAGGACTTTGATTTCACATTTCCACTCTATGGTGAAACGATGCAGGACAAAATGTACAAGCAAAATCCATTTGTTCCAGTGATCGCGGCACCCAGCGTCGCTTTGCTTGTTCGCCGAGACTCGGGGCTAGACGGAAAGACTCGGGTGATCGCCACCCAGATCCTAAAATCCGTGCTCATCTTTCCATTCATCATAATGCTCGCAATATTGGCTGGAATCATTATATGGCTTTTGGTATATTAGTCTGTAATGTTTTATCGTACAAAGCACAATGCGCACTGTTTTATGAGTGGTGAAACACAATCTTCAAGTGCTTGTATAACCAAAAAAATGATCAAATGAATCTATGAATCTTTGCAATTTAGCTTAGGAGGATGACTTTAAATGGATTGAGTAAGTAAGGCGGAGGATCTGAACACCAAAATTAATACAATCTATCATTTTCGCAAGTGTATAAAACACATTTGATGTTCAGAGATGTAATAATGATCACGTCTAACTTTGTTTTGAAAAATTATACAAGTTTGAACATATCCAGTTCAATGCCTTCATCAGACAATATCGTCTTATACACTTTTACAATTGAAGAAAATCTGTCAGCCTAAAGACAGTTTTTTTCATTTTTCGACAATCAAGGTGGCTTTTAGCCTTTTACCAAAAAATCTGAGGATTTAAGATACTTGCTCGGTGGCTTTTAACTACAATGTTTTTCTTTTCAAGGATCGCTATAAAAATACCGAAGAGTTCCCCAACTCGTTTTTGCGAGGAGTCTGGGAAGGTTTTTGGTGGGCTTTTATCACTATGACGACTGTTGGGTGAGTATGAGGTGTTTTAAATGGTGCAAGATGCTCGTGAAACATGCATTTAAATATATTTCATTGATCTTAACGACACTGGATCACTGGACAGGTGATGTCGTATAGAGTTAAGTGTGGGTCTCAATGTTGAGTAGTGTACGTTTAGGTTGAGCAGATGGAAAACAACGAGATCAATGCTGATCGCCTAGGTTAGCGCAGTGACTCTGAAGTTGAATATACCGCTAAGGATGTCAAAGCGTCAGAGTGAACACCAACAACAACAGGCCTCATGCAGGGCTCCACTAATCTGGACGATCAACTTGTACAAATATGTATTGATACATTCGGCTTCAAACTTTACGAGAGCAAGTAAATAAGTAATTACACAAGCATTTCAAATGTTTGAAGAAATCGAAAGACAACCGTCCGCAATATTTCATAAAAATTTTCAACAGTCCGCAAATCATCAAGTATTTTCTCGGTCCGAAATTACGGCGATAAGTCAAAAATAACATATTTTTTATGTTTTTAACTTCTCTTCTTTTTCATTTGTGCTAGATATGGGGATCGAACACCAAAATCTTTCTTCGGTCGACTCTTTTGTGTTTTGTGGATTTTGTTCGGTCTCGTCATTCTGTCCGTTTTATCTGGTGTTATGACCGCTGGTCTTACCGCAAGCACGAAGACTCAATTCAAGATTCACGGAGCGAAGGTATGCGAAAGCAACTTTTCATGAAGTGATGTTCTACGTCAGAGTTGCTTGATAACTTGGAAAAGGGAAGATTCATCCTTTTAAATACTTTTTACTGTGTGTTTTTGTTAGTTAACGTGTTTCTTTTAATGTTCTAAAATGTCTGTGATTATCTGCTTGTTAATTGAGCTTAATATGTCTGTGCTGCGGTGACCGAGTATCTTGGTAATGAAGTGAGAGTCACGACTGCATAAAATAAACTGAGATCAGATATTTTCCACTACAGTGCAAAAATGCAAGATCCAATGACTTGTATATGTGAATAAACATGTGCAGCATGGTGCCATATAGATATGTGATACAGACCAAGCCGATGTGCAGCCAGGCTTCAGATTAAGTCTCGCTTTATATGAGCCCGGTGGGAGTAAAAAGTAGAATTTTCTACGATACCATATTATGCGACTCATGTCGACTAGTCACAATCTATAAAGCATATGGTGTGCATGTACTTTGAAAAACAAAGTCATCCAACTGCTGGTACACGTGGGTAAATATTTGATTATTGAGCGTGTCTTATCTATTTTAGATTGGAGCCGTTTCAGAAAGCAAAGAATATCTACTTGGAATTAGTTTGAATGCTCAAGTAATCGGTAAATAAGCAGCACTTGACATAACTTCTCAAAAATTGAAGAAATGTTGACAATCATGATGTGTCTCAGGCCAATGGGATAAAAAATTTCCCGTGTGCCCCACATATTTTCTAGTTAGAGCGTTGAATTCTGTAGACCCAAAATTCTGTTGACCAATTACGTAACTATCAAGAGGAACATTAGTGATGATGTGAGATGAGAGCGAGTCATTTAGGCAGTTTCCAACCTTTGGCCTTGGTCCATTATTTCTCAAACGTTGACTTAAATGAAAATGAATATGAATAAATGAAAATTCGTCCGAGCGAGCGCTCAAATGATTCTCGAGTTGCCGAATCTTCGTTATCATCTTCAACCTTCAACAAACTAAAATTGTTATGAATACGATGTTTTACTCGTTTAAGGGGTTTCTTCTGTGCTCAGTTTGTTATGGGAGGTCCACGGAAGAAAACAATCGATGGTATGCTGATAGATAACTATGTCACGATGAAATACGGTAAAAATTTGGAAAAGGCCAATGTTCGTGTCGACCGTATGATTAACCATGCCATCACGTACGGCATAAGAATGGCGAATGGATCAAAACAACTTGAACGGTGTGCGAGGACGTATATCCGTGATAACCCTCAGGTCGTCTTCAAGCTACTCACGAAGAATGTCTCCCCAGTGAGAGTAAGTGATCGCAACCATCCTTGGCTCGTAATGTTGCCCTCGACGTCTACCTATTAATTGTGTTGTTCCATTTGATTTTATGCACACAACAATCGTCTATCAGACAACATTGTGAATACCACTGGTCATACAAACCTTACATAATCACTGATAAATTCCATTATGTGTACTTCAATGTATGTGGCATCATTGGTAACCATATTTACCCTAATTATAACGTGTACTTAAGGCAACATTGTTATCCATTACTATCCATATCATCCATGTATGACATCTAAGGTCGACGTTTTTTTTTGAAGACAGTATTGTATACGGTGTAAACTTGTTATTACTTTGAAAAAATTTATACATGATCACATTTTACAATCTGGAAGATCTTTAGTAAAACAAGTATAATAATTCCGAGATTCAAACCACTTGAAAAGTACAATAGATATATGAGTATAATTGCAGTATACAAAAGACAGCTTTAGATATCTTGGATAGCGCGGGCTTGTACCCCGTTTCCTTGTTGAGCACTCACATGGTCTTGTATTTGTAGAATAAGAACGATCGCGAAAATCTTCGAAAAAAAGAAGCGGACAAATTATTTAGACAAGATTCTACAATGAAGGAAATGCTTCGCATTGGTGCCTACGTCGTTTCAGGAGTGATATTTTTCGGCGTTACCGTCCAAGTAATCATGTATGTTCGAACGTTAAGAAAAGGTAATGCGACCTTATATGAATGGCAATGCAAGTGATGGTGTTGCAGTATGAATACATGTTTTAATAACATACATGTTTTCTTCGTGAGTTTGATCGCATTGTGTGCAGTCAACAATGCCACTCCGTCTTTCATAGAAATGATGTAGCTTCTATAATCAACCAGGTTTAAAGAGGATTACAGCAAGCAGCGAGATATGTTAAACAGTGTTTTTGAATAATATTTTTTACATAGGCAGTTATGAGGTGATTTTGAAGCCCCGTTCAGTGAGTGTGAATGAGATTTTAGAATACGAGTGTTGCCTCTGGTTTTTTTCATCGTATAACTGTGTCATCTTGTAAATTCAACTTTATTCTACGAAATAGAGGGAAGGAAACAGCGACGGCAGTACTCTCAAAGTGAGCTAAGCGTACACGGTGGCTCTTTTGAAGATTTCAACGAGTCTCTGAAAGAGATGATCGAGCAATACAAGAATTTTCAACAAAAATGGATGAAAAAACTGAAGGAAATAGGCGAGGAATGATACCACAGGATCTCACAATAATAGTCACAATATAATAGCAACTGGTAAAGTGGATTTTTATGTAAATAACGAGAGCAATCTGTTTAGCCACACCTGTCGCTTTGAGCGGATCTCTTTTCTGGCGCTTCGCTAAACTGCCCTCTAGCTACTTAATGACTGAACTAATTCTTTTATGGTAGTCATCTTCATGTATCTCGTTTCTCAATACTCCCAGGCTCAAACTAATTACTTTATTATGGTCTAATAGTATAGCCGAGAAATTATTAAATGATGGATAATCAAAGATGTTAACACTAAAGTCATTCTATCCAAAATTTTAACATTTTGAATCGATAGCGGCATTGTCCATATAATCATTATTTACTTGGCGTTCTGGTGTATGATATTCAGCGAAAGTTAAACATTACACGAGTTGGGATCTCTTTGGAATAGTTCGGCGAATGAGAAAATAATTACTTTCATTTGTGTGTATTGTGCTAAGATTTTCCTCAAATAAACGCTGAAAGATCGGAAAACACATGCATAAGGAGGTACCAAAATGTCAGGAGACATGGATTTCTTTGAAGGGTCTGAAAAACTTCTGGAAATTTGGTGGAATTCAACACCCAAGCTGACAGCAGCCGACAAAGAAAAGGATTTGAGGTGTATTCCAAGGCAAGCATTGCCCACAATTCGAATGCTATTTACAAATACATGTGTGTTTCAAGTTCCATTCGTTTTAGTTTTGTAAAATAGTTTGATGAGTAGTTACGAGGAGCTGCTATACGAAGAAAATTTAGAAAAAATAAATAGCATAAGGCTTTGTACATTATGCATGACTGACAATATTAAACTGGCAGTAGTAACTAATGGCGGTGGCATTGTAGTCGTTATGTTGGATTCAAGATAAAAGTTGCATGTTTATAAAGTGACGATAAAAGCAGTACAGAGTGTAAATTCTTCGGATAAAGTACGTATTAAGGTGGAACATTGCAAAGTCGTTTGCAATGTTTATGAGTCTTCGAGTCGTCATATAGATAAAAAAAACAGATTTAGTTAACATGAATATTGAAAAAAGTCTGCTTGCAACAAGTATTGCTTTTCCCATTTCATGGAAGTCTTGGTCTTGGCAACCACAACCCACCTGCGTTCCTGACAATATCAATGCTGTCCAAATTTATAAATCACTGATATAAGTAAACATCTGGGCATCTTATTATACCAGTATATTAAGTAGATTTGTACACATAGAGTTTGGAATGCTTGTTGCTCAAAGTTGCTTTTGGAAGAACTCATTTTGCTTGTTGTGTTAGTTATAAACAGAACATTTTTGTTGGTCCACAATGACATATTGAGAAGAGGGTCCATACCAAGGTGCATTCCTTGTAAACACCACGCCGAAGGTTTCAAAATAACTTTTTTTTATGCCAAAATGTTGAAGTTTCATGCCAACCCAATATAAGCCGAATTAAGAAATCATATAAGCGCAATTATTCATGTTTAGTTCAACCATTACAACAAATGTGAATAATCAATAATAACTAATTTTGCCCTTTACACCAAGACGATAGTTTCTCCATGCTGGAGATCTCTGAACTTTTGTGCACGGAATGCACCTTGGGGTCCATACAATTGAAGTACAACTTCATAAAGCATGACGAAATCTATTTGTCAGGCGACCACCATCTTTTTTGACTCTGAAGATGACTACCGCTAAGGTTGTTGATACGTCAGTCAACAACAACAAAAACAGTCCTTCTCAGGACTATACCAACCTGGACGATCTACATTTACAAACATGTAACGATGCTCCCAGGTTCAAATCATTTACTTTATAGATTTGTTACTTAAAAAACATGTTGTTTACTCTGTGAAAGTTTAAGAGGGAAGCATTTTAGTATTTTTATTGGGCCTACCAATTTGGCTAAATAGTTGGCCAGATAACATGTTGACAATTAATACCTAATATTCTAGGTGCAGAATTGAGAAAATCCTAGATTTGGCAGGATGTAAAATCATTAGCATGATTCAAAATGATGAAATGACTGCTTACTTGTTGAGGTACCATTTCTCTATTGTTTTTGTCTACATGTCAATGATAGATACTATTGAGGTACCATTTCTCTATTGTTTTTGTCTACATAGTCAATGATAGATCTATTGAGGTACCATTTCTCTATTGTTTTTGTCTACATAGTCAATGATAGATACTATTGAGGTACCATTTCTCTATTGTTTTTGTCTACATAGTCAACGACAGATACAGTTTGGTTTTGTGTTGTTTTCCATGTAGCGAGAGCAGTTTGTACATATCATGTAATCGTTTGATTCTAAAGACATGTGGCACAACCCCCCTGCTACGAGCTACAATACATATTATTAAAGTTGTTGAGGAGGAATGCGGAATGAGTGAGGTCAAAGTAAGTAACTGTAGTCTCAGGTTCTTCATTGAATACCTATTACATATAAAATATACGACAAATTTCTTTAAAGCAAACATGTTTCAGCATACTTTATGCCATCTTCAGTGCAAACTGCAACTTTTGAGTGAGTACTTGGGTGTAAAACGGCAGTTTGAAATTTCTTTAGTCTAAAATTATATCAGAGACTGGCCCAGGCTCCTTTCTATATGGGTTTTGGGGGTTTCTTAGTTTTGAGAATTTTAGCATTGGTTAACTCCAATGGCTCACTGAGTGTTAATAAATTTGATTTAAAGAGTTTTTAAAACTCTGCAATCCACACTTTGTAAATAATATTTTTCAACATGTGTAGTTGTGTTTGCTTTCAGTAGTTGACACAAATGTACATGAGAAAGGCTGCTGCATACTCTCAAGTGGGTGGTTACTTTCTGGGGGAGGCTACATACTTTCAAGTGGTCGGTTACTTTCTGGGAGAAGGCTACATACTTTCAAGTGGGCGGTTACTTTCTGGGGGGAGGCTACATACTTGCAAGTGGGTGGTTACTTTCTGTGGGAGGCTACATACTTTCAAGTGCGTGGTTACTTTCAAGAGAGGCCACATACTTTCAAGACTTCATGCTATTCAAGTTCTTCAAATTATCTTTCCACATTTAACAATTTTTGATATAGTCTTTCAGCAGAAAAATTGGTGTAAATTCAATTTTACATTTACATGCAAAATGGTTCATACCATGCTGTACATTACAAGAATTGCGTTGGTGGCAGGAGAAAGCATTAAAGCTGACAGAATCATGTCATTTTTTATTGCATGTAGAATGTGTTCTATTCAAGGAAAAGTTTCACAACCTCATTTGCAGGAGGCACCCCATCAGAACTTTCAGCAAGAGGTAAACAAACTTAATTTTTCATTCAAAAGATGCCTGTGAAAAATATGTGAATAAATGTTTACAAATCATTTATTTTTTATGCAGATTGATGTCTTAGATGAATTCTTCCCAGGTAAATCTAGTTTTAGAATGTTCTACAACACAATACATTTAGGTTGAGCAGTTCTGCTTTGTAATTGTGAAATGAGAAATGATTAGAACGATAAGAAACGTCATAATCCTTTCCTAGTATTATTAAATATGCCATGAAAGGATTTTTCTATTGAAATGTTTTGTTAATCTTATTGGTTGTATTGTATTAGCTAATGTGATTGGCTGTGTTGTCTTTGAACTCTAACCTTCAGGATTCTAATCTGCTGCTCTACCTCTTGAGCTAACAAACCCACAGAGGTTGGACTCTTGTCAAGTCTCATAATAACTGCATATGACGAGATGGTCTCGCGTATAACCGTTTCAGAATTATTGTTCTGATTCTATGATAAAAGCTTTGGAATAAAGTCGAAACACGGCGTCGTCAAGAAACTGCTCTTGTGATGAGAATTTCTTGTCCATATGCGGTTCATATGAGACTTGACTCGTCTTCAATCCCTATGAGCTCATTTTCTGATAATGGCTTTGGAATGAAGTCGAAACACGGTGTCGTCAAGAAAATGCTATTGTGGTGAGAATATCTTGTCCATATGCTGTGCGTATGAGACTTGACTCGTCTCCAATCTCTGTGGGCTCATTTTCTGCTAATGGCTTTGGAAGAAAGTCTTGAATAATGTGATTGACTTTAATAATATTGTTGGCTGTATTATATACACTGTGTATGATCTCTTCAGGAGGTGGAGCTTATACCTTAGGAAGACAGAACAGCGGCAATTGCTGGCATTTGTTTACCATTGATAATTATATTGATGGATTGAAAATACCAGATCAGACTCTAGAAGTATCCTTTATCTTATAAACTACGATAAAGTGTGGTTAGTTTTACTTAGGTGATCAAACATTAAAGTGACTCAAACTCAAAAACTAGCACCGTTAAAGGTAAATTGGCCACTGCTGTAATTGTAATACGAACTAGAATAATGTGTGTCAGTGTAGTTAGTGATGAATGAACAGCAAAGAACGAGAACAGTCTTTACACTACCTAAAATATAAACTAAGATAACTTGTGTCAGTGTAGATAGTGATGAATGAACAGCAGAGAACGAGAACAGTCTTTACACTACCTAAAATATAAACTAAGATAACTTGTGTCAGTGTAGATAGTGATGAATGAACAGCAGAGAACAAGAACAGTCATTACACTACCTAAAATATAAACTAAGATAACTTGTGTCAGTGTAGTTAGTGATGAATGAACAGCAGAGAACGAGAACAGTCTTTACACTACCTTAAATATAAACTAAGATAACTTGTGTCAGTGTAGATAGTGATGAATGAACAGCAGAGGACGAGAACAGTCATTACACTACCTAAAATATAAACTAAGATAACTTCTGTCAGTGTAGATAGTGATGAATGAACAGCAGAGAACGAGAACAGTCTTACACTACCTAAAATATAAACTAAGATAACTTGTGTCAGTGTAGATAGTGATAAATGAACAGCAGAGAACAAGAACAGTCATTACACTACCTAAAATATAAACTAAGATAACTTGTGTCAGTGTAGGTAGTGATGAATGAACAGCAGAGAACGAGAACAGTCATTACACTACCTAAAATATAAACTAAGATAACTTGTGTCAGTGTAGGTAGTGATGAATGAACAGCAGAGAACAAGAACAGTCATTACACTACCTAAAATATAAACTAAGATAACTTGTGTCAGTGTAGGTAGTGATGAATGAACAGCAGAGAACGAGAACAGTCATTACACTACCTAAAATATAAACTAAGATAACTTGTGTCAGTGTAGATAGTGATGAATGAACAGCAGAGAACAAGAACAGTCATTACACTACCTAAAATATAAACTAAGATAACTTGTGTCAGTGTAGATAGTGATGAATGAACAGCAGAGAACAAGAACAGTCATTACACTACCTAAAATATAAACTAAGATAACTTGTGTCAGTGTAGATAGTGATGAATGAACAGCAGAGAACAAGAACAGTCATTACACTACCTAAAATATAAACTAAGATAACTTGTGTCAGTGTAGTTAGTGATGAATGAACAGCAGAGGACGAGAACAGTCTTTACACTACCTAAAATATGAACTAAGATAACTTGTGTCAGTGTAGATAGTGATGAATGAACAGCAGAGGACGAGAACAGTCATTACACTACCTAAAATATAAACTAAGATAACTTGTGTCAGTGTAGATAGTGATGAATGAACAGCAGAGAACGAGAACAGTCATTACACTACCTTAAATATAAACTAAGATATCGTGTGACGGTGTAGGTAGAGATGAATACAGAACAAAGAAAGAGAAAAATCTTTACACGGCATAAAATATAAACTAAGATAATGTGTGTCAATGTAGGTAGTGATGAATGAACAACAGAAAACGAGAACAGTCTTTACACTATCTAAAATATAAACTAAGATAACGGTTGTCATAATCATTCTACTGTGTTACTGGTATTGTCAAAATAGTATATAGATGGCTTGTCTTGGGTACAAGGCTGAATAAAACTTATTTCTTTCGAAAACATTTTTGGTAAAGTAAATGTTCTCTAGCTCAGTGGGTGTTATTGCATTTATTTTCGGTAACAAATTTTTCAGATTTTGATGAATGATTTAGATTCATCTGTTGTCAAGCGATATTACAAAGGATTTTACAAAGATGCAAAAGAGCTCACCAGGGTATTGACATAACGTGGTTCACTCGTGGACATGACTCCTTGTTTTTGTATAAGTTATATTTGTTTGCCTATTATAAGCACGTGATTAATAAGAACGGCAACTCTCTTTTGACTCAGGCTGTTGGTATAAATGACCTCATTCCTGGCACAATGATTGATGATGTAATCTTTGAACCTTGTGGGTACTCTGCTAATGCTATTTTGAAGGTATAATCAAGTTTTATCTTTCTTTAATCGAGGTTTTCTTCACATTTGAAATCATTGGCGTCAACAGAAGATTTTGAATGTTCGGAGACTCTTACGCCGGTATTCTAAAAGCTCACTCAGTCAAACTCATCTCATAATTATCCGAACAATGCATTTTCACTCTACTCATTGATTACTTTAAAATATTTCAGTAAAAATCTTGCCGTCGATGTAGAAATGACTTTGCCTTTGATTAGAGAGAGCGCAGTTTTTATGTCACCCTCAGTGAGCGTGAGTGTGAGTGAGCTTTTAGTGAGCATGAGTGTGAGCGATCTTTTAGTGAATGTGAGTGTGAGTGTGAGTGAGCTTTTAGTGAGCGTGAGTGTGAGCGATCTTTTAGCGAGTGTGAGTGTGAGTGAGCTTTTAGTGAATGTGAGTGTGAGCGAGCTTTTACAAAACGGACGTGACTATTTGTAAATTGCTGTTTCAGCCTCTTTTATCCATTTTTTAGTAAATTCATGTATATAATAATGTACAATATGTTGGTCGTATTCATTCATTGGTGGGTCCTTATTGCTTGGGTTTTTTTCCTCACAAAGAAGTGCATGTCTTCAATGAACGCTCACGGTTTCGACTCCAAATGTGGTGGCGAATAATGTGATCTTGCAACGGTGTTTTGTTTTTTAGGACAGCTATTTTACAATTCACGTAACTCCTCAAGAGGAGTTTTCTTACGCCAGCTTTGAGACGAACGTTAAATTGGTAAGTCATTTGTTTACTTTCACTGCAACGCCGAGACGCGATTGAGAAAGACTGTTCAGCCCCATCAAGCAACAGTTAAAGTTTTCACATTTTTTTATAGGACACGTTCAAAGAATTGATTAAAAAAGTACTCGACATTTTCAAGCCGGGTAGATTTATCATGACGCTGTTTGGCAACGCGGTAAGAATTCACCACTTCATATTCGATTTGTAATTGCGTGCAACTATAGTTAGACTATAAATCTACTATACGGCGTATTTGAAGTAGTTCACTTAGTAAAGAGCAGCCTTGAGGCTAATGGCCTGTTTACCTAACCGTTCCTGTATGCCAGGGGTGGGCAACATACGGGCCGCGTCCGGCCCCTGAAGGGATTTTGACTGGCCCGCCGACTGTATCCGACCATTGAATATTGAATATTATTCATGTAATAATCCGGCACACCAATAACTTCATTTTCCTAAATCTGGCCCGCCGACTGGAGAGGTTGCCCACCCCTGCTGTATGCCATACCTTATTCACTGAAACAATTCAGACTTTCTGAGAATTGATCGGAGGTGTATGATTCACAATTTCGTTTTTTAGATCGCCCCCTGCGGAACTTCCATACGGACATTTGAGAAGAACTTTCTTCATTATTCAAGAAAAGATCTTCATTTTGCTTGCTTCAAGAATTACAATCTCACATACGGCTATTACGAGTTGGCATGAGCGACATCTCTGTAAGTCCAATAGTCTGCTTGACCTCGTTATTTGTGCTTCTTTTTTAGTATGACCAATTATCATAGTCTTTTATATAGAACAATAGTAAAGGGAATGAACTACAACCAACATATAAAATATGCCAAACCGATGTATTTACATTGGCGATATGTAGAGATAGAGACCATATTTACTCTTCATTACATATTTTACTATAAGTAAGATATGATCTTTGGAATATATTCAGATAATAAGTATTCTAAGTATAAGTATCAAAGTAAATCTGTAATATTTTGAATGGTTGTACAAGCATGTTTGCACCAGGGCCGTTGGCGCCGTTTTACGAAGGAGTTAGCTCCGGGGGGGTTGAGTTGGAAATTAATAGTAAGAAACGCGTTTCGTCGTTGGATTTATATTCGTTGTATTATTATAATTTGACTTAAATGTTTGTGTATTTTGTCAATTGGAAACTTGCATTTTACGTTTATTGAGAAGTTATTTGCCGAAAACTGTTTTCCTGGTGGGGAAAGTGATACCCGCTAGCTCCACGCTTGCTCTGGCTTACCAACGACCTTGGTTCATATATATTACATGAATTCTTGCATTTAATGTCATAACCATATATATATCTTATATTACACGGTCATAACAATCGATTACTGATCTCGAAATAAGACTAATTCGACATGGAAAAAGTTAAATAATAAAACATTCAGGTGACTCAACGGGATTCGAACCCATGACCTCTGCGGTGCCGGTGCAGTGCTCTAGCCAACTGAGCTATGAAGTCACACAGTGGAGAGCAGGTCAATTTTGTTGGCTGATGTTTTCTCGTGAAAGGAATGTCATACGAAAGAGTGTTCTATGCAGTGCGATGTTTGAAATTAAATGAAGATATGATCTTCGCACTTTGCTGGACAATTTAAGCAATTGTCTCATGAACCTTTCGTATGACATTCCTTTCACGAGAAAACATGAGCCCAACAAAATTGACATGCTCTCCACTGTGTGACTTCATATCTCAGTTGGCCAGAGCACTGCACCGGCACCGCAGAGGTCATGGGTTCGAATCCCGTTGAGTCACCTGAATTTTTCCCGTTGAGTCACATGAACCTGAGTTCATGAGACAATTGCTTAAATTGTCCAGCAAAGTGCGAAGATCATATCTTCATTTAATTTCAAACACCGCACTGCATAGAACACTCTTTCGAAAGAGCACTAAACCAATAGTTCTAAATTAAACAACACGATGCATTTTGGCAGACTACTCCTCAGGTGTCAACGTCTGCTAAATTAAAATTTACAATCTACCGATATTTATAATATCAAGAAAGAGTGCGCGTCATCTCCAAAAGGGGGGATGACGCTCAAAACAGGGATAAAATAAAAACATAATCCTTTTGTCGGCAGAGGATGGGATTGGTTAACTTAATTACAATCACGTTACGAAACGTAATTTAGTTTCTGAAAAAATTACTTAGAAAAAGTTAATTTATGCTGTTTAATTAAGTTAACCAATCCCGTCCTCTGCCGACTAAAGGATTATGTTTTAATTTATCCTGTTTTGAGCGTCATCTCCCTTTGGGATGACGCGCACTCTTTCTTGATATTATAAATATCGGTAGATTGTAAATTTTCATTTAGCAGACGTTGACACCTGAGGAGTAGTCTGCCAAAATGCATCGTGTCTTTTAATTTAGAACTATTGGTTTAGTGCTCTTTACTAAAAACAGTTCTTTTAAGAACTATCAACTTATTATATTACTTTTACCATTCACTATGTTATTTGCTATCTTTAGAACTATTTTCAGATTTGTCACCACGACAAAGCCTCTATTTTATTATAAAAGTATGATACTTTGTTTACTCAACCGATCAATAGAACGCATGTTTACAAACGTAGAAACGGACAATATTATAAAACTGTAGTTTTGTTTCCATTATTTCCTTTATAACATTTTGATACAACCTCATTTCCGATAATTCTCTGCGACTGCGATAAAATGATGTATAGTTATCGCAAGGAGCAAACGTTTCATCTTATTCATAATTCATATTTCATTGTTAAACTCGCACCATGCGTTTAAATTATTTTTGACGTTTTGTTAAATCCACACCGATATTTCAAGTAATAAAAGCTCGAACGAAAATAAATACATGCTTACACAACATTTTTCTCACCGTGTGACAATAGAGCGCAAGATAAAAAATGTGAACCGAGCTGGCTAAATACGGCACGGTGAATCCGTTTCATGTGTTTTTCGCCAAACGAGATATGTATAATTGATGTCGGTGATCACTCGATTTTAGTATCTACTGTAGTACGTTGTTTAGGCCGCATATCTATTTGGATTCCAGACATTTAATATCAAATAGAAACTTACAGAAGTTCCGAAAGGTTCTACTTTATTGTGATTGTGCGCTGATGCGTGGCAGCAATTAATGCTATTGTGGGTACCAGACGTTGTGGGCGAGCGTTTTATTATTTCGTGGAGAAAGGTTCTAATCGAAAAATGCGATCAACAGGAAATTAACTTTCAAAGAACTTTGTATTTGCTTTTGCCACTTTCTCAAAGTTTAAACCAAACCACGCTCTCGGGTTTAGTCAGGTCACGGTCACTTCTTGCGATATTTAGTGGGATCGCTCTCAACAGTTAGTTACAGCGATTAAACGTATAGGCTACAAGCGTTATAATGCCTCAATACAAACTTATATATTTCAAGACGAGGGGACGTGCAGAAGCCATTCGCCTGCTCTTTGCAGCTGCTGGTGTGAAATATGAAGATTGTAGACTTGAAATGGAGGAGTTTCGACAACTAAAAGCCAGTAAGGTTTATGAAAATCGCCCCGTTTTGCCTTTGATTACATTCGTATCAGAATTTTAGAATACTTGATTATCAGTTCTAGATTGTGAGATTATATGAATTTGAATTACTTCTAAATTTTACTATCAAAATGAAGGTGGCAAGCTTCCTTTCAATCAACTTCCCATTCTCGAGGTTGATGATAAAATTTTAGCGCAGACACCCACGATCATCAGGTACCTTGGCAGGGAAACAGGTTTGTTTTGTTTATATGTTGATTTTTTTATTCAAAATTACTTCAACACGAAAGTGTGTTGAAAACAGCTTTTCATGTGAGTTGAGATGCCAAAATGTTTAACTGTTCTTTTTTTGGTTTGCTCCCTTAATGTAACTTTGTAAACATGTATTACTATAAAATGTAGAATCCAATATGTCTAAATTTTGTGGTTCTCTTTATGTCTAGGATTTGCACCTATCAACAGTTTTGATATTGCAAAAGCTGATATGATTGGCGATGCATTGACCGATACCTTGCAAAAGGCCCATAAAGCGTATCTCGAAAAAGATGAAGAACTTAAGGTAAAATTTACCATAAAATGGCCTTAGAAAAGACATTGAATGATTTCATTATTTACTTAAGTGTTCGTATTGTAGAAAAAGATGACCAAAGAATTTTATGAAGAGACTCTACCAAATGCATTGAATTTGTTGGAGAAAATTGTCAAGTCTTCCAGTGGGAAATATTTTGTTACTGATAAGGTACTTACAGTTTCGGCAAGATGGCACCATATTTTGTGCTGGACTGTGTCATTGTTGATCCCAATGCAGCCATGTTTAGTCCTAAATATGGAAATGAAACCATACTTTAATATTCCTCACAACCACATTCAATGCAATTTCTTTCTTTTAGCTGACCTATGCAGATATCAATTTCTTTGCCAGTATGGATTTGCTTTTCCCAGATACAAAAGATATCCCACCCATTTTCGATAATTATCCTTGTTTAAAGTGCTTATATTACAAATTTTAGCCCCCCTTTTTTATGAGCTTAATTGAAAATTTGGATTATTCGAAGAACTATGACATGTCGCTGGACTTAAACAGATAAATATAAGTTCCTTAATTTTGCCTCCAAAGTCGGGTACTATTTGCGAATTTTTTACGACGCCATATTGATACTTGTGACGTAGATAGTTGAACACGTCTGTTTCCGTCAATATAATATTATATTATAGGAGGTGATTATGTTGTCGTTTTTCTTGTCTTAAAAACAAATAATGACAGTATTTTCAATATAATATTAAAAAACAAGTTTTCCGGAAAGTATGGCCTCAAATCAGTGCTCAGATAATTCGAATTCGATGTCTGAATGCGCAGGGGCGGATCTAGGATTTTTCAAACATCAGTCATAAAACGTCGGAGGCGCTCCGCACCTGGGGGGGTCTGAGGCATTCTCCCCTGAGAAATTTTGAATTTCAGAGTCTTGAAAATGCCATTTTCAGCGTTTTAGAGCAATACAAAATGTATTTTGTGGGCATCGTTTTTGCGTAAAAACAACACATTTTTCTTACGTTTTTTTTTTCAAAAAAAAAATAAAGTGAACAATACTTGAATGTTTTGCCAAATATTTAGGCTCATTATCATGCCAAATATATGGCTCATTAGCATGTCTAGGAACGTAAATTTATTTTACAATAATGCTATTCAAAAACAGATATATTCTTTAAAATTTCTACCAAGTTGTCAGGCATAGACCCCCTAGAGACCCCATTCAAACCTCTATGTAATAAGTTAAGTTAGAAATTTGGTACTACAAGTGACAGTTCATAGATATAGAAAAGCTCAGACTTCAAACCATGCAAGTTTATTGTAACTCTTTACCCATCTCCACATCAGTGCCAGCAAATTCACCTTTGAGAAAAACTCAAAATTTTTTTCTGCCAAAGATTAAGCAAAAATTATCAGAGTGAAAATTTGCAGTTAAGGTTAGCTTAATGCCATAAATGTTTATTAGGCATTTCACTAGACTATTATCTTCTGCAAGGTGTGCTATATAGCAATCACTAGTAGCATTGTATTATCAAATACAAACAGAATGTAACCAACATGTCTTTAATTATATAATTACATGAATGTTAAAATGGTTTATGTGTCATGCTTACTGGTTATGATAAATATCTTTTCATATGATCAAAGCTTGTTTAAATGTAAATCTAAAATAATTTAGTTTAGAAATTATAATGATCATCAGAAAAATTACCTAGTGATCATGAAAATACTTTGCTGTTTTGCCAAATTTCAAGGTTTATCTGCATACATAGGAAGACATTTTTACTTTATAGAAAATGCTTTTCATACATCAATAGCCCTTTGGAATTTATGGCAACAATCTGGTATGAGCCGTAGATTAACACACCTTTACATCTCTACATGAGGTGTTCAGTTAGAAAAGGGACAATATGTGACATGGGACAACATTTCATGTATGTGAAATACTCAGGTTTAATACCATTCCAGTCAAATTGTCAAAATAAAAAGCTTCATGGATCATAAGACTCAAAATCACAGGTTATAGTAAACAGCTTCTCATGTAATCAATGTTAGTTTTCTCAAATCTTAAACAATATGTAGTATAACTGTCCAATGATTGAATGATCAATGATCATAAACTGAAAAGCCCCAAACATTTGTTTATGATAAAGTAAATAATAGTATGGCACCTTATGGCTACAGATTTTTTGTCCATTGAAATATATTTGCAGAAATGTAGGATTTCGCTGCCATATAACGGCCACGATTCACCAAGCATTAAAGAAATCATAGCTAAAAGTCCTTCGGCAACAACAATTTTAGAAGCATCAATCTGCTTACCATACGCCATATTAACATAAATCGCATCACACACTCGCATAAATTGACTTTGATATATTGCATTCATGCATACACTTCACTTGTCCTTTACTTACGATTTTGGATGTAAATTTCTGCTGATAAAACTCAAAACAATGTTGGCTTTCTTTTGAACATCAATGACTGAAATGTCGCTCGCGAGATCGTCTTTGCCAAGCATTTACAATTCATCCATAAATTTTCACCCTCTTGAAAAATTCCCAGTTTGGAAAGCAGCATTCATGTCAACATATGAATTTGTAAAGATTTCCATAAATTCCATCTGATTGTAGTTTAGTTTCTATCATGCTTCAGAAAATTACTATGAACGATCAAACATTCAATTCAGACATTGAGCTTGACTATGTTAGTTCAGTTGGCTATCAGTCGAAATCGGTCAAACCAATCACAGTAAGACAAAAATTCAAATGAACCAATTGTAAGATAGCAATTGGACTCCCTTATAGGTCCGGCCACCCCTATTATCGGTCGAGATTATTCCAGACTGTCCACTGATCTGGCCATTGACCAATAAAATAGCGTTTCTGGCGTTCAAAGACTCCTTTATAAGTCGAACCAGTCAAGCCACCCCGCTTATCAGTCGGTTATTCCCATTGAGTTCAATAATAACTGGAGCGGCTATCTCAAGCGCGGCCTTAGATATCTGATGACGCCAAAAAAATGGCGGATTTCGTCCGTTGCCGCTGAGATTTACCGAAATTGACCGCTTTTCCGAAAATTTCACAATTTCCCTCCCTCCTGAGGAAAGAGTGAAGAAAATCTATGTGTATTTGGGATTCGGCAAGCAATTTTTGATGAAAATCACGATAAAACCTACAATTCGTCAGCGAGTCAACCTAGCTTTCCAGTTATCGGCTCCTACGAGGATGTATTTATAACTATCGACGAAAGAGCTATATGTCGGCTACACATCTATGAATCGTTTTCTTACCAGCGTCAAACTTGTTTGATCGATTAAACTCTTTAGTCTATACAAAAAAGTATATCATAACTCATATCCACGGTGGTTCACAGAGAGAATTTAGCTTATTTGTTATCATTCCTATTTTGCTTCTTTTCGTGCGAAAAACAATGGCATTTTTCGGCACAATTGTAGGATTTTTACTTGTTTCTTTAAAAAAGTAAATATTAAATCTCTGGATGTTTACGGATTTTCTGTAATTGAGTTTCATATTAAATTTCAAAAAACTCAATTCTGCATAGGTTTGGTAAATGAAAACAAACAATATTGTATAGAAATTACTTTAAGTAACCTTTTGTGATGTTCTGAAGTGCAACTGCATCAAATACTTGTAAAGTTGTAGCACATTTTGATTTTGTTGTATTGATATATAAATTGGGCAAAATCAAATAATCATCAAAACACTTATGCTTCCAATGGTGTTTATAATTCATTTTAGTTTTAATACTTCTACCCTTCTTTTTCACTTTGTTTTGTTTTTCCTATATTTTCAATATAAGTGCACAATTTGAATGATTAACACAGTTTTCACTTCAATAATAAATTTCATAAGCAGTTGGTAGTGCATTTTGTTCTCTGAGTATCCACATTTGGTGTTTTCTTCATACATGAATGCTTTCTAGAAATTATAAAGTTATTGGATTATATTACCTCTATATCATCAATCTCATGAAAAGAAATAAGCAAAATATTTGTAGAAAAGCTTTGAAAAGTGAAAACATTTATTTAAAAAGCAGCAATGATGCATATGATAAATCTCCATTCTGTACTCTAATAGGTAAATAAGCTCAAACTGTTTCTTAAAGAAATATAAGAAATATATAAGAAATATACAGTACAGTAATTTTAAAGGTTTCATCACTGAATCTTTAATGCTTCAGTATAGTGCATTAGATATTAGTAACATTCAAACAACACTCAACTAAAATATTTTGATAAAGATATGACATGATTTAAACATTAAGTTATATAAAACCCAATGGCTTATACAGTTTGATGCTTCACATCTGCATCGAGTCATCATCAATCTCAGTACAAATGTTTACATAGACACAAACTTTATGGCCTTTCCATTTTATATGTTGTGAATTGACATTTAATTAAGGATCAAAACACACACAACCTTCTTGCCATCTTTTTTTGGTTCATGAACTTTAACTTCAAAGCATTCAAGGCATCATTAGTGAATCCATTGTCTCCATCCATAGAATTTGACCATGATCAAATTAAATAACTCTGGATAAGGCAGACAATAAATCAATTATCTTTACAGCATTATCATTTTTTTAAGACTCTGCCTGGTCAATAACATCTTCCAGTCATCTTTACTCCTTGGTCTTCCCTGCATGTTGTCAGCAAATAGAACATAACAAGCTCTGCTCCAAATCATGGGTACTGTTGGGGCTGATCATTTCTTTTTGATACTTTCACAGAGCAAAATGTGTGCAGGGTCTTTTTTGCTTTAGGGAAACTATTTTGCAAATAGATAGGTAAATTTACGATTTCATGCATTAACAAATGACAGAAAAGTATGCAGAATTTTATAGACAAAACAGGAAAACATCAGTATATTTGGCGTTCAAGTCAGTCTTAAAAAATACGATCTTTAATATGTATTTTATGGCATTTCAAGTGCATGTATAATTGCTTTTCAATCGTTGACGGACTAACAAAACAAACAACTACCTCACCTGTGAGAAGCGATATGTTCCTTTTTGTGGAAACTACGACATCCAACAATTGAACGATTGAAGTGTTGGCATTATAAAGAAATGCCAAAAGAATCGTCACAGAATATGGAACTAAGGATATCCATATTCTGTGATATCGTGTTTGTTTTTTAAAAATTCTTTATAATTTACTATAGACACCAGGGGGAGGTCTAGAATATTATTTTTCTGCAAAGCGATCATTTCAGCGGAAATACGTCCGTTGGCCGCCATTTTTTTGGCGACCTCGCCCCAGTAAAGATAGCCGCTCCAGTTATTATAGAACTCAATGGTTATTCCCATTGAGCTCTATAACTCAATAACCAGATTGAGTTCTATTATAGAACTCAATGGTTATTCCAGGTCAATTAAAATTCAACTGATCTGGTTACCAAGGAGATATTCATTGCATTAGTCATTAGTTTTCAATAATAAATAAAGCTGGATTTTTATCACGAAGTAAATGCGATAATAAAGTAAGAATAATTAATGATTTTTAATTAATATGAATAGGTAATTTTTGAATTTCAAACATCAGTCGCGCGACGGATTTGACATACTCTAGATCCGCCCCTGATTTTCAGAGTTGCTCCGCTGTTTCGCGAGGCTTTCCGATCTTAAAAATAAGATACTTAGCTTTTCTACTGATTGACATTTTTTGTAAACGTTTGTTGTAAGCGAATATGAATATGCCGAAACTTCATTTTGCAACACATGTATAATATCATTGTGCTTATTGATGGACTACCCTAAAGCCCAATGTAGATGGGAAGACGCACCGAGATATTCATTTAAGGTAGTAGTTTTGGGTTCAAAAGGTGCGGGCAAGACCAGCCTTTTAAAACGACTCAAGTTTGACAAGTTCGAAGGCGCTGCTTCTAATACTATCGGAGCAGATTTTTTAACTCACACCATCAACACTGACAAGGACATGGTGCAGGTATTAGTCGTGGAATACTTATAATAAAATTAAGAACGACCAATCAAGATTAGATCTCATAGTTAAGCTTTTTAAAGTCTATTTTGTCTGGAAAGTATGATCATTATATTTTGGATTGCTTATGTGAGTACACAATGAAATTTGATTTTCACACCAGCACACCAATAATTTTATCGTGCACAACAGAGATCTTGTCGAAAAACAACATATTTCCAGACTGATTTTGTTATAGGCCAGTCAGACAGACCATCAATATTTATGTGCTCAGTTATGTCTGATCTTTAGTATTAATCAATGTGGCTGATTTTGGTGTTGATGATAACAGCAAAGTTTATTTGTGTTGGCATACTCAACTGTAGATTTATACTTCTGCACATTATTCCCTGTATGTTGTGTAAATTTTTATATCTCTTTCCATTTGTATACATAGTTAACGCTGTGGGACACTGCTGGAGAAGAGAGGTTTAAATCTTTGACTAGTCAATTTTATAGAAAAGCTGATGCGGCCATAATTGTGTTTGATTTGACATTTGCAAGATCTTTCAATGAAGCAAAAGATTATTGGATTGATGCATTTAGAAAGGTTGTTGGGTATGCTAAGCAAGTTCTTTAATTTCTTTAACTGGTGTGTTTTACTTAGAAGTTGACAGCCATCCATTTTGACATTTTGTTGGCCTTTTTAGAAGCTCGGCTTATATTGCTCTTATTGGAAATAAAAGTGATCTAGAGACAAAACGTGAGGTAGATAGCGAAGAGTTTAAGGTAATTTTGTTCATTTATTGTGGCATTTGTTTTGATATTAAAAAAGCAATCTAAGCTAAAATTAGCTTTTATCATAGGAGTTTGCTGATCTTAAAGGCATTTATGCATTGGAAACCAGTGCAAAGGACGGTACTAATGTCCAACATCTGTTGGTATAAATGACCTCATTACTGGCACAATGATTGATGATGTAATCTTTGAACCTTGTGGGTACTCTGCTAATGCTATTTTGAAGGTATAATTAAGTTTCTATCTTTCTTTAATCGAGGTTTTCTTCACTTTTCAAGTCATTGGCGTCAACTGAGAAGATTTTGAATGTTCGGAGACTCTAAGGCCGGTATTCTAAAAGCTCACTCACTCAAACTCATCTCATAAATATCCGAACAATGCATTTTTACTCTACCCATTGATTACTTTAAAATATTTTTGTAAAACTCTTGCCGTCCATGTAGAAATGACTTTGCCTTTGATTAGAGAGAGCGCAGTTTTTATGTCCCCCTCAGTGAGCGTGAGTGTGAGTGAGCTTTTAGTGAGCATGAGTGTGAGCGAGCTTTTAGTGATTGTGAGAGTGAGTGTGAGTGAGCTTTTAGTGAGCGTGAGTGTGAGCGAGCTTTTAGTGAGTGTGAGTGTGAGTGTGAGTGTGAGTGAGCTTTTAGTGAGTGTGAGTGAGCTTTTAGTGAGCATGAGTGTGACTGAGCTTTTAGTGAGTGTGAGTGAGCTTTTAGTGAGCGTGAGTGTGACTGAGCTTTTAGTGAGTGTGAGTGAGCTTTTACAAAACGGACGTGACTATTTGTAAATTGCTGTTTTGGTTCATATATATTACATGAATTCTAGCATTTAATGTCATAACCATATATATATCTTATATTACACGGTCATAACAATGGATCACTGATCTCGAAATAGGACTAATTCGACATGGAAAAAGTTAAATAATAAAAAACATTGGGCACCCCATACATGTACAGTGAACTGTAAAAGAACTGTTTAAAACCAGAACTCTATCCCAATTCTTCTAAAAGAACTGTTTTAAAGCATAAAAAATCAGCATAGTAACCATTGACAGTAACTCTCATTGTGCTGAGTAACCCTCACTAAGAAAATCCAAAATGCCCCAGAGAGCCCGGTAACATAAATAAGGTGGTTACACCAGTTGCACGTTTGTTACATGGTTAACATGGTTGCCTCGGGTCTTTAGTCGTCACAGGGGCGTTTACTGACGTATTTCCGTCATCAAGAAATTCATTAGGGACGTTTAGATTAAAATATCCCCATAAGTCATCAATATATTCATCAGGAACGATTAGACTGAATGCTAATCCTCTAGACCTCTTAAGCTTTAGACTAAATGCTAATCAGGGACGATTAGACTAAATGCTAAACCTCTAGACCTCTTAAGCTTTTCTAGTCTCAACACCTCACCCTAACAATACATCACACTTACATCACACAATACATCACATCACATCACACTTAGACATTCACAGTAACCTGATGCCTCAAACTATGTAAATAGCTCTATATATATCTATATTCTTGTTAACTTCCCAATTAGTCTGAAGATGTCTTGAGCAAAGACGAAACGTCACTCTTTTAATAAATTTCATAAAACCAAATTGTTTATACTATGTTTAAAATTATTTTTTGGGCTCTAATATTTATATTGAGAATTCCTCGAGAGGTTTAGTTAAAGTCCCTTGGGGCTCGGGCTGTGCCCTCGGACTTTTACTAAACCTCTCTCGGTTTGCGGGACACTTAATCCTCAATCTCCCGGAGGCATGCGTTTAAATATAATTAATGCTATTGTGGGCACCAGCCGTTATGGGGGAGCGTTTAATTATTATGTGGAGAAAGGTTCCAATCAAAGAATGCGATAAATAGGAAATCGACTTTCAAAGATCTTTGTATTTGCTTTTGCCACTTTCTCAGAGATTAAACCACGCTCTCGGTTTAGTCAGAAGGTCACGGTCACTTCTTGCGGTATTTAGTGGAATCGCTCTCAACTGTTAGTTACAGCAATTGAACGTAGAAGCTACAAGCGTTATAATGCCTCAATACAAACTTATATATTTCAAGACGAAGGGACGTGCAGAAGCCATTCGCCTGCTCTTTGCAGCTGCTGGTGTAAAATATGAAGATTGTAGACTTGAAAAGGAGGAGTTTCAACAACTAAAAGCCAGTAAGGTTTATGAAAATCGCCCCGTTTTGCCTTTGATTACATTCGTATCAGAATTTGAGAATACTTGATTATCAGTTCTAGATTGTGAGATTATATGAATTTGAATTACTTCTAAATTTTATTATCAAAATTAAGGTGGCAAGCTTCCTTTCAATCAACTTCCCATTCTCGAGGTTGATGATAAAATTTTAGCACAGTCATCCACGATCATCAGGTACCTTGGCAGGGAAATAGGTTTGTTTATATGTTAATTTTTTTATTCAAAATTAGTTCAACACGAAAGTGTGTTGAAAACAGCTTTTCATGTGTGTTGAGATGCCAAAATGTTTAACAGTTCTTTTTTGGGATTGCTCCCTTTATGTAACTTTGTAAACACGTATTACTATAAAATGTAGAATCCAACATGTCTAAATTTTGTGGTTCTCTTTATGTCCAGGATTTGCACCTACCAACAGTTTTGATATTGCAAAAGCTGATATGATTGGCGATGCATTGACCGATATCTTGGAAAAGGCCTATAAATGGTATATCGAAAAGATGAAGAACTTAAGGTAAATTTACGTAAAATGGCCTTAGAAAGGACATTGAATGATTTCATTATTTATTAAAATGTTCGTATTGTAGAAAAAGATGACCAAAGAATTTTATGAAGAGACTCTACCAAGTGCATTGAATTTGTTGGAGAAAATTGTCAAGTCTTCCAGTGGGAAATATTTTGTTACTGATAAGGTATTTACAGTTTCGGCATAATGGCACCATATTTTGTGCTGGACTGTGTTATTGTTGATCCCAATGCAGCCATGTTTACCCTAAATATGGAAATGAAACCATACTTTAATATTTCTCACAACCACATTCAATACAATTTCTTTCTTTTAGCTGACCTATGCAGATATCAATTTCTTTCTTTTAGCTGACCTATGCATATATCAATTTCTTTTGTTTTAGTTGACCTATGCAGATATTAATTTCTTTCTTTTAGCTGACCTATGCAGATATCAATTTCTTTCTTTTAGCTGACCCATGCAGATATCAATTTCTTTCTTTTAGCTGACCTATGCAGATATCAATTTCTTTGCCAGTATGGATTTGCTTTTCTCAGATACAAAGGATATCCCACCCATTTTGGATAATTTTCCTTGTTTAAAGGAACTTTACAAAGAAGTTCGTTACAATCCTGGAGTTGATGAATGGATGGGAAAACGACCATGATGTTAAATTTTCCTTCGTCTTTTGCAAAAAGAGAACTTGGTAGCTTCCTCAAAAATTTATTTTGATTATCCATTGAATTAATTATCCATTGAATAAATTTTCTATGAGCAACACGTCAAGTTGTTTATATCTTTATTTTGTGTTCTTGTCAATTATAATATTAATGCAAAATTTATTTAAACTGCAAGTTTCCAATTTTCGATTTCATTGAGTTGTATCAATAAGATAGGTTTTATATCAAATGAAGAAATTGTAAGAGAGATCACACAGAGTAAGTTTGACAGTGCACATGGCCATATGCCTTTCATTCAACGAAACCATCAACATCATTGTAAACAAAGTTCATAGATTTGTAAACTTTTCGTGAACTTTAATTTTCAATTATTTTTCCCAGTTATTCCAATCAATCCCCATGAGTTACGTCATTTTCAGAGGTGCTCCGTTGTGTCGCGAGGCTTTCCGATCTTAAAAATAAGATGCTCAGCTATTCCACTGTTTGACATTTTGTAAACGTTTGTTGTAAGCGAATATGAATATGCCGAAACTTCATTTTGCAACACATGTATATTATCATTGTGATTATTGATGGACTACCCTAAAGCCCAATGTAGATGGGAAGACGCACCGAGATATTCATTTAAGGTAGTAGTTTTGGGTTCAGAAGGTGTGGGCAAGACCAGCCTTTTAAAACGACTCAAGTTTGACAAGTTCGAAGGCGATGCTTCTAATACTATCGGAGTAGATTTTTTAACTCACACCATCAACACTGGCAAGGACATGGTTCAGGTATTAGTCGTGGAATACTTATAATAAAATTAAAAACGACCAATCAAGATTAGATCTCATAGTTAAGCTTTTTAAAGTCTAATATATCTGGAAATGTTTTTTTGCGCACTGGAGATGTTTTCCCTATAATAATGATCATTATATTTTGGATTGCTTATGTGAGTGCACAATGAAATTTGATTTTCACACCAGCACACCAATAATTTTATCGTGCACAACAGAGATCTTGTCAAAAAGCAACATATTTTCCAGACTGATTTTGTGATAGGCCAGTCAGACAGACCATCGATATTTAGGTGCTGAGTTATGTCTGATCTTTAATATTAGTCAATGTGGTTGATTTTGGTGTTGATGATAACAGCAAAGTTTGTTTGTGTTGGCATACTCAACTGTAGATTTATACTTCTGCACATTTCTCCCTGTATGTTGTGTAAATTTTTATATCTCTTTCCATTTGTACACATAGTTAACGCTGTGGGACACTGCTGGAGAAGAGAGGTTTAAATCTTTGACTAGTCAATTTTATAGAAAGGCTGATGCGGCCATAATTGTGTTTGATTTGACATTTGCAAGATCTTTTAATGAAGCAAAAGATTATTGGATTGATGCATTTAGAAAGGTTGTTGGGTATGCGAAGCAAGTTGTTTGATTTCTTTGACTGGTGTGTTTTACTTAGAAGTTGACAGCCACCCATTTTGAAATTTTGTTGGCTTTTTTAGAAGCTCGGCTTATATTGCTCTTATTGGGAATAAAAGTGATCTAGAGACAAAACGTGAGGTAGATAGCGAAGAGTTTAAGGTAATTTTGTTCATTTATTGTGGCATTTGTTTTGATATTAAAAAAGCAATCTAAGCTAAAATTAGCTTTTATCATAGGAGTTTGCTGATCTTAAAGGCATTTATGCATTGGAAACCAGTGCAAAGGACGGTACTAATGTCCAACATCTGTTTAAAGAAATGGCAATGATTTTAATTGAGAATGTCAATCAGTTGCAGAGCTTAGACTCTGGTCCAGACAGCTTGTTCATGCACAACGTTCCTGACAACTCCAGTACAAACTATTACAATTGTTGCAATTATCAATAAATATGTTGAGCTTTGTAGTACTGGTAATAGCATGGTTTCAAACGCTGTTTGGAAAATATGCCAGAATAAGTTTCTCAATGTTTTCTTTGAAGAAAGAAAAGGTTGGTATTTTTTTGGACAAATGCACAAGAATTTACTCATCTCTTCATAATAATATAGCAAGAAAGTAATTAGACAAAATATTACAACATAAATTTTTTATTATCAGTGGCATGCTGGGAACAACTTTTATGCAGATACCAGTTGGTTGAAAATGTGCTACCAAGCACTGCAGGTATGAGTAGTCCTAAGGAGGGTCCAGGGGACATGGCTCCCCATTCCCCTGCCAGCATGCCACTGTTATAGTTTTTAGCAATTTTACACCGATTTAGGATTTTTCTCTGCCATACAATTAGCCAATCACATTCAAGTGTCATCCTGCAACATTATAATAATTATTATTATTTTAATAAATCGTATGCGTAAATTGTGTTTCCTTGTATATATGGCCAATGGTCGAATGAACATTTGAGCAATGTTATGCTTATTTTGTTTCAATAAACAAAGATAGCTTTTGAAACGAGTTAAAGTTTAATCATATCATCTCCTGAAGAAAAAGGTGAAAGTTGACAAAAGTATGCTTGGTGTGGCTTGGACCACCTGTGAATATGCTAAATACGTAAAACATGACGAACGCGAGAAAATCTTTATTAATTATGTAACTTCATTTTTAATTTTGTGGCAAGCAACTGGAAAAAGTTTCTCGTCGAAGTTGCTTTAGTGCTCAGCATGAAAGGCAGAATAACTATTTATACCATTACTGGTTGTCCATTTTGTACTCAAGCGAAGAACAAACTTCGTGTGCTCGGTTTGGAGTTTGTTGAAATCAATTTGGATGTTTATAAAACCAGACGAAAAGACATGAAGCAGAGAACTGGTCGCAAAACAGTGCCTCAAATATTCTTTAACGCAGAGCACGTCGGAGGATTTTCTGATTTCGATTCATTGGTAAATATGTTTTGTTAATCGAATCAACAACGATCAAAATCGATTGTGAACACTCAGACATATTGCAGTTAATGATTCAATTAATTCTTACTCATCTTTGCATCCAAAGTAGTTTTTTTTAGTATTTAATGTATTTTTGTTCAAAGTATTTGTTAAGATGGTTTTTCGCATTAACATGAAGTGTCATTTGAAAGGTTATAGCAAATATATTAAACCTGAGTACTTTCAGTCATTCACCACACAAGTAGTTATAAGGAAACCTATTTTGTCTTCGACATTCTTAAATATAGACATAGGCTAATTGAGGAAGCACAAGTGATCATGTGCACAGTCAGCAATGTATATACTAATGAATTAAAATGAAAGTTTAATTTCATTTTACGTTATGTACAGAAGCTATTATGTGAAATAAAGGTCAATACCATCAGCTTCATAAAGGAACAATTTTAGTCAGACCCTAGGCAAAAACCTCTGTTGCTCATTTGTATGTAGTTGTTCTATCATGTTGACCATTTAATGTCATAGCAAAGCATCAATCTGTGACTAATGAATCAATTGAAGTGTAAGGTCTTAGCTATAACAAAGTAATACCTAAAATAATACCTTGGTATGCTGTAATTATGACTTTCCCTTACATTGGAGAATGGTATTCATATATAAATTGTACTTTCCTTCACAATTTTTTCCACTTAGACAAAAGAAAGCCTTGATCAATTGATAAAGCTTGTGAATGAAAATGAGGCTTTGGATGATGCTCCACCTTTGCCAGAGGGGCCTGAAGACAAGGAGGGTATGTCTTATGCTGTGAATACAAATAATAGCAGCACGAGGCAATCATTTATTCAATTCAAACCATGTACTATAAATTAATTTATGTATGATATTTGGTTCACTTGTGTTGCCCCTCTACCAGCTTGTCGAGTAAATTTTCAAACATTGCTCTTATAGAATAACTCATTTTGAAAATATAGGTTACAGCACAGAACATTAAGTTCTTTTAAGTTCTTTTAAGTAACACAGTTCTTTTAAGAACTATTAACTTATTACTTTTAACATTCACCATGGTATTTGCAATCTTTAAAACAATTTTCAGATTTGTCACATCCAAAACATTCATATTGCTAGAGAGAGCCAATAAAATGTGCGAAATCTTGCCATGCCCATTTACAAGAATAAACCTGAATCAAGGAGTGAGGGATAAACCAAATAAGCCGGCTGGCTACACCCTTTATCAGGTTGTTTGTAATATGATTATAGGTTTCGAAGTATCAGAATTTACCTGTGAACTTGATGAGTATGCTGAACTGGTAAAACAGATAAAAGCTAGTGGGATTGTTAAAAGTAATGGAAGTTTTCTTTGGTCGTACAAGAACACTTTCAAAGGAAAGGAGCTTGTGGATTGGTTGGTCAGTTCTAAAGAAGTTGGTAAGTTAAAAAGAGTACTTTATGACACTATATTGTCATTAATTCATGCATGACGTGACTATATTCAAAATAAATTAAAACTGGTTTCTCTTATTTGATTTCTTTGAATGAATTATGGTTTTGTTGAAAACAATTTGGCCAATAACTTATGTGACGTCTAATTTGATAAAGATCGAACAAGAGGTGTAGCAATGGCCCAGAATCTGTTGGAAAAGCATTTCGCCCATCACGTAAAAAAAGACTTAACCGAATTTCATGATGATGAAAAACTGTATCGATTTCTTGAAGACGATGAAAGCAATGCCCTTAATGCTGATGTCGCCTCAGATTGTGAACCAAGACCTGGTAAAGACTAAAATGCTATTACTAGACCTTATTTGTACGATGAATAATTTGGAAATGAAACTATTTATATGAATTTGAAACAAGATTTTTCTTCTTCAAATTAGCTGCCGTAGTTGGGGAATCATTGAGAAAATTCATTCTCCAACTTTATGCAAAATATCTGTCGAAAGATGGCAAGGTAAGTACTGAATTGATTTTCACTGAAAAATTGTTTTAAAATCAATTCGCACATTGTCATATGCACATGAGAAACATATGGGTCTGATGAGATTTGAACTTGCATCTTTGTTACGCCATCAAGGCTACAGGGATTGGATAGGTAGTCTCCTATAAGCTACACATTGCAAAATTTTCTTGTAGCTTAACGAATAGAACGGCAGATAAGTATCCGAAGGTGCGAGAAATAATTTTTAAGATTTTTTTGCTTGAGGAATAGTAGATTTGTTACTGATGGAATATCAGATAGTCGTTATTGCAGGAATATTTGAAAGGTTTATCGGAGGAGGAGTTGAAGTGTTTGCAGATAGAAAGATAGTTTGAAATTTTATCTTTGAAGTGATAATCGGAAAGTGTGACGATGAAGAGAGACTGGAGGAAATTAACGATCGCCAGCTTCTTGGTTGGCTTGAGTATCTTAGTTCTCATACTTTTATTGACTTAGTTTACTATTCATTAAGTTTTTGCTTTCCTTCAGGGCGTTGATTACACGGCTATGAAGTACAGCTCAGAGTTCAAAGCGTACGTGAATCATACTGCTGAGTTGAAGAGAGTTCAACTTGAAGAATTGACCAAAGAAGAGAAGTTGGCTTTCTTTATCAACACTTACAATGCTCTTGTCATTCATGCAAATGTCGTAAATGGACCCCCCGTCAGCTTAATGCAGAGATATAGGGTAATGCTGTCTTTTCTCTATTCAATGCATTGTGATTACTGATTTAGGAGAAATAGGCAAAAGGAGTGGCATTACTAATTAGCAATAACTGTGATGCTTCGGTCTTACAAATTTTTTGTTGCCTGTATACAGTGTAGGGGCTGTCTCTCGTTCCTATCTAATTATGATTATAATACAATAGACAGCGGGCTCCTTTCAAATGGGTCACGCATCTAATGTGGGCCAAATGTTTTTTTTGCCGTACATTAGGAGGATTAAAAGCATCATCTTGAAGTTCTTTGATGTTAACAACGTGTGCCAATTTCATTTTTTAGTTCTTCAACGTTGTTAGTTACATTATCGGTGGGCACAAGTATTCGCTGCACGAGATCGAAAGTGGAATATTGCGGGCCAATCGCAGGCCGGTCGCGTCATTCTTCCGGCCTTTCTCGAAAACGGATCCTCGTTTAGCGTTCGCTCTACAGGAGCCCGAGCCGTTGATACATTTCGCTTTGGTATGCGGTGCGAAAAGCTGCCCTCCCATCAAGACATACACACCACAGGTAGTCTACTAAGTTTTTCTAAGGGACTGGGGTATCCTTTATATTTAATGGGTCATATATATTGTTTGCTATATATTTACGTTGGTTTAATTAGTTGCTCTTGGTATGTGTGTGGACATGGTTATACGCACTCGAAAAACCTGGGGGGTTAGACGAGATTTGAACTGGCGCGAAAATTTTAATTACTCCTGTTAATTTTCCAAGACCACGAATGACTAAAACGCGTTTCAGCGTAGCCGTAGCGTTTTTCCTTTTCTTACACCGTTTTTCCTAACAGCTTGATGCACTTTGTTTTTCTAAAGCATTGACTGCAGTATGAAATTTCGCTTAACTCTTTGCGTATATATTATACGGGAAGTCTGTTTTTTTTTATCGTAAATCTTTAGGACATTTACGAAGAAATGAAATTGGCAGGAGAAGCGTTTCTCGAGGGACGATGGCTGTCAAATCATTCCGGAAAAAGAGAGGTTTAGTTTCGTTCAAAATTTTCAAAGTTCTACATTCCCCCAATATTATCTACATTCCTCAAATATACAAAAAAAAACATTGTCTTACTGTGATTTGTCATTTAGGTCAAGCTAAGCATGATATTCAAATGGTACAAAGAAGATTTCGGCTATGACAAAAATGAGGTAGCGTTGTTGTCAGATTGCTTGGAACTGAAAGGCATTAAAAAGGTTTATATCAGGGACAGGGGGGGGCTTAGATTAAATGATAATTTCAAGCCACCTGTCAAATTTATCCCGTCAATATTTTGTCGTGAGATGGCATATAGTTCCCAGGCCTTCCGGCTTTGGAGTCTAGCGGCAATAAAAGTCCAAAAGATTTATGGTATTTACAATTTACGGGAGTGGGCAAAGGCGGTAGCCTTCCTTATTAAGCTATAGATTCTTTGAGAAATTCTGTAGAAACGAAGGCTGACCGTTGAAGAATAATTGAAACAAGCATGTAATGTAGACAATCGTCAGCTATAATCTCACAATTAATTTGGCCATAGTATTTACCAGGCTACTTGTTGACGTCATGCTCCTGTTCTGTTAAGGTTATCAATCGAAATTTCGCTTAAAGAACGAACGTTCTATGGCGAAATGCATTCGTTTTCATGCATGTATCTTTCCTACGTCAGTCACGATACTGTTTATAAAAAACATTTTAGTTCTGTTGACAGTCCCTTGGATTTTATAATAGCAATGTAAGCAGCACAGACATAAAGTTGCGTGTAATATTTCACCTGGTTGTTTGTGAGAACTCTAAATACCACAAAAATATAGTTGTTTATTATTTTAGCAATAAATGCTTCTTGTAAGCTTTCATTTGCAATATTTATGTGTAGACTAAAATGAATCAGTTTTTATTTACATCCACTTATACATGGGCGTAAGAAGATCGATAATTGGGTGTATTTCGCCATAGAACAGTATGTAGACATAAAACGAATGTATTTCGCCATAGAACAGTGTTAAGTTCCTTTGATTATAACATGCAACACAAATATGACCCCTCCCCCCCCCAATTTATCGATGACAAATCATTTTTATAGGGGCTACTTTTTTGTCCACCAACTGGTCGTATTGTTTTTTGTATGTTCAATTGCTTTCATCTGTTTCAGGTAGTACTATGGGTTTACGATCACATGGGCGAGTGTCAAAAAAAGAAAGATCTTGCCGAACTGCTTGTAACTGGTGATTTCAAACTCACCCACATGTCTTACAACTGGAGCTTGAACTCAAAATAAGACACAAACGAAAAAATAGGTGTTCCGTACGTACACCATAAATATACTTATTATGTAATTTTAAGCTTCGCAAGGTTTAATTCGTGTTCCTGCAATATGTATATGAGTAGACGTTAAGAAGGATATAACTTCGGAAAGGATACTTAACACAGCTATAACTGCCTTGGGTATTAATCACTTCCAACGATTTTGTAAACTTAATCTTTTTTACGCAGTATTATGCCGCATGTAGTTCTATAAGAAATGTGAAGCACTTTTTTCGTTTGTCGAAAGTCTGACTGATTCTTTCATTATGATTTGTTTGGATTCTTTTAGTATAAGGTCATTACAAAGCAAGTTTGTCAATCATACTTTTTATGGTACATGTTTCCCGTACGTTAAAGGGCTTTCAGTAGAAGCAGTGACTCAGCCAACTCGATGATTACTTTTTTTGAGGTGGAAGTTGTGGGAGGGATTCGTTTAAGCATTCTTTTCTTCGTTCGGTTCCGTAGAAATCAATTCTTGCTGTTATTGACTTGAGTTTTAAAATATTTTCTCTCGATTACTGTGGTTGCCAACGCCAAGCTGTGTTATACAACATACTGATGCTTGGATCGCTCTTGCATTGCACTATCTTACGAGTAGAACTAAGAGATCAAGGTGAAACTTGCTTGTATATTTTTATCCAGTAGAATTTCTGTAGTTGCTTGTTGATGAGCTGGGGCTCTGGAACGTCGATAACTCTCGGGGCAAATATTCATATTCTCCTAGTCACAGCAAAAGAAAGTAATCAGGAAAACATGCATATAGAATTCCCTCCCCACTAATTACCATTGTTTGTTACTATTTAGGGTCTAAGAGGAACAGAATCATTTGAAATGTAGTCCAACCAAAATTTGATTAGGTCAAAAATTCTAATGCAGTTAAAATGATTCACCCCGACATTAGGGACAGTAAAATTGAGCGTTATTATTTCCACGACCAACGTTAATATCAGGCTTCATTGCATATCAACAATATGAAAGTTGTAACTCATTTCCACGTTGAAGATGTGGAATTTAGTACGCACTGCGTACCACTTTTTTGTATAGCGATGGGGGAGCCTGAAAACTAGTATATGAAAATTTGCCGTTTTTGCGCGCTCATTGGCATTGAGCTCTAAAAGACCTGGAGGGGCAAAGGGGCCTGGGCCTCGTGGTCAAAAACATGGCGGTAATGGCGGATTTTGGTTGTCAAAACTTCCACTTTGAGAAAAATTTTTAACATTCGCTCCCTCCCGAAACGGATCTCTATTACTGCTCATAGTAATGACAACCAGCGAAAACAACCACGATGCCGTAAGCATAAAATATTGAAAATAATGCTTAAGATTTTTGTGAAATAAACACACACATTTAAATGAGGTAAATCTACTGTAAAATAACGTATATTTTGTCAAGTAATGCTTTAGCTATATTAGAAATAAATATCAAACGGCAATCTTTACACTGTTAATGTGTTGTTAAGCTTTAATGCATAATCCCATGCGCATTACTTGTGTTTTTGACTGTTTGTGAACAGCTTGGTGCAACTGTCTTTCTTGAATAGATGGGTAAATCTTAGTTAAAATGTCGAAAAGGAGTTAGAAAAGTTAGCTTACCCCTACGACTTAAGTCGACTGGAAATATATTATAAGTAGGTATGTAATTGTTTTGAGTTTTTTTTGGTAGGATTGATTCTGGGTGTCTTATAAAGTATTATGATATTCTGATAAATCTACTGAGAACTTATGAGGAAAATATCTTGAACTAGGAGAGCAAAAGAACGAAATTCAGAAATTCTATAATCATGTTGCTGATTCTGTTTTAAGCCAAGATATTAGAAACTGGATTGTTATTGACAACCATGGATCTACTACTGAACAGAACTACATTAATTTCCCATTGAAAATACTATTTCTTAAATCAAGTGCATTGGTTTCTCTGACATAACACTTTTCTTATTGCTGCATGAAGGCAAACCTGTTTAAATAATTATAATGTAGGTGAAGATATTTAGCATGTTGTATAATTGTTATTATACAGACATTATTTATAATATTATGGCCTTGTGTAATGTATGTCAAGAACTTATTAATTCTCAAAATGCTAACCTTCTTGCACTACTTTTCTTTTGTGTCCTTACAAATTACAGTTACCTATACTAATTTTTCTAGGTTCAAACAACTTGACAAATTTTTGAATTTTACATTATGCCTTTGAATTTTTCTTTTTGTCTTTTGGTAAAAATATCAGTGAATGACTTAAAAATCAAGTTTATCTAAAATAGTATTTTGTACAAAGTAACTATACATAATTGGAAAAGTCTCATGTTGAAGACAGATGTGGCTTCTTTTACTAGATTGCTACTCTTATTCTTTTAAATGATATCGTAATTCTTCAAAAGACATAAAAAGTTCTTTGCCATCAATTTTTGCTTCTTCCACATTCAACTTCATTGCAACCAATGCATCTTATGTGAATTTTTAATCACCTGGAATTGAAAAATGTATGGATTTTGTCAGATGATGCAGTACTGTATTTAATGTTTCATGCATGTCATGATAAGCTTTTCTTGAGCAAATATTTCAAGGTAGGAGCAAAATTTGGCACATTATTGAACAAAGTAGTTTTATCTTGATTTTGATGTACTAACCTGTTTACTACACTGTGTAACAAACAATTCATTTACAGAAACACCATATGGCATTTATAAAACTTTTAGCATAAAGCAAACCTTTACACATCATCATCATGCTTGTCCAAATCTGTCAAATTGTCCAGGCTAGCTGTTTAATACAGGTAATTTTTATTGTACGACATGTACCAAAGAGCTCATTAATTAATCCTGCACTGCATTTGCTTCCAATACAGCTCTGTCCTTAATATTTGCTTCATATTTTCAGAAAAATATCATGAAAAAATCCTCCATTTCAACTCAGTTGAAACAAGGAGTTTTAAGATATGCATATCTCTACAACAACTGGTTGCTTTGCCTCGTCTAGCAATCGATTAAGTAAAGAACAAATAAGACTGGATAAACATAACTTAAATTATAACTTAGGAGTAAAAACATTCACAAAATATAAGCCATCACACTTCAAGTATTGACTTAAAACAAAACACTGAACACTTTAAATAGTAAACAATCTTACGTTGCTTACCGGTGTCATGAAATGTTTCCTTTTCTGGCATTACTTCAGCATCCGTATACCAAACAAGTTTGCAGCATGTTTTAAAGATAAAATTTCTAAAAGTTTTGTGCTTGGCATTGATATTTTCTATAATCGCAATTGTGGTTGTCAAATCCGGGTGGGCGAAAAAAATTTTATTTTATGAGCCCGCGTCTTTCCGCTGACTTTGACAACCAAAATCCGCCATGTTTTTGACCACGCGGCCGCGCGCTAATAATTTATACTAATTTTGTTGACGTTTCCCCTCCAGGTCGTATAGAACTCAATGCTCATTGGTCGTGTTTCATAAATGCGCCATTGAAATGGAGCTCAATGAAATGCGCGCGCCTCCATGCGAAGGATTCAAAATTTTCAACATGTCTTGAAAACGACAACAATTCGGGAATTTTCGTAGTTTTCTGGCTAAAATTCTCATAGAAGCTTCATAAAAATGTCAAAGAGAAAGAGTAAGAGCGAAGATAGCGACAGATTTGGTTCAAAGCGTTCGCGTATTCTTGAAAGTGACGAGGAAAATGATGTTCATGTTGAAAATAATCAGGTCGATGATGGTATTCAGTCGTCCGACAGTGATTGTGATGACAATTGTTCACAGAACCCAGGTTTTATTTCAGAACAGAATGTAAGCTATCTATTTTTAATATATTTACCCTGCCAGCTTCAATTGTCATCTTGCCAAAAATTCTACCAATTTCTTCACTGCTTTATAGATTGAGGCTGAAAATGGGATTATTGAAGAAATTGTTTTGCAAAACTTTATGTGTCATTCTCATCTAACGGTACCATTGTCCTCTAACGTTAACTTTATAATTGGTCGTAATGGAAGTAAGTGTGCAATTTAACATAGTTAATATGAGGATATGTAGGATTGGTAAGGGTTTATTATGTGTTTCAGCTGTCTTATTGTTAGTAGTGATGAAAGTGATTGTTGTTTTGGAGTTTCATTGGAATAGTTGTGGTACATTATGTATTTCATTACTGTCTTATTAATTGTCACAAAGTCAATGGAAATTAGGGTGCCGTGCACTTAAGGTATTATGGAGACATGTAGGAATGAACAAGGTTCATTATGGGTGTCAACTGTCTTATTGGTGGCAATGGTGGTTAGTGTCCTATTGTGATATAGGTATTATGGAGATATGTAGGGATGGTTGAGGTATATTATGTATTATAGCTGTCTTATTGGTGACAATTGAAGAAAGTGTGCTGTTATATAGATATTATGGAAGTATATTTGTTTAGTTAGTTTCTCTATGTTTTATAGCTTTCTTTGTCAGTTGTTGGGAGTATTAAATCCTTACAAATAGCAAATTTTTCTGATAAAAGTTTTGCTTCACAAATGTTTATGGTGTTTGTCTTTGCATAGCCATGTGTGGAATTTTTTCTGAGAAGTGCACTAGTTTGAAATATATTTTGAAATTTTTTTAATGTTTCTACCCACATGTTTGTACATGGGCACATTTCAAGTTATAATAAAATGCATCTCGAGCTATTATAGTTCCAATGACCCATGATAAGTTCATTTGTATCCATGGTAACCTTATCCCAGTCTGTTTTAATTTTTAAGAATTTCCTTAATTTTGCAGTTACATATGTACCTTTTGAAATGCAATGCTCGTTAAACTTTAGATGAAAGTTTCATATTTTCAGGTGGTAAGAGTGCAATCATGACAGCCATAGTTGTTGGATTGGGTGGAAAGGCCAGCACAAACCGAGGAAATTCTTTGAAAGGTTTTATTAAAGATAAATGCAGGTGAAATGTCATCTTGAGGACTTTTTATATGATCTTTGTCAGTCTAGATTTAGTGAGATATGATATGATTTTGATATGATTGTAATCATTAACTAATGCAGGATAAGGCTCATAATATGTATTTATGAATACAATAAGGCTAAGTGTTGAAGGTAGGCTATAAAATATGGCTATTGGCAAGTGGACATGATTTCTTTTGAAGTAGTTATAAGGAGCCCACTTTACCACTCGTCTGGCACCTGTCATACTGATCTCAATGTACAGTCGAATTTATGTTGAAACCACGAGGGAAAAAAGATGAATAAGTTGATAAAAATAGAAGAAATACTTAAATATGTCTGCTAGATAGCAGTACGCAGTGCAATTATGATGTGTATTGACTCAAACTTCGAGTATAGCCAACAAGCTAAAGACAATCAATGGTGAAGGCAATGATTCTACTAAATAGTTTTAGAGTTATGTCATACAACACCAATAGTAGGCTAATTACTACCAGAGGTCATGCATCCAATACAATTAATTTTCTAAGCTCAACTAGATCCCAGTTATCCTGGCTTATGCAAACAGGTCCTTGTTTTTGCCTCGTGAAAAGTACAGGCTCCCGTTCAACTCGTCTTTCTTTTTCAGTTCTGCTGTGATTAAAATTAAGCTGAAGAATGGTGGTCGAGATGCGTACAAACCCAGCGAGTATGGGCCCCGCATTATTGTCGAACGGAGAATAAACAGCGATGGTGCTGGATCGTATAAAATATGCGATGCTAAAGGTGAGCTATGGTATAATTATTTCAGGTGTGAACTTACTAAGTGGTACACATCTTCCCCAACCTTCGCTAGAGCAGGCGCAAGAGCCATGCCAACCTAATGTTTAATTAGCACACTTCCAAAACACTCTCAATCATGTATTGGAATAAATTTGAACAAAAAAAGTCAGACATGTGTCTATACAATATTGACATACATATATTGTGTAAGATATAGCCTACGTGAGTAAAAATGTCACAATTACCAATGATTTAGAACCCAATCTCCTAGATGACTAACTACCGTGTCAAGGTGAGGCAAAGACGTCATCTTGAGAGGAAGCAAAAATCGAAACTCTCGATCAAAATTAAGTTAATCCTATGGAACATTTTAAAAACCAAACCTAGACAATTAATTCTCCAAATGTATATCATTGCGGAAAAACCACTTTTCAAGAAAGCTGCTTGCCTCACTAAAGAATTTCTCCAGGGCTCAGATGTCTGTCTACAGTATTCTAGACCAATGCATTATACATGATTTGTAGTGTACTCTTTTAGACGTAATTTCTCATAAGCAATGGTGCGAAAGGAGGATTACCGGCCAAACCATTTTCCCATATTTCTGATTTAAAATATTTCGTCGTGTATGACTTTCTCATGCGTGACGTAAAATGTCATAATGACTTTTCTACGTACATAGGAAACGTCGTTTGTCAGAAAAAGAACGAGCTAAGTCATATACTCGACCAGTTTAACATTCAGGTGGGTTTTGGTTTGAGAACTTCACTCCAACAAAGTAAATTTGTTTCAAAATTTGGTAATAACGATATGTATTGCTTCCAGGGTTGGGCGATAATCAAAAATCAGCTCATGGTCATTTTAGAAATTATCACGATATCGAATATCGTGATAAATACAATAAAAAAAGCACCACATAATTTTTAAATTTTGATCAACAAAATGAACCAAACATAAACAACAAAGTAAAGTTTTATGATAGTTACTCAAGATTCAATAACGTTTACCCGCTGACACAAATGCCGTGGGCACACACCGCAAGCAAAGCCTGCACTTTCATTGTTTAGCGGATCAATACATAAATATCAGTGATTAATTCTAGCTTATGTACTTTTCTATCGTATTATTTTGGTAAATTCGTGTTTGAGCAACATTTTTTCGGAATAAAAAAAATCATTTCAGGTTGTATAAAAGCTAAATGTACACAAAATCAAAGCAATATCATAATAGTCATCAAGCATGACGATAACATCGATACGCTACTCAAATTTCAACTTTAAAACAGTGCCAATGTTGATGAATCTCCAAAGAATATAATTCAACCAGTCGAACCATTCAAACTGTGAAAGTATTTGAATGTATCTTCATCTTAGTAAGAGCTGTTGTAAGTTATCTTTCCTAACGCTGGATCCACAACAGCACTTACGTTTCATGTATTAATGTCTCTTATCCATGATAAAGTAAATGGTTTGAACCCGGGAGTATCTTTACATGTTCGTAGATATAGATCGTCCATGTTAGTAAAGACCCGAGGACTTTAGATGTTGATGCTGATGTTGACTGACGTTTCGACAACCTTAGCGGTAGTCATCTTCAGTGAGGATGACTCTTGACTCTAAAGATGACTACCGCTAAGGTTGTCGAAACGTTAGTCAACATTACATGTTTGTAAATGTAGATCGTCCAGGCTGGTATAGTCCTGAGAAGGATTGTTTTTGTTGTTGTTGACTGACGTTTCGACAACCTTAGCGGTAGTCATCTTCAGAGTCAAATCAACATTCCTTCTCAGGTCTTCACTAATCCGGAAGATCTACTTATACAAACATGTAATGTCTCTTATCATTTATATTTCATAATGTTGACTTAGATCGATAATCCAGTTTCAATTTTGAATCAAGACACCAGCAGGAACTTTTTGTACGCATCTGATCCGAAAAAGAAATACAAAGTATGTATTAAAACCAGTTGGGAAGCCAGCCAGGTTTTTATCTCCTTATCTCCTCCAGCGCTAATATCGTTCACTGAAAAACAATGATCGTTATTCATTTTCTAAAGAAATAAATTATAATTTTGCTGAAAAATTTCCATTGTATGAGTAATAAATAGTTCTGGCTGGTTTCGCCACTGGTAAAAATTTATTAAATTGTATTTTGTATAAAATTTATCTTCAAAATTGATAGTTTGCCAAAGGATTTATTGCGGGGAGGGAATGGTGATTACAGGTGATGGCAAATAAACTTATTCGTTCACGTTAGGCAGAGTTTCAATACATCAAACCGGTTTCACACTTGTTTAATTACCTGTTTCACACTTGTTTCATTGTTCCAATAATCATGAGAATCAGCTATTTTGCACTCCCTAACTTTTATGATAAGTGTGAATATCAAGTAAATGGCATCCCAGTCTGTTCTCGATATCGGAGAGATAATAACCCAAATAGAAAATGTTTTAGAAGAGGGGAACGAAGACATTTATATTTGCTTAACCTGAAAAAATCACCAATTGTTGTGTTCGTACAAGGCTCACATCCTAACCCATATGATGATGCCTAATTGATGTAGTTTTTCTTATCCTTTTACAGTTCTTTCTAAAGGCGACACAACTGGAGCAAATGAGCAACGATTACGTTGTTATTAAAGAACATCAGAAGATTATGTCTTTAACATTGCAGAAAAAGAAAGAGGTTTGTGATCTTGTCTTGCAGACCTCGTGTGGCTGGCTAACGTGGGAGCGGAGTTCAGATGTCGTGGGATTGGGGTAGATTGCGTGGAAAGTGTGATTGTTTGTTCTGTTGAAGGTGAATTTGAAAGGCCCAGCGGAAGTCGGAAGCAAATTTTTAAAAATTGTCTTTGTTTTAATTTGTCCAAATTGCCTGAGAAATTTGTGATTGTGTACGCTTTAGTTGAAAGATAAACATTCTACTAGACAATTCCTGAGATGGAAAAGGAAGTTCGACAACTCCAAGAAAAATATCGTGATCTGGAGCAGTTAAAGGTCCTCGAGGTAAAGATCGAGGATCTGAAGAAGGAAATAGCTTGGGCACAAGTTATGGAAAAAGAAAAGGTTTGAATTAGTGTTTATTGTACATTTTAGCTCAAGTAACTTATAGGACATCTTTATCACGAAATGACAACGCCCTGCAGTTGATAGTTTTCGAGTATTGTTGGGTTGACGAGCAAAAATTTGGAAAAATTTACCCCTTTCATAAGTAAAAGATTGAATGCCAACCGATTGTAATTTTTCACTTTCCTCAGGAAATGAAACCAATTACAGGAAAGATAAAATCTGAGAAGGAAAGACTTCCAAAATACCAGGAAAAATTGAAGAATGTCAGGTACATACTATCTTCGAAGTGAATACAAGTTTTAAAAGAAATATAAAAGTGAAGTGCTCTTATTTCGACGAGTTCTTCCAATTACTCGAATTGATGTACGTAATAGTATTTGGATACGTGTGATTTAGATGACATGTGATGAAGAAAGCTTGAGGTGTGTAAGCTCAATTATCTCGAAACATCTGATTGTTATAGGAAAAGAAGCAGGATTGGAAGAGGAATGGGGCCAAGTTAAAATGAACTGTCTGAAATATCTACGTTAAGTGATGAGCTAACGATTAAGCAAGAAGCGATAAATGGTGAAATGAAGCTAATGAAACATAAAGCTCGATCTCATCTGGTAAAGTAATTTGTTTTTGAAAAAATTGTTTTAATGTGATGGCAAATGCATTGCGATTTTTAAAACCATTGTCACCACGACAATGTCTCTATTCTAATAAATCCGTATAATAAATAGCGGCGGACTACTAATTAAACTTGGTCATTTTTCGGCCCTCTCCGGTGAAAAACCGAAGTGGTCCCTACCTTCGAGTAGTTTCAAGGGCTGGTACCTCCGGATTGATCTTGAATTTTAAGGCAAAGATTTCCGGTATAAGGGTGCCATCCCAAAAAGAGCCAACCATGTGGGTTTGCTTAAATGGTAAAGGAATGGATACTACCTGCAGGAAGTGGGAGTATACTGTGAAGAAGAGAGAATCAAAAGAAAGTTGTGGCCTTTAAGCGATATCTATTCCTCCAACTAACGTCCGTTTTCCTTTACTTTTGCATTTCCTGTTTGTACTCCCTTAGGGTAAAAAGTGGGGAAAATTTCATTTTAAAGTTCGAACGAAATTTAGAAAATAATTGACATGGTCAGGGAAATGGGAAAAGTCAATACTTTACGAGTTCTGAGCATTGCGCATTTGAACAGTAGATAGTAGGAAAGCCATTTTTCCTCTGCATCCAATTGCTCGTAAGGTTTTCAACAGCATAAATGATCTAAGTTAAGCACATTTAGCTAGCCAGGAATAGCAAAAACGTCCAAATCTTAATATGTCTATATACAAAGAGCCTCTCGATACGGGTCTCGACTTAGCCTACTGGATAATCTGCCCTTCATAATAAACTTAATAGCTTAATCATATGACTCGGGCAATCATTGCTAATAAAACTATTCATAAAGACACGGCGTTTTTTCTGTTCTTTTACTATAGCATGTTTTGTTTTATATAATGCATCATAGTACATTTTAACTTTGTCTATATTTTATTATTTTTAACTATGAATTTGTAAATGTATATTTCACACTATCCTGCATTTGCTGCTGTGTGATTTGAGATTAAATAGTCTACGTTGTATCTGTCTGTAAATGTTCTTATACTAATTTCTAACTGTTCTCTATTTATAGTATTACGTTCTAATTAACATTTAAATTGATTAATGTTACAACAATTGCTACTTATATTGAATCATGGTTATTTTTCAACTGACGCAAATTTTTTCAGTATTTTTATAATAAGAATCATGTGAACGTTTCGCCAACACGGTCTTTCTCTGCAGAAGGTATTCAAAGAATGTCATTCATTCATATATTCGGGTCCAAAACTACAGATTAACTAAGTAGACTTAAAGGCACAGTGCAACCTACCTACTGCGAGGTCTACATACTCTTGATTGACGGCCGATGTCAAATCACACGAGCGGTGTAAATCGAAAATCCGATCCTGAACTTAAATTTTTGGGTCATCGTTTAATTCTTTTAATCCTGTTGCTCTTAATGCAACCATTCACGATATTTTAAAATTGTTCAACACATAAATTTTCAGAATGATATGAAGAAGTCCGAGAAAGAGTTGGAAAACACGCAGCAAGAGAAACATGAATTAGAGCGACGAATAGCGGACATCACATCGAAGTAAGTAATTAAATATAGTTACGTATGTTCATTAAAAGTTGGTGTGCTGTTGGCTCTCCTTGCCATCATGGCCATCAATATTGGCTGCTGACTAAGACACCTGTCAAGAATAATTGGGCATCTTGGACGGGATACAAGTTTATGATCTCTATTTGTTTAGATATACGTAGTTGTGTATTTATATATTTCATTGTATTGTCTGTTTTTCCTCAATATGTTCTCCTTCTTTATACATTGATGTCGAGTGTTTTCGCCATGAGCGATTTTATCTTGAAGCTCGAGACCTTTCGTATTTCGTTGTCGATTCTTCGTCAGAAATGATCGGATGTTATAACTTAAGTTCTTATATGCTCCAGTCTAGTGTCTTCATCTTAAATGATCTGATGTTAAAACTTAAGGCCTTACATACTCCAATCAATTGTATTTATCAGGAGTGATCTGATGTTGAAACTTGACATATTATATACTCCAGTCTAGTGATTTCATCAGAAGTGATCAGATGTTACAACTTAAGTTCTTATATGCTCAAGTCTAGTGTTTTCATTTTTTATTAAATTGTTTCTTTTCAGAAATGTACAAACGTTAAGAATTACTTATTTTTTCAAACAAGGTCTCGTCTCCCAATGATGAATCCATCCTTGCGCTCATAGTTATACATTACATCATCAATGATAGTATTAGATTACGTCATGCATGATTTCGGTGTATGTGAAGACGCCTTTGGGACTCGTCTCCCGGCGTCGTCGCGCTGGAGGCGAGCTGAGGGATACTTGACATAAATAACTGCATATATTTTTATTTTTTGTCACTTACCCTGAGTTAGTTACACTTACATATCTGTTAAATTTGAAAACCCACGGAAAACACACAAGTGATGTGGTTATCCTAGATAATTATAATAAATTAATCTGTTTCTACTTCAGTCCTTGCCTACTCCTGTCAGGTGCCTCCACGGGAGGAATCAGTCCAAGTCTAGTCTTGTTTTTTTCAAAGTGACCAATCCTTGAATTTTTTACGCGCATTCATCATCCTTTATTTAGTATCATTTTATCTTCATATCTATTTTAGTGCAATGAGGGACATTGAATCGGAGAGACTGGAAAGGGTTGTGCGAGAAAAAGGAAGCGCTTCAATCCGCTCAGTTTCAACTAAATACAACGAATCATCATAAAACCCAACTTGAAGGCAATGTGACACGTTTAAACGATCAGTTGTATCTGTTAAGGTAATTTATAAATGACTTACGCACATGATAAACAACGGCTTGTTATCATTTTATTGTAGCAGATTGTGTTACTCTATTTGACATTGAACTCTCAGAAATCAGTTGAAATTCATCTATTTAGCTTATCAAGTAGAGCTAAGGTGGTCTAAGTATGGCTGAGGTAATATAAGTGTAGCTAAGGTTGTCTGTGTATACGTAGCTAAGGTGGTCTAAATATAGTGGTGTAAGTATGGCTGGGGTGATATAAGTGTAGATAAGGTTGTCTGTGTATACGTAGCTAAGGTGGTCTGAATATAGTTAAGGTGGTCTAAGTATGGCTGAAGTGATATAAGTTTAACTAAGTTGTCTGTGTATACTTAGCTAAGGTGGTCTGAATATAGTTAAGGTGGTCTAAGTATGGCTGAGGTGATATAAGTGTAGCTAAGGTTGTCTGTGTATACGTAGCTAAGGTGGTCTAAGCACTATTGAAATGAACTTACCTGGCGTAAAGTTTAGTTGAATGCTCGGTGATAGCACATTTCCTTAAATTTAATGCATGAATACTTGCATTCAGAAGTATGAATACTTATGTACAGTAGTATGTATGCTCACCTACAGCAGTACGAGGACTTACATACAGAAGTATGAATACTTATGTACAGTAGTATGTATGCTTACCTACAGCAGTACGAGGACTTACATACAGAAGTATGAATACTTATGTACAGTAGTATGCGTGCTTACCTACAGCAGTACGAGGACTTACATACAGAAGTATGAATACTTATGTACAGTAGTATGTGTGCTTACCTACAGCAGTACGAGGACTTACATACAGAACTATGAATACTTATGTACAGTAGTATGTATGCTTACCTACAGCAGTACGAGGACTTACATACAGAAGTATGAATACTTATGTACAGTAGTATGTGTGCTTACCTACAGCAGTACGAGGACTTACATACAGAAGTGTGAATACTTATGTACAGTAGTATCATTTTGTGATGACACAGTGTTTTCTTAAACACGCCATGAGATGGTGTCTTTTTCTGTCTCGCATCTGTTTGCGTTTGTCTTTATCTCGTTATTAGATTATGCATTAAATATACACATGTCTGTTATATCGCCTTCGTCTTTTCGAATATAAAGTGTGCTTTCTTATTTTTCAGAAATAACGTGAGCGATGCAAGGAAAAACGTGGATCAAACAACAAGAAGACTTGATGAGCTCCGAGAGGGTCGGAAAGATTCCTTAAAACGTTTTGGTAGAAGAGTACCAGAACTTTTACTCAAGATTGAAACTGCTGTTAAATCAGGAAGTTTTCATAAGCCACCGAGGGGACCAATTGGTATGTACATGGATATTGTTTGTTGTCGTATGTATTGGAGTACACTAATCCCGAGTTCTGATGTTGAGACTTGAGTTCGAATTTACTTCAGTGTAATGTCTTCATTAGGAGTGATCTTGAAACTTTTGTACTTATATTCCTCAGTTTAGTGTTCTCATCAGGAGTGATCTGGTTTTAATATATTAGTCTTTATGTACTCCAATCTCAAGTTCTCATCAGGGATGTTGAAACTCGAGTTCTTATATACACCAATCTAGTGTTTCATCAGTAATGATCTGATTTGAAACTGTGATCGTTTAATACTCCAGTCGTGTCTTTATTAGGAGTGATCTTTTGTTGAAATTTGAGTCCTTTTTACTCCAATCTAGTGTCTTAATGTGTAGTGATCTGATGTTGAAACATGAGTTCTTAACTTCTCATATACTTTAGTGTTATCATATAGAATTATATCAGGTGTGATCTGTACATCGAAACTTTTGTATACTTTATAGTTTGGTGTTTTCATCAGGAATGATTTGACTTACAAAATTGATTCCCTTGATTATTTATTTCAGTCCGGTGTCTCTATAAGACTCCTTTCATCAAATGTGTCTCATAAGGGAAGAAATTGCATCAAGTATGTTGTCGCAATGTTATGTAGGTGCACGTATCAATCTTCAACAGGAAAACTGGGCGATTGCAGTGGAAACATGCTTAAAAGGTCTGGCTTTCGCCTTTTGTTGCACAGACACACACGATGCAGCAGTGCTAAGAAATCTTATGAAGACATTATATGACTCGAACAGAATGCCTCAGGTCGTGGTCTCCAGGTTTCAGGTTTGCCAGAACATTTGTTTACACCAATCAGCATTCAAATACATTAAACACTAATGCATCTTCAAGGTCTAATTGTTTTAATAGAAAATCCCAGTGTTTGACTTTTTACAGTTTCCTGAAAAGAAAGACGTCAAAATCCTAGAGATTTTTATATTCATTTCGCATTACACTTATATTGTTGGTGATTTGTTTTGTTTTCACTTTAGGATGCTTTTATGATGTATCAAGAAATGTAAGTTGAATTCTAACGTAGAAATTACTTATTCCAATTGAGCTAAATGTATCTCCTTACATATTTGGATATTTAGTTTAATTATTTAGACATAATATATAATATATTTAAGATATTTTAGGGCGCATGGTTTATACCTATTGTATGTTTTAATGTATTTTATATTTCTATGCAGTTGTTCATATGCTTAATGAAAGATGAGATAGATAATCAAATGTCAGAAAATACGTTTGGGCCTCCTCCAATAATACAGCTGGGGCCAGTTGCGCGAAGACTGGATAGCATTATCCATTGGATAGCAAAGTTTTTCAAACGTTTAAAAGCCTCTGAAAAGGAAAAATATAAGATTTGAACCGAGCAATTACTGCTGAAATAAAATATTGCTTTTAAGATTACAAAATTTCTCTGTCGTAACCGGAAATATACGAAAACTTTTTACAATTTCGAAAATTTTCATATCGAATGGATAAAACTATCCAAGCTTCGTGCAACTGGCCCCAGATCATTTTATGACGTTACAACCTTAGGAAGAATCTCGTTCTTTGAATGGTATCGTAACTGATTTGCACCTCGTGAAATATACATGAAATCATATTATTAATTTGAAAATGCTTCTATTTAGAAACCGCGATGTTCATATCCTACAGTCATGGATGTTCTGCAGATTGATGATCCTGTCATATTTAATTGTATTGTTGATCAGGTAATATAGATTACTTCACTCAACATTTTCTAATGAAGTGTGTTTTTGATATTTTATTTTTGACTATCCAACTAGGTGGATTTTCGTGCATTTCAGCTGGGAAGGAGGGGGGTGGGGTAGTGAAATTTGTAGTGCCCCCAGGAGCTACAAACTTAAGCCACCAGTATGGTATGGAGGTGTGAAATTTTGCGAAGGTTGAAACGAGGTTTTGGCGGGATTATGGTACATTTTATAAGGATAATAGGGATTGTAAATGCGAGTTGAACCGATCCTTTGTATTAATGATTTATAACGCTTTTATTTTTTCAAGTTATACATCACATTACCCTAAAGAAATGTTTTGATCCTTAAAATTGTTACATCTGTTTATTACAAATTAAAATTCCTCTATTCTCGATATTAAGACTAGTGCTGAATGTGTTTTGCTCATCGAGAATCCCGCAGAAGCCAGAGACGTAATGTTCAATCGTACTCCTGAAAAAGCTAAAATGGTATGTTTTAGAAACATTTCTCATTTATTGTTTTTCCAAATATATTTTATGCAGTGTATAAAAGTTCACAGAGCTCGTATATTTTACCTTCTTTGCTTCACTCATGAAATTGTTTCTTTTCAGAAATGTACAAACGTTAAGAAATACTTATTTTTTCAACTTTGGTCTAGTCTCCCAATGATGAGTCCATCCTTGCGCTCATAGTTATACACTATGTCACCAATGACAGTATTAGATTACTTCATGCATGATTGTGGTGTATGTGAAGACGGCTTTGGGACTCGTCTCCTGGCGTCGTCGCGCTGGAGGCGAGCTGAGGGACACTTGACATAAATAACTGCACATATTTTTACTTTTTGTCACTTTCCCTGAGTTAGTTATCTGTTGCTTTTCTGAAGCCCACGGAAAACACACAAGTGATGCGATTATCCTAAATAATTATAATAAATTAATCTCTTTTAACTTCTGACTTGTCTATACAGATCTTTTTAGAAGAAGCACGCCTGTTTTTTCAAAAATAAGATAGTGACACAAAATTGACTCCGTAGTTTATGTTTCCACGAGCTAATAAAAATGGTCGAGCACAAAGTTTCAAAGAAATTGCTCTTGTGTAAATGGAGCATTGCATGATTATCCTGCTTTTCTTTTAGGCGTTTGCAGGAAATGGAGATCAAATATTTGGCGGAAGGAGTGCGAAGTCGTATGCTTACACGGGTAACGGAAGTACCTATCTTCGTGGAAATATCGATGACCAAATAAGGTACGCAGCTCTTTACGTAAGTCTTGTTTATATGTGTTGTTGCGTTACTTAATCTACTGTTAGTAATCATATGTGCCATCTTGTGTAGTCAAAGTTAGTCATACTTTTATATTTACTGAGAAAATCATGACTGAAATGAATTATAGAAAGAAATGGCTAGTACGTCGACTAAAAAATGCTGTGCAGGATTTAAAATCCCGACTTCGTTATTTTTTCGTGGTGTAGTTCTGTTTAGCTCCTCAAACGCTCACTTCAGTGAAAGACTATTCCTTGAGGAAAACTGTATTATTCAATTTGTTTTGCTGCGTTGTTCAGTTGAATTTTTGAGATTTATCAACATTTCAGTCGAGTGGAGCAACAGCTGTCAGAAGAAAGTGATAAGTACAACCTGCTACGAGGTGACCTTGATCATTACAATAGGCAATTGAGGGAATTTCAAGCTGAGTTGAAGAAAAGTAAAATGAAGAGTTTGAAAGATCAGGAAATACACAATAAGATATTGCAGGTACTATTAGATCACTCTTGCAAGTAGAGTAAAATTATACTTGAGGACATTGTAAGGTTGTCCTTGTAGATATACTGTAAGGTTATTCTTGCACGTACGGTGAGATTATTTTTGCAGGAACCATGGTATAGAATTATCCCTTTTGTTATAATGTCTTAATGTGCTTAGGCCTTGAACATTTGAATGACTGCAAAAGATTGAAAGATAGTGTATACACTATAAAAATTACTATTGCATCTTACCATATTATACAGTTTGATGGACAGACATGTAGTTTGTTTAGAGTATCTTGAAGTTCATGTAGGAAATGTTGGGTTTTTTCTACGGTAGGAAGTAACTGAACTCGAACAGTTCGAGGAAGAAGCTCTTCCAGATGTCACTGTTTTGGTAAGATATTTACGTTACAATAATATGATAAACACAGAGTTGCTGCTGTAGTTGCAAAGTTCTTACTAAAGTAACGCTTTCATTCCAGTTTGATACACATTAAGTGGTATTGAAGAGCTTGACATGCATGTATGCATGTTTTCTGTCGATCTATTCATTCACCACATTTTTTGTTCTTTAAGCAAGAAGATGTAAACACCTTAACTCAGAGAATTGACAAACTAACCTCACAGGTATAAAGCAAAGACAATTGCAATGTATTGTTTTGTTGAATGGACAGTTCCGAGTCTCCATATCATAGTAGTTTGGAAAGTAGAAAAATCCGTTTGCGACATACTTGCATTTTGGGCGCTTTGTTTGGAAAGTGTATGAAATTCAATCTCCCCAATGCTGGAAATATATAATTTTACAGAGTGACGCAAAATCGAAAGAATATTTGAAAGTCAAGAAAACTTTAGAGGAAAAAACTAAGGAGTCAAATGAACACAAATTAAAGATACAAGAAGTGATAGGAAAAGCCGAGCCACTTACGGTATGCATGTCTTTGTATTTCTGTTATCCTAATTGTAAGCAAAGGTAATCCTAATCTTAAAATCACAAATTCGTATCCTGATTGTAATATAATATAATTTTAAGCTTAAGTTTTATCTTAAACCTTTTTCCAACAATCCAAACATTTTACGATGTTTAATTTTTTCATCACAATCCTGACTGAAACAAACTAGCTTCTTATATTAACATGTTTGTAGATGTTTATGGTCCGAGTATGTGCAGTCATGACGTGGAGTGTTTGTGTTGACTGATGTTCCGACATTTTTAGCGATAGTCGTTTTGAGAGTGATGTCAGACTTGACACTCCTTTACAGGAGTGACCTGGGCAATCGATATCTACAAACATGTTACGATACTGTTGGGTTAAGGCCATGCACATTGTCACTTTATATCTATAAAAGCTCGCTCGTTCTTCGCCTATAGTTGCGTTTGAATACAATTGAAAGCGAGTTAGCGACAGTCAAAAGCCACCGCAAACATTACGAAGGCAAGAAGAATGAATTACAAATGAAGATTGGTCATCTCGAGGGCGAGTTGGCACGTATAACTGAAGATGCTCAGGTATGATGCCTTTTGTATCTTATTTCCTTCGAAGCCATTTACCAGCTTATTCTTTCCTCAGTCCTGGGCTTTTAGACACCAGTAAGAAAGCTCTATAACGCATTATTTTTTATAAAGAAAACTTCAAAAATTTCCATTATTATCGTTTTTTGGAGATCGACAGTCTCGAATGATTGAGTACATCCTCAAAAGTCCAAGTCGCTTTTCATCAACAACATGTAAACCCAATAAGCGTGTAAGAATGTCTTGTCATGATATGCGTGTGAAACTTGACCTGATATGATAAGCGTGTAAGAATATCAGAGGAAAATTGCTTGCAGAAAACACACAGGAGACAGAAATTATCGCTCTTAGGTCCTCGCTCAAAGTTCCAGCATGAGGCACTGAATAGTCACTAATGAAAGCAAAGGAAGGTGATTCCCTATTTATAAAATGTATTTATTATAGAAAACTGCAAGCATGGCTACTGAATATTGTGAACGTGTTGAGACCAAGAGAACAGTGAAGAGTCTGGAAAGTGAAATCTCACAAGCTGAGAGGAGATTGAGAGCAGAACAACAAAGGTAAAATCATCCATCAAAATGTCATTACGTCAGCATGCTGTACGATGTATCACAGGGATAGCTCTATATTATACGAGGTTCCTTGCCACCAAGTATTAAGTAAGTGCTCTTCAGCCGGGTATGCTTATTCTGGTTTATCGAAACATGTATTAATTCCGAATGTGGATTTGTTGATCTTGAGCATGCGCGCTCGCTTAGGTATTTCGGAAAATTACAGTAATTGAATGCGTTGAATCACGTAGAAGTCAAAAGGTTATGACTTTATGGGGAAACTTTACTTTTGTTAACATGAAGTTTAGTAGCACAACATTACTTACGTAACATCAGTTTGGTAATAAATCCTAAGTTAAGCATGGGAAAGTCACTTTGACTGAAATATTTTGGCGATTCTCATCTACCCCCAAAAGACTTGTCTTTGTACTTCTATTCTTTTGTAGCCGTGGCAGAGTTGAGGTAATCACTAGACAGTTTTCTGAAGCGAAGCAACGTTTGGATGATGTGAAGGCTTCAATGAAAAGCATGGCAACTTTTTGTAAGGTTAGGTGTTTACGGATGTAGTGGGGATGTGATTGTCAGGGCTCTGCAATCTCCGTTATCAATGAAAGTTTACATCTTTTCCCCTTGATCAACTATAGAGTACACCGTTTTACCCTTAATTTACAAGAGTTAAAACGTTATGAATCAAAAATGCGTTATTTTGAGCCATGAAACACCAATGTTTACCTATGTGTATGGAGATTATTTGTTACGATCGAGAAGGGGAAACAAGTAAATGCAAATGGCAGTACAAATTTTGACAATAAAATGTCAATGTTATAAACATGGTCACATACATCTCAATTCATATTACTTTATTTAGAAACTTGGAAGAATGCTTGAAGATCGATTATGCGCATACAGTTCATATAGAAAATTCATCACTCTTCGAGCTAATATGCTATTTCAAATGATGTTGTCACAACGTGGATACTCCGGAAAATTGAAACTGAAACACAAAAAAGAAGAGTTACATTTATTGGTAGGTGTATGTATACATTCAACTGACTATATAACTGGTTGGCTGCCTTTGGATGAACATCCTTTTCCTTGCATGAAGCCTGTCCTGCATTTTAGCCGACTTTCTTCTTTTCTTTTGGCCGTGTGTGGAAATATTGAAACTAGATAAATTTGGGAAATAGCCTCATCGAATGTGATAGATTAATTGTTGATCTGCTTAAGAATTTGCTATTATTGTATTTGGGAATGATACAATTTGATTGGAAGCTTACAGTTTGATTTGGTTGGTCTTACAATTTGATTGAGGAGGGGGCTTACAAATTAATGGGGGCTTACAAATTGATTAGGGGAGCATACAATTTGATTGGGGGGCTTACTATTTAATGTTGGAATTAATAACATTTATGCTCATATACAGTACAAGTTTACCCTGATGGAAACGTATACTGTGTGTACAGTACAGTGCCTTGCTTACTATATTTTGCGTATGATACGCGTAAACTCTAGTACTTAGTAGCGTAACCAGCTCGCAAATATTGTCGTTCTTATTTATCGAAATGAAGAAATGTTTTCCAGTCATCCATTGCAATACGAAAGATTTTTCGCCCTGCAGGTGGACGTTGATCAGGCAAAGAAAGGTGATAATAAAAGCACAAAATCTCTCTCTGGTGGAGAAAGATCCTTTGCTACAGTATCTTTCATCATGGCACTTTGGGACGCTATGGAAGCACCGTTCAGGTGTCTTGATGAATTTGATGTCTTTATGGTAAGTTCAAAATTACCAGGAATTTAATTTCCGTTTAATGAACTTTTTCTTCAGTTGACTTGTTGTAAATTCATTACGAACTTTTAAAATTGAACTTAACAAAGTTCTAAATATTCGTAACGAAACAATGTCCTTGAATTTATAAAGACAGACTTTTGATGGTCCTTGATTTAAATTTTTTTTGTCAAACTTCTGTGAACATGTTGGCATGTAACTCAAATTCATTCTCGTCCTAATGTTTTTCACAATATCTTCTTAAAAATGCTTTAATTCATATCTCATGCAGTTAACGAACCCTCTCTACATGTATTCCTTTTTTGTTCCATGTCATGTGATGGAAATCTTTTCATTGTGACTTAGATGTGATTACTTTTTTGTTTAGTTTCTCTAAGTTTATTACAATCCTATAATGTCCTATTTTTCTCCCTAGGACATGGTGAACAGAAGAATTAGTATGGATTCTATTATGAAAGTGGCTAAGGAACAGCATCACAGACAGTTCATCCTGCTCACTCCTCAAGACATGAGGTATTTATTCCCTTTTTATGACATCGCACAGTTCCTTCGTTCATGTACTGTTTTGGTTATGTTGAATGAGTATTTTCTTACAAATAGGTTCTTGGTAATGATACTATTGTTTGGAGTTCATGTTTTTAATGGGCATTTTGTCCACGCGGGCTTTTAGGTGGGGCTCTTTTAATTGTACCGTTCAAGAAACCCTCCAATAGAACAGACTTTAATTTTTTGATACGTTCAAATGAGTTGTAATTGCTGATTAAGTTAAGTTCCTATTGTTGATTGGTTGTTGATCGACTTCGTGTAACATTTATTCAAAACACGTGACAAGTGCACCTATGTATTCTTTCATTGAGAACCTGGGCTTAATAGGTATGATGAGATCATTTGGTGACTAGCTCACTTTAGTGGACTCCCTAAAAACATTTGACGACTAACATAGATATACATATAAAGGGTTATCATATGTTACCTGCGGTTGGGTGAAGTTTTTTGTTTTAAGATTACATATCAATAAGATAATTGAGATTGCTTGTTCTTAAAAATTTTTATTATCATTTTAACAGTAACGTTGGACAGACTAACCGTGTTAAAATATTCAAACTACAAGACCCTGACAGAGGACAAACGACATTGCCATTTCGGCCTGTGTGATAAGAGTTGCTGTGTGATGGCAATCCCTGTTAAATAATGATTCCTGTGTGTCATCGTTCAGTTCTTATGAATATCATAAATTTAAGCTATAAATTCATGCAAACATCACATTTGTTTATATGAGGAAGGGAAAAATCAATGAAATGAAGGATACAATTCTGATTTTGTAAAATAGGCGTGGGTGAAAAGTCTCGCTATCCAATCCTCTGCTTCCGCTTTGAGATGCAAATATTAAGGATAATTACCTTGTTTTTATCAAAAAATTTTGTCTGCCTTCGTGTACACGTTGTCATATTGTATAGTTTCACGTCGTAAACGACAAAGTAAAGTGGTATGCAATTTTTACATAGAGATTATAAATAATATTAGCGAATAGCAAAATAATATTATTTATAACCTCAATGATTTTACAACGTCTCATACGAAACTTTTGTGTTACGTTGATGGTTTATTCAAACGGTCTCTGGTTTGCTTTGATCTGCTCTCAAGTTCTCCCAAACTTCTCGTTGGTTTGCATGTGTTTGCACGAAAAACATTATTTACAAGTCTGTGCACGAAAAATATCATGTATGTCTAAAATAGGCCACATACATTTACAAATTTATGCTAACAGATGCTGGCAACGCCAATAAGTGTTGAAAAACGCAAAAAACTGCAAGATCCTGAAAGAGGACAAACGGCATTGCCATTTCGGCCCGTGTGATAACGTTTCTGCGATAATGATTGCTAAGTGACAATGATTGAGTTCTTACGGGTATTACATGGTATTACAAGTATCATGGGTATCATTATGGATGTCACGGGTATTACAAACATCACTGTGGATATCATTATGGATATCATATTGATATAATAAAACGTCACATTCCTTGATTTTGTGAAAAGAACAAAACAAACGAAACTAAGGATAAATTTGACTATCCCAGAAATAGCGTCAGTGAAAGTCTGAC